TCTCAATTTCTATGTTTAATCATAGATCATATTTGCAACTTAATTAATTGCAAAACAATTTTGCAAGCAATATTATTAGGCTATAATAAAGAACCTGTGAATAAAAACAACACAAATATTAAAATTTTCAATTAACTAAATTCTGGCATTAATCTATTTTAAATATAAATTATAATTATTGAAATTTTCTAGTTTTACAGACAAAATTTTGCGTTTATTAAAAAGTAAATATATATATAGAATCAAGATTAATTTTTTTTTTTATTTTCTTTAAGTTTAAATATTAATTCTTTTTCCAAGTTCTAATAAAATCGATACCTAAATAGCTCATTTATTTTGAGCAATTTCACTTGAAGACTCTTTGAATTTGATAAAAATTATTTAATGTAAAATTTTAAAAATATAGACAATTATACCTTTAATAAGTAATTATTCATTTTTTACTTGTATTTTTAAATGTTATAATTTCTCATTTTTTTTTACTAAATAATTCTCCAAAAGAATTGAATTCAAAGACTTTTCCCCCCAATTGAGCTTATAAAATTATTTATTTCAGTTTCAGACAAAACTAATTCCAGAATTTACGAAAACTAGCCATTAACATTGCTTTACTAGACTCAAAAAAAAAGTGTTTAATCTTAAATTTAGGAATATGCTATAACTAGCTTGATAAAACTTTAAACCCTAAATTAAAATACTTTAAATGATGAATAGTTTTAACTGAAACCAAATTTAATTTAAAATAACTTTCAATGTTGTTTCTTATAATAATAAATAGCCTTTTTTTATTAGAGAGACTTGATTATGAAAGATAAATAACAGATTGAGACTTTATGGATATAAACATTTGGCTAAAGTTATGATACTACGAACTAAAAAATATTGAACACTATAAAATAAACTGAATTAAAGAGAAGAATAATAGTCATTATATTTTAAATGAAATGAACCATAGATTTAAGAACCCTTCAAGGCTAATTCCGTTTGAGAAATAAAAAATTATCTGTTTTGTTCTTTTTATTTTAAAAGTTAAATACTTATTTTTTTTAATATATAAAGCTTAATATTTTTATTATATCATTTGTTAAATGTAAAACCAATACACAATTCAAAAATAGGAGTAAAGGCAAAAAGAAAATTTTTATTCCTGAAAGATTTCTAGTGAACTAAAAAATAATCTTGATTTTAAGATCAATACAAAGAGAGAGGAAAAAACTTGTAATAGGAATAACTGAAAACCACGAGTTTATTTCTAATTTCTGAATTGAAATATTGCATTAGTAGAATGTATAAAAAATTGGCAAAATAATAACAAAAAACTGCTGATATTATGAAAATTAGTACAATAACAAATAAACAGAAATAATATGATGAGAATCCTATGATTTCCATACAAAAACACAAAAAAGGAATATCCTGATATTAACATCTTCAAATATGTAGACAATGCAAAACAAATTAAATAAGGAATCTAAATTTCAAAGCACTTTTCTCCGCAAAACAGAAGCTACATATAACAGAAATCACTATAGAAGACGCAGATTCCCGGAATATTCAATTTTAAATGAAGCTGCAGATACTAGTGGTATTAATATGCTCAGCATGAAAAATTGGAAAATTCATGGTTTAATAAGAATAAGAAAATTAAATATATAAACCATACAAATAGAGAAAGAATTTAAGGAAACACGTAATGTGATTCGGTGATTTTAACAAAGTTAAATTAACATATTTATGTACTCGGCTATTAAGTTTATATCTACAAATTAAAATCAGGATTGAATTTTGAGAACATGGATCTTTTAAATTCCATTATGCTCTTATTACTTGTTACAGTTATTTCAACAAATTATGAGAAAAAAAAAATTGTAAAGTTAAGAAACAGAAAACGATAAAACTCAAGACTCTATTTTTGAAAATGTTTGGATTTATTAATAGCCTTGCTCTAGATAATTATTTAGAAACAATCAAGAAATTAAGCAGAGTACATAGTCATAAATAAGTTATTTCAGCAGTTCTTATATACATAAATGTATTCCTTCTTACTGTACAACTTTCTTCTATTAAACTCCAAAATAATAGTTTTGAGAACCCAATATGAACATAAAAAATGTAATAAAAATATTTAAGATATGCTATAATGAATTGCAGATTATAAACATCTGCGTTTTCGACTATAGATAGTATGCTTGCATCATTCTAATAACAAAAGGTGCATACGACAATTGTTATTCACTTGCAAGCCCTAAATATTATTACAACAGTAAAGTACGTGCGAACCTATTTTTTCTGAAACTCATTTAAATTTCGAACTTTATCGAGTTTCATTCCATAAATGTATTCATTCAACGATTCTTAAATTTAGAATGCACTGCCATGCTAACTTAGTTTAAATACCATGTTAATGGCGGGGAACAATTAACTGCAATATTTTTAAGAGTACTTGAAGTTTCATCTATTTTTTGAGAATAAGGATTTTGAATTCAGATAGATTCACCATGGTTGTTTCATAATTTATTAACGTAGTCCAGTTGCTATCTGTGCTGTTCTTTCGTATATAAATAAAATTGCAGTGATTAAAATAATAAGTAAATATGGAGTTTTTTTAATTATAACTTTTAATACACGTTTAATATAACACTTTTCAAAAAATCTTAATACTATTGAAATAGTGAATATGATCTCTATCCACGATGAAATTACAATTTTAAATTGGTTACCTTGCTGAACAGAAATGGGGAAAATAAGGGGTGAGTATGTAAATTTCCGATTAGGAATACTGATAACATTATACAATATTGGTATAATAAGTAATAAGTCCAAGTAATATTTTTGTAGTTTTAGTATTGAATCATAAAATGCCATCGTAAAACCAGTAAAATAATAGATAAGAAAAAGAAAAAATGTAGTAAAAAAGACGGTTCCATTATTAAAGGCTGAGTTGGAAATCTCAGAATTAAAGTATTTGTAAAGTGATATATATACTATATTCATAAATACACAAATTCCACTTATGTTAATTTCTTTTTGAATAAATTTTAGCGAGTAAATTAGGAATATGCTTGAGTAAAAGAAAGTGTAGATAATATACAGGTAGGAACCATACGAAAAATAAAAGAAAACATTGATAATTAAGAAGTATATTATTATATTAGAGATGATATATGGGAGGTTTGAGCTGCTCGAATCACAATAGTTAAAATTTTGATTTACATTATATCCCTTTGAAATTTCAATGTTTTTTGAGATTTCGATGTCAATTTTGGTAAATAAATCTGAACTTGAAACTATCTCATATTCGTATTCAAAACAGTTTCCATAGTAATAATTTTTTTTTATTAGACAAATAATTGGGTACATAACCATTGCAACCAGAAAATGATAAATAAAAATAGACATTAATCCTAGTCGGTATGGCTCAGACCAAGACCAGTCTTTATCTGGAACAGGAATGCTGCTTTGTGTAATTGGCTTTAATTTGTCGAAATGTTTTATAGAAAATACTAGTATTGTATAAAAAAATCCTGGAATTAAAAATTTTATATGATGATTTAGGTAATACTGAAAACTCAGAGCTCTGATTTTCACTAACTTCCATCCATGAGAAAAAAAATATAATGGGATTGCAATGTTAAGTAAATCCACTGTATAATAGCTTATGGTGGCACTTCTATCAATAGTTACTGGGTATATAACGCCTTTGAAAACAACAGCGTGGGAACAATGAACAAGAAAAATAATCCACAAAGAAATGCCAATTTGTATAGTTAATTGAGGTTCGAATAAATCTTTTAATAATTCGTATTTTTGGTTAATTTCTTTTTTAAACATATTTGAATACATTTTGAAGAGTGTCTTCAAACTTTAGAATTCCGAATAATTATTATTCAATATAGCTTTTTTCCAATTGCTTACATGCTAATCACTTTACTTTTTGGTGCTCACCAGACTTTTTTTAAAAATTTTATATATTTTAGCCAAATAAATATGATCAGGATTTTTAACTTTATAATGAAAATAAGTTAATTAATAAATGATATTTGCAAATATTTTGATTGTCTAATTTATTCATATACACAATTCGTTGATGGGATAATTATAAATAAAAGGGTTGTTTTAATAATTGATTGATTTCATTATTGGAATTTATTCTTTTTGAATAAAAATTAGTTTATCTTTCTCCTTAGCCTCTTGTATGCATGCCTTCCCGCTAAAACTGCATGATCTTTTTAGTAATTTTAGGAAATTATCATTAAATAATAATAATGTGAAATTTTATAGTTATTAAAGATTAGTTTGGTATAGTTCAACTTTAATATATGACTTAAGACAGTATTAAGTTTTAATTATAAAATGGAAAATTTCAATTCAATTCCTGTAGTTAATTATCGAGGTAATTATCCTGGCCAACAAAGCTTTACAAAGACTAATTTCGATGAATATGATAGCTCTGACTCAGAAAGTTTATTTTCAACGATAGGACCTACTAATTCAGTTAATGTTAAAACATCAGCAAAGAATAAAACTTATAATGAAAGAGACAGAGAAAAGGCAAAAAGATATTATATACAATCAACGCTGGAGGTAAATATTGATAATCAATACCCTGTAGATAATATAGAAATATATAGGCAAAAAATTTTTCCATTTCAACTGTCACCCAATATTTCTCTTGTAAGCCCAGAGGAAAAAAAAAGTAAAGGTTCTAGAATTTCCAAAGTTTGGCAAGCTCTATCAAATTCCGAACCATCAATTATTGGTATTGTAAGAGGAAAGGGATATGTTTATACTCTTCCGGAGAGCATAGATTTATTATTATTTATTACGTTTTCTCTTTTATTCATGATGAGCATTCTTTTTTTTAATTCTTCAGGAAATGTCAAACATTCAATTTATAATATGTTGTCACATCAAACATTCAGTTTTCAATCTTCTTTAGAATCTGAATGTCTTGGCCTTCCTGATAAAAATGGGCTAAGTAGCTATTATCAGGTTTACTCTAAAAATTTTACGCAATATATTATGGTGCCTAATAAAGATATTTTCTTTAGTTCATTGAATGAAAACGTTGTGTTTCCATGCGGAAGAGGAACAATAAAGGATGTTGCAACTATAGCAGATTATTTGAGATGGATTGCATTAGTATTATTTCCTTCATTAATTGATTTCAAAGGAACAATGAATTCAGCACTTACAAGCATTGTAAAAATTACAACACAATTTAATAATGGAACAGAATCTGAATTAGAATACGTCCATAATAAAGGAGTTTTAAAAGGAAATAATATGTATATATATCCTTATGACACTGAATCTGCTCTTGAATTTTTGGACAATATTGTAGAAATGAATTATTTTAATCAATCTGAGGTTTCAAGTATCAATACTCGTTTTTTCGTTTATAATCCTTTTATTGGAATAAAAACATCAGTTATTATTAGTCTTGGAAATTCTTATATTACTGGTTATTATGATTCAAATCTTGATGTAAGATCTTTATTGATAAAGACAAATTCATATTCATATATTTTTATGGCCCTTGCACTTATTTCTGGATTCTTTGGTTTCTTTAGACTCTTTACACATAAAGATGTTATATTATCTCCATTAATGACAATGAAAAGTTCAATGAACCGAATGTTTGCATTGCTATCTTCTTTACTAATAATTACTTCTGTAATTACATATATGTGTATTTTTATTCCAATAAATTGGTTATGGACTGAAGATATTTCTTTAAAATACTCTAAAATTTCCTCAATACACGATGATGGATTAGATTCCAATTTTATGCAACAATCAACTCATTTCGAATATCTAGCTGCTTGCGATATTCTATTCAGAACTTCGGCTAGTACAAGTCTGATATTCTCACTTTGGGAATTTTTCTGGTTTTTATCGATTAAAATATCTCGAAAGCATGCTACCTCAATTACCGTTGTCGTAAAGAAAGTGACTTTTCCTATAATTATTGGGGCAATGTTGTTCTTATTCTTTATTTACAGTTATGCATTGGTGGGTTTAATTTTGCTTGGAGAATACACATCTGTGTATTCTACGGTTAGTTCTACGTTATTCCATATGTTATTATTAATTATAGGAAAAACAGATGAAATTTGGATGTTATTAAATGAAACAAAAATCTTTGCTGGATTTTTTTTTATACCTATTATTTGTATTTTTGGATTTATCTTACCTAGTTATATTTACGCTTTATTTTGCCATATATACAACTCGACGATTGATACAGTTGAATGGTGTTGGGATAATTGTACCAAAGATCTTAAAATAAATATTCAATCTTCACCATGGTATATAGAAGAGAATTCAATTTATGAAGGGGATTCTCAAGAAAATCATGATTTGTCTAGAATAAAAGCAGACGATTTAAAAAATGGAAACGACTCTCAAGAAGTAAATATAATTAGTTACGGAAATAATCAGATAAACGATTTATTTTTTGTCAGAGACAGATATTCAAATTTTATGGCTCAGTCAACAGTCTTTGAAAGGCTCTATGAAATTTTTTTTTCAAGAAAAAAATACTTAACTTTTAAGCAAAAGAAAGAAATTGAAATGAGCAAATTTGATTCATATGAACAGACCAGAAAAATCTCGAGCTTAAACACAGTTGGTGCTAATAACTTAGATAAATCTTTGTCAAACTCAGTAAATAATAATGGAGCAAATACAAGGAATGAACTTATTAAACATCAAAGCCAGAGTGAAATTTTAAACGGAAATGAGTATGGCACACTAGTTACGAGGTCAATACATGAGTATTATTGGTCTATTTTCAATTATGGTAAGGCAATTTTTTCAAATCCAGGAACTATTTCAAATTATGAAAATAACATCTCGAGTACTAGCCAACAGTTAATGTATAGAATGGTCGGAACAATGGAGGCTTCTGTTGATATGACACAGTTCTTAATTTCGAAAAGCAGAGATTCTGATTATTCGAATTCTATAGGTTTAAATGATCAAAACGGACTTCCTCTTTTAGTTGGTAATGTAATGGCTGACTCTCCATGCCCAAATATGGAAAATCTATTAACTTTTACAGAAAAAGTCAACAAAATAGGAGAAAGTATTTGGTTTGGGGTTTTGTTGATTTTTATTTTAATTATTATAATAATTTTGAGTATTTTTGAGTTTAGAAAAGGTATTTTGGGCGATGAAATCAATTCAGTTTCTTGGAATCAATTTCAAACTGATGTTAATATAAATATGATGAAACCAGTTTTTGCAACTGGTGAGTTTGACTTCATTAGATCAAAAACTCCAACAAAGTTCATTTTAAATCCTGTAAGACTGAATTTATCAACTTCTGTAACCCCCAATGAAATTTCATATTGGATTTCAATGTCGTCTTTAAGAGTGATATTTAATTCAACATCAGAATATCAATACAAAGTAATATTTCCGAATCTTAAAAGTGGAATCCCTGATCCAAAAATAATATTTGATCAGAATTTACTTTACAACGGGGGAGCCCAAATCGGAGTTGTATTAAGAGTCGTCACAATAACTGAAAATAGAACGGCAGACAGATACATCGATGGGTCCAGTTCTGCTGACGAATTATTTAGGATGGTAGGAATAGCAGACAATTTTTTTCATTCGTATGATGATAATGACAAAAAACTAACCGAAGAATTAAAGATGGAATTAATTGAAAAGGGAATTGATGACTATCCGTTTTTTTATAAAAAAGTGTTGCCTTTAGATGACTATTCAACCTATTTTGAAAATATTTATTCAAACATTTATGAACTACTGCATTACCCGAAACTTGTATATTTGGAAGTTTTATTACCATCACTACTGATAGAAGACCAATCATTTAATTATGTAAGAATTGTATTAACTCGAGATATATCGGGAGGAATTAGCAAAAAGCCATTAAATGTTTTACTCAGTACAAAAAATAGTCAATTTGATTTATATTTCAAGATTTCACTTGAAATTGTAATTTTATTATTAATAATTGGTTATTCAGTTGTTTTTTCTTTAGAATGCAAGAAGTTTATTAAGATTTACAGAAATTCTCCCGAATCTACTGGAAGAAAAACAAGATCAGCACTTTTTTGTTTCTTCAACTATATTTTTACAGATTTATCACGTGCTCATGATTTAGTCATAATTATAATGATAATTGTCAGGTCAGCAGTTTACTTCTCAATATTTTACTATACAATGGTATTATTTAAATCTGAACTGAATACTAACGACTTAGATATGGTTTATGAATTATCAGTAAAACTTTCGTACATTAATGCTTCAATTATTTGGATTTTTGTTTTACGACTATTTGGGCAATTCTCTTCTATTTCAAGCAATTTTAGGTTCCTTGTATTTTCTTACAGACGGTCATTTTTACCTCTATTTTTAGTATTCATTTTTTTGGCTTTGCAATTTATTGGAATCTTAGTTGTGATTTTCATTAACTTTTCAAGCTGTAATGGTGAATTTTCAGACTTTTTTGGGGCCATTTCTTCAACAATGAGTTTATTTGTCGGGAATTTTGACTTTTATGAAGCATATGAATGTTCCAGCAATCTAACCACTATTGTGTTAGTTCCACTGTTGATAGCTGTTTATTATATTATTATGCCAGTTCAGACTGTTATTATATTAAGAAGTCTTTGGCTTTCAAAGAAAGAATCTACAGACATTGACAGGATTTTTAAGATAGTAGTGGAAGGTAGAAATAAAAGAAACTCCGATGAATATAAAAAGTACATTAAACATATTACTGGTATGAATGCACAAATAAGTGAACGTGAAATATGGGATAATGCTGGGATAGATTATGATGAAGATGACCCAATAGATAGAAAGATGTACGAAAGAAAATATGAAAATGATGTTTCAAAAGTTGAGATACCGCCTCCAAAAATTGCTGAACTTACTGATGAACAATGGGACGCATCACCTGACTTTATAAAAGAGTGGGCTGAATATGAAGCCGAAAGTTTTATAGATAGATTTAGATGTTTAGAAAATGAATTTAAAATGAATACAAGCTCAACAGGATATTATTCACAGTTTGTTTTCAAATGGGAAAATTCTGTTTATAAAGAGTTGCAACTCCTTGAAGTCACAACAAACGAGGCAGAACAACTACTAAAAAGATTACAGAGGGCTATAAAGGGAACTGCAAGTAGAGTAAGAATTAGTCAAGCGCTTCAGACAAATAATCTAGAAGCTGTGATTAGAGAAAAAGAAGAAGAGAGAGAATCAAAAAGGGCATTGCTTAAGGCCAGGAAAAACAGAAATATTTATGATAATAATTAAATGTGCAAGTAGAACCATTTTTTTTGTTTAAGATTGCTTCAATAAAAATTAGTATTTAATAATTAATCTATATACGAATATTTGATTAATTCCTAAGTTATTTAGATCAAAAATTAACAATTTAATAACTTTGCATTTGAGAGTTCTTTTTTTGTTTCAACGAATTTTTTTTTTTTTTCTACAATTTTTAAGTGAATAAGATTGACCAAATAAACATCAAAAATGAGTCATTTTATTTAGTTTTTAATTTTTCCTTATTTTTTCTGGAGAAAACCGTTTGTATTCCTAAAACAATGAATATTGCAGAAACACATAGCCACTGACCAAACGATAATTTGTGTCCAAAAATAACAACAGAAACCAAAACAGTAAAAAACTTTCTAGTTGTAGTAATGATCGCCAAATATAGAGAACCAAATCTAATGAGTGATTGGAATATAAAGAATTGCCCACATGTACCTGTTAAAGATAGAGAAAGTATATAGTATGGGGTTGAGGGGAATCTAGAAATAAATAAATAAGGTTTTTGCCCTTCAAATATTATGGACAAAAGACCACATATGATTGTTGCAAATAAGTTAGTATAAAACATCAGGACGTTGGACGTAACATTGTATTTTTTGATAAGTTTATCTTGTCTAGGGCCTGTGAGACCATCGCATAATAAAGACAATCCAAGAAGTGACACTCCTGAAAGAGTTTGAACGGTCCCTACCTTATTAGTCTTTATTTGCATCATGTTAAAACAAGAAAGGGAAATAGTGATAACTATTACTGCCAAGTAGTCATACCAAGGATATTTAGTTTTGAAATATAAGGTTCCAATAACAATGATTGGAACACATTTTGCAGATTTTACAAGAACTTGAGTTGGATAATTGACCTTTCCTAATGCAAGATTTGTTAGAACCATCGCAGCTAGATATGTTGCTGAAGTCAACATAATTTGGAAAATGCATTCAAACGATAAACCAGATATTGATATTGCGTCAATATTTTTGGAACTTTTATTTTTAACATGAGTGCTTTCTCTTCTCGATCTGGTTCTCCATTTTTCTATTTGAATAATTCCAAAGCTTACAACCGTGTTCACCAAACAAAAACAAAAGACTAAAAACAAGCTATAATTGAAGTTATCACCGACTTTTCTATCACCCAAAGTATGGATTCGTTCTTGTACGATTCCATATAAAATAAAAAAAAAGTAGATCCCAGAGACACAGAAAGCTCCTATTATTGTATCGTTCATTTCTACGAAAAATAAAAATTAATATTTTGAAAGAGCTTCATGCTAATTTCAAGGCGGTAATTTTTTGTCTTAGCTTCTAATTAAAAATAAATCAATTTGGTATAGAAATCAAAAAGTTAAGATGATTTAAAAATTGAATTATTTAAGGGTAATTTCATGCAAATAAATCGATATTATTTTGGAATTTTGAATTAAATTCAAATATTGGGAGCAATTTTAGAAAGATTTTGTACATAAAAAAGCTAAATTAATACCCCACATCAAGACAACTGGCGGGAATACATTGGCGGTTTGACTTTTGATTTATGATATTTTAAATGAGAATATGTAAATAAGATGAGTTCCAATAACGGTAAGGAGGTTAGCGTTGAGGATAGTCCAGAGTCAAAGTTTTTAGTTGAGGAAAATGTGGATCTCACAAAGTCATGTCTTTGGTCAATTTTGGAACGTTATTATGAGACGGTATCCATAGATGCATGGCGAAAAAATCAAGTTCCAAGTTTTATAACTTCAAATACTCGCCTTGCTTGTGGATATGCAAGGCTAATACACAATTTTATAATGGATCAGAATCCAACTGGAACTTTATCAAGAAAAGTGTACATAGTTGAGATTGGTGGTGGCCATGGGAGATTCACATTTTTTCTTTTAAGAGCCTTGGAAAGATATTCAACTGTTTGGAAAGACCTTGGCTATTATGATGTGCCTTTTAAATATATATTTACTGACGCAAGTGATGCAAGCTTTTCGTTTTTAACAAGAGAATCCAGCGCATTAATTCCATATATACAAAAAGGTTGGTTAGAATTTGCATGTTTTAATGGCAATAGCTCTGAACCAAGTGATATTAAATTTGGATTAAGTAAACAAGAAACTATTCCATCAGAGTCAAGCATAGTATTGGTATGCAATTATGTCTTAGATTCGCTTTTGACGGATGCAATTGCTATAAGCAAGGACAAGGTAATTTCCAAAGCTACTGTTTCAGTGTATTCTTCACAGGTTGAAGAAGATTTAACACACCCGAGTATTGCTGATAGGATGACTCTCTCATGGTCTTGGAAAGAAATATTAGATGAGGATTTTTCACTCAATTCAATACATTCAGAAAACAGAATATCTAATACATTTGACAAAGTTGAAAAAATTCAAGAAACAGAATACTTAACAGTAAAAGAAAAACTACTTATCAAATATTTTCAATTTGATTATTCTCTTTATAATGTGGTAAAATCATATCTTGACCTTGACAGAGAAATGTCTTTTGTGCTTCCTCTTGGAGCCATAAAGATGTTGAGACGTTTTTATCAACATTCTGCTGGGAATATTTGTGTTTTAATAGGAGATAAAGGGTATCCTGATGACACTGAATTTATTTCTATCAAGCCTCCTCATATTGCTGTACATGGATGCATGAGTTTTATGGTGAATTTGGATGCAATCAAAAAGTATTTCTGCGACTTAGGTGGAAGTTATCTTGCTACTAGATATAAAGATACATTTCAGATTACTTGTATTCTTGGAGGAAAAAAATCTTTGTTTCCTAGAGTGGTTGCTTCGTTTATTGATAGCCAGGAAGATCTGGCCCCAGATAATTTATTAAATATTCAAAGAGGTTTTGAACAACTCAGTTCAAATCCAAGTTCCCTTTCACATGGTTTAAAACCATATTTAGGAGTTTTGAGATATAGTCTACACGATCCATTTATTCTATGGGTATTACGTAATGGAATTCTTGCTAATATTGGGGATCTTAATATTAGGCAAAGAGAGGATATTATTCTTGATTTACGTAGTGTATATCAAAATATTTATCCATTGGAAATAAATATCGATGTATTTGATCTTTTAGCACAAATATGCTTAAAGGGTGGGTTTGTAAATGATGCAATCTTTTATTATAATGAAAGCTTGCGTTGTTGTCCAGAAATGATACATCCATCAACTTATGTAAACCTTGCAAAGTGTTATCAATCACAGAGGAATTGGAAGAAGGCCTTCCATTTTTGTAATGAAGCATTAAAATTAGACCCTAATTATCCACCTGCGCTTGAATTTAATTCAGAATATCTCAATTCATCAAAAAGACTTAATTACATTATTGTTGGTTGTTATAGCTCATGGATATTCACTGATGTAATTCCGACTATCCAATTTGATGCAATGTATAATTGTATCGGTGTAATACCGAGCAAATCAACAATAGAGAATGCTAAAAAGGCATTTGATCATCTGCAAGCCATTTTTTCTTGCAATCAAGAAAACGAGGTTTTTTCTAGTTCACCACCAAAGTTTTTTCTTGAAGAAATTGCAGAGAATTCTTCTCTCGCAGATGCAATTGCAGATGTATTTTATGGCAACCCACAGATTGAGGCAGTAGTTCTCGATGTACCTCCTGACCTTCTTAAGCCTTGTATGAGTGTTATTTGGGAATTTAACAAGCATGTAATGACTAGATCCCCAACCGCAAGAGATGTTGCAAGCGCTTCTGAAATTCTTTCCACTAAGCCTCCTAGATCACTTTGGTTTGATTATGCACCATTCAAATTTGAGACAGCATTGTTACAAGTATTTAATATAATTAAACAGCATGGCAGGCTTTATGCAATTAATTGTAAATATGATATTCCTTCAGAAACTCCAATTAAGTCAGATGGATACAAGAATGACGAATTGATAGCGAGACTAATTCACTCACTTTCCGCTATTTATATTGCAATTGATGGCACTTTAGATTGGGTTTTTTGCCCATCTACTGACAATGATCATGATAAAAAAACATTATTTTGTGGATGGAGTTCTCCATTATGGTCACAAGCTGATCCAGGGAAAAAAAATAGAACCCTTTCCGAAAAAAATCCAATGAAACCCTCATCAAAAAAAAGTGATGAAATTCATTGTACTATTTCAACAGAATTCGTAACATGGGATAAAACATTCATACAATTTGATTTTCATTGTGATAACTCTACATTAAGTCTTAGAAAAGAAGGTCCGATTTGGATCCTTTTAATTAGAACCTCTAAAGGAAGATATGAATCTAAAATTCAATGTGTTGGATTGCAGACAGCCAATGAAAGATTCAGAAAGTTGTGTAAAGACTATAACCCTGAGCATTACAATATTAAAGATTCAATTGGTTTCTCTGCATGGTGGGATGCCATAATAAAATCTAAGCAGAGCCCAATATATTTTTCCTATCAGTAAAAAAACTCATTTTAATTAAAATTAAGTTCCATTTTAAATTTATAATTTGATATCCAGCCATATTTCCATTATTTTGTCTAAATTTCCTGGACTTTACATGCGTTCTTGCGCCAATTTTGCACTCTGATGGTATCGTATATTTGTAATGAGTGAATACAATTATTTGTTAGTATTGATATATTTGTCATTAACTATCAATAATTAATTTTTTATTGATTTGAATAGGATATTTCATAAGAATAAAGCTATTTTTAAGATGACTAATAAAGATGATTCAAAATTTAATTTGGGACTCTATTAGTTTTGCTCTTGGAGATAGAGAAAAAGATACTTCTTCAATGGAAGATTACGAAAATTTGGAAATAATTGGAGAAGGGACGTATGGGGTAGTTTATAAATGTAAATGTAAGCAATCAGGAGAACTTTTTGCAATAAAAACGTTTAGAAATGGTAATAATGAGTTTTCAACAACAACTCTCAGAGAAATATCAATATTACGTGAGATTAATCACCCTAATATTGTTAGTGTTCAGGACGTCATACTTTCATCTAATGGTGTTAATATAGTATTCGATTTTTTTCCTTATGATCTTAAACGTTACCTTTCAATGTTTCCTGATAAAATTCCGCCAATGAAATTCATCAAACATATCATTTTTGAAATATTAAGAGGCATATTTCATTTGCATATGCACAGAATTATTCATCGCGATTTAAAACCTCAAAACATTCTCATTGCATGTGATAGAAACCTTCCAGATGTCAAGATTGCAGACTTTGGGCTTTCTAGAATTCTATCTACTCCATTCAAAACATTAACTAGGGAAGTTGTCACACTTTGGTATAGGGCACCAGAACTTCTTTTGGGACATAAGAATTATTCTAGTTCCGTCGATATTTGGAGCATCGGTTGCATATTTGTTGAACTCCTGATTGGTAGACCGATTTTTTCTGGGGACAGTGAAGTTTCAACTCTTTTTAAAATTTTTAAAACACTGGGAACTCCAAATTCTAGAGTTTATGCTGGCATCAGTTCTCTTCCGAACTATAGCTCCGATTGGCCAAAGTGGGAAATAGATGAGAATTGGATTGATAATCAAATAAGTATTTATTCCCCAACCAAACAATATTTATTAGAAACTGACGCAAAAAATCTAATAAAAATGTAAGTTTATTTTATGGAAAAAAAAATATTTTCATTAGAAATTTTTAATAAGGATGTTGATGTATGATCCAAGTAGAAGAATAAATGCATTTGATGCAATGAATAACAGATGGTTTGATGAGATTAGAAATAACACTTGCTAGTTTTATACAAATATTCATAACAATATATTGATAATTAAAAATAATGAAGCAGTTACTGAAATCTAATAGGGTTTGCAATATACGGAAAGACCAGAGCAAAGCCAACTTGGGAGTGGTGGATCTGGAACACAAACAACATCTCCATAGCTTTCTCTTTCCAACTCAACAAGCGCTTCATTATATTGAGAGCCATCGCAGCGTTGTAAAAGCTCAATTCCGCCGCTAGCTCTGTTAAATCTAGAGGCTATTAATGAAGCTCCGTCTAAGCCTTTAAATGGGGCAACCAAGTTTTCGGGATTGCACGCATTTGCTTCAGCTCCAAATAATCTCTTTAATATAAGGTGCGGTTTTACAGAAATCTTAATTCTTTTTTTGTTCGGAGTTTGCCTTTGCAGAGGAACTTCTGCATTATCTATCATCTCTTGGGTTACTCCTTTGTGCACAATCCAACATGAGTCTGCAGAAGAAAGCCTTGCAACTCTTCTTTCAATGCATGCGAGCTCATAGTTTGTGTATGACCCTTGGTAAATAGAAATGGATTCAATTCCGCCTTTGTTTGTGCAAACGGAATCTTCTGTAATTTGATACCTTGAATCATCTCCTGAGAATTCACAATTTTCGAAATTGGTAATGTGACCCCAATTGTATGGCGCCTTGTAAGCAAAATGAAAACATATATATGGTGGAAAATGAAAGAACTTACCTGAGCATGTTTTACGAACTTCCAGCACCATCTTCGGCCAGGGTTCCCAGGATCTGAAAGATCTCTTAATCTTTCATATATTGTCAATTCGTTTTCAGGTTTTGGTGGTATTCCTCCTATATAATAAGTATCTCCAACATAAAAAACTTCTGCTTCAACTCCATTTAGATCTACATTAATTCTTTTTTGAGACTCTTCAGATATAGCTTTCACATATGCTACGATAATATCATTTGGAACAATATATCTGTCCAAAGCTTCTGTTAATGTAATATTTCCATTTTGCAGATCTTCAATTACGTTTGGTGTAATCCTAAGTTTCTCAAGACATGATATGTATTCAAAAAGACTAATAATTAGAGCGAAAATCAAAAACATAGAATTTTTATTATTCCGCATTCTTACAAATAATTGAATTTTTTTGTGTGAGAATGTTTCACACATTCAATTTTGAAAAAAAAAAATTAGAAAAAAAAAGATATTTATTTCCCTTGATTGTACTTCTCGATATTACTACATCAGAATGACTAAAATCAATAATAATCTAATTCAGACTAAATATGGATATTTAGTATCGACTTTAAGGAATAAAAATCTGAATCAAAAGATCTTATATAGGAATCACTTTTTGAAATAAACTTATCTTTATGTGAATCGATAAATTTCTTTATGTATTGATTAGAAAGTAGTTTTTTGTCAGTTATGTAGGAAAATTCCTTAGAATTCTGGCATTTTACATTAGAATCGATGTAATGTGTTTTAATGCATTGATCAAGGAAACAAACTGCTTGATTTGCCCTATCTGAATTCCAATTAGAGTTAAGAATGGCCGAAGTTAAAATAATAGGTACTGCCCCATCACCTAGTATCCTTTCTAGATTTTTAATAAGTTTTTCCCAATATAACAAAATTGTATCGATGGAATTACTGTGGCTCGATATTTCAAATTTGATTTTGAACAAATTAATATATTTGTTTATTAAAGCGGATATTTCTAAGTTAAGCTTTAGATAGCAAATTGTTGATTTATAATCCTCAGGGAAATGAGAGAATATTGTTAGTAGTTTTGGGAAAAGAATATTATAGACTGAAAAATCACCTAAACTTCTAATTCCGCAAACAATCCCATATAATGATGCAATTTGAAGACAATTACCATTTATCAAATTATTAACACGAAAATCCAGTAGATTTTCAAATTTATTAGCTAAGTATTCAAGAATTTTTGTTGTTCCAACTGGTAGATGATAACAACAAACTTCAAAGATATTTTCCAATAAATTGCTCGCATCAAGTCTGGCATTTAAATTATCATTAAGGAACAATTCAGAGATTTTCAAATTTAAGTTGGAAAGAACTTTCTTTACTGGGCATGAAACCATTATTCTAACTAGTGGTTCAATAATTTTATGGATATAATATGTTGTTTTTGAGCAATGTGGATTTCTAATGACAGATCTACATATTCTTATTAGTAGCCTGAGAGAACCTATTTTTGGCAATTCTCCAGTTTCCTCAAACTTACAACATATTAATTTAGTGTTATAATTGAAGTAATAAACCAAATATGGTAGCAGTGGTTCAAAATCCGTTTTGTTTTCTATTATATAAAAAATATCGTTCAGCTTTAAGATGAGTTCGATTCTTTGTTTGGATTCTTTAGAATATATTTGATTGTTTTTTATATAGCTGTTAGGTTGGTTAAAACAATTAATGTATTGATCAAAAGCTGATTTGGGTAAATTAGAAAAGTTTGATCCTTCAATTACTGAAAATACAGAAGTTATTGCGTCGGTATCCTTTTCAGAAAGACCATAATTATTCAAAAAATTATTTAAAATAAATGCTCTATGCTTGATATTTGAATTCAAAAAGTTAGAATTATATGTTAAATTGCAAGATGAATATAGCTCCTCCATCGCACGCAAAAAAATTCTGTTCATGTAACTTAAAAACTCTTTTTGTTCTTCGGAAAGAAATCCTTCAATAGCTTTATTAATTACAACCTCAAAATTATCTAAATTTTTGATATTGATGTTAAAATTCACATCTTTTAAGAATTTGGAGTTTGTTTCAATATTTTTAGAAATATTATTCATAAATTTTGTATCATTTTCAGAATTAAAAACAAACTTTCCTTCTACTGCTAGCCAATGTAAGTGAATAGTTGGTTTTACTATTTTTTTTCCATCTAGGTCTCTGATAATACTATGAAAAATTTCTTTATCATTAATATCTTTTCCTGCACTGTTTAATGTAGAAATAGCGTTCCTATTTTCATCAGAAAAAGAAAAACATGAAATATACTTTATGGTTCTTTCTGGTAAATTGTGAAAGACCTCTCCATTTGTTTCAATAATAACCTGATCTTTATCCTCACTTTGCTTTGTTGAAATAAAATAACTTCTAGGAGATTTTTCTGAACTCCAAATTAGATTTTTAGACCCGCATATATATCTCATTGCACTGTTAATATCTCCTAAAGAAATGAACGGAAACCCTTCATTTTTCTGCAAGCTACCTGAGTTACAGCTACCTCTATGATATGCCAATTTTATTGCTTCTTCAATTATCTGCCTTAATTTAAACTCTACTGTCTGAACAATTAGAGCAGCTGCATTATTAGAAATTAGATCACAACAAAGTTGCCTAGAAATAGGATAAACAAAATCATAGACTGAAAATATTCCATGATTTTCTATAAAGTCTAAACTTCTTTCATTTCCTTTAAATTCGTCCACATCTATTTTTTGTTTCTTTCTAAGTATTACATTATTTCCTATTTCGCAAAACCCAATGCTTAAATTGTTGTTTAATGAAAACTGACCATAATCAGAAATTTCGGTTTCTTTTATCATTTTTTCTTAAAATTCTGACAAATGTAAAATGATCATACGCGTTCGGCGCCAACTCTTGTTCTCAAATTTACATAAACAGTATGATGAATTATATGATTTATTTGGACAAAACTTATATATAATTATTTTATTTAAAATGCAATAAACACAATTAATGAAGGCTAATTTAAATTTGGATAACAAGATGAATCCAAAGAAAATTATTTATATTTGTGAGGAATTTTTGACTAATTTTAGCACGCATAAACCTAATAAAGCATCAAAAATATATTTAAGATACTTTGAACAGTTTCGTAATTTAAATTCACTTTGGAATTGTAAAGTTATTAATGATCAGGATAGCTTAGAGCTTAGTGAAGTATGGAACTCTGTACTGCACTGCTACAAAGTTGTTCTTGAAAAAATTTCGAATGAAATTAGAATAAAATCTGAAAATGTTTCGAAAGAGGAAAATAATCAATTAAATTTAAAAAACAGAGAACTGTTAGAAACTGTTTTTCAATTTAATAATTTGTCTTATACCGTAATACCACTGATTCCACAAGAGTTTCTCACTGATCTGCTTGAATTGATTAAAGAGTTAACTTTAATTTGTGAAAATATGAAATCTTATTTAGAAAGCAATATTGGTCTTACAAATTGCTCTTCAACTAACAGCCTATCAATAGTCTTATTATTAGTTAAAATCATTTGTTACAAAATTGAAACTAATAATCATGATTTACTCGGAAAAATGTATGGATCTACACTATATTGCTTAAATATTTTATTTCGAATTTATAAAATAGAATTCACTGAAAAATGGGATCTAATATTATTTCCAGAAAAGAATCATATATCATCACTTAAATTAAGTTCCTTGTTACATAAAGAAACTTCGTTTGACTTGTACATTGGCTCAGATATTCCCTTCCTTACGTATTTTTTGTTCAGCTCAAACACAAAAATTAGAGTAAATTCGTTATTGTGCATTCAATCCATATTTGCTGCCCCAATATTTAGGTTTAAATCTATGGTTTTGTTACTATGTAAACCATTCTCCCAACAAATTTTAGATACTAGTGCATCTTCTTTATCAAAAAATGCTGTAATATTGGCATTTTCCCTTTTGAAGTTTGGAGAAATGATTTTTAAATTAGAAAGTTATGATTTAGATACTGGAATTACTCTTTTTAAAACAATTTCAAAGATTGTAAGCACAACACCTTCTCTATTTTGGACGGAAAATTTTATTAATAACGAGATCAGCTTTATTAATATACTTTCAAATATTTTACTTTCTGGTCTTAAAGATTTAAATATTTTTATTCCTTCTTTACAACTTTTTTCCAACATTTTAAGTTTAATAAAAAATTGTGATATTTCAATTAATATTTTATTCGATTATTTAAATCCATGTTTTGAAAAAGTACTAATTAACAGTTGTATGGTTCTAAACTTGCCAATAGGTTTTAAATATGAAAACATTAACTTAAAAAATTTATCTTTCAAGTTTCCGGTGATTCTAATCGAAATATTAAATTTCTATATCAAGTTATTAGAGAATTTTCCATTCTTGTTGATAAGCATCAATTCCAATCAATCTTTGTTAAAGAAAAATCAATTTGGGGTCAAAAATCATTTATCAAAATTTGTAGATATACTTGAATTTATAAACTTTCGCCCAAATGAATTAGATTTGGTAATTTATGAAAAAGGTCTCAGAACCACATATTTATTGATCAATTGTATTAGGGAGTTTCAGAAAGTAAGACTAGGCCAAAAAAATGTTATTAGAAATCAATTTCAAATTTCGAATTCGGATTTTTTTTTCCAAGATATTGAAAGGCTAGAATTTACCATAAATAATGTTGAAGAAACATATTTAAAAATTATTCAATTATTGAAATCGTTCATTTTGTTAACTTTTCATTCTGTAATTCAAAATTTAATCATGAATGACGAGGAATTAAAAATTGATTCTAATTTACAACTAAATAGAAATTGTATTTGCAGAATATTAGACATATATTCAACTATAAATCCGATTTTCTTGGAAGAAGCTTTATCCGAAACAATGAAAATTTTTAATCTAAAAAATAATGAAATAATTTACAAAAGTAAAAAAATAAAACAATATATTTTGGGAAATACAAAAATAAGCTTTGTCGAACTAATATTATTAACACTGGACAACGCTGAAGATAAGATACTACCATCGTTGATTAATATTCTAATATGTTATTGTGGAAACTCAGAATGGATAAAGCACTCATCATTTACTACCTTTCAACATTTTGAATTTAGCCTAGTTGAAAATCTACTATTATTAATAAGCTCCGATAATTCTGTCATAGTAAAGCCCATTAAAGAGAATATAATTTTGAGTGTAAATAAAGCTATGATGTATATTAATATATACCACCATATAAATACAAATAAAGTTATTTTTTGTTCCTCAAATTATAGAAAAAACAACATAAATTTATTGGAAGAAAATTACAAAAAATTTATGGATAATAATGAAGTTGAATTTAATGAGATTTGTTGTCTTTTGAATTGGAAGGAAATATTTTTTTCTTACAAGTCACTTATTCAAAATCTTGAATTTAACTCTACTTTGAGCAAAGCCTCAAGTCTTTTAAACCTTTCAGAAATAATTAGAGTTTTTGGAAAAATATTAAAGCTAATTCCTTTTAATTTAAATGATTTGGAAGAAATTATTTGGACATTAGACTTATTAAATAATTTTATTTCTAACGCTTTCAATATTACATTCAGACACAATAAAGTTAAGTGGAATTCAATTTATGCAATAGGATTATTGTTTGAGAATGATAATTTTTATAATTTAGTAATTCGATCATTTAATGAAAAAACAAACATAAACATCAATTTGTCAAACACATTCACTAAAAGTTGGAAGGCTCTTTGCTTAATAATTGTAAATAATTCGGAACTTACAAAAGTTAGAATAAATGCCTTACGTTCATTGGCAGCTTATAATAATGCTGATTCTGATTCTAAAATCCCATTCATTCTTCTTTTTGATACATGGGAAACTTTTAAATTAGCTGTAGGCACTACACTAATAAGTAAATCTAATTCTTATTACAAACTCCAAACTGCTAATAATGAATATTCATCATTATGGAACACTTACTTAAATAAACTCGGTTCATCACTGTATAATAATTCAATTTTTTACCTAAAAAATTCTCCAAATAAAATTAGTGATTTTGAAACAGAAAAAATTTCAAGGTATTGTTTTGAATTCCTAGTTCAAAAAGAATTGAAGAATTGTTGATACTAAACCAAAAATCATTTTAAAAATATTATTAATTTAATACAAATAAATTTTATTAAATTTATTCATTATTACGGCATCTTCAATGATTGAATTATAAATAACACAAATTTTTATTTATTTCCTAATTTTAAATACGAGTTTTATATGTAGATTCTTAAGTAATATTGCTTAAATGCTAGTAATTGAGAAACCTGTGAAAAAAGTCTAAATAAGGAATTTTCTTACATGAGTATAGATAAAAAATCGGCACATTTTGATTTCGAAATCATTTATAAAAATTTTTAAAATCCCTCATGAAATAATTTTGTTACTAACAAATTGAATTTTGGCTGAATTTTTGAATGCTCATTGTAATTTAATTAGTAATTTTTGAAGAATTATATAAGAAAAATAAAGATAAGTCCTAATGAAACAATAAAATTTTGGTGTTAAATTTTTATCAATGGTCATTATTACTTTCTACCAGTGATAAAATTGATTATATTTTAATACACATTAACCATCTTTCGACTGAAAAATCCATAAATTGGCTGTTTTAAGTCGTCGTAGTTAGCATTTTCCTATTGAATTGTGTATAAACCTTTAAAATTTTGCGAATAATAAATAAAAATAGTTTAAATGCAATTATTCAAGCTTTTTCTTTTTTTTTTGATTTAATAATGTTCTTGATTTGCGTCTACTTGCAAAGTGCTCCTTTTGAAATTGAAACTTACATTTACAAAGATTCATCATGTCATTTAATACAATTTGATTCATTTTAAGATTTTGCGTACTCATTTAGAAAGCTTTATTTCTATTTGACTTGATGCTAATCTAGGAGAAATAGAACCCTTGAATATTATTCATGTGCATTATACAGTTATATTTGAAGATTAAACATAATTTTTATGAGCAACCAAGTAATCAAACTAAATCAATATTAAATGTTGCCCAACTTTAGAACATTAAATGAATGGGTGATATTTCAAAACAATGTATTGAAATTCCTATTAATTTCTAGATCCGAAGTATTTCTCAAAATGATGGTTTTAGCTCGAATAATTTAAAAAAAAAACTTAGTTTTGCCAATAAATAAATAAAAGTATATATAATAAGTGTATCGATACTTCTTAAGACTTGGTAAAAATAATAGGGAGAAAGTGGGAAGAAAAATTTTCGTAATTTCGATGAAATAGGTTAAAAAAGAAAATGAAAAAAAATGAAAAAAGAATAAATGTTTATTTAGAGAAAGATCCTGCAATTAATAGTTAATCTTTTAATAGGCTGTTATCATAATGGCAAATATAATTCGTTAGATCCGAAATAAAAAAGGAATTATAGGGACAGAAAACAGAATTAAGATCTTAAATCTGATATAGATCAAAAAAATAATCAATACATTGCCTCAAATAGTGTAAAATGATTATTTAGTGAGAGAGATTCTTTAAGTTATTATGTTTACCCAATTATTTGAAGAGATGGTTAAACTTCAAAAATAATTGGTTTTATATTTGCAGATACAAAATATATTTTTGGTGTCACAAAAACATGGATTTAACGAAAAAAATTAATCAAAATTTTGGATTAAAATATAAAATATTCATTATTATAGAAATTAATAAAGGAAGGGTTTTTATCAACTATAAATTCATTTTTATTTAGTTATCCATTAATTTATTCTATAAGCTGCTCAAAATTATAAACTGATAAGAGTAAAAACCATTTTGATCAATATCGCAATTTAAAATTTGCCTTTTAATTACTTTAAAAAGAATTTAAATTTATTTTGTGGAAAATATTTATAACAAAGATTGAAATTCTGATATAACCCTACTTGTGAAAAGCTTTGTAATTTCAACAAAAGATATTGAAAGATTGAGCAAATATATAATGAAAATAAAAAGTTTTCAAACTGGATGTTAATTAAGAATAAGTAAAATAAGTTAGATTAATTCAGGTTCAATTGGAAAAAATTAATCTCCTCTAATAAATGAATAGTTCAATATCAATTCGAAAATTAACTTGACTTTTATACAAAACATTAACTCCAAATGTTAATTAAAATATTTATAAAATTTTTTTTATAAAAATTTATTATTCATTTAAATTATTAATAAACTATTATTGAAGGTTCAGATTACATTGAATTAGTTGAATTAATAAAAATTACATCGATTATTGTTACATAAAATGTTTCTTTTTTTTTTCAGTACGTTCAAATATCTTGTAATGCTCTGAAAAGAACCTACTTTGAAATTATCATAAAATACTACAATTAAAGTTTTTGGAATTTGATTTTTATAGATTAGCTGATATTACTTTTTTATCTTTTAAAATGTATTTGTAGGGTGGATTGAGTTCTAATCATATCACCAATGTCCTGCCTTAAATTGAGGGTTGGTCTCAAATAAATGAATATAAATATCTTCACTTAAAAATAAATTGCTTAATCTTAATAGAATTTACTGATAGTGTTTAAGCAGGGAGTTTACGTTTAACTGAGTTATTGATACTTTGTAGTATGATGAGGCGATTTTTCAAAGAGATTTATTTTGCTGAAAAAATTGTAAAAATCAATAATTGGATTTGATGAATTAATTAAGATAAATTAAATAAAATTAAAATACAATAGATAAAAAATTATTGATATATACCGATAATTTTTTATCAATTTATAAACTCGAGATAAAACAAAGGCAATTTTAAGGTCAATATTTAAAGTGATTAGTGAGCAGGTATTCGAAGTAATGAAATGGGTTTATTGAATACTTCAAATATTAAGTATTAATTATTTTAAATAAACAATAAAAATTATTTTGGCTAAAGGAATATTACATTTAATTGACACTAGAAATTGTAATCTAGATTATTATTAAAACTCTGAAGCTATTAGAATTGTTACTCAAAATTAATTAAGAGAACTTTAATAGAATAAATAAAAAAAATTTAAAAAAATCATTCAGACTGATGAAGTAACGATTAAGCAAAATATACAAATATTTAAAATTTTTAAAATGATCCTTTAGATCAAATTTGTTTGAGATCTAATATCAAATTGATGATTTAAAATACTTTAGAAACAAAATAAATCTGAAAATGAAGTATTAAACTCATTTAAAATTATAAGCTGAAAACTTTTTAAAGTTAATATTCAATGATTTCATACTGAAAATTTAACAGTTTTCAATTTGTCTATTAAAAAAAGAATTATTGATTTTTAAGGTGAAATTTTTATTAAATATTTGATTTTTCTAATAACATTAATATTTTGAGTTAATTGATTATTTTATGAAGTATCTATATAGAACGTGAGAAAAATGTGTAAAATATTTGAAAAATGTAAATATTGTATAATTTATAACGACTATTCTTTACGGCTTCAATAATCAATTTAAATTTGCTGAGTTATTCTCATCCTATAGTTAAATAATTGAAGTTTAGCAAGTTTTTTACTTTTTTGAGCTATTACAAAAAAATAGATTGCAAATATATAGTTTTAATAGAGAAACTCAAATGATAAAACGTAGAAATACCCATCTCATGTGTAAAGATATTTAAGATAATAAAATACTTACAAAAAATTGTTCAAAAAATGAGGATTATAGACAAATATTAATTAAATTTATCGAAGTTGAAGATCGCAATTTTTTTAAATCAATTAATTATTTGCTTCAATTTTTTTTAATGCAAAATAAACAATATATTATTTGTATATTTATGGCGCCAACATGTATTTTTCTGAATTGTTGCAAAAAAAATGTAAAATCAATTTGAGAAGATGTCCAGATTATCTTTCTGTCTAAAATTTTTATTAATAGGTTTGTGTATAAATTACTCATTAAATGCATCCAATTTTTATGAACACGGAACAAGTCTAGAGGGTAGCACTCAATTTAGGGCAGTTGCAATATTGAAGAGTGTTAGATCGTATGCAATAATATTAATTGGGGCTGCTAATTGTTTTAGCGAATACAAAATTGGAGCAATGTCTAAGCATCTTGACATTTTAGCATCTTTAATCAACAATTCAAATGAATCGATTAGTAGAATAAAACCTAGTCTTAGCCAAGAAGAAGAAGAATTGCTTAAAGGAATGAATTGTGTTCCTGAGTTAGAAATATTGTTTGATGATGTATATAAAATTGTAAGAGAATGCTTGACTGAAGGTCTTCGCCCAAATAGAGTCAAACTATTTGAAGAGCTGTTATTTCAAATGCAAATGTCCATATTACCTTGTATTGCTAGTGTTGATACTCATATTACTTTTCCTGGACATTCTTTAGAAGATATTTCAAATTCAATTCAATTAATAATTTCGAGTTCAGCCTATTCAGTAACTAGAATGCTAAAGTTAGCATATTCTGAAAAACCAACTGGGGACGATAGTGAGAAAAAAGAATCGAAGAAAGAAAAAGCAGGCGCAAATAAAAAACTTAGTAATAAAGAATATGAAAAGGCAAGTAAAGATGCTGATTTGAATGCTCATTTACTCTTAGGATGTTGTAAAGATGGAACTTGCGGTTCTCTTGAAAACAAAAGCAGATCCAAAACTAGAAATAAAAAAGGTGGAGGAAGAAAAAAGAGGATGAATGATGTTGGTTTGGATCAAGAAGAAATATCTGAAGCTTGTATAAAAGAAGAAACCCATAAAGAAAGTTGTGCGGTCTCAGATCCTCTTCTTGGGCAACTTGTACAAATTGTGGAATTAGTTATTAATAAACTCAAAGAAATAGCATTTTTAGAAGAAAAACTTCAAGTTTTAGCCTTCAATTATCAAGCAATAATGAGAGAAATTGAGCAAAATTCTGAGATAGCAAAGAATGAAAAATTGAAAGATAGGGTATGCAAGCTACCTAAGGACGTGATCTTTAAAGCCAGAAATGAACAAGAGATTGAAAAATTAAAAAGTGAATACACAAGAAACCTAAAGAAAATGTCTGAATCTTCAATTTGTACATGCACAGGAGAAGATTGTAAAATAATCGTTAATTCAGGATTAAAAGTTTGCTATCATAACTCTAAGAAAATTGAACCATACAAAGAAAATGAAATTTGTTTTATTGATTAATAAATTACATAAATCTGAAAATCGCTCAATGCTGGAAAAAATTCAGGTTGAATTCAAATAATTCTCGATAAAAAATTTTAAAGATTTACCGTTAAGTATCCTTACGAAAATATATATATAATTTGATTGTTTCAAAGATATATTAAAAGAATTAACAAAAAATCCTGGTGATTATTTATTGTGTAGAATTCGTTTTGAACAAACTATAATTTGCAAGACATTTCTAATCTGGTAAAAGCAGATTTTTACCACAGCTAAAAAATCAGTTGGATTTTAAAATAGACATTTCAAGAAATTAAATTCAGAAATTATGCTAAAAAGGGAAATTATATCTCAATTCTAAAAATTCCAAATTTTACATAACATTTACAATAACTGGATTCTTTTCTCCGTCTCGTCGCATGCATATAATTTAGTTGACTGGTTTCTAAAAATAGATTGTTATGATATAAAATGATATGAAGCCTAAAACTGTCTATTTAGGTCTTATTTGTATTACATTTTTTTTTCATTTCAGATTAATTGATAATGCCAACCTGCATAATAATCCAAACAAAATTAGGATCCTCAAAAAGAGTGATTTGGAACAAGTTGAGAGTAAGCTACTATCATCCAATCTTTCAGTTTTTAATCAGCTAAAATGCCTGATTAGACTGTTAGATTTACTTGAATTAATTGATAAAACACTAAATGTGGGAAAACCTGGACAACTCGAAATTCTATTTTCTATTAAGGAAGGAATTGACGCAAAACATAGTGAAATTAAAGATGAATTGTTGAGAAGAAATATTAATTTGTTATCTTGCGCAGATGTAGAATTGATTAAGAGATTTTCAGATTTAAATGTAAAGCTTAATGAATCTTTATATGAAGGCCAGACATTTATTGTAGAATCATTGATAGAATTTCTTGAACTAGTCCGATTATTGGTGACATCAATTACTGATCTTCAACTAGAAACCTTTATTTCGGAAGAGATCTCAACTGAGAATATCAGAGATTTTTTACTATCTCTTTCGGAACATTATTCAAATTTGTTATTATCAATTACAGAACAAAATGATGATGAAAAAGAGAGAGGTGCAGATGAAAATCAATCAGAGAATGCTTCATCTAGTTCTGTGCCTTTAAGTAAAAATCAAGATTCTAAAGCAACTAACAAATTAATTAAAGATAATAAAAATACCGAATTAGAAAGAAATGAAAAAAACAGAAATAGAAAAGAGAAAAAGTCTAAAGCATTTAATCAAAAGGAAGCATATGACGTTGAAGCTTCGTTAAATAAGGCAAAACTAGGTGAAAGTAGTCAAAGAAAGGAAACTTTAGCGGTTAGCCAAAAAAGTATTTCCGGTGGGGTAGAACAAGCACAAGCAAGTGGAGTGGGATCAATTATAACTGAAGTGGGTGATCAAAAAACGCATAATTTCCCCAAAAAGCGTACTAATAAAAAAAAACATTTAAATAATGATGAAAAATCTCGTCACCAACCTGAAAATATTTTGGTACGTCATGCAGAAAATGTTAAATTGGATGAAAGAGGTGGGGCGAAACAAAAGAGAGGTAGAGCAAAAGGTCCTAAAAAAACAGCAGAAACGGGTTCAAGAGCAAGATCAACTTCACCAAAACCTCATAGTTCTAGAGAGCTTCAAGCAAGTTCACGTTTATGGTCAAGAAGTAGATCTGGAAGTAGATCTCGTAGAAGATCCAGAAGCAGATCTGGAGGCAGATCTGAAAGCCATAGTCGTTATACTATAGAAAGGGTTCACTCTTTTGCACAAGAAGTTGGAAATGACATCGGAGAACTGGGCAGCTATTCTCCATTATTTTTAGTTCAGGAAGCAGAAGAAAAATTAACGGAATTATTGAAAGTTGAAGCTGAATTACTCAATTTGTCATTTGAGTTAAAAAACATGTTTCTAAAGATGAATGAAATATCTAGTAGAGTTGAATGTAAAGGGCATAGATTTTCTGCAGTAAGAACTCAAGTTAAAATTTTAAATCAAGGATTAGGCAGATGGGTTCTCGATACTGACTTTGACAGTTTAGATATCAGATATACTATGATGGATGCAGGAAACATCCTTAGTAATATTCCACCATCCGTTGCTGCTAGACAGGGAATTGCTGCAAGAGCATGTTGTTTCAAAGATTGTTGTAAGTTAAATGATCCGTCAGACAAACATATCGTTGGATTTAATAACTGCGACTGCAATAGTTGTGATTGTAATTGCATCTATTGTTCTTCAATTCCGGATAGTTTTAACAAAAAGTCAATTTATGATGTGGATTAATTCAGGAAAATTTGAAAGATGAGTGAAGTTACAAGTTTATTCCTGAGCCTCCATTGAAATATGCATGGTTCTTGTACTCATTCTTAGATACAAGAACTAATTTCTATGTTTATTTTCAGTTTGGATTAATAAAATGTTTAATAAAGCATTAAGAATGTTTTGTGAAAGCCTAAGTATTGATTATTGGAGTTAAACGAGATTTTTGATATCCTAACAGCTTTATTATATTCAAGGACTGATACAGTGGCGGATTTTGTAATTATAAATTCAAGAGTAATATATTGTGTTCCATACTAAAGATATTTGATTAGTCGTAAATTAACTGAAATTCATTAAATTTATTTCGAAAATGCTATTATTTTAAAAATGAAATTTAGAAATGTTTAATAATTTATTTGATTTACGAAGATGTGCGGTACTTATAAACAGAATAAATGAGATCGAATATATAAAATAAAATGATCAAATATGAATAATTAAATATTTAATCTCAAGACTATTATAATAAAGTCAGCAAGATTGATTGTAACTTAATTATTGTTATATTTGAAGTTATAGATATTTACTAGATTTTGAAATAAATAACTAGATCTTTTGATTTTCGTACTGTCAAGAAGGTATGTTGATTCATCACCTTCTAGAATAGTAATGATAGGAATTTGTTAGAATAACTTACGCCTAAAAGATAATGATTGAATTATGATCAACTTGTTTTCATAAATATTTTTACAAACAATTTAAATACTTATAAATTTAGATAAGTCGTCAAATGTAAAATCAAATTAAATTGTTAGTAATAGAAAAAAATTTATTTATAGTTGAATTACAGGAGATACACCAAATTACCAGAATTTAAGGAATTAGATATTGAAAATATCTTGGAATAACATCTTTTGCACACTCTGCGATTAATGAATAAAAAAACTATGTTTTTTTTTAACAAAGGAGAAAATGACTATTCGACAATTCGGCGGGTTGTTATTTTTACATGAAAATCTGTAATGTAATAATTTAATGAAATCTATTTTCAGAACAATGAATGAAAATTTTTGTAAAAGTATTATTCTCTATATTTTTTATTTTATCATTCTTTTTGGTATTGGGTTTAGCAAGTACACCAAACGATAATGACCAAAATACACCAGATAGTAATAGCAATGACTTAACTAAACAATTATCAACAATAATATCTAACGCGTTCGAAAACGAATATTGTATTGAGAACCTCTTAAAATCTCTATTTGTTATTTATGTATTTATATTGAAGTGTAGCGCACTGTTTGATGATAAATTAAGTAAAGAATTATTTTCTCAAGTAAGAGCAATGATAATTTTTGTTGATAAATATTCTACTTATGACGACAAAATAACGATGATAAATCCAACTAAATTACGCAATATTACTTTAATTCTTCAAAACTCGATTGATTTAAATTTATTATATGAACTGGAAGAAGTTTCATTAGCTGGAACAGATCCTTATATACTTTTAAATTCTGAGTATGAGAAGATCAATAAACAATTAACTAAAATTATCAGTTTACTACTAGAGCTAGTTGATAGAACAAATGCTAGACTGAAAAGTGTGGTGAAAAGTGCAATCTTTATTAATAGTAAACTTTCTTTGTTTGTTAAAAGGTCCTTAGATTTATATAGAAAAACATCAGGTGAGAAATACTCCAAATTATATCAACAATCAGAAGATAATCTTCTTTCATTATCTATGAATATATTCAACAGAAAAGATCCTTTTTGTTACGTTAAACAGGTATTGAGTGTTTATGATGAAAAAACTAAAGAAATAAATAAATCAGAAATTAAATTAGGGAAAAAAAATAAATCATCGTGCAAAAGCAAAGAATATAGTTTTAAAATTGAAACAGTAGTGCTCACCACATTAGGAATTGTACTTTTTGCAATCGAAAATTTTTTTTTTAATAATGGTGATGTTCTGGCTAATCTCAAAACTCTGCATACGAGTGTACATACTAAATTGTACAATAAAATATTGGAAGAACCAACGGAACTGCTTATAACGGAAGAAAGGGCTGACTGCATTAAAAAGAAAGTTAGAGATTTCCTGGGTTTTGACACATTAATGGAATCAGACCATTCCGTATTTTCTTTGGGTAAACCATTATCTAAACGTCAAATATTAATAAATTTAAAAAAAATCTTAGATCATTTAAACGTGATATTGCTTTTTTTAAAACAAGAACTCCAGGGTAAAAGTGAAGGTACTCATCTTCATTATCTATTGTATAATCTGATTAATTATTGTGAAGAAACAATTAATATTTTAAATACTAATTTATTAATTTTGGATAATAGTGATCTCAATGTAATTAATTATATCAACAGAATTAGTACAGAATTATTAGCAAACGCAAGAAAATGTAACTGTGAAAACTTAAAAGGACGAAAATCTGAAAAACAAAAATCAAAGAGTAAATATAAAGAAATAACTAGTATTCAATTAGAAACAACATATGTTTCTGATCCTGAGACTTCTAAAAAAGTTGATAGTTCAAGTGGAACAACTGCTGATTCAAGTATAAAGAAGGGCCCAAAAAGTAAAATTGAAAGAAAACAATTGAAAATGGAAATGTTAATGGCCCAAGAAGAAGCTTCAAATAAAAAAGCAACTATAAGCAACATAATCAGAGAGCAAAAAGTTGGTCAAAGAAAGAAGTTAAAAAAAATGAAGATCGAACAACGTTCAAATAAACGAGAAAGACAGAGAGAAAAGGAAGAAGAAGAGAGAAGAAAAGAAAAAGAAGAAGAAGAAAAAAAGAAAAGGGAGAAAATGGAAAGAATTCAATTTCAATGTCTTAAACGTTTGGTAATTAGAATTGAAGAACAATATGAGGCAGTAAATGAAGAACTTGTTAAGAGAGAACGTTTAAAATCATTGTTTTTAAATGTATTCGGTATATTATCCCATATTATCTCCAATAAAACTGGTGATGGTTCGAATTTAGCCTCTGGGAGTGCTGATTCAGATCTACTAGATAAAGAGAAAAACGAATCTAGCTGTAAAGATGTTGCTGCTTATGGTAATACATATGCCATGGGAAGAGACGAAGGTAAAGAAGCGAAAATATGTAAAAGGCATCCTAAGTCTTTAGTGTCTTATAAATTAAAAACGTCTACACAAGATACAATCGCCGATCATAAATCAAAGAGTCGTGAAACCTTCAGTTTCGAAAGCTCAGAAACTACAGAAATTAAAAGCAAAGATGAAGAAGAAGTTAGGAGTGGAAGCAGGAGTAGGAGTAGGAGTAGGAGTGGTATTAGTAGCAGGAGTAGGAAGATTAGTAGGAGTAGTACTAGAAGTAGGAGTCGGAGTAGGAATATGAGAGGAAATAAAACTAATAAAAGAAAGGCATACGAAACGCATACTTCACCTTTAGTGCCTTCTACACTGACACTACTTAAACAAAGCATGGCCGCAGATAATGAATCAAGGAGTGAACCTTGCAGTTCTGAAAGCTTAGAAACTACAAGAAGTGAAAGCAAAGATGAAGAAGAAGTTAGGAGGAGTGGGAGTGGGAGTGGGAGTGGGAGTGGGAGTAGGAGCAGGAGTAGGAGTAGGAGTAGGAGTAGGAGTAGGAGTAGGAGTAGGAGTAGGAGTAGGAGTAGAAGTAGAAGTAGGAGTAGAAGTAGAAGTAGGAATAAGAGTGAGGAGAGTACCAGGAGTGGAAGCAGAGGAGATGATAGAGATAGAAGTGGAGATCGTGGTGATAGTTGTTCATTTCTCCAAGATGAGGGTGAATTCTCAGAATCAAAATTCTTGAAATTGTTTTCAAGTTCTGAATCAAAAAAATCCGGAGAGTTGGATCCAAAAGTAAATAGTAAGAAATCGTTTCTTTTAAATTTTTTTGGTATGCGAGAACTTGATTACTCATATATTTCAGAAGAATCCACTTTGGAAGAAATAGAAATTGCTATTGAAGTAGTTGGTAATGAACTTGAGAGAGTTCATAGTGAAATACTTCCACTTTTAACGGGAGAAGACAGTAATATTATTAAAGAGTATGAATTGTCATATATTAGACAATTTATCAGACTTCTTATTTTGTTAAACAATGTTTTGGAGAAATCTAAATAATCTGCTTACAAATTTCTACATTCATTGAATATTACTACTTATTATTTTCATATTGTCTAAATTTGTTTCATGTATTGTTAAGGGCCAGATGGCATTTTCTGAAAGTAAATTGATGAAATACTAAATATTTATGTCTATAATATCATAATTATTTATTGATGAATATTTAAATGTTTATTTATTCTTTTTTTATGAAGACAAACGCGAGATATTTCAAGTTTACGAAAATTGTTTAGAAAATATAATAAATCTAAGTTCTGCTAATCAATTTCACTAATAATAAAGTAAATATTTATAATTAGCTAAGTTATTAATAGATTAAAGTTTTTAATTAAAAATATTTTCTTATAAACTTTAGTTTCTGTACTATTAATTACGAATATTCAATTAAAATAATAATCGATTTGATAATTCACCTGCTTTGACATTTATTTTTAAAAAAATTTCCAAATTAAAAATTATTTAAATAAATATTAAAATAAAATGTTATAAGGAAAAATGGTAATAATCCTGTGTATAAAAAGTATAAACATGATTAAAATTTCCAACTTTGATAAAAATTTGCATATGAAAAATAATTTTTTGGATTTTTATAATTAACTGTTTTACATTAATTTAACGTTTATGAGATCACACTTTTGTTTAATTCCCATAATTTATATTGGAATCAAATCATCAAACTATTATATGATGCAAATTGCGGCATGGCAATATTCTATGCATAAACAATTTTTCAAGTACTAAAAAGTTATGTATTAAACGGTAGAATGATTTATGAATAAATTGCTTTTTATTTCGAATACATTAATTCTTTTTTTTTAGTGATTTCTTATTTAGATAATCTGTGGGCACCAACTTCACAAAAGATTCGGATAAAAGTGCCACAAAGAATTAGGAATCCAGAAAATAGAAAAATTATCATCGTCCTAGAATGAATATGAGTTGAATTACGTGAAAGAAAAGATAATGAAATGATTATAACTTTATTCGCTCAATTTGTTCCGAATGTTGAGAATGTTAGTGAACAATACAAAAAGAATTAATCAATCTCAAATCTATGATTCACTGAATTGAAATGCATTAATATTATTCACATTGATTTTTAATAATATTTGATATATTAGAAGTCATTTATTTATAATATCGATAAATTTCTTTTTCATCCAATTGTTGGCTAAACAGAATTTGAAAAAAAAATAAGGAAGCATTGCAAAAGATACAGATAACTCAAATTATGATTTAATAAATACAAAATTTGAGCATTAAAAAATCAGAGCATTTTTAAAAAAAAAAAAAGGATCAACAATTGAAGGTTTTTGCTTTTCAATATCAGAAATATTTCCTAGGTTAGAAACAGAAATGAAAACAAACAAAATTCAGAAAAATACTTGGAGCTAATTCAAGAAAAAAAAGAATCTGGCATGGGCAAACATAATTTTATTTCTGCAAGAAACCCTTAGATATAACAATAAAGAAGGCTTGGAAATAGAAGATATATTTTGGCGTGAAATTTGAATTATTCAATTAACTAAAATCTTTGGTTATGTTTTTATATCATTTTTTGACCTGGATTTTTTGGCTATTGCAAATTAAATTTTAGATTATGAATAAAAATTGCATTTTTAATGGAAACAAAATGCACAGAGCTTAATATACCTCAACAAATATCAATAGAGATCAGAAATCAAATCAAAAAATTTCCCAAATTTGATAAAATAAAAAATTTTGACTTGAAAGTTATTTGTAAAAAAGAGCACTATTAAAGGATTACATTTTGAAGATTTTAAAATTCCAGTATAAACTTCTATTAATAATATTTCCAGTACTAAGAAAGAAAAAAAATTAGTTTTACCTATTACTATTTTGAAAAGCTGTTTAAATTGTACTGGAAATATTTGAAATTGTGACAAGTTTACTTGTAACCTTTTCCATATATAAAAAAAATTGATCGAAATGAACTGAGAATAATAAAAAGATAGGCAATTTGATCGATTTTTCAAGTGGAAGTTGATATTTTAAAGAATTAGTTAGAACAAACTTTTATAAGGAAGAAAATGTTAAAGATTCACTTAAAATTTATAAGTGGCTTTCTGATCAAATCAAAATAAGCATTAAAAATAAAAGGGAAACCAAAAAATAGATTTGAAGAACTTCAATGCATTCAGCAGGCTGATAATATTGATTTTAATGAATCAGCTAAAAATAAGAAAGAACTTAGAGGAGAAAAAAATATAGCAAAGGAAATTTTCGAAACGAAAATTCAAATGTAAAGAAAAGTGGTATCAGGAACAGGAGCGAAAGTAAAAACTTGAAATAAAGTGGATATGAACATTCAAATAATAACATTGACTCTAATTCTAGGAATAGTTCACCTAAAGACAACTTAATTCTAATTTGTAAACTAAAAGTGAATAGGTTTGAAAAGCAATTTAAAAAGCTAAAAAAACTTGGAAAAAACCAGGAAAGAGGTGGAACCAGGAAGAAAATTGGAGAAAAAGCTGAAATATTCTAAGCTTGAAAAAAAAGAATGTTTTGAATAGAAAGAAAAAATCAAAATTTAAATTTCCAACTGAATCGGAACCAAGACCAGAACTAGAACCTTTACCTGATGAAAATATTGAACCTCAAATTTACACTGAAAAAATTACAAAAATGATCAGAAAATTATGTTAATTCAAACATAAATCTGAAAACACTTCGAGTATTAAAATTGCCAGAAAAGATTTATATCACTTAGATTGCAGAGAAGACTTTACTTCAGGAGCAATTCTCAAAAATAAGTCTTGTGAAAAAAAATTTTTGGAGCCAAAAGTTAAATATAGAGATGGTAGCTAAAATATCTTCAATATATTCGAAGATAAAGAAAGATATTCTGATAAACCTATTGGAGTGTTACCGGAATCACAATCACAAAATAAATCAAGGTTTTGCTAAAAATCAAGAAGAAAGTCATTCAAAAAAGCAATTCAATTAGAAGTGAAACTTCAATCTGAAATACATGAATTTTGCATTGAAAAAGCCAGTAATTACTCTAAATCAATGAAATTTTTCCCTATATCTGAAAGTAATAGGAGTAATAATAATGAGAAAAAATTAATATTCTTGGAATTTAAATGAAACAATTTTGAAAAATACTTTTATTATTAAAAATTGTCACCCAAAAAAAAAGAATAAAACATAGATTTGATTCAAATAAAAATAGTTTAAAATGCGCGTAATATATTATTTAATAAAAAGTCAAATTAGACCTGAAATCATATAATTTATATAATGCAAATCATAAATTAAAAGATTCACTAAAAATGAAAATCAAACAGAATAGATTCTTCTTTTTATTCCTTTTTGCTTTCTCCATTATAAAAATTAAGGGAGCTGAATTCAATGAAGAAAGTGATTCTAAAGAAATAATAAGTCAAGTTCAGGCAGAAGGTTTAAGTGAAGAAAGTTTAAATTTACTAAGTTCAATTACCAATTTACATGAAAAAAATTTTGCAGCCGAATTGATTGCGAAGTTACTACTTTCTTATTCAATTATCATGCTTAAATTTGTATATTTTTTTAATGATAATGTTCTCTATGAACAACACTTAAGATTGAGAGATATAATTTTCCACACCAACGTACAATCAACTTTTATTGAGAAAGGAATGATGTTAAGCAATGAAAAGTTAGAAAAATTATATCGTAGCTGCTTCTTTTATTTAAAACATGATCTTATTAATCAATTAAATAGAGAATCGAATGAAAATCCATTCGATTTCTTAATGAATGTGATTAGTAATCATAGTGATATATTAAAACAAATCCTGGAATCTCAAAAGGTTCTTGAACATTTAATTTCTCACAATTTAGATTCAACAGTTAAATCAGTAGTTTCAACAATAACTCTTACTGTTTCAGAAATCATAAGTTTGCTAGAAGAATCTATAAATATTTACAAAGGTATGAATAAAAAAGATTTTAGGAAACTCTTTGAATCAAAAAAAGCATCTTTTAATAAAGCTAATATTAATTTTGTAGTCACTAATCAGAAACTAGAAACTCTTGGAAGAATGAGATATGTAGTTAGGAATAAAAATCAATCACCTAGTACATATAATGAATATTCTGAAAACAATGGATGTACTGAAGAGGAAATATTAGAGTTGGAATTGCTTATATCAACATCTATGAAATTATTAGGACTAATATCAACTAATATTTTTTATTTTGATAGAGCAAAATTAACAAAACATTTACAAATAATTGAGAAATGCGCATTTGATATTGCTCAAATGACTACAGATAGGGCTACTGAAATGAATGTTGAAAATTCGGTTATTCTCAAGACAAGGAAAGCTGTAATGGAAAAACTGGAATATGAAAAATTAACGAAACTTGATATTTTGTCTTTCAAGTTTACAAATAAATTGTGCAAACCAGAAGTAATGAATAATTTGAAAGGTCTTTATCATTATTTACTGAGGATGATGGTGATATTAAAAAATTTATTAGAGTCAAATAAATGTGGGGATTATATTAAACGATTATTGGTCCCAGTTATTAGTATTTTTGAAAGCTCAGGAAAAGAGTGTGCAGTTGCCATAAAAACCTATGAAAAAAAAGAAGATTTATCCGTTATACCTTTTGAATTAATTCGAACTCAAAGAGAAGAGAAAATGTCTCAATATAAAAAAATAGTGAATAAACTGGTAGAAAAAGGTAAAGAGAAAATAAAGACAGAAAAAGAAAGACTCGAAAAGTTAGAGTCTGAGAAAAAAGCAAGATTAGAAATGGAGTTATTGGAGCGTAAAAAAAAACAGGAAAAACTCAAAGAAAAAAACAAATCGAAACAAAGAAAATATCCTGAAGCTGAAGATAATGAATCGCATTCGCAAGAAAGGAGACACGATATTGATAAAACAACTGAAACATGCCAAACAAAAAAATCTGTCAGAAGTAAAGCTGAAAGAAGAAGGAAGTTAGCGGAGAGCATTACCAAGTTCGAAGAGGAATCTTTGAAAAAAGAAGAAATCAGAAGAACGGTTATTGATCAAAAATCCGATAAAAATTCAAAAAAAAAAGCGAAAAAAGAAAAAAACAATTTTAGAGAACCATTAAAGGAAGAAGGGGCTAGTAAAGTAAGAAATCAAAATATGAACTATAGTGAATCAGGAAACAATATTAGTCAAGACTTCTCTGATGAATCAAGTAGTGATGTAGAACTTTGTTCATCTATTGCCACAAGAAAGAAAAAAGAGACAAAAGAAGCTGATATAAATAAATACTTATTTCCTGTCCTAAAAATTGTAGAAGAGTCTATTAATGAAAGTAAAACATCGCAGCATTTAAAACAAGATAAAAACGTCGAAGGTGATTGTTCTAATTACTCACCTAGTAAAGGTACTGTTGGAAAAAGACTTGCAAACGAAGAATATAGAACTACCCCATTGGTTCAAAGTACTGTTGAATTATTTGATCAAGATTCTATTTTTGAAACAAGAACCCATCAAAAGGGAACTGAGGGTAAAGGTTTGGGAAGATCATGTTTAGGTGATACTTCTATAGCATCCAAACCTGCTTCAAAGTGCACTAAAGATCCATCTAGCAACCAACAAAGTAAAAAAAACAATGAAACCGAAAATCGAAAATCAAGGTCTAAAACAAAAAAAAGAACAGAAAATATAAAAAGAGCTGTATCTGAATCTAATCCAAGAAATACACAACATTCAAAATTCAAAACTAGATCAAATTCTCTTCCAACACCAAGAACTAGATCCAGATACAGGTCTAGGTCTAGGTCTAGGTCCAGGTCTAGATCTAGACTAAAAATAAATCAATCAAGATCGAACACAAAATTGCATGAGAAACCTAAAGTCTATTTTCATGAAGAATTAAATAAAAAAATGATTTCAGATTTATTATCAAAGTTTATGTTTTTAGAAAAAAAAATACCTCAAACAGTAGAAGATTGTCCCAGGCATAAATCGAAGTTCATTCCTATGTTTTTGGAGGAAAAAGTAACTCAATCAACACCTGGAATTGATATTTTTGGCTTTTTTGGCATTACTAACCTAGATTTCTCACATATTTCAGAAGAATCCACTTTGGAAGAAATCGAATGTTCTATAGAATTATGTAGTGAAGAAATCCTTCGTATTCACACTCATATTTTGCCACTATTGACTGGTCAAGATTTACTTCAAATCAAAACTTTTGAAAAGGAATTGATCAGTAAATTTGTTAAATTACTTATTTTGTTTAATACAAAAAAGGGTGAGTTACGATGAGTCGTTTTGTATTGAGAAACAATTCAAATCATTATATAATATTGTAAAGATGCGCTGTTTATTTCCATTAAAAAATTAATGTTTTTGATGAATTGGTTTTCAAAATAAATTTGATTAGTTATTGGGCCTATTGTTTATATATAGTATAAAGAAATTTCTAGATGATGACTAAATTAATTTGAAATAAATGATGTGAATAAACTTCGGTTTACTAACAATAGAAAAAAAAAAATTAATCACTCTGTTATGTAAAACCATTATCTGAATAGGGCTACTAAGTGATAGTTTTATACCTGTTATTGTCACCTGCTGTAAAATAAAGGGTCAAAGTTATAATGCAGAGAAATACTTGTTTTTTGAATGATTCAAATCAAAAAATCTCAAAACAATATCACTGTTAATATCTTAATTCAAAGTTTTACTGTTTTAATTTTTAATATTAACAAGTTAACTGAATAAGATGATTAAAAGCTCAATAATCAACATATTTTAATAAACAAAAATGAAGTGATTCTCATAGAACTTAAATCTTAGATAAAGTTTTTGTACTCTTAAAATATTTTCAGTTTCAATAATAGTTCAATTACATTAGCAAAAAGTAGTAACTCAAAAGTCGAACCCCAAAAAAAAAGGTCAATAAAAAATCCACTAACATGTAAAATAATTTATTATAAAAAATTGTATTAAACTTTCAAATAATATACTTATTAGGAAATGTCTTTATTTTTACGGTTCAATCTAATTAAAGTATATTGGCGCCTTAACGATCTCAGTCAATAATGTTAATAGAGACCTGCTATCTGCAATATTTCTGAAAAAAAAAAAAATTATGTAATAATGGATAAAAATATTGTTAATGTATGGTAATGTCATAGATAGATGATATAAGAGGTATTAAAGACTATATCAAATGAGCATCAGATTCCCTACTTGCTTTTATCTGTTTTTAATAATTATTAATAATATATTTATACTGTTGGATGGTGCGGCAGTTCCCAATAATGGAGACCCGTTATTACAGAAAGAAGGTACCGATGTTGGCCGTGACTCACAGGTAAAAGCTCAAGGTCTTCCTGGCACTTCTGAATTATTTGCTAAAATTAAAAATTCGGGATTATTGTCTAGTAGATACGAGACAAACTATTTTATGGAAATAACCATCAAATTTTTGGTAAGATATCTATCATTAATCACGAATTTTTCTGCAATATTTGGTGATAGAAGCTATGGTTCTATTCATAAAAAAATAAGTGATATAGCATCTTATTTAGAATCACGTTCCTCTTACTGTAGTGGAAGAAAAATGTTATTTCAGTTTAAGATCGATGAATTATCTCAATATATTAATGAAGTTACAGACATTAAACTTTTTTCTTCACTTTTTACTGATTCAAATCAAATTTCAAAAGAAGTGATTTTTAATATAGCAGGAAACTCAAAAATTCTAGTTGATGCAGTTGTAAAAATTGTGAAAATACTTCGGGAATTATCATCATTAGAAGTTGATTCAAATCTTAAGCATATTTCGGAATTCTTGGGTAAACTTTCTGATGATTGTCTTAGAATGTTTAATAATTGTATTCGTAAATATTCTCGTATGAGTAAATCACAATTTGAAAGCTTGCTTGCATCAAAAATGGGGAAAATTTTCGAGTCAACCCTTTTAGTTAAATTAAATAATGAACTTGATGATTTAACACATATGAAAACTAATTTTGAGAAGATATTCCAACAAATTCAAGCCTATAATCAATTTTTAGAAACAGGAGAGCCCCATTTTACTAGTGCTGAAATAAAAGAGGTGAAAACTATAATTGAAAACTTTTTTGAAAATGGAGGTTTAGATGAAACATTTATATTTAAAAATGAAGAAATTGTACTAATTTCTCTTGAGTTTTTAGGACTTGCTGCCATGAATTTATCTTTATTTGATAAAACGGGCTATTTTATATTAAAAAATGAAGTCGAAGAAGCATGGAAATCAACAATATCAATGATTAATTATAGAGGAACAGAAATCAGATTGTCCCAAAATGTTGTTTTTGCAATTAGGGAACAGATTAGGACATTAATGAGATACCAGGAATTCTTGAAATTAGATTTCACAATAATGAATTTGGATAAATCTCTCATTAAGAGCGAATTATTACATATTGTGAGCCGCTTTTATGAATCGCTACTTAAAACTTTTGAATTTGTAAAAAGAGAGCAATCAAGAAATAATGGTGGAAGGTATCTTAAAACAATATTTAGTAAATTGGATCCAATTTTTGAAAAAGCATTGGATTTTTATAAAGATACAATTTTAAGTCTTGAACAAATTGAAAATAAATCAAAAAAAACGAGTGGAACTGCGATATCTAGAGGTAGCAAAAGAAGCATGGATAGAGTATTAACTAAGAAAATTATTAGTACAAAAAAAAATTCAAAAGTTAAAGATTCTTCAAAAAAAATTAAAAGAATGACTTTTAGGGCTAAAGAAAAGAAATTAAATAAATTGGAGCATATTAAAACAGGTAAAAAAAGGAAAGGAGTAAGCAATATTAAAATTAAGAAGAAAACAGAAAGGAAAATGAGAGCTCGTATTTTATCAGAGATTCCTCAGTTATTGAGTGTTTCAAGAACAATGAAATCTCAATTATATTACTTAAACAGAACAAATCGCATTGAAATTGCTGCTATTGTTGAATCTGTTTTGGAGGTTTTGGCAGAAATACTTTTTTCTGAGGGTTTATCACATAGAGAAAATATATTAGGGGGTGAAGATTCTTCAGTAATCGTTCGTGCTTTAAGAAGCATTGGGGATCAAATTAATTTTGAAACATTACCAAATTCGGGGAATTTTAATGGAAAAACACAAACTTTAAGGCAGTGTCAAACTCAGAATTCAGCCGTAAAATCAGGTGAAAAACAAAAATTAGGGTTAGAAAATGAAGTTAGTCTAAACCCTAGTAAATCTCTAAATAGTAACAAAAACAAAAGAAAAGCATGCGAAACAGTTAGGCCACTGAAGCAAATTGGCCCTACTATAAAATTATTTGGAGAAAAACCAGTTTTTGCAACACAAGGTTCAAAAACTAAAAAATCGGATGTCACTAATACTAAAGCATCCAATCAAAAATCTATTTTTAAAACTCATTCAAAACATTTTGGGAGAAAAACTAAACCAAAGAAAAATATAGATACAAAAACTTCGTCAGTAAATAATATTAAGGCAAAAAAGACAGTATCTAGCAGCAATTCAGATAAACCGCATATAAACACTTCAAAAAAGCTGATGACAAACAGAATGCCACAAAATCAAAATGATTCTACTGTTTATAGCAATTCAATTGAAAATAGATCACTTTTGATGACACCTCCCACATTTTTTGACCGAGAAACGATTCTTAATATGGTTTCTATGTACAATATAAAATTTCTCAACTTCTCTCACATTTCAATAAGGTCATCCAGCGATTGTATTTTACAAGCTGTAAATTTTTGTTATAATGAAATAGGTCACTTATTTTTTGAAATATTTCCATTTATTACAGGTATAGAAAAAATCATTTTAGAACAAATTATAATTCAAATGATTGTATTATTTAAGAATTTAGTATCAATTTTAATTGCAAAAGACAGAAAAAAATCAAAATCATTTAGAAGGGATATCAGATAGAACAGTAAATGTTTGGTTTTTTTTTTATTATTTATATAAACTATTTTATTTAATACTCGAAAATTAAATTTTCACTTTATTTTCTGAATATTTGATTAAATAATAAATCTTTAATACATGAATAAAAATTAATTATCTAACTTGACTCTGCTTTATTAAGCAACATTATATATATATATATATATATATATTTTATTTGAAACAAATTTGTGTATCCACAAACCCATTTTTTAAAAGCCAGTAGTTTTGTTAATAATGTAAAAATCTTTAGGAGGAATCTTAAAATATATTTAAATAATCAAGATTTATTATTTATTTGAAAATAATTTTTATTTCAATATAAAAAAAAAATATGGCCTTTAAACAAACTATAAATCAGCATTCAATAATGTCTGTTTTTTCAATATAATTCAGTTGGAAATAATATATTTATAAAAATAATTTTATCGATTTAATATTTTATTTGAATTAATGCCATGATAAAATTAATATAAATATTTTGAGTTATTTTGAATATCTGCAAGTATTATTGGTTCGAATATTTCTTTATTTTTTATAATAATTTACCTATTTAATGGTATTGCATTGTTATCAAGCTTTAATTGAACTTTTAAATAAAACACAAACAGAATTTTGGGAGCAGACAAAATTACTTTAACAAAATCTTTATTATTTCTTGTTTTAGATATTTTAACTTATTTACTTAGCACTTTTTTTATTGACAAAAGATACAATGGATTATAATAATAAGAAATAAACAAAAAATACCTAGTGTTAAATTTGAGACTGCTGATTAAATTTGCTTGATTAAGCTATCATAAAATTTATGACAATATATTGTTTTTTACATCAAGTTTAATAATATCAATGAAATGACTGTGCGTGAAAGAAAATTTTTGAATAATTTAAATTTTTGATTATCATTTAAGGACAAAATTCGAGAAGATTATTACGATATATTTAGTACAAATTCTTTCATTATAAAATTTAATATTTTGTCTTTATTTTGTTAAAAGACCAACTTGTAACAAAATTGGTAAAAATAAGAAAATAATAAGAAATTTAAAATACAGAATAATAGTATATTGGAAAATAATAAGTTCAATATTTACAAGTACAATATCAATAGATTATCAATGATAAAATTACATTAATGTGAATTTAAAAGAATAAGTGGTATTTTTCTTCGTTAAAAAGTGAATAATTTATACTTGGATAACCAATATAATTAAAAGCGTTAAGAATATATTTTTTTGCAATTTCTATTGATTTCCTATTTTAAAATAAATAAGATTTATGAAGATTTCAAGAAATCTTTGGAATTTTTGCAGAGAGCTGTTAAAATAATATAGCTTTTAGTTTTAAGGATAAATAAGAATCTAAAAATTATGAGTTCAACTATAAAATCAATTGCAGTGTTTTTTATACAAGAGAATAATGAAATGATTTTATGGTTCTCAATAAATATTGAAAATAAACTTTAATTCAATGAAAGGCAAAAACTTTATTTTAATAAATAATATAATTAGTTTAATATACCAGGTTAGATCTGACTAACTTCAAAAATAAAAAAAAATCAATCTAAATTAAAAACTTTATCAAATACAAAACAAGTCACTTTTTAGAATTATATTATTCAAATTTTCTTGATTGATACAGAGTAACTTATTGATAATTATCTAAAAATAAACTTTAAGTTACTGATTTTTAATTTTTGGAAGTACAATAGTTTTTCTAAATACATAAAATCTCATGGAAATTTAAAAAGTTTTTGAAAATATTTTATCTGAGGTTCTGAAAGATCTTTGGAAAAAGACGAATTATTTTGGAGATTTAATATTAAATATCATATTTCATTGAAAATTATGTTGTTTCTATAGGGTGAGTAAATTTCAAGAAAATATATCTATAACTAAATAGATTATTCTTTTAAAAGCTCATAAAATTTTCATTAATAAAATGAATAAAATAGTAAAATCTAAAGAAAAAAGATTAATATCCAACAAATATATTTAAAATAAAAAAAAGTTGAAATCAAAAGTAAAAGATTCAGAAGAAAAGTTTGAAAAAAAGGAAAAGGTTCAAGCATAAATTTAAACAAAAATAGGGATAACCAGCATTTTACTCAATTATATACTCGAGAATTTGTATTTCAAGATGAATTAAAAGAAATATTAAAAATCTGGGTTACAGAAAATAAATCTATTAGATAAAACAGGAAGAAAATTGAATAAAAAAAAAGTTGTGAATCTTTGCAAAATCAAAGGTTTAAATAAAGGGGAAAGTTAACTGTTTTATAATTTAGCAAATGAAATTTTAAAATATGAAAAATAAAAAAAAAAAATGAAAAATTGAAAGAGTTTAAATTAAGAAAGTCTTAATTCTTTTCTTATCTAAGTTATTTTTCACTTGTTAGATCAAATTCTTGAAGATTATAAAGGCCTAAAAGTTTTAGGAATTTTATAAGAGGCTACCCTAACTACACATCATTTCTGACAAAAATTTGAATTCTGGTAGTGCAACTCATTCTCTCAATTCTAAAATAAAAAGGCTGAGAATATACCGAAAATTATTACTGTTTCTACTAAAGAACTTTTTAGAAAAAGTACTGTATTTTGTTTAAAAAACTTGTAGGGCTGTTCCATGAATAGCAATAGAAAGATAAGGGTCAAGTCGAAATCAGGCACTAACACTCTTAAGAAGCCACTTTCTACCAAAGCCAGATACAAAAAAAAAGACGAGGAAATAAACATAAAAGCTATAAATGTGTAACTGGTTCAAAATAATAGATACGACTAAATATTAAAAAAAATGAATGACTGGATGGACAAAGTTTATAAATTTGTTTCATTATATAATCTCTGTGGGTTTAGGGTCTATATAATTTTTTGAAGCCAAAAGGTCATATTTAACGTTTGGTAGTGAACCAAATGATAGAACAGAAAGTGAGTATAATATAAAAGAATTCCTTTGAATTTAATCGTTAGTTGAAAATTTAGTTAATAAAAACTTATATCAACTGCTTAAACTAGTTTAATATGTATTAATTAAATAAATTCATAAGTTTTTGGTTTATTTAATGATACAAATTTACTTTGTTTTTGTATAAGAATCCATTTATTAGAGTTAATTTCACGATTATTAATTACAAATTACAGTGAAATATAGTATCAATCAATGAATTTAGTAACTCAATAGATCATTAAACTCAAGATTTAGGTACAAATTTTTTGAAATTAAGCTCAGTAAGTAACACAGATATTTATATGGAACTAAAATTGATTATCAAAATAAAAATTTTTTTTTCTAATTTATTTTAATGTATTAATTGTAACTAACTGAATTATGGAATTGTTATCATATTTCACTATGAGAGTGTTAAGAATTTTCATATATTTTCTGTCAATTTTGTTTTGATAGATAGTTTAAACAAATTTTATCATTATTTATAGTAACATAAATGACACACATTCTTGAATTGTTTTTTAAAACGGTATACAAAATTTTTTAGATTGGTAACTCATACCGAAATTTTACCGGCATTAATAACAAAAATTTTTAAAATTATAATACCGGCATGTAATTTATGTGTAAAAATTTCGTAGGTATATAAAATATTAATGATAAACATTAAGTAATAAATAATTATTTAGTGCCGGCATGCAATTTATATGTAAAAATTTTAAATTATTTTATATGCCGGTTATAATGTTGTATTACCGAATAAATATTTATGTGGAATACCGGTGTATAATTTACTTTTCAAAAAAATTTAAGTAGACCAAATACCGGTATTGAATATTATTTTACAAATAAAATTATATTATTCTTATATATATATTTTTTTAATATTTTGATGCTAATATGTTGTTTCTTTTCTAATATATTAAATAATTTTATGATAAAATATTAAAGTTAAATTATTGTAATTTATAAAAAAATGATTGACTATATTTTAAACCTAAACTATTAATTTATGTATTAGAATAATGTATGAAATAATTTTGTTTGTAAAAATCATGCATTTAAAGATTTGATTCTTTTTAATAAGCATGCTTAAATAATTGATTAATAGAAAATTTGACATTTTTGTTTTTCAATTTATTCTGAAATATTAAACTATTTTTAAATTAAATATTTGATTGATTTAATGATTAAAGTGAATAAATATAATTTTTATCAGAGAAACCATTTTAATTCTTATGTAATTAAATGCATTTTGGAATTACATTATAAATATTCATTAAGAAACTAAAATAAAGAAAAATGACATCTAATTCAACAAATAAGTAAATAAAATAAAACATTAAATCAGTTATATTTTTATTAAGAGTGTAGTTTTATTTTAGAGAAAATTAATACACAAAATACACACAATTATTACATAAAAACGTCTTTTTTTTTAATTTAAAAAATATATTAAACAAAATTTTAAAATTTTCAGAAAAAGGTTAACTGAGTAATAATAAATAAATATAAAACTTAACTATAATGAATATTCATAATAGATCTTCAACAACAGATTATTCGTGCTACTATGACTTCAGTAATGCGCATGAGTATTACCAGAAATATGATAATAACATGCTGATCAATCAAAATAATTCACAATATCCAAGCTCGATATATAAAAAAGGACTTTCAGCTCAAGGCCCCAATTTTTTGCACAGTAATAAAATGAATCTTTCTACGGTAAAATTAGATATAAATAATAATGCTCCCGCACTTATGAACACACTAATAGAAAAAAACAAGGAAATAAAAAATATGGAAAAAGAACTCAAAATCATCAACGAAAGTAACATATTTCTTAATAATAAGATTGAAATGTTGAAGATTTTGGCTGCAAATTTTGGCGCGACACAAGAAGATATTGAAGCCACAATGTCAACAAATGACGTATTTTGTATTCCAAAGCCATCTGTTAATGTAAATTATCCTCAAACAGATTCATCATGCGAAAATTTACGCGAAAATATTGAAGATGAGCTTGATGATCTGATAATTAGTGACAAGAACATTGTTAAATTTAATATTGATAATCATATTGAACCACTACAAAATGATCCGGACAAAAAGTCAAAGTCTATATCTAAAAGTACTAAAATTAAGCAACAGAATGAAGCAAAAAATGAAAAAACAGTAGATATAGCCTCAAAAAATTTTGAAAGTAGGTCATCAACTCTCTTTAAAAGCACAAAAAGTTTGATTAATAGTATTCAAGCTCAAAAAGAATCTACCAATAAGTACTTAACTGGTACAAGATTTGGCCCATCTGTGAGACAAAAAGCAATAATGCAAGTTTCAGCCAACAAAAGATTGTTATCATCAAAAACAAAAAATATTTAGATTATTTGATTTTATCTACTGCCTTATTATTAGCCTGATTTGTCAGACGACATGCAAGCGCCAACTTATTTTAGTTTGCTGTATTATTTACAAAGAACATATTATTTTAAAATATATATTATTGATAATACAATGTTTAAACATTTCTAAGGGACTACCCATAAATTACTAAAAATATGAGTCAAACGAGAACTTGATCATAAGATTGAGGATCGTGTGTTTAAAAATTTTTAAAAATGTTTTCTTAATGCTCGCACACAGTATATGTCGTAAGTAATGATTTTATGTAGTTTAAACAATTCCTATACAACTTGAAAATATTATGTGAATTAGATACTCACATTTATTAAGCAAGGAATTGGATAAAATTTGTGCTTGTTTATTTGTGAAATAAAACTATAAATATTCCTGGTTAAATAATCAAGAAGCTAAAGAAATATATTTAGTAAACAAAAAAAATGCACTACAATTACAATACAAGCGGAATGATGCAACCTCAAATGCATATGGTGCAGAATAATCAGCAATTTAATGGAATGCATCCTCAAATGGGTGGAGGAGTTGGTTTTCAACAGTTCTATCATGAAAATGGCATTGTAAATAACAACAGAAGCTATGCTGATAATCTGGGCTATCAACAAGGGAACTTCCAAGTTCAACAGCATATGCCTCAATATTCAATGATACAATCTAAACAACAGCAACATCACCAGCAAATGGGAGAGAGGAATGTGGGAAGAGCAAGAGCTCAAACAAGAGGCCCATTTTCAAGAACAGTTGCAAGTAGGTCTACTACTCCTACACCAATGAACAGAACAAGAAATTCAAAATCAAAAGAGTTCTTTCCAAATGAAGAAATTGGAATGCTATGTAGATCATCCGAATATTCAGAACTAAATAGAAATCCATCATTATCTCAAATTGAAAACAATAACTTCAATTGCGAATACAGCAATTATAATGGCTACCAAGATTTTCCTCAGACCCCAACTGTTGAAGGAAGGTCAGAGCAAATTTCTAAGCTAAATATTATGAATCCAGATCAAATAATGGTCCAAAAAATGAATGCTCCTTTGGAACCAACTCCCACTCATGTCGCAAGAATGAATAAAATGAAACTGATGGGATTATTAAACAATAACAATACTTTTATGCCTCAAATGACTCCAACTTCCTCAGGAAAGAATCATTTTGGAATGAGAGATAACCATTTAATTTCACGACAATCATCTTTTCCACCTCATTATCAAGAAAAATATCCACCAAAGTCTACAAGTAATTCAAATAATACACCAGCTGCTTTTAAAGATAGTTCACCAAAAGTACTTGGATCATACGTTTCAAGACAGTTGGAAGAGGAAGTAACAAGGTTGAGATATTTGGTAGATACTCAGACAAAGAAGATTTCAGCGTTAGAAATGAGAAATAAGGAACTTGAGAATGAATTATTATCAAACAGAAATTATCAACAGATGTACCAAAACTTGTTAGAAAAAACTAATTTGAGTAATCAGAATGAGGATGAAAATAAAACTGAAGACAATGAGGAGCAAGTAATTAATGAGAGTTTTGATGAGAGAGATCATACTGAACCAGAATGTAATGTTCAAAAGCAAAAAGCTGCAGCAAATGAAGTGAAGTATTTAAGGCAGTCTACTGAAAAAGGAGCTTCACTGTTTTCAAATATCCATCAATTTTCGGCAGAATCAGCGCTAAGAAAGGCAGGAGTACCTCCCGGTAAACCTTCATATGTTTATAGGCCACCAGGAAATGCTGAAATGATTGACATTAAGCTTGCAGAATTCCATAACTCACGAAGCTCACTTATTAGATGGTCAAAAGTAAGTAACACAATATATCTATTTGGTACAACTCAAGTTCAATTAAGAATTTCAAGAGGAAATCTTCTTGCAAAGCCAGAATCTTCTGAATGGGGAAATGGGAGTTTTTGGCCAATCGAAAAGTTTGTTTCTGTTTTTGAACCAATTGAGAGAGCAAAAATGCCAAACAATTGATTCATTGATTCTAAACCTGCCAATACTTAATTTAATGAGTGAGATTATTATAGTAAATATTATAACTGATTAAGTTGTTAGTATTTCTCATTAGATGAAAAGTTATTTTCAATTTAATAATTTAAATTTTATTGCATTTTTTATATTTTAGAGGCATGCATTAACCAAAGAACTCTTACCGCCAATATTTTTTTTTAAATTTATAATTAAAGTAATATTAATGAAATGTTAAATTATACGTATCAAGCTTTAGAAATAGAATAATTAAAGGATGTTTTCCACTGCAGTAAAACTAGCAAACTTGGATGACTATCTAGAATCCTCTCAAGATTGTATAGTTTCACTTTTATCAGACAAAGATGATTCTAAGCCAAGAATTGCAGTTATGAGGCCTGCAAAAACTGAACATAAAGAGAGTGGTAACAAATCTGAGAATACTGAAAAGGCTACAGTAAATTTAGCAGATTGTCTTGCTTGTAGCGGATGTGTAACTTCTGCAGAAACTAAATTATTACAAGACCAAAATGTCACCAGATTTATGGATCAGATTAAACAAAAAAAAATGACTGTGATATCAATTTCAAATCAGTCATGCTCTTCTTTTGCAAACCAACTAAATTGCGATTTAAATACAATTCAGAGAAAGTTTTCGGGATTATTTAAGCATATTGGGGCAAAATTCGTAATGAATTCAACTATTTCAGAATATATTTCCTTGTTAGAAACAAAATACGAGTTCATTTCAAGATACAAAAAAAATTCAAATCTCCCAATGATTATTTCACACTGTCCAGGGTGGGTTTTCTATTCTGAAAAAAGCTTAGATAATTCTGTTATACCTTTATTGAGTAGGGTCAGATCAGCACAACAATTACAGGGAATTTTGATTAAAACATTGACTCTTGAAATATATAATCAACTGCTATTTCTGTATAAATTTAGATTAATAAATCCCTATCGAATAAGGAGCATTAAATACACCTTTACAAAATATGATGAATTTGTCGATCAAAAAGATATCTTTCATGTCGCTATTATGCCTTGCCATGACAAAAAACTTGAATCAACAAGAAGTTCTCTTTCTATAAAATCACTTGATGAAAATTCCACTTTTCCTGAAGTTGATATAGTATTGGCAACATCAGAAGTTGAGGAATTAATAAATTTGGCAGGATTTAATTCTTTATTGGATGTTCCAGAGGCTCCACTAGACAACCTTTGGCTTAATCAAAGTTTTCAAATAACTAGTAAAAATGATCTATCTCTTCTAATAACTGAAAATAATACAAATAATCAAATATTGAATCAGTTCTGTTGGCTAATTCCTTCATATTATAACTCAAACTCGGGTGGATTCTGCGAGTATATTATAAGGAGTGCTATTAAAGAGCTCAGTGGAGAGGATATTGACAAAAGGATTAAGCTCCCATTTAAAAAGTTAATCAACGATACTTTTGAAGCTGAATATAAAGAAAACAATGTTAAACTAAGATATTGTCTTGCTTATGGATTTAGAGCAATTCAATCTATTTCCAGGAAACTTAATTTGCAAAAAAACGCAAGTCAGCATATTCAGTCTATAGGAGGTATGAGTAATGATGTAAGCTATCATTTAATTGAAGCAATGGCATGCCCAAGCGGATGCATTTCTGGTGGAGGACAGATTCTTTTAAAAAATAATGGAAAAGATGATAGTAGCTTCGAGGTAGAAAATATAAGAAAAAATATCAAATTTATTGATGGCGTTCAGGAAACTTTCTACAAAGGCATTGAATTAAATAGTAATCGAGATATTATATTACCAAATGAAATTCCAATTGTAAATATTTTGTATGATTACTTAATTAAAATAGACAAGCAAATAGATACTAGTTTTGATCCCAAGCTTCCATTTCTTAGGAATGATTTTGTATCTATTGGTGAGATTCCAACAGCATCTTCGTTGAAATGGTAAATATTAATTAAAACATTTAATTTGGCGCCAAATTGTAATTTAGACCAGTAATATTGGCTACAATTGACAGTGTGACAGTGTGGGGTACAATAGTTGAAAGCTCATCCAAAACTTTGAAATTACCGAATAATATTAATTTCCTATATTTCATAAAATTTACTCCTTAAAATAATAATTCAATTCTTCCTCTATCTAAAATATTCTCTGTTTAATGCTCATTAAAAATGACTCTATTGCAAGTAATTAGGAAAACAAAAATGAAGGAGAAGGAAATGAGAATTTTAGTGCTCGGATTGGATAATGCAGGTAAAACCACAGTAGTTAAAAAGTTTGCTGGCGAAGATATTTCCAAAATACAGCCAACACTGGGTTTCAACATTAAAACGCTAATTCATGGTAAGTACAGACTAAATACTTGGGATATTGGTGGTCAGAAAACTATTAGAAGTTACTGGAGAAATTATTTCGAAAGCACAGATGGGATCATTTGGGTTGTTGATTCAACTAATATAGAAAGAATGAATTTTTGTAACGAAGAACTACACAGACTTCTTTCCGAAGAAAGGCTTTCTGGAGCGTCCTTGCTGGTTTTTGCGAATAAACAAGATTTGTCAAATGCATTAAAACCTGAAGAAATAGCACATGTAAGTTTTCATCAAATTTAATTTTGAGAATATAATTTTGTTAGGCACTCGATTTATCCAGCATAAGTAACAGACACTGGAGAATTCAATCTTGTTGTGGACTTGATGGACAAGGTCTTAGTGAAGGAATTGACTGGATTGTAAACGATATAGCTGCAAAAGTATTCTTGTTAGTCAAAGAATCTAATTAATTGATATTTAAAAAAATATCAGTACAAACAATATAAAAATTATAGATGATTAAACTAAGATAAATATTCCGATATTAAGTGGTAATTTACAGTTTGTTATTAGTTATATCAGACATTCTCATGTAAATTTTTAATTTTTTACTGCATTGATTGGAATTCCACTGATAAGGGTTCAGCTTGATATCCTTAGCCATTAAATCGGTATTTTCTTTATATTTAGTGTATAGTCTTTTCATTATAATTTGCTCTCTTTCTCCAAGTCTCTCTGGAATTGAATTATCTTGAAAAGCTGGGGGTAAAGTATTCAATATAACTTCTGGATCTAAAGACTATAAAGATTACAAACAAAAAATGTTGAAAAATTAAAAAAAAATATTTAATAAAGTTACAGAATTCGATTTTGGCTACGATAACTTACTTTAAAATTCTGGTTAATGGTTTTTTTGTTGTCCCAGACAGAACGCAAATTCCTATCTCTTATTTGTTTTTCCAAATCTACATATTTATGTTTATTGCTCTTCGTTCTTCTGCTTACTTTTCTAAGTGTTCTTCTTCTACTTAGTTTAATTGCCATTATATTAAGTAACCGAACACTTCCTTTTCTACTTTATCAATTAATTATTCGTTTCATTCACCTTCCACTTTGACATTTACCTATTTAGGCGCCAAACAACCGGTATAGTTAAAATAGTGATGAATCGGCGCCAAATCATGTAGATTAACCAAATTCCACACAATCATTAAAATTTAAAAATAAAGGAAAACTGGAGATTTAAACAAAGGTATCGCAACAGTACACTTTAATGTTATTAAAATGCCCTCTATATATGGATTAATGAAATTTTTTGTTGGGTTTTGCATTCCAGCATACCATTCAATGTTTGCTTTAAAGACCCAAAATCAACATTTAATTAAAATATGGTTAACATATTTTTCAACTGTAGTCTTTTATGAACTAATTCTATCATTTATTTTTGATCCTATCTTTAGGGTTATAGATCCCAGACTTATATATTTCAAGACTTTATTTGTTATTCTGTATATTTTTCCAGAAACTGGATTTCAGGAATCATATCTCATTTTTTTCAGTAAGTACTTAAACAAATTATGTATTTCAGTTTTCGAATACATTAAGGGAGTTTTATCTTTAAGTCCAGATTTACCTGAGGAAACTTCACTCTCAAACTCTCCAGTTCCATCAATACCTGAAGAAGGAGATATCAAAGGCATAGCAGATTCGAAAGAATCTATTTCAGAGGGTACTACTCTTGCTCCGAGCACTCCAGTAGGAAAGATAAATACAGATTTCATTTTTTCATAGGTAAAAATCTAATTATAATGCACTATAATATGATAATATAAATCCTATTACTAAAGTAGCAGATAGCCCAGAAATTGCTTTGGTTAATTTCAATGTTGACATACTATCAATAAAATTTCTAGATGAGAATGTTGAATTAAAAATAGCTCTTTTTTGAGAAGATATTACAAATTTTTTAATTGTATCTTTAAAGTGACAATTTGATGACTCTAACAAATTCAAATTGCTACTATATTTTTTTAATGTATGATTAAAAAGTGAACAGTTTAAGAATTTTGAAACTCTTTTATTCAAAACCTGTTTTAAGGGTGTCTTTAAATCGATGTAATTGAGGATTAGGCTTTCAATATCCAAAGTAATAACTTTTTCAATATTTGGGAAAAAGAATTCGTTTACATAGACGTGTTTTATATCTATTTTCCCGGACTTATATTTTATTTGGGGAGTAGATTTAAGATGATTTATTGAGTATTTTCCAATCAAGCTAATTATAGGCATTAGCTTATTTCTATTTAAGTTTTTAAAATCTGCCAAACTGAAGTGTGTGAATCTGTCAATTGAAGCCACTCCTAATTCGCTCTTATAATGTTTACTATAGGAGCTCTGACCTAAACTGGAACAACCTATTGCATAAACATCTTCGAGATCCAAGTGATTATGCAGTGTCGATGCCTGGCAAGTCTCTGATATAATAAAGATTTTTTTGAATCTCTTTTGAGTTTTCATTTCTTTTATTGCATTCGAAAGTTCGAGAGATGTCATTTCTTCAAAATCCTGGAACTTCAGAAATCCATCTCCACCATGCCCTGTTAAAAATATAAATATATTCGAATTCTCATCTGAAAGAAGTCTTTTCTTATTTGGAACGCTGATATCGTGTTTGCCTGTTAATACTCTTATAAAGTTTGAAACTGTAACTTCTTCCTCCTTGTAGTCCGTATCCGCACATTCCATTGTTTGCGTATAATTGTTTAAGTTATAAAAGAGATCATAGTCTTCGCTATAAACTCCTCCTGGAATTGAATTTCTAGTGTTACAAGGAATATTTTCTGCCAACATTAAAATAACTCTATCATCTTTGAAGCCGTTTTGTCTCAGAAAATTGTAAAAACTTAATGCATTTGTATTATGCCTATAATTGTGCCAGTATCTGGAAGTTGAAACTATAACTGCCCAATTATTCCGGTTTTTTAATTCAAGAAAAGAAAACTCACATATTTCAGTTTTTGTGAGATATTTCTGAAAAAGGAGTTTCAAATTATATATTAGTACAAGAACAAAAACTTTCAAGACCCTCATATTATAGTTATAGAATTTTCATTATATTTAATGACTATCCTATTATTGAACCATTGCCAAAATTAATTATTATACTAACATGACTACATTCTTTTGCTCATCTTTATTAAGTGGGGAGATTTACCGCCTGTGGTTAATTATTAAGGTAAATGTACTACAAGTAATAAGATGTTTGTGTGATTACAAAAGAATTAGTATATATATTTTTTCAAATTAGAACAGAGGATTATTTAAGTTAATCTTTACTTTTGAATACAATGAAATCCACTAAGAAAGTTGCAGTTTTGCATCTTGATTGTGGAATAGGAGGTGCAGAACAACTAATGGTCTTGGCATCTCTGGCATTACAGAGTTATCAATCTTCCAGTGAAAAAATTGAGTTAACAATGTTTACTTCTCACCATGATAATTCTCACTCATTCTCAGCCACAAATGATGGCAGGATCAAAGTAATAGTCTTTGGGAACTGGATTCCAAGGTCACTTTTTGGCTATGGAACAACATTATTTTCGTATATTAGAATGACATATATTTCTCTTAAAATGTTTTTTTGTGTATTTATGGCATCATTTTCATTTGAGAGAACAAAGAGGTATTATGATGTAATTCTGAATGATCAAGTAAGCGTAATTAATCCCATTTTAAAATTGATGACAAGAAAGTTAATATTTTATTGCCACTATCCAGACCAACTATTGGTTACGAAAAAAGGGGGCTATCTTAGAAATCTATATAGATACTTTATGGATTTTCTAGAGGAATTTGGGATGCGATATTGTGATTACGTATTTGTAAACTCCATTTTTACCAGAAAAGTTTATATAGAAACATTCAAAGGATTGATTATTGATGCAGCTAAATATCCTGTCACTTTGAGCTATCCTGAAGTACTTTATCCTCCTGTAAATCTGGAAGATATTCCTTCAGAAGAAGAATGTGAAAACTGTTTTTCAAATTCAAAAATCCCCCAGCAATTAAACAGAGCACCAAATGTACCATTTTTCTTGTCACTAAATAGATATGAAAGGAAAAAAAATATTGAACTAGCAATTAAATCATTCGCAATACTACGCGAACAATGCAAACTAGGAGAAAAACTATTTCTTGTTATTTCTGGTGGTTATGACAAAAGAGTTAAAGAGAATATTGAGTATTTTGAAGAGCTTCTAAGCCTTGCTAATTCTTATGCTTTTAATGTTTATATTGGGAATGAATGTATTGAATCAACTAATTCTTGTTTCTCAGTTGTTTTTTTAAAAAGTATTTCTGACTCACTTCGTTGGTCTTTACTAAGAAAAGCAATTGGACTTCTTTACACTCCTGAAGATGAACATTTTGGTATGGTTCCATGTGAAGCCATGTCTGTGGGTACTTCCGTTATTGCATGCAACTCTGGCGGGCCCACAGAAACTATAATTAATGGAAAAACAGGCTTTCTTTGCGAACCAAATCCAGAAAGTTTTGCAAATAGGATGAGCGAGCTCATTAAGATAAATAAGGATAATATAGAGAGTTCTGTCTGGAGCAGTTTATGTAAAGAGAGGATTGCTGCATTATTTAGCCAGGATATTTTTCAAAAGAGACTTTGTGAAGTAGCCTACTCAAAACTAGAAGCAAAGCCAATGGCATTCAAAAAAACAAAATATCTGTAACATTTGAAAGTAAATCTACGCAATTTTAGAATCTAATATAAAAATTTATATGTAAAATTTAACGGTTCAGTATTCTTTCGATTAAAACAATATATGAGGAAATAAACGAGCTTGAGTAAGGCATAACCTCGCAAATGGACCTTTTCTGTACTTTAGTTAAAGTACTTCTAATTTTTTCATATATAATTTTTTTAATGTTTGCATTGTGGTTAGTTGAACTCAGTGAAAATAAGCATCGCCCTATTAGTTTACACAATATTATTAATGTATCATCTTCTAAATTTATTCTGATTTTTGACTCATTTCCAGAGATCTCTCTTTTTTCAAAATTTATAGATGTGAGATCAATAGGTATTAGTTCTTGATTTGAAAGAGAACTACAAAGCCCCAAGATGATCCAAATATAAGTTAAGGTATTATTGAAATTTAATTTATAGATGATTAGAATGCAGATTTGCACAAGAATGGTTTGGTCTTTGTGGCCTATAGGGGAATTGAAATGATTATCTCTATCGAAATTTTCAACAAAATTGACGAACTTGTGTTTCTTCTCTAACTCTCTATTTTGCTTAAATAATTTTAATTTATTAGCACCTAAAATGGCTGATGAGCTCAAATCGTCCTCATGTAAATATAGATTAAAAGAATCTGAATTCAATAAATCAACATTTCGACTACAAATCCTTAATAGAATCTGTTCAATTCCATCGTACTCAGGTCTCAAAATTGAATTATCTAAGTCATCAGAGCTTAGGTGACATTTTGGAATTGATGATACAGTACAGAGAGCTCTGGTTAAATAAATCCATAGAAGTATAGCTAGAATAGGAGACAAAACACTTTCCATAATATTCCTACTTCCTGTAAGTAGTCTATCTATTAATAACAGTCTCTTATCACATTTATCGCCTTTACTAAGTATTAATGCTTGTGCAAGTGTAGAGAAAAATTTATTTGATTTTTCTTCATTTGAAACCAAATTAGTAACCATCTTCAAAAAATCTGTACCATCCAGGTTTAATAGCTCCTTAGAAAATTCTAGGCACATCCTCCTCTTATCATCCATGGTTTCATTTGCACGGTTTGCATAAATGTTATCAATTAATCCCAATATAGTTGTGCTCATTTGAATATTAAAAATATCAAATTTAATCAAGAATCATTTCATGAAATAACCAAATATAAGATGCAATCTACTTATAAAAAAGTTAAAGATGCAAACATAATGGTGCAAATAGCACCTTTTTAACTAAAAATAATTTTTAACAAGAAAATCAAGTGTGGCGCCACCCCACAGATGTAAAAATTGTTACAATATTCAAAGTAATATAATAATTAAAGAAAATATTTGAAAACTTTCTAATCACCTTGGAATCATTAAATATCTAAACACCTAATTAGCTATTGATTTGATTGTTTTCTTATTATCCGATGGGATCTTGTTTTTTGACCTCAAAACTTTGAGTTTTCTCTCACGAACCTCTTGATTTTTCTCGTTGAATCCAATTTCTTCCAATAATAACAGTGCTTTTTGCTGGGCAATAGTGACCCTATTCATATTTTTCAGTACTTCATTTTCATCGAGCTTCAAAAGCTCCATTTCTTTCTTCATTTTACCTTCAAATTCATATACATATGGTACGTCATGTTCTGTTACAAAAGAAAGAGAAATACCAGATTTATCTGCACGACCAACTCTACCAATTCTGTGAATATAATCTTCGAAGGATCTTGGGAAATCATAATTAATGACAAATTCAACGTCAGGTACATCCAAACCTCTTGCAGCAACACCAGTAGCTACCAACAATTTGCTTGTTTTGCTCCTAAACTTTCCGAGAGAAGCAAGTCTTCTTCTTTGATTCATCAAACTATGCAATCCAGTAACAGAATAACCCATTATTTCTAAACAGCTTGTTAGCATTTGGCACTGTTGTTTCGTGGCTGTAAAAATTATTCCCTGTTTAATTATCTTATTCTGATCTATTACTTGTTCTTTGTTTTTTTTAAATTTTTTATTGTTTCTGACACCAAACGTTACATTTTCGTCAACATCCTCCTGGGATTCCTCGAAAAAAGTTGAATTTTTCTCAAATTTTGCCTTATCTACAGAATCGATATTGAAGAAGTGAACATTTGATAAAATGTGATGTAAATAAACAAGTCTAACTCTATGATTCAAAAATAAATACATCTGTCTAATCTTCTCAACTGGTGAATCATCCGGGTTTTCATTAATTATTATCATCGGAAGCTCTTGTGGTTTCTTTTTTTTCAGGTCTCCTTCTTTAGCAGTAACAGAATAATTATTCGCAATCTCTTTAATAGCATTTGTTAAAGTAGCAGAGAAGAGTAAAGTTTGACGCCCAGTATATGACTTTGGGAGAACAGACAATATAGGAAACATATCATCTTCAAGAGATTCACTTAATAATCTATCAGCCTCATCCAATACAAGAAATCTCAAATTTTTCATTAAATCGCTTATATTACTCCCAGGGTAGGAAATTATTGATGTCAGCCTTCCTGGGGTTCCTATTAATATATGGGGTCTTTTTTGATTTAGTATGTGTATCTGTTCAGATTCGTCAAATCCGCCGGTCAACACCTGACAATTTGCATTTACCTTATTACCAAAAACCTGAAATTGATCTAATACCTGATATGATAATTCTCTTGAAGGTACCAAAACCAAACCAAACACTGAAAATGGATCTTCTGCCAGAATTTGTAGTATCGGTAAGCAATAGCATAAAGTCTTTCCACTCCCAGTTGGAGCATTTCCTACAACATTCCTTCCTTTTAATATATATGGAATACTTTTGGACTGAATTGTAGTTGGAGTTTGTATTTTTAACAAGTCACATGTATCTTGGACCCACTTATGAAGTCCTAATTTTAAAAATTCCATTTCTCCATAATGATTAATAAAACTCAGCAAAATTTGTTTTTTTATTAATAAATCTATTTTCTCTTGACAATTTGACTTTCAAAAAACTGGTGGCGCCTATTTTATGAATAATTAAGATGTAAAAAATAATTTGATACTCTTACATGTTAGATAATAAAATTATTTTCAACAATTTATAATAAAGAATAAATACTGATTCAGCTTGAAAATAACTCTTATCAAAGACGTATTTACAAAATTTTGCAATTTAAATTTACATAGACAATTATGTCTTATTTTTTTAAGAATTTAGGAGCTCCTATGCTCCAGCTAGACTTATTTGTTTTGGAGAACTGGCTAATATTACTAGCGCTACATAGCACTTGGCCAAACACCCAATTTTCTTCAAATTTAATCCCGGTTGCCTTTCTTCCATAAATCTCAATTATACAGCTCTTTTGGCTTTTAACATCATTAATTACAAAGTTGTTCAAACCGATAGAGTATGAGTTTAATTTGTTGTATATCTTAAGGTTTAGTTCACTGTTTAGAAAATTACAATCACAGAAAATAGTTCTACCCATAACTGTTTTTCTAGTTCCACAGCTATACCCTTTTAAAATTGCATACTTATTTAGAATTGTAAATAACTGCAACAATCTGAATTCAGGTATTATTGCCCCATATGTATTTAAGTTCAAGCTTAACTTAACATTAAATTTAGACCTCACTTCATCTTCAATCAATATTTTGACAACTGAATAATTTTCTCCACTCATGATTTCATTTTCATTTTTTAAATAATCTTTTGTGTTGCTATTATAAATTGCAAAAATTAGAGAATCTTCATTTTTATTTACTTGGTTTTTATCAAAAAGTCGATTACATTCAAAAGACATAATATACCTACCTTCAGAAGGTTCGATTACTTTTGAAGTTGTTTCGAAAATACCAACTCCTTGGATAGAGTTGTCATTTAATCCAACTATTCCATCTATTTTATTTTCAATTATGAATTCGTACATATTTTGGGAAACCAATTTAGATTTAAAAAATGGAACCTCAATCTGGAGTTCTGAAACTTTGATTTTAGAATGCAGACTTTTTTGTAGTATCTTAGTTTTATCTCTACTACCTAATAAATGACATTTGCTATTATTTTTGAAACTATTTTTTATCAAAGCATTACTATCCCAAATCCACAACCCAATTTTTGAAAAGTTTAACATGAGTCTAATTATATTGCCATTTTCCAACTTAATTTTCAAAGTTCGAATGATGACCTTTTGTTTTTCTCTATTTTCCAAATTTGTTTTTTCTTGGCAAAATAAAACATTTTGGGTATTATTAATCTTTTTTAAACCCGTGATATTATCAACTAATATTACTGGGTTATTCAGTAGATTAAAAATATCTTCATCTATTTTACAAAACTTAGACTCTATATTATAATTCATTATATTACTGAAAATCTCACCATTTTTCCCACTCCTTTTTTTCAAATGTAATAATGTTTGCATTAAAAAACCGTATTTGTAGCTTTCTAAACTATTATGATTTTCAAAGAAGTGCCAAGATGGTGGGAACTCTATTCCATCAAGGACCACTGGCGAATTCAGACAATATGCTCTTAATATTAATAAAACTAAGGTCAAGAATAATAAACTCATTTATCAACAAGAATAATAAATTATTGATTTTTCAAAAAACTACTCAACTCATATTAAATAATTTAAAAGTAAATTTTAAAATAAAAATGTAATTTGTATGGGTTTTTTTTTATCACTTTTACCTAATTTATCCTCTATTTCTCGAGATCAATTCACAACTTTATAATAAAATGAGTTTTGCATGCAAATCATTAAACTGTACAAAAAACGAATAGGCAGCCTAAAGCAAATCAAATAATATTCCATAGTTAAAATCAAGTTTCAAAATTAACAATTACTTTTGAAATATCGATAATTACCTCACATTTTTATTTGTGATAATTTTAATATGTTAAGATCAATTTAATATTGGCGCCAAAATTCTATTGCACAATTAAAATATTCAAGTATATTACTACTTAACTTTTTTTCCATAATGGGGAGGAAGAAGAGGAAGGTTGCCGAAATCAAACCCTTTTGTTATTATTGCAACCGTGAATTTGGGGATGAAAAGGTTTTGAAACAACACCAAAAGGTGAGACACTTAAAGTGTTTACATTGCAGTAGAAAGCTTTCAACTGTTTCTGGTTTGATTGTTCATATGTTACAAGTAAGTTAAGACGCAAAATCTCCCAAAATTGTTTGTTTAATTAGATTATTTACTCTTTCTGACTCTTCAGGTACACAAAGAGACTTTATCTAGAATTCCAAATGCCATTCCTGGACGTGACATTCCAGATATTGTCATTAATGGTATGAAAGGAGTACCTTCTGAATTGATAGAAGAGAGAATAAAGGAACAAAATGTAGAAATAGATATCCAAAAAGACATTAAAAGTTATAATCCTCATGGAAATAAAATGATGGCATTAATGAACGATGTTGCAAAAGAATTTGTGAAAGAACATAGTAAGTTGAAATCTAATAATTATCAGAAATCCCAAATTTCTAAAATTAACTTTCAGATCTGGGAGATATACGTGTTCCAGGAATGTATGGAGGGCCGGAATTCATCTTCGGAGCAATGCTTCCCTTTCCAAATCAAAAACCAATCCCAGGTGTAATGGTTCAGAGAGAGTTTGATAATTCAGGAAAGGCACAAAAAAATTACGAACTCATAATGATCTTCGAAGATTCAGACACTTCGCCAGAAGAATTATACGCATCAACACTATTTTCTTACAAGATAATTAAAAAGCATGTACCTATTAATATTTCACTTATAAAAAAATAATTAGCTAGATTTCTTCAAATGAGATTTTTGAAGTTCCCATATTTTATCTGTAAATCTTTTGTCTAATAAACTTTGTATTGCTTCTGCAACACTTGGAGTATAGTATATGAGATAGAAAAATAAAAGTTCATGGCCTTTTGCAATCCAAGCTTCATCTAAGAGATTTGTAGTTGCTTTAATCATCAAATCTGAACATTTTTCTGATGTCATTCCTTTCAATTTGTGAGCTCCAGTATTTAAAGATCCGTCATATAGGACATTTCTAGAGTCGAAATCAGTTTGAACGTGCCCTGGATAAATATTGGTGATAACTATGTTGGGGCTATCGAGACAAATTGCCGAAGAAACGTTTTCCTTCTTGTCATCGGAATAGTTGTACTCCAAATATTCATCCCAATTAGTGTAATTAAGTTCTTTTCTCAATGCTTGGAAAAATGAAAGACAAGCTCTTTTGCTTGCTCCATATGCACATCTACCAGGTAATACTACATAAGACTGAATGCTAAGAGTGTTTATTAAATGCCCTGATCTTTGTGGAATAAAACATTTAGAGAGGACTTGCTTAGAAATTTTCATGCTACCTAAAGAGTTGATCATCATAACTTTCTCATCAGACTCAAAGCTACCTATGATTGCTCTTTGGCCAATTCCTGCATTGTTATATAATATATCAATCTGCCCCTTCCAATTCTTAGCCTCATCAACTTTTGAATCAATGACATCTAAGTCACCAAGATCAAAATCTAAGACTAGAATATTACTTTCCGGGAATTTGAACTTCTCAACCATCTCGTTCTTTATTTGGTTGAGCTGATGAATATTCCTACTTGTTAGGATTAAAGACAGTGTAATATTACTTTCATTTGAAAGCTTTGCTAATCCCAAGGCTAAAGCCTTACCAATACCTGAAGACGCTCCTGTAATCCAAACTACTTTATCATTGAAATATTTAGGAGAAATATCATCACTCAAGCAACCCAAATTAAAGTCAGAATACTTAGAAATCAAAGTGACGAGCAGACCCCAAGCAAGTGCTGGAACTGCAATAAATGCACTAAGAATCAAACCATAAACATTCAAAATCTTTCGAAATAACCTTCTCATTTCAATAATAAAAAATATAATTAAAAAATTAAGAATCTTAATTAATTTTATTTCTGTTCATGCACATACAAATAATTGTAATCGAAGGCGCGCAAATATGGCGCCAAAATATTTTAATGTGAACACAAGTAATAGATAATAATAAATTGAATGTAATGGAGCAAATAAAAGTAACAGTAAAGTGGAACGTAAAAACGTTTGAAGATGTTGATCTTGTTCTTTCAGCCCCCCTTTCTGAGTTCAGAGAGAGGTTAAGTAATTTGACAGGGGTACCTGCTTCGAAGCAAAAGTTAATGTCCCAAAGAGGTGTATTAAGAGATGGGATGGATTTGAACAAACTAGGATTGAAGCCTGGATCAAAGATAGTTCTTGTGGGAACTGCAGAAGGAGGTGAGCTGAAAGTTCCATCAGAGAAGGCAATATTTTTCGAAGATTTAACTTCAGATGAAAGAGCAAAAATCTTGCAAGAAAAACAAATTGCACCTCTACCAGTGGGTTTGGAAAATTTAGGAAATACATGTTATTTAAATTCAATAATTCATATGCTAAGAAGTATCCCTAGTTTTTTACAGATTTTGAGAAATAGTCATTTTAATTTGTCTGAAGGAACAGGTTCGAGTTCAGGAAGCTCAACTACAATTAAATTTCTCAATTCATTTAAACAATTAATGGATAAAATGGACGGGAGTGTTGAAAGTGTGGTTCCAGGAGATTGTGTTGATTTATTTAGACGCCAATTCCCACAATATAGTACAACAACAGGAGGAACTTTTGCAATGTACCAACAGCAAGATGCTGAAGAGGTCTTGGGAAGTTTGTTAACATTGTTTAAAAGTGAGCTAAATGGAAAAGATGAGGATGATCAAACAATAGGTGATATTTTCCGTTTTAGAATGAAGACTAAGTTTAAGAATATTACATCAGAAACTGACGAGGAAGTTAAAATGGAAGATAACTATAAGCTAATGTGCCATATGGGAACTCAATTGAATCCTGTAGATTTCTTAACTCAGGGTATTAAGCTTTCATTAGATGAGAAGGTTGAGAAGAAATCTTCTGAGACAGGAGTTGATTCTATCTATCAGAAAACTTCAGAAATAGATTCTTTACCACCATATTTACTTGTACAACTTGTACGCTTTGAATGGAAGAAGTCTAGTGAAATTGCAAGAACTGAAGCTACTAGAGCAAAGGTGTGTAGAAAAATAGAGTTCTCCCAGAATTTGGATCTTTACGAGTTTTGTTCTGAGGACCTGAAAAGGATTCTCAATATTGGGAGAGATATTTCAGAGAAAAAAAAAAGCAAATCCATAGAAAAACCTGATCAAGTCGAACAGAAAATGGATACTGAGTTATATACAGACTGCCCTACAGGAGTATATGAGCTCGAATGTATAGTTACTCATCAAGGCCGTACTGCAGATAGCGGGCATTACGTTGCTTGGAGATACTGTCCGGATGATCGTGAATACATCATTAAATTCGATGATGATAAAGTCTCAAGAATAAAGGCTAAGGATGCAGATCTCTCAGGTGGTAGATCTGACTACCACATAGCCGTAATGCTCTTATACAAGAAAACAATAATTAAAGTTTCGGAAGAGGAGATGGCCACATTATTAAGTTAGTAGGTAGGCAATTCGTAGATAATAAGAAAAAAACTTAGAAACTATCATTAAGTACTTCGATTCTAAATCATCGTTGAACTCTATGGGTTCATTTCCTGATTTATCTGGAGAAGCTAAGCATTTGTTTTTCGTTTAATAGACGATTCAAACATGCATCACTTTCTCCTCTCTGTCTAACAGCTCCAGAAATTGCGAGACTAACGAACTGGCCAGTTGCAACTCCTTCATCATCAACTAAGGCAACGTCGATTTGAACAGCTCCATGCTCCTTTGATGAAATTAATCTCTTGGTTGCTGAGCACTTTCTTGGGATATATAAATCAACAATCTTTCCTTCAATGTTCTAAAAACAAAAATGTAAAGTTAGACGATTCATCTTTGCAGATTAGTGAATCCACGAAGAAAGCCTAAGTGAAAACACGAAAGCAATAATACTTACCTGCATTATCACAAAATATATAGAATAGTAAATCAGCGTTTCTGAAATCTTAATTCGCCTCTTTTGAAGTCTTTTATTATGTCGCCAAATTGATTATTTCTCTTTAAGCTTTTGCTTCAATATGAATAATCATTTTTAAATATTTATTTTAGAGACAAAAAAATTTGTCTCGTCGCGTTAGCGCCCCAAATGGTACCAGTATTGTTTCCCAATTTGGCGCCAAAATGGTGTCAAAAAAATACATGCATGCATTGAAAAAAGTTAATTAGAATATACTATCTAATAAATAACTTGATTACAGATGATTTAGCATCTAACTTAAATAGCAAGTAATTCTGGCCTCATTTATTTACTTCGTTTTGAACCAACATGTCATATAATGTGGCAATTTCTTTTTTGTAAATTCTATCATCATTATTTGGGTCAGGAGTTTCAAGTATTAAAGGGATATCGTTAAATCTTGAATCGTTCATGATAAACTTAAAACATTCCATACCAATATTACCCTTTCCCAAATTTTCATGTCTGTCTAAGCCAGATTTGAACTGCCCTTTTGAATCATTTAAATGCATTGCCTTTAAATATTTAAGTCCAATTACATCTTCGAATTCTACCATCACTTTACTAAAGCTTTCTGCTGTTCTAACATCATATCCTGCTGCAAAAAGGTGGCATGTATCGAGGCAAACTCCAACACGGCTTTTATCTTTAACTTTATCGATTATCTCAGCAAGCTCTTTAAATTTGTAACCAACACATTTAGATTCTGCGCAGTTTTCCAAAACAGTAATCACTGAGTGAGTCTGTTGGTGAGCTTTATTAATGCAGTCCGAAATAAATTTAATGGATTCTTCTTTAGTGCACTGCCCAACAGTAGACCCGGGATGAAAATTGTAAAGTTTAATTCCCAATGCATCACATCTTTTGAGCTCGTCTTCAAATGCTATGTACATTTTACTTCTTTTCTCTTCATCCGGGTTTCCCAAATTTATCAAATAAGAGCCATGTGGAATACAAAACTTATGATAATCAATCTCATTAATTTCACAATTTTTTTTAAAAAGGTCAATTGTTGTTTGCTTCAAGGGAGGAGCATTCCATCCACGAGATGGTTTAAGAAACATAGAAAATGCTGTCCCTGCTATATTTACTGAATTATTCACGGATTTATCTACTCCTCCTGATGCACTAACGTGAGCTCCCACAAATTTTCGATATTTCTTTGCTAGCTCTTTGTGACCCTCAAATGTGTGATCTAAATCATCTCTTATTTTTAACTCAGCCTTAGTAACTGATGAAAATATGTCCAACTTTGCCTGCTTCAGATTTTTGCCATGCTTATCTTCAACTTTCTCTTCCTTAATTACTCTCTTAGACGACTTTTTAGGAGAATTTGGCATTTTATACTCAGCTAGTATAATTCTAAAAGAGGACCTTTGATTTATACCGAAATTTTTAAAAAACTATACTTAAAAATTCAAAGTCTTATATTCCCTTAATTAAAATTACTAAACTTTAAAATTAGGCGCGGTAAATACTTAATGTATTCACATGCATGCAAATCAAAACGAAAATAAAACCAATTGAAATTTTTAAGATTACAAACTCCCTAAATTGTTTAACTCTTATTTTAGTTATAACTGTGCCAATCGACTATATAATTATGTTTCAATGTTAAAAATATCAACAATATCGTTTAAATCTGAGAATTTCTGGGAATTCTTATAATTCCAATATTCATGCGTAAACTCCCATTCATACTCAACGACATCTTTAGATACAGAACTATGCTTAGCATTTAGAACAGATGATGATAATTTCTTTCCTTTAGTGAACCATCTTGGTACAGCGGAAGTTCCATTCTTTTCTCTCTTTCTTTGTTTTTCTTCTAGCAGCCCTTTAATAATTTGAGCCCCATCAACATCTCCAGATTCGTATAATCTTTGGTCAGGTCTAAATCTACTGTCTGTTATTGGCATATTTGCGCCTTTTTCTGGATTATAATCATCTGATATTTCATTCAATTCAAGAGCCATGTATGTTAGGAAGAAATTTCGTGAATTATCTCCATCATGAGGATGTGGGTTACACCTCCAAACAACGTTTGACTTAGAATATGGGTGATATGACCCACTTTGAGAATTCAATGAGGAAATTTGGATTTCATAGTCTGATTGCCCTTCGATGCAAAACAATCTCTGATTATTTTCATTATAAACTGAACCGGTTACAATATTTCGTCTTTTGCTACGCTTTGCTTTTTCTAAGTTACTATTATATCTATCCCATGAATGTGAATTATTCGAATCTGTGAAAAATGAAGTCTTCCCTTTATAGCCATGATTATTTGATGTTACATTAATATCTCCCAACCATTCTAACCATGTAGTACCAAAAATAATGTTGTGAATAATACAATTTGGGCGTTCCCAAGAGTATTCCTCCTCTCCATCAACAGTCTTAATCTTTAAATGAACAGTTCCTTGAGGAAGAATAGATAGACTATTTGGCCCAAATGACATAATAGACCAAATTGTTCCCCAATAAACCCAACTACCGTCATCAGATTCCGCATAATATGCTGCAACTGGGGGGTGATGCATAACTTGTTCTGCAATAAATTTGAATCCTCTATGAGTTAATTCAAAAGTTTCTCCAAGCAGAGGGTTGAATGGCTTTGATAATCTCAAAAATGTTGAAGAAATTGCAGATGATGCAAATACTGTTACATATGCAACTCTTTCATCAATATATTTTGAATTACATGCTTTTTCTAGCAGATTATGGTATTCTAAATCCTCAGAAATTCTTTGTACAAAAGATAAAGGCTCGTTTAAACATATAGGCATAGATATCCTCGAAAGATCTTTTCCGAAAACTTGCCTCATCATGGATAGAAGAGAGAATCTTGACGATGTCTTTGGAACAGGAAGATCCTTCCTCCTAATAATTTTAAAAGATTCCTTTTTTTCTGTATCTTCATTTTCCATACAAGTTTTTGATGAATTTAATCTTTCAACAGATAAATCATCTTCACTTTCTTTAATACTAACAAAGCTTTCCTCACTATTTGTTTTCATCACTTTTATATATTCAATGGGCCTATTATTGTTATTTGATGCTATAATAGAAGATGAACAAGTTAAATTATCTATTTCTTCAATTTCGGTTTCTCTACTAACTAAGTTAACTTCTTTGATCAAATTTGATGAGCTTAAAGATTTTGAGCGTCTCTCGACAGTATTTGTTTCAATTTCTAGATTTTTTAACAGACTATTGTTATGTTCGTTTACATCCAATTCTTGAGTTCTATCTATACCTCTTTCAAGTGTTTCTTCTGTTCTAAATCCTTTGGGTTTTCTATGAACATATCTCAATATTTTTTTTCGAATTCTGTTCATATGATTTGCCTCCACACTAAAATTCGAATTTCTTCTATTAAATAGAAGTCAAATGAATCCTTATATTATCGATTTAACAATAATTAAGAATTTAACGGAAAACTTTCATTACTTGAAGCAGAAATTTTCTCAAAGATTAATTTGCTAAAATGAATTTATTTTCTGTTTCAATTATTTTAAATATAATCAATGATCAGTTGCTTTCTTTCAAGTATCAATATGGCTCCTTTGTAATTTTCAAAGAATTCACAGATAGTTAACACATAAAAAAAAATTTCCAAAGTTTATTATGCTTTGATATTTTTTTAAAATCTTTTATTCCTACCAATCAATTTTTACTTTATTTCACATTGACAATATTTTTACAACCTTTAATTTTTTCCCCGCCAAAACAAGTCCCTTTGCACATTTACATGTAATAGACAAATACAGATAAAAAACAAAATTGTATATTTTGGAAATCAAAAATTGAAAAATCTTGACGGATATTGCATTAGTTTGACTATTCATTTCTTCTTCTTGAAGAGATGATATGTAATTTTATTTTCTAAGAAAATGTCTTAAAATAAACATCTACTCTCTTAAATCCAAAAACATACAATTTAACTACAACACTTTGAAACTTAATTTTATCACGAAAATTTAAAAATTTTATGAATAGAATTAAATTATTTAGCTTGCATGCAAATTAAGAAAACATGCGTGTATTACCGTTAGAATTTAAAATTTTAATATTTAAATAAAAGAATTTAAATTATCATAACTAGATTCTGAAACGAATTGTTTTTCTTCATCAAGCATAGGGAATGCCTAGAGATGATGAACTAAAGCTCCGTCCCAATCTCTAGGCTACGTATTAAAGCTAGAAACATCAAGCTTCAGTTTATTAGGAAATGATTTTTATAATAATGGGAATTAATATTTATTGGAAAGTAGACAATGACAATTAGATTGAATAAAAAAACAATACTGAAATTATTAAATCATATATTAGTCTGCCTTCCAGTAGAAAGGTTGGTATTATAACACAGACGAATAATAACTCAACACACTTTGCTCCTAATGTTTTTATGAATATAAATCATCAGCATCATCATCAATGGGAGCAGAGTATTGAGCATGGGTTGAATCTGGCCAGTCAATTGTAAACCCTTCACCTCCAGACTGGGTGACATATACAGGGTCAAACTTCATTCTAAACTGGTCATACTTGGCAAGATCGGTGATACTAACGGATCTTCTTGCACCAGCAAATGCCTCTTCGAAGTGTTTTCTCCCAATTTCGTAAATATGATTGTCTGATTCATCCTCAATCTTCATAGCATTGTCATCCCCAGCTGCCTTTTTTAGCTCTTCAGCAGCAATAGCATCTCTAATGGCAGCCTTTGCTGCTCTTTGGCAAAGCTCTGCAAGGTCTGCGCCTGAGAATCCTTCAGTCTTCTGAGCAATAAAAGATATAGGTACATTCTTTGAGAGAGGAGACTTTCTAAGAATAGCTTGGAGAACGGAAACCCTAGCAGGAAGGTCTGGAAGAGGAATGTAAATAAGCTGATCGAGCCTTCCTGGACGCAATAGAGCCTCATCGAGGATTTCTGGTCTATTTGTAGCTCCAATAAAGAAGAGATTCTTTTTAACACCAACACCATCTATTTCTGTAAGTAACTGATTCATAACTCTATCTCCAGCGCCACCTGCATCTCCCATGCTGCTTCCTCTCTGAGTACCAATACTATCCAACTCATCAAAGAATAGTACACAAGGAGCAGCAGCTCTGGCCTTATCAAACACCTCTCTGACATTGGCTTCACTCTCACCAAACCATAAGGTTAGAAGTTCAGGTCCCTTAACAGAAATAAAGTTTGCAGAGCATTCAGATGCAACAGCCTTTGCAAGCAAAGTTTTACCACAACCCGGTGGACCATAAAATAGAACACCACGAGAAGGACTCATTCCAAAGCGCTCAAATTTCTCAGGATGTTCAATAGGGTAGAGTATCATTTCCTGCAAGTTGCGTTTCACTTCCTCAAGCCCACCAATATCATCCCATTTGATATTAGGAACTTCAACTACAGTTTCTCTTAGAGAAGATGGGTTGCAAACACCTAATGCAGAGTTGAAGTGGTCTTGACTGACAGCCATAGAATCCAAAATTACAGCGTCAATAGTTTCATCCTCCATGTCAATGACGTCCATCTTCTCGCGGATACAACAGAGGGCCGCTTCGGTGCAAAGTTGAGCCAAGTCTGCTCCTACAAAGCCGTGAGTATTGGCTGCAATATCGTCAATTTTGACATCCTTAGCCAACTTCATGTTTCTTGTATGGATTCTGATGATCTCGAGTCTGCCATTGTCATCTGGGACTCCAATATCAATTTCTCTATCAAATCTACCAAATCTTCTCAATGCTGGATCAATTGAATTTGGTCTGTTTGTTGCTGCAATAACAACTACCTGGCCTCTGCCTTTCAAACCGTCCATAAGAGTTAGTAACTGTGATACGACACGGCGTTCAACCTCTCCATTGGTTTTCTCTCTCTTGGGAGCAATGGAATCAATTTCATCAATAAAAATAATCGCAGGAGAGTTCTTCTCAGCCTCCTCAAAAGCCCTACGCAAGTTACCTTCTGCCTCTCCCGCCATCTTTGACATAACTTCTGGTCCATTAATCAAGAAGAAGAATGCTCCTGTTTCGTTTGCCACTGCCTTGGCAATAAGAGTTTTACCAGAACCAGGAGGTCCATAGAGCAAAACTCCTCTTGGAGGTTTAACTCCCAAGGCTTTGAATAATCCTGGATGACGGAGAGGAAGCTCAATCATCTCTCTGATTTGAGCCATTTGTTTTCTGCAACCTCCAATGTCATCATAGCCAATATCGTCCATCTTTTCCTCGTCTTCTCTTTTGATTGGGTCGCCTTCACAGTGAATAACAGTATCCGGAGCTACAATACAGTATTCTTCTGGATCAACTCCAACAACCTTAAACTCAATTGGACGGAACCCTCCTCTTACTAAGAAAGCATCCCCTTTCTTGACAGGTCTGTAAGCTTCCAGGAAATAAGGTTTTAAATACGTCTCGAAAAGATTACCAGTAATACCTTCTAAACAATCGTCAAAGGGTAAAACGTGAATTCTCTTGCCATATGGAACGTCTCCACATTCGAGCACAGAAACAGTATCTCCAAGCTTGACTCTTAAGTTCTTTCTAACAACCTTATTCATGCGAATTTTTCCCTCTTCCAAATCAGGGTCAACCAGTACTATACAAATAGTATCTCTACGTTTCTTACCTTTTAACAAAATCGTATCACCTCTAAATAATTTCAACTCCTCCATCTTTGCTGGGCTTAAACATACAACAGAATTATCATCATTAATTGCATCGTCAACAAGTAATCTATTAGGAGCTCTCTTCTTCTCAATATGGCCAGCTGGCATATTATTAACAGAAGAGTCTCCATTAGTCATTTGAACTTCCTCTGACTTTGGAACTTGATTTTCCCCATCAACATTCATTTCTTCTAGATTTAAATATAAATCACTTCTCTATCTTCACTCTGAATTCTACTATGACCTCTACCTCTTTATTCGTGAATTCTTATGGTAAATGTATTTATGTTCATATATATATATAAATATATTTTATATTAATATATATTCATATATATGTTCTTGGATCCAAAATTAATCTGTTTTTCCTTTAATTATTCAGATTACCTTTGTTATACTCGCTCTATAAAATTCTTTATTTCCTCTTTGTCTCCATTTATTTCCTTTATTCTATTATAAGTGGGGTAATATACCCACATTTTACCGCCTAAGTTTTGGCGGCATATGTGTGTTATATAATTATTTTAATAAACTAAAATGAGTTAAGAGTTTGAAATATTAATGAAATAAATTTAACAAGAAAGTATTGGTTTTTTAAAATATTTGAAAAAAGAGCAATTAAGTTCTTTCTAATTACTACAAACTAATTTCATGCGATACATAATTAATCGGGTAGTATACAAATTTACATATATACATTCATCAAATATATATGTATATATGAGGATATAATACTTATAAATACACAATATTAATTGAAATTTAGAAATAAGGTTCTGCAACTGTGAAGATAGTTGCCCGATTAACTACTTAACTTAAATTTTAATTTAAATCTATTTAAAAATTAAGAGTGGACAATATTAATTATTCCTCAGAAAGTAATATTTGTATAGGAATGTAATAAACCAAATATCGGAATAATCTTTCTCGATTAAATATTTAAATACTTATTAAAAGTTGAAATAGATTATTTTTTATTACAATGAGCGCAAAAGAAAGTTTCATTGTTTATTGGGAGAAACAAGGAAATGATAGAATGTGTGCTTTACATTGTTTAAACTCGCTTCTCCAAGGTCCGTATTTTGATGAAGCTCTTCTTTCTAATATTGCTTATGAAATAGATGATATGGAGAGACGCTTACTAGAAAAGAGTAATCCAAAGGTTAAAACAATGTCTGATAATTTGTCTAATAACGCCTCTTATGATGGTTTTTTCTCAATCATGGTTCTTCAGGAATGTTTACAAAGACACGGATATTCTTGTATACCAGCAGCAAATCCAAAAGTTCAGGATTATATTTTGTACCCATCATCTTGTTGTGGTTACATTATTAACTCATCGGAACATTGGACTTCTGTCAGATGTGTTAAGGGAAGGTGGTTTAATTTGGATAGTCTTAAAGCTGCCCCCATCCATATAGATTATTTTGAAGTTTCGAGGTACTTACAAGAAATAATGTTTTCTGGAAAAAGTGTTTTCGTTGTACAAAAAATACAGAATGAAACAGATTCCTATTCAATTCCTTTACCTGATCCTGACCCGTTTCTTAGGCCAATTAAGAACGATGGTAAACAAAGATTTTATCTCTCTGCCTCTGAAATTGAGAACCTTGTCCTTGAAAGACAAAAAGAAGAAAATAAAATGGTACAAATAGGCGATGATAGTTCAAATAGGAATTTTATCTATTCAAAGAAACCAGTTGAATACACGTGGCCTACTTCTGCAGGTAATGTGTTACAGTCTTCATTAAATACAGTGAACCAATCTGATGAAATTACATCTGAAGATAAGGAGCTTGAGAAGGCATTAAAGGAGTCTGCAATTGAATTTGCTAAAAGTGTTCCTCTCCCGAATGAACCTTCTATAGATGATGTTAATTCCATCCAAATCCGCATTCGGAGTAAGGCTGGGTCATCTTTTGTCAGAAGGTTTTATAAGACAGATTCTTGCAAATACCTGTTCTCTTGGATAGAATACGAAATGGCTGTATTAGGAAATCCAATTCAGAGTAATTCATACTTTTTTCTTTCTCAGTTTCCATATTTAAAAATTTCAAAGTTCGATGATAATTCAATTAAAATCTCAAAATCAGGCATTGATGAAGTTATCCTAAATTCACCAACTTTCAATGACATTGGTATTAATGAAAACACTTTATTACTACTTAATTTTTAATAAAATATTGCTTATTTAAAAAATATATTGTAAACTCAACCTCTCATAGCTTCACTATAATAAGTTAACAAATAAGAAACAGGTTAGTACCCATTTCGACTTCTAAGATATTAGCAACAAATATAATGTACCTATATATACTTAAATTCCTATATCCTCCCCCCCTTTCAATTTAAAATCTCAATTTCAGTCTTTAAACTAGAATAAACAGAAGTTGAGATTACGACGAACCAACTATTTGTCGTTTTGATACTCGGGATATCGATTAATGTTCCTAATCAAACAATACTACCACTAGGAGAAAATATTGGTACATGCATATATATCATCGTATACATTTAATTTTTTACAAAAGCTTACACACAATTACCTATAATTGAATTCTTATGTTTATTAACTGTGTACATGAAATTTAGTAGGCGGGAACTCAACGATGCAAAAGTGGCGCACACACAAATTTAATCCATCAGATTTACGAACAGGCATAGCAGGGAAAAAAGTTAATTAGAAAACCTGGATAATTCTAATTGGCTTTTATCCTAAGTAGTAAACCTTATTATGGCTGTATTCAGTTCAGTAGATTTGTAATTTGTAACCTGCTACAAATAATTAATATTTATCGTATGGGGATGAGTTTGTGATTCATTTCGGATGGATAATTTGTGGAGCGATCCTAATGTAAATAATAAGCACTGTCAGTTATTGTTCATTGAGTGTGAATTATGGAGGCTTCATCAAGCTGAAAAACACCAGGTTCCTATTGTAAATGGGAATGTAGGGAACAATCAGCCGTCTCTATGTGTTGAACCATCTTTCTTAGATATATCACCTTTTTTTAATCCTTCAAATGTCTTTTATTTTGAAGATTATAAGTACTTTGTTGAAGTTACTTTATTCTCTACTAATTCTTCTGCTAATGACTTTGAAAACAGTACAGGTTATACTGCGTTCATTTCAGGCGAATTCTTATCTCCTCAAACTCTTTGTTATTCTAAGGATTGTATGGACGTCAAAGATTTTTATGAAAAAATCGAAAAGCAAAGCATTCTTGATATGGAAGAAGTATATAAATTAATAGGCTACTTTCTCTCGTGTTGTCATAACAAAGATTGTAGTTGTAATTTTAATACTTTAAATAACAATTCATGTATTATAACATGGGATCCTCTGAAAACAAGATCACTTTTAAATCTAGATTTATTTAATAATAAATTTGCATCTAGTAATAATGCAATTAATTATTCGTGTTCAAATAACTTATGGAGTAAACTCAACTCTATAATCGGTTTAAGCGAATTAATTAAAAGTTTTCTTCCAGAATTTTGGCCAGCTTTTGAGCCCAGCAGTTCTCTGGAGCTCTTCAGCATACTTAAAAACATTGCATTATCTTTTAATATACCTGTTGAAGATCTTAATACTTCTGCATATATTGGTATTAATACTGCATCGACCGGATACCTCTCACTATTTTGCAAGTATATGGCAAAAGTGTCGCTTGTTCTCATTAAAAAGGGAATCATTATTATTCATCAAAGAAAGGATGCAATTTCTGAGTACAAAGATTCCTCTCAATCTCCCAAAGTTTCTCAAGTTAGACCCGTTGTAAGATTAAGAGGGTTACCTTGGAAAACTGATGTTTTAGATATTATTGTTTTTTTCAATCCCATCTGTGAAATTTCGGTTCCTGATATCGCAATTTCATACAATAAATATGGAAGAATGACAGGAGAAGCTTACGTTCTACTTCCTTCAGTAAGAGCATATGAACTATCACTAGCGCTCTTACATGGTAAAAGAATGGGTAAAAGATGGATTGAAGTTCTTCCTTCGTCTACCCAAGAATTCTTAATATGCATGCAAATAACTGGTTTAAGAAACCAAGATCAAAATTTTCCACTTCAAATTGATTCATCCTTTGATAGATATTATAACCGTCAGGTTCTGAGACTTAGAGGCCTGCCTTGGTCTGCTACTGAAATTGAAATTGTAAATTTCTTTATATCTGGTGGAATATATGATCTCAATGTTTCTGATGTCTTTCTGGGAATTAATGAAAATCAAAAATCATCGGGCGAAGCTTGGATTATACTTCCTCATAAATGTGATGCCTTTGAAGTCCAGAGAATACTTGATAGGAGGATTATTGGTAAAAGGTATATTGAAGTCTTCATTTCGTCATTCCAGGAACTTGCCACTGCCAGATCTACTTATTCTTCGAAATTACTTTCCAAAGAAATTCTCCATGTTTTAAATAGCACATCGAAAAATAACAGTACTTGTAGTATTTCAAATAGACAAAGGATTAAAAAAAAAAAGCCTTCACATCCGGAAATAAATAATTTTTTTAAATAAATTAATTTGTGGCAATTGTAAGACTTCAAGCTCAAATTTTATTTATAGTTCTATCAAGCTATTTTTCTAATTATGGTTTTAAACAACACAGAACCAAAACAAAGCACATTAATTGCATGCCAAGTCAAGGAATTAATAATAATTTGAATATCAGAGTAAGGAGAAGCTGCTGTTAATCTAATAAAAATTGTTTCGTGTATTTTTTTTTTATTGTTTCATTAATATCTGTAAACTATTACAAATCACATTCTGTTATCAGCAACTATTAATTGTTAAATTGTCCAACTAGAAGAATATAATTTGGAATTTTGGTAATTTCAGGTCAAATTAAGGTATTTTTTTTTATTAATGAAGTATAAGAAAAAAAATCATCGAACTGAGCAATGTTTGTAAGAGCTACCGAATAAGGCCGTTAATATGGGGTCTTTCTAGTTGTTTGTTTCTCTTGTATATGGTTGATGAAAGGTTTTTATGGGTTTTGTTTAGTATGGTTAGGTTAATACTCTAATTCAGATTCCAAATCGTTTTTTTATCATACTTTGAAATCGTGAGGAATAAGTTTGGAATAATACTTATTAAAGTAAAAAAGATTTAATAAAGTGCATTCATTGGCCTTAACAAGATAATTTTTAATAAATTGTAGTGTGAGTTTGTGGTATATTAATAAAATTTCTTTTAAAAATGTATTGAAGGGTTATATTTCAATATATTCTCTTTGGTTGTGCTGCATACATTAAATTTGTATATATATATATATATATATACAAAATCAATAGATATTTATTCATTTATATCTATTTTATTTGTGTATAAAAAAAATTTATATCGTATTTTAATTTAATATTTGAGAGAAAATCACATAATTTTGTCATTCAGAAAGTAGAGTTGTAAAGAATAGTGTTTTGAAATATTTTAAAAAAATTTAATTCGATGTTAAAGAAAGTTTATGCATGAATCTGAGAAGCGTTAATAATATTTAAAATTAATAAAAGTTTTTTTCTAAACAAGTATATTAAATTAAATTAATACCGGCATCCCCGTGCATGCATGCACTTAAATTTTGGAAGCCATGTGGAAAACCACGAGAGATTTTTTGTTTAAAATTTTAATATTAAAAAAGATAACATTAAAGATTATGGCGAGAAGATATTTGAAATATTGATTTTATTATTAATTAATTATTCGCTTTATTTGTAAAGATAATGGTTGTAACTGTAAAGAACTATACACAGAAATGGGTGATCGCCATAAACATGGAATAATGGTGGTAATTGTTGGATAATTACATAAGAGGCCAAGTTTTGATTCGAGGCCAATATTGTTTATGAACAATCAATTAATCTAACAAGAAAACTAATAAGAAGAAATAAGAAAACAATTTTAGGATTAATTGTTGAAAATAAAAATAATTTGGCGCCATTTTAAAACTTTTTGATTTTTTTGAGTTGGGCTTAATTATTTTAAAAAATAAAAAAGAAAAAATTTTGTTTAATAAACCAAACAAAAAGGTTGAAGCTAAAAATTAAATTAATAAAAATAATAAAAGTTTTGATATGATTCCTAATTATCACCATCTTCAGAATTAATATCCCAATCTTCAATAATATCATGTTGAATAATATTTGAACTAACTTCACTTGTGCTTATTTTAGTTTTAAGCTCATTTGAGCTTTGGATTTCTAATTTGTGAGTTTTGTTTCTCTTATTATTACTTGTTTGACTTTCTTTATTAATCAAGGATCTCTTATTCGATTTAATTTGGTTGTTAGACGAGGATGATTCCCTCAAGTCAACAATTTGATTTTTGATTGTTTTTTTCAGTTTTTTGAGTTGCCTTGGTCCTAAATTTTTAATGTCATTGATAGATTTTCCAGCTTTTTGTAGCTCTTGGAGAAGTATCTTAAACTCTATATCTTGCTCATCATTCAAAGGAGAATCTTGATAGTTAAAATCTGCATTTTCAGTATGGTCTAAAGTCTTCATTGATGATAATTTTATTTTTCCCTTAATTAGTTCGGTTCTTTGAGTCTTAATATGAATAATATAGTTCTGAAACTCTAAAAATTCTCTAAAATCGGCTTTAGAGTTAATAGAGTTATAGACGTATTCATTATATATTTTACTGGAATATGGAAGAAGAGAATTGTTGTTAGTTAAATTTTTATTATAAACAGATTCAAGAAATTCGTGGTTAGTTAATATAGAGATTCTGAGGTTTTTAATCATTTCTGAATGAGCTTCAGCTTTCTTAATAATATCTTTGGTTTGCCTGTTAATATTATCATTCCAGTGTCTGCTGTTGTACTTTTGAAGTTTTTTAAGGTTAGGAATAATACCTAGCAAAAACTCAGGAAAAGATGGATGCTTATATAAGCTGGAGATATATAATGAGACTATATAAATCCAGAATTCTTGTAAAGAATCATAAACTTGATATGACTTAGAAATTGAGTTTCCTATTTTGATTTCAAATTCAGGCATAAAAGGCTTACTTGTAGTTGTAATCATGCTTTGGTTCTTTAGATTACTTTGAGATGACTTATTAAAGGTTTGTTTAATTCCCCTTTCAATTGTTGAATGAGCATCAAACAACATTTCAGTAATTGGAATAAAAACATTGTTGGATATTGCAACTTCAGAAAGTACCTCTAAAGCTTGAAGTGTGAATGGAAGAAATGAAATAGAGCTTAACTTAAGCTTGACAATGGAAGTAATTATAGTAATAAGTGGATATTGTAGTGGGTAAAGCTCTGAAATATTAGAAACAGCCAATGACCAGATTCTAATAAAAGTTAAAAATTTCCAGCTAAATAAATTAAGAAATACTTCTTCAAAAAGTTTCTTTTGCTTTGCTGAATTGTTTAATTTGTTTTTTAAATTGGTCTTGGAGTTATTAGTTCTTGAAATACGAAGGTACAGAATTCTGAGCATAGATCCTAATTTTCTTATAACATTATAGGAAATTCTATATACCATTTTATGATTGGACTCTTGTAGAAGAATTAAATAGTCATTAATAACTTGCTTTGAAGAAAAATAGTTCTTCCAAGAAATGCCTCTCATTGCAGAAATTCCAATAGTACGATGCAAAATGAGTAGAAACTCTTCATGCCTTTTAATAGGATGATTTATAATATCATTATGATCAAAGAACTGAAATTTTGGGCAGTTTTTATTGTTAGAATTTTGAGATAGTTTATCAAAGCAAGCATTAATAGTTTTTAAAACTTGAAATGCCCCTTGTTTTAATATAACATATTTATTCATTGTCCATATTCTAGACAATAATGTGGAGAATCGATTTGTTAGTAGCCTATTTGGCATTATCCAAAGAATTAATAACGGATTCGAAAGCTTGTTGAATATATCTCGCATTAATTCCAAATTTGGCTGGAGACTTAAACAATTATTCAGAATTAAATTACTCAAATCTTGCCAAAATATTCTGCATATTTTTTCTATTTTAAGCCACTTTGGAAGAGATTCAGGGATAATATCAGAAGTAAACTCTTCTATTTTCTTTCCTCCTGAGGAATGAGACCAAAACAACTGAGGAACCTTTTGGAGCACATAAATAGTAATCTCAAACATCAATTCAGGATCATCAATTTGAAAAGTTAGAGATCTTTCCTTATGATTTCTTTTTACCTCAGACGAATTATCATTCAATTTCTTCTTCTTTTTTTTAGTCTTTTCAATAGTAGATTTAGCCGGGATTTCTTCATTAACTAAATTATTTATATTTGCTACTGACCCAAAACAATTCAATAGTAAACTCAGACCTTTAAAAGAGTTTGTGGACTCTAAGCTTTCTTTAATTTGATAAAACTTTTCTCTATCTAACTTTGGAAGTCCAAACTCAGATCTTACCAGCTCTTCGTTCTCCTCTCCATTTATTTCATTATTTGGCTCTTCTTTAAATCCTGCAGGATCAAGTAAATCTTGCCCATGTTCTTCAAGATATTTGTAAAACTCATAATCCACCTCTTTTAATTGCTTGAGCTCTTCCAAATGTTTAGAAGCGTCCAAATTTATATCTAATTCACTCATTTCTAGTTCTGCTTCAGTAATTATTTAATTGTCATTGAATGACGCGGACGGGCGCGCGCGCCAAATGTGTTTTGTATTTAAATAGCGAAGTTAACTAAGAAAAAGAGTATAAAATATAAAGATTTATAAGAATAGAATTTTAAGCTGAAATTTTGCTTCGATAGCAATTAAACTATATTAAGAACACCGAGTTGCTCTATCTAAGTTTTAGAAAATATTTCACTAGCAACTGGAACATGGTTGTTATTAATTGTTTCTGTACCTTCAGTGTAATATTTCTTATAAGTAATAGAATATAATATAGATATGACGGTAACAATAGTGACTGAAATTATGCAAATTGATAAATATGTTAGATCTCTTCCTGAATCAGCTTGATCATTCTTAAGGAAGATGATATTCTGTTTGTTTAAAGAGTGTTTTTCTGGCTCCTGATCGCGTATTTCTGAATATGGTGAAAACTCATTTTTACTAGTATATAGTTGATTACATAGGTGATCGGAATTCGTTGAGTGCACTGTTAAGGCGGTATTTGAATTGAAATTGTTATTAGAGAACTTAATAAATCCACATTGACAAATTCCATCTGTGTGTTTATTGTTGATATTTGCAACACAAGTGTGGATTATAATATTAGTGCCAGACTTAGAGTTAGATGTTACAGCATTTAATGAATTCTTGTATTTGAAATTTACCCTAAAGCCCCGATTAGATCTTGGTTCAACAGAGCCATCAAAGGCAAATCCTCTAATAAATTTAAATTCATCTTTGCTATTTCCTTTCTTGTTTTGCTTGTTTACTGATATTAGTAATTGCTGTGTATTACATTCATCTGCTGTGTTAACATTTTGGTCCCAATCTTTCAAATTTAAAGATCTGTATCTGAAACCAGCAGAATATTCACCAAATTGTGTATTTCCAGGATCAAAATTAGAAACCTGATTACAATTAGATGAAATTAACTCCCAAGTAAAGATTGAGTAACATTCATAATTTTTCTTGGAATTACTCTGAAAAGTCTGAGTGTTATTTTTGGAACAAATAGAAGATAATCCACTATTGAATAGTGAAAATTCGAATTTTCCACGTCGAATTTCTGCATCATTATATAAGAATATTTTAGAGGAAATACTTAGCTCAAGAGTGGATTTTGATGCTACTGCCAGGATTTGAGGATAATATTTTTTTGCAATTGGGAAAATTTCACTCTGAGGAGGATAAAACCCATAGTAGTCAGAACCAATTTCTGGAGAAAGTGAAATGATATTATGAACTCCAAGTAAATAATCATCTGCTTCTCCTGAAGCTTCATAATCCATAGTAGGGTTCCTTGCTGCTGGTGAGAAACAATATTTGGAAGCATTTTCAAACTCATTTCTAGAATTTGTGAAAAATGTTGAATTAAATCCCTTTTTAACTGAATTAATAAAAAATGGACCTTTCGTATACATCAAGGTTCTTATAATACATGAGGGAGATGATATTAGAATTTCATACTTAAGTTCATTATATATTTTTGCAATATTCTCATCTAAGTCTTTTTTTTTGCAACAATTCCAAGGTATAGTCCACAAATCGCCAAATGTATGTAAGTTAACTGCAGTAACAAAGGTTTTTACATTGTTTACAAGATCTCTTATAGCCCTCGTTTCAGGTTCAGAAAACGGATGTTCTCCGGGATACTCTTGTGGGTCACATTTAGAAATCAGAGAATTATCAAATTTGAAATCATAGTTACGGTTAATATCAACTCCCTCCTCATCTGGTCTGCCAGAATTACATGTTTTCCTTTGATTCTTTCTAATTCCATAATTTCGTGTTCGTTCAATTGCAGCATATCCATCTGGATTCACAAATGGCACATACCAAACATCAATGTTTGAAAGTAAAAAGTAAGAGGCAGGGTCCTGTTTGTAAACTGCATCTTCCAATAGTTTTGAAACAAAATATATTCCAGTTGTTAAACTTGCAGGTTCTCTTGAATGATGCATAGATGTCAGTAAAAATGCAGGCTTATTACCGGGCTTAATATTGGGATACGAACTTTCTGAGTCTAAATCATTATTCTTGCCAAAGAATCCAATTCTATATGCCTCAATTGGCCTCCCTTCAAAACTTGTTCCTATCTTATGCTTTTTTATAAAATTAGTTCCAAACTGCAATAATAAATTATCCATAATGATTGACACCTCATTTAATGTCGGAAAATTCCTCAATGACCCCCTATTCAAAGAATATATAATTCTTCTCAGATCTTGGTTTTCAATACCATAATCCATATTAGGGATTCCTAATTCCAAATAATCGTCTGGAATAGTTGAAACTTGTTCTCTTGCATACTGTAACTTTCTCTCTGGTCTCTCTAAATGTCCAAAAACTTTGATCATACATATTAAAAAAATTACGGTAAAAAACCTGATAACATCTAATAACTTTACTAGTTTTCTCATTTTTTTTTCTTACATAAATATATATTTCTAGATAATAACATCTTCTACTCTTATTATACTTTATCAAAAGATGAAAAAATTAACCTGTTATGAAATTACTATTCTGCCATTTATACTTGCATGATCTGTTTTCTTGCAGGAAATAACGATTTAGATTTTTATATTATTTTCAAATTATATTTTTTTCTTGATTCCAATCCCCTTTATCATTTGACCGTGTGGAATTTTTATATTTCTTACCGCTTATAATTTACCATTATATGTTGCGGTATAGTAATTAGTAATTAATAAATATCTGTAATAAGAAGCATTTTTCTTATTTTAAATTTTTGAAAAATTAATCTTAAATAAGTACAAATTACAAATAAATTAATTTTACAGCCAATACTAATTTTAAATTAAATGTTGATTTTCTCTTTATTTACTTCTAATTACTAAGTGGGCATTCTGCCACTTTATTCAAATGCATGCATACCGGTATATGTAATGCAAATATCTGCGCATGTTTGTGTTGCATGCAACTAAAATGTTAATCGCAAATTAATAAAAATTCAATCAGAAATAAGTAAATTATTATTAATATTTAATTAACTATAACAATTCGCTTTTTTTTTTTGTAAATTTTCAAGCATATAAACTAGCAAAGAGTGCACTTGCTTAATATGTGTATATTTCTGTAACTGTTTTGAAAATCAGTAATTGCCTTTGGTAAAGAATCTTCTACGCTTATAGTGTGAATTTTTTGTCTTGTTTTCTTCTCAGTGTTATTAACCCAGGGAATAAACTCTTTGATAACTATTAGTTTTGAGTATAGTATTTATTTTAAAAAATTTCAAGAGAGTTAAGATACTTGTCACAGTCTTGGTGAATTTGTATAGATTTTAAAAGGGATATATTCTTTATGTGACGATTTTTACAAACTACTTTAGCTCTGACTTTCAAAATTGGGGTTAAAAATATTATTATAAATACTCTTACTGCTCCAAAATGAATTCCAGGATGAAGAAACTCGAATCATTTCAATGTGACTTTTGATTCTGCTTTTTTTCTTAGCTCAAATACAGTACGTAAAATTTAGTTTATCTGAAAAAGGTATATAGATACAATTTATCCAATTTAATAATTTCTTGATTATTATTTACCTACGTAAACCTATTCAAAACATAAGCCAAATTCTCGCTGTTTATATACCTTACTGATTTTCTATTTATTTCAGAATTATAAGCTAAAAATTCTACATACATTTTTCTTAGTGAATTCGCTGGAAAAGCCAATAATTCTTCAATTAAATATTTTTAAGAGTATATCAATTACCTGTTTTTTATTATTATTATTCTCTTTTCTGGAGTAGATGCTACCAAATTTTGTAATTTCCTTAAAGCTCTATTTGAATTAAGCTTTGTAATACATGCAACTGAATCAGAATTTGTTAGGTTTCGAAGACCTTATATATAGCTTGAAATAGATAACCATATTTCTCAAATTGAATTATTGGGACATAATTTCTTCTAAATAATTCTCTGAAATCCCCTCTTCTAAAGATTTACTCATTTCTTTTAATTAAGAAACTGGTAAATCATTTCATTTCCCAAAATAGAACAATCTATGAAGTTTTATCAGAAAGTTTAATATTTTTTAAATGAGCTTTTTCAAAAGCTGTGTAAAATTAATCATTTCATTGGTTTTAACTTAATAATTCCTCTTCATTCTTCTAAATGTTTAGCTCTTCATATTGTGCTGTACGCATTAGTAATGTAATTATTTAACAGGATTAATTCTATGAATAAAATTCTGAGATCGGAAAATAAATAAAAATAAAAATCAATTTGAAGTAATACAATAATTTATTCAGTTATAATTTGGAGTCTCTAAATATGCACTTGTGCTATTTGTATATTTGAGAGAAAATAAAAGAGAAGATTTGGCCCACAATTTTATTAATAGTTATATTAATTTATTCAAGGCATTTATTATATTAAAATATAGCATATTAAAATAATTCTAATTAAAAGCTTAAACTAAACTTCAATCTTGAAAGCAATACATTTTACGTGATTTTGTTTTCTTTTTAGAAGAAAATATTTGCTTATCAAAGTTATTTTTATATACATCTTTTTTGTGGTGTGCTGTAGAAAGTTTGTATCTTACCGCCTAAATGTGTGTTGTGTGTGGTAAATGGAATTCACGAAAATTACACATAATTGAGGATTATCATTGCTCCAATAATTAACTGAACAAAATCATTAATTGGATTCTACTAGAAAGTTTTGGTTGATCTCTAGCTATTTGGGTTCAAGTGGAATTTGCACATTTAAGTAAATAATATTGAAGAATCAAATTATCTAACTTTATTAAGACCAATAAATTCCCAACTTTTCCGTTATAACAATGTATTCTACAAAAAATAACATGAATTCAGGTTATGCAGACCCTAGAAGTTTGGTACTAACTTTACAGGAGTTATCCGCAGATTATCACAAAGAAGTTGCTGAGATGAATAATGTTTTATTCCAGGCTAAAGAAAGGTATCAATTAACTCTCAATGAAAATAATGAAAAAATTCAGAGAGCTCAAGACCAAATGTCTGACGAGAATATTCAAATTCAGAAGGAGTTTGAAGAACTTAGAAAAATGTACGAAAAGAATCTACCTAGTTTGAATGAAGAAAAAATTATGATTCAGTCACAATATTATAAGGAAAAATCAAAATTTGATTGTGAATTCCAAACTAAGGTCAATGAAACTACTAACAAGCTTTCTGAAATCAATGTCAAATTAATGACATCATCTAAGGAAGGCCTAAAAGAAATTGAAGATTTAAAAGCTCAGCTAGAGCGGGAAATTGCCGAGCTGAACTCTGAATATAGATCCAATTTAAGTGCCATTGATGCTAGCTACAAGAAGGAATTGAGTGCAGTTAATCAACATATTCAAGATTTAACCAATTATGTAAATGAAACCACTATAAAGCTTAACCAAAGGAGAGAACAGTCTTCTAAAGATTATCACCTCTCTGTTGAAAGACTTACTCAAGATAACAATGCTGCAGGTGAGGAGTACAATGCTACATGTATCTCAATTTCTCAAAATATTCGTATGAGAACTCAAAATTATGAGAATTCTGCTGCAGGTATTAGAAATGCTATAGAAGGCGCCATTAATAACCAAAAGCGCCAAGTTGTGCATTCTCCATTTGCATGAATTTTCAAATATTATTTAAGTAATTAGATTAATAGAATTTTTAATAGTTTTTAAAACTGAATTTGTTGAACTATTGATTAAAATTGTTTTTTTTTAATTATTTAAAACCAGTAATTTTATTAAAAACTTTCAATTTTCTTAGAGGACTGGGAGAAAAAGGAAAAAACTTATTATTTGCTTAATGCACATTCCAATAATTTGACGGTAAATTGAATAAATGACAATAAATACAATTTTTGGATAAATATGTTATTTTTATCTCTTTAGAATTGGTATCATGTTTCGACATAATACAAGATTGTTCGGAATCTTAGTATTCTCCATTTTCAGTTTATTAATAACACTGAAAGCTAAAGAAAATGGAAATGTCTGTGAAACTAAAGAAAAAGAGTCCATAACTGCTTCAAACTGCAAAAATGATTTTGAAAATAAGGAAGTTCAAGAAAATAAATCTGTTTATAGGGAATATAATGTAATTTCAAAGGACAATGATGCGTACTTATTACTTTTTAAAATGATGGATCATGACAAGCAAAGAATGCTTTTACTTTTGTCTAAAGACGATCATCCTCAAAATCTTGGCTCTGTTAAAGATAAAGATAACGAATTTGGAGTTATAATCAAAAAGTACTCTCCCAAGAGTTGGTCCAAAATTGATGTAACTAAGCTTAAAGAGCTCTCACTTTTAGGTAAAAATAAGCAAGGACAAAAAATCATTTTGGAACAAATTCCAGGAAGTGCTCAAATTAAAAAGCTGAGAGAATTTGAGTATAATACACTTAATATTGCGAATAATGTTTTGAGAATAGATTATACTAATAGACTATTATTAGAAGGAGCTCCAGATCTTAATTTACTTTCATATGACGAAAATGAATATGCTACATCCAATGAATTAACTTTATATAATGAAAGGAGTTTAATAAAAATTAGTGATGGAATTCTAGGCTTATCTAAATTTCAAAATGAACATGAAAGACAACATTCAGATTATTCTTATGATAAAATTAAAGGACTAATTAGGTATTTTAAATTTAACAAAGGATCTTTTGGGGAAGTTTGGAGAGGATTGGCGTTTACTGAATATTTGTCAGAACCATTTGGGAATTGTGGAGCTGAAAAATCTGTGGAAAAGGATCATTTATATTGGAGAAGAGGAGAACTGGTCAACCACGAATTGAATTCTCTGATTTTAGATGTTCTAGATATGTTAAGAAAAGACTTTAATCAAGTTAAAAAGATACCCAAAATAACAAGTATTCCTTTTAATCAAGAAGAAGATGGAAAAGTACTGGATATAGTTATGAAGAAGATGAGTCATGATTTGGAAGAATCTAAGATGCTTTATAGTGTAGTAAGAGAGGTATTTTTTGGTATAATTCTGTATTGCTCTCCAAATGTTTCCAGGTTTTTACATATTTTTGAGGAAAGCATTGAGGAAAAAAAAGCTGTCGAAGATTCCAATACTAAATCTCACATATGGCTTGTTTATAGATATGAAGGAGTAAGCCTTGGAAATTTACTTTTTGAAATCAATGAGAATGGATCTTTAGTTCCATCCGAGTTTTGGTGGAAAAAAGTTAAAGGTAAGAGAGGAGAAACTAATGGAGAAAATATCTTTAAGGAAATACTTTATCAGATTCTCCAGGGACTAAATAGTGCTCACAGCCTTGGAATAATACACAGAGATATTAAGCCTTCAAACATATTTATTTCTGAAACAAAGAATGATTCTGGATTAGAGTCCTTCTATATCAGAGTTGGGGATTGGGGTAGTGCAATGATAACTGAAGATGAAAAGATAAACCGGGAGATTTTTGTTTCAAATAACTATAAGGAGATACTAGAAGCACTTTATGGAAAGACTGGCCCAACATCTGAAGATGAAACTGAAGGTTTCCAACCTCCGGAAGTTCAATTTAAATCTTTTAGGTCAGAAAATGATGAAAGCCCCAGAAGATTAAGTTACGATATTTGGAGCTTAGGCATTGTGATGCTCCAGATGCTTTGGGGTAATTTACAGGTGTTTTCAGTTTTAAATGAAGATTCGGAATTTCAACATATTCTCAAAAGAATAATTTTCCATGTTAAGCATCTCATCAATGAAGAAAACAATACAGGCTTAAATCATGATGAATTAGTTATTGACTCAGTATATAGACTTAGTTTAATGAGACTATGCCTATTAGACATTCAAGAAACTAATCAAGGATATTATAGTAGATTGGATGCATTTATTTCAGGAATTATTGAAAAAGCTATCCAAAAATCTATAAAAAACTCATCTCAGGATGTCATAGGAATCACTAAAAAATGTGGAGACGAATATTTTAGCGATTTAATACGTAAATACGACCCATCAGGAGTTGGATTAGAATCTCCAGAAGCCATGGATTTACTAAAAAAACTACTTAAGCCAAAATATAAGGAAAGAATTAGCATTAAAGAAGCAATAACACATCCTTACTTTTCCTAAGTATGCAGGTTGCTACTTACATATTATTCAACACTTTGTCTAACAATAGCTCTAACTTTCTTTTTATATTCATTAATGTTATTTTTGAACTCTAAGGCAGCATCAATATTTGCAGGTGAATCCAAATTTGGCTCTCCTAACATAGAAATAACAGAAACTAAGATGCTTTCAACTCCGAATATTGGACGCCACCTCTCATCAGGGCTTTCCTGCTCATTATATCTATCATGACCAGGTGGATGAAGTATAGATATACATACACTACCATCTGGATATACATTTGGATGCCACATCTCCTGTTCAAAGCACATCTTCGGAGGGCTATTTGGAAAATCTTCAGGAAATGTTAATAATGCATTAAATATACCTCCTTCATATAAAGTATCTGGTGGTCCCTCAAAACATACTCTCCATCTTAAAAAGTTAGAGTCATCATCCAAACCCACAGAAAAACCAGAAGTATCATCTCTAATCAACTCTAAAAATATAAAGAGTAGTATTAATTTAATGATTTATATTCAATACTAGTGGTATTAATTAGAGAGTTCCTTATTAATTACTTACCCATAAATTGCTTCTTAAGTAATTCCTGCGCAACATTCCTCATTTTCCCCTATTAAATCTAAACCAAAAAGAACACAAATACTTAGGCAAACAGAAATGCTAACTGATCCTTTCAATTTCTAAAATCAGAGGTAATTATTTAGAATTGCAACTTGGCCTTAATCTTCTTGGTTCTCATTCAAATATATTTGTAAAGTTTGGCAATTTCCCGCCACTATAATTAATTATTCAAAAAAAAATGTTAAAAATATAAATTACAATATGAATTTAGGTATAAAATTCAGAATGAGTAAAGAAGCAAGTTTAATGAATTGGATAGAATGGTTTTTTAATGTTTTTATATTTACATCAAAACCCTAGAATTGATTATTAAGCTATGGGTTTTCCATAAAATCACTTTTGTTGTGTGTGTTATAAAAAAATAAATCAAGTATTCGGAGAGATCCTAATTTTCTATAAGATTTTACCTATTTAGTTTTTTTGTCTAAATAATAAATACAGATATTTTTATTTCAGTATTTTATTTTACATGTTTATTTACTATATGAGCGCCATTGTTTGGCGGTAACTAATTTTTATTCTATTAAATTGTGGGAGCCAAAAATTAGATAATGATAACACTAATCAGAGGGGAAAGGGGGGGAAATTCATATTGTAGAAAGTTTAGTGCGTGGACTTAAATATTATTAGAAATAGTAATATTTGATTGATTTTCTTGAAATATACATAAAATAGTTTGTAGAAAAAAAAAATTATTGAGGGGAAATTTGAAAATAAAGAAACACTATTTAGGCTTGAGAAATTGAAGAGGGGTAAACTGAAAAAAAGGAATAAATTGAATTAAGACTGAACATAACATATTTTAGAAACAAATAGATTCAATAATTATTTTGGATCTAAGTAGAATTGGAAAATAGAAATGGATTCATTAATTGGAATAAAAGGCCAAGACTTTGTAGTATTAGCTTCAGATACTGTGGCAGTTAGCAATGTGTTCAGATTAAGTTTAAAAGATGATAAGATCATGGAGATCGACGAAAATAAGTTGATTGGTAAGTACTTGTTTGGTTCACCTTTACAATTCAATATTTAAAATTTTTTAGGAATTGGAGGAACTTTAGGAGATAGGATGCAGTTTGGAGAATATATTAAATGCAATTTGAATTTATATAGGCTCAGAAATGGAATTCAACTCAGTACTACAGCTACAGCTAATTTCACAAGAAATGAGCTGGCAGAGTTACTTAGATCAGATCCACACAATGTGAATATTTTAATAGGAGGATACACCAAAGAGGAAGGAGCGAAGCTATATTGGATGGATGAGCTAGCATCTTTGGGTAATGTTAATAACGCTGCTCATGGATATGGTGAGTTTTAAAATTTAAAATTTCTTTGAATTTTCATCTTAGTTTTTTTTTTCTCCTCGAATTTAGGTGGGCTTCTGATTACCGGTATATTAGACAAATACTATAAGCCAAATATTACCCAAGAAGAAGCACTAGATATCTTAATTAAGTGCTCAGAAGAACTTAAAACTCGATTCTTGCTATCTCAATACAGTTTATTTGCGAAGATTGTTGATAGCCAAGGTGTAAAATTCTTAAAGATTGAGAATGGTACTGCAACACCTATTATGAAAGAGTAACTATTATTTTTTTCCGGAATTAAAATTCCATTGTGACCAACATGCATGCATGCATATATACATGCAAAAATGATAATCCACACACAGTCTAAGGGATTGATTACTATATTTTACATTGTTTATTTTAGATAAGAAATATTTACTACTATATTAGTTTCCTAGACCTAAAAAATTTCTTTATATAGAGAGTTTGTACAATATTTATTATGATTATGGAGACAATATTGAAAATTGAAAAAGCCGCAATTTTACTTGAAGCTTTGCTCGTAGCATTCTGGACAATATTTGCGAGGTCTTTCATCTGTTTGATATTTGCCTGATATTCCTTTAGAGCAATATTAACATTCATCATAGCTAAGTCTATTGGCTCAAAATCTGCCTTATTTGCGATAGATCCAGAGTCATATGCTCCTGGGCCCCATTTTAAAGCTATTGATACCCAATTTTCTTCTTTTGAGGTATTAATAAAACAAAAACGGTGTATTCCAGTTTTAATTGTAGTGAATGCAGCTTTTGGGTTTTTCTCCTCTGAGAATAAGTTATAAAAAATTAAATTTATTCAAACTTAATTTGTTTGTCATTTATTCACTTACTTGACTCAAAAAGTATGTGATTCTCATCAATAATTTGAATATTAACATGCTCATCTGCTATAACACTCAAAGTAATCAATGTACTTTTTAGCATTGACTCAGCTATTTATTGAAAAATGGAAAATTTAAGTTACCATACTCAATGTACTTTTTTCATCTGTCAAAACTTACATAAACATTTAATCTCTTGAGGATTCAGCTTTAGCTTAAAGTCCATACATTTTGTGCACTTTAAGTAGGCCATTAATATTAAAATTACAAAACTTAATGAAGTTTTGTTCATTTTCTCTAACTTTACTCCTTTATACTAAAGTAATTTGACTGCAATGCTTACCTGAACAAGTATTCAAGAATTTATAAAATTCTAACAAACTTCAATCAGGAAAACAATATCAAGAAAAAATAAATTTGTGCAAATTCTACTTATTTAAAACTATGTTAAATATTTTCCTTTAACTCTTATTTTAAATGTTTAAACACGTAATTTTGACATTTAGTTAGGCGGGTTGCATGACTGTGAGGGGATATAACAATTGTGATATTTATTCAAGTCTGCAAAATAAATAAAATATTAATATAATAATTATTATAATAAAAAATAAGTTAACCATTCATACGAAAACTAATATAAGGTTGAGATATGGAGTTGTTAACTCAAGCAAAAAATGAGGCAAAACAGATTCTTTCAAAGCCATACCAAACAATATATCAGTGCTTAACTCTAGGTAAGTTTTCCAAAAAAAAACTATTAAGCTGAAATTGTAACTAATGATATTTACTGACAACAATTCGAACTCATTTATTTTTAAAATAAAGCCTGTATTGTTTTATCAGCTCTTATGCTTTGGAGAGGTCTTATGGTTGCAACTAATAGTCAAAGTCCAGTAGTGGTAGTTTTAAGTGGATCTATGGAACCGGGGTTTTATAGAGGCGATATATTGTTTTTATATAATAGAAAGCCAATTACAATAGGTATGAATAAAATCAATATTTTATTTTACTTTAAATAACTTGAAAATTATAGGTGATATCGTTGTTTTTTCATTGGAAGGAAGAGATATTCCTATAGTGCACAGAGTCTTATCTTATCATGAAGGGTAAGTTAGTTAATTTTTACAAGTTTTCCGAATATATCATTTAATATAAACTAACTATTGGATTACTATTATTTATCGTCATAATTTAGACCACAAGATGGGGAAATCAGTATTTTAACAAAGGGTGATAATAATGATGTAGACGATAGAGGATTATATAATGAAAATCAATTCTGGCTTAATAACAAACATATTATGGGAACAGCTGTTGGGATTATTCCAAAAGTTGGGATGATCACAATTTGGCTTAATGATTATCCATGGCTTAAATATGCTCTTGTTGGAATGATGGGGCTTACTGTTTTACTTGGAAAAGAATAAATATTGAGTTATGATATTACCTGCAATAACATGATGAAAGTATATTTGGTATATTTGGGCTAACAATAAGATAGCAATTCTCGAGATTTTCTAGAGATTGAAGCTTTCTTCCTCTGGGAAGATTTGGAATTGGTATAGGAGTTTGATCGTATGTAAGAATTTGCATATCATAAGTTCTTGCAACTCTTTGGTCTAATGAAAAGTTGGAATCAAGAGTTTCACTGGATCCAGATTTTATTAAATTAATTGGAACACTGAATTCCTCAATTTGTTTAAATTCTCCATGATTTGTATTAGAAATTCCATCTTCCGAGAAAATAATATTATTTTTAGTATTACTATTATAATTGCCAACATCATTATCATTATTAGGGTAGTCTCTCTTGGAATCTGATAACTTTTTAGTAAATTCAATTTTTGATTTGGATTTTGAAGGTTCTTTTCTTCCAAATAGATTTGAGAATTTTTTTGAAACTTTAGATGATCTCTTTTTGTCTGATTTTTTAAGATCCATTTCAAATGAAACTTGTTTTTTGGAGTCACTACCCAACTTTTGAATTAATTCACTAGCAGAGTTAAATTCTTGATAGATTACGGAAGGAGAATTGGAACCAACTGTGGAATTTGGTGATCTAGATAAAGTAGCCTCAGATGAATCTGAACTTTGAATTTCCATATTCTTAAGCATTTCATTAACTGACTTGACTTCTTTTCCTTCGTCAAGTCCTTTACTTCCTCTTTTTTTCATTAGATTAATCACACTTTGTGCTAGAATTCTCAGAGATGGTGATCTATGTCTATTTTCGGTTTTTTTAGTTACCTGTTTATTCTCTAACCTCTCATTTAGGGATTGCTCTGTGTGAATAATTGGTTCATTTGGAGCCGAAAATAGCCTTTTTCTGCCTCCTGGAAGGTTGTTATTTTTAGTTTGGGTTATAGGAGTATGTTTATTTGAAATGAGTTTACCTTTATTAGCAGAAACTGGCTCATTAATTACTGAATAAATGTTCTTATCTTTTAAATCATTATCTAAACCCCCCATATTCTTTTTTCCAGTTACATATTTCTCAATATAATCATTAGATGCACTATAATCATTAAAATAAAGATCTTTGAAGTTATAATCAGAAGATGTTGCATCTTCCTTACTCTCTTTAAAAGAATTGGTGGATTTAATCAAATTATCAGATAAATCAACTTTATTTTGGTTATTATTCACCTTTTTTATTTCTCTAGGCTTAATATTTACTGGATTAACAATTATGTTATTACCAGCTTTTGCAATAGCTGACTTACGATTAAAGGCCTGAACAGTTTCATTTCTGGGATTTTTGTTATAATTATTTGAATTTGATTTTTTGTATTTGAGAGCTGAATCAAATTCATTCTCGGGATCTAGGTTTCGATCTGTATAAGGATCAGGATTCTGGTGGTTGTCATAATCAAGATCCAAATATTGATAGTAGTTTTTAAAAGATAAATCTTCTTTTAACAAATCATTTTTTGTTGAAGACTTTTCAAGTCTGTTTTCTAAAGAAGATTCAGAGTTTGAAGCTGAAATAGAATCTTCAACATCTAAGTATAAACTCAATGTTCTCGATAATTGCCTTCCTTCTCTAATAAATCCTGGAATCACCAGTGATTTCTGAATTTTAATTGGCGGTGGATACACATTAATTTCAGAAAGTGATGATTTATTAGGACTTATCCTTCTTTTCCCAAAGCAAGATACCATTACCTTATTCAATTTATGTTTTCTTAATATTGATTTAGTCAAGTTAAAAAAAAAAATAAGGTATATTAAATCAGGTATAAAAAAAGAAAAACATTACTTAGTCATATATTCTTTATTTTTATCTTTTATTTGGTCATTCCAATATTATCTTTATTTTGTGCACTTTTAATATTTTGCAAGTATCAAAATTGCAATACGTCTATGTCTCTCATGCATTAGACAATTTTTAAGGGATAAAAATATGGATACAAACAAAAAAAGGAAAAGGGATAAAAGTGAATATAAAAATCATTGAAAAACCTATAATAAAAAACTATGGTCCTTTAAGTTGTTGAATGACAGAGAAGATTTCATCCCAATTTTCATCGGAGTACTTGTTATAGTTTAATGATGAGTAGTAGTTTTTAGATCTGGAAAGTTTATTAAGTTTTAAATTATTAATTAGTTTATAATTTTCGTTATTTTCGTAGTTGAAGTTTTGGTTTGATAAAGATGAATTATATGTTTTATTTCTGATGATTTTATTCTTTAAGTAAGAGATTTCCTCCGAAAGTTTTTTGTTTTCAAGATCTTTTAACTTGAGTTTTTGTCTAGAAGCATCTAACTGATTTTTAAGTATGTTGATTTCATTTCTAAGTCTTGTAGCTGATACATTACTTACAAATTCAAGATTTCTTTCGTTAATAGGTTTATAAGACATATCTTTTTTATGTAAATTCTCTGTAATATAATTGCTTGTAATAGGGGTATCTTCATAGTAATTTTGACTCAGAAAATTGCTTATTGATTGAATAAAAATATTGGAAATTCTTTCAATTTTTAGTTTAGGTTTAATCTGAGGTTGAAGATTAGTTTGAGTTTCTGTATCTACTAAGAGAATATTTTTCTTTAATAAAAGTTCTTTTAAAGGCTCGAGGATTTTATCGATGATAATAATAAATTCAAGTAAGTTGGGATAACTTTCAGAAATCATTGAATCTTGGGAATAATTTTCTAAGAAGTCAGAGAAATTTAATTCAAGAATGGACTCATTTTTAATATGATAGTTAGTGAACTGTAGTAAGAATTCCAAAAAGTTGCATAAAGTCTTTTTTTCGGAATCCAATTTCTGAATCATGTCATTCTGGAGAATAATCTCCTTGTTAAATGATTCCTGTTGTTCCAAATAATACTTTTCATTCTCTGATACCTTTTCTAAGAGTTGTTTTAGCTGGTTTTCCATATCTAATGTTGATTGCTGGCTTTTTTTAAGATTCTCAGACTCTCTTGCAAGAAGACTTTTTTGTTTAACAAGTTCAAGACTTACAGATGAAAACTGCTCATTTCTGGAATCTAATTGTCTTTGAATCTCAATGTTTAAATCTTCAAGTCTTTGAATATAGTTGTTTTTCTCTATTAACAATTCATTATTAAGAGTTTGTGTTGTAGTTTCTCTCAAAGACTCAGGTTGAAGTTCAATTTTGTTTACCAAAAAACTTCCAAACTTATTATTTGTAATTTTCGGTAAAATCTCAATTGAATTCAAAATCTCTAAACGTAGTTCAATGCTTGTGTTTGTTTCTTTATCATCGAAACTCACATTATCTTTTCTAACTTTATTTTTAATTCTATCTCTTTCTTCCCTCTTATTCATTTCCTCTTCCTCCTCTATTATATCTTGTTCTTCCATTTGCCTCATTTGATTCTTGGACATCTGTAGAATCTGTGACCTTAATATTGCAATTTCGTCCAAATATATTTTGACCTCCTCTTTATGTACATTTTTAATTATATCTGTAACTTGTAATAACTCTAAAGTCTTTGATTTTCTTGCTCCATTATAATCATCATTTTTACCAAGCTCATCAATTTCTTTAAGTATTATATTTCCACTAGTCTCGTTACCTCTAAATTCTTCATCTTGATTAAACTCCTGTTCATCAAACAAATTAGTTCTCCTTAAAATGGATGATAAACTATATTGAGGTTTTCTATTTGAATGCACAATGTGCCCTATTTCCGACCAAATCATTTTATTCCTACTGTTACCTATCTCATCCTCAAAAATCACCTCATTTAATCTTGGTTCAAACTCTGAATAGTCTTCTGTCCCCATTTTTCTTTGTATATCTTTCTTTTTGTTCATTCACTAAAGTTAACACATATATTTCTTATCTTTCATTTCAATATAACACCCAAACTTTTGTTCAACAATTTTTTGTTAAGCTTCTTCTTCTTTTTATATACATTTTATAGTTTAATTAATTCCTTTTTACATGCAAAAATTCCCCACCAAATAATTATTATTTTCTTTGTTCAAGCGGGAAATATTTACCGGTATAACCATATATTAACTAATATTTTATTATGACTAGTAATTAAAATATAAATCAATAACAAATTAATAGGAACTGAAAGAATTGTTCTTTTTAAAATACAAAACGATAATTTTCTCTTTTTTTCTCATTATTTTTCTTTATATTCTTCACTATCATTTAAATTTTTCTTTTTATCCGTTGTTTGCTCGACAATAATGCCTTTATTAGAAGATTTGGCGCCTGAAACCCCTTATCAGAGACAAGATATCCAATCAAATCACTTTTAGTAAAGTAATATTTTTTTCTTTTTTTTAGAGAAGTAAGAGAAAAAACATCTTATTTTATAGGAGCAACCTTCGATATGGACTAGAACTAGGACTTTATAGTGAACAAATATCGAAGACTTAACTCTAGAACGGGTACAAAACTTTGTAAGCTAGAATTTCAATAGAATACTAGTTTCAAATAAATCTAGAATATTCTTTTATGGAAATTAGAGAACATTCTTAAAATTTATCACCAAAGGAGATAAAAACTTAGTTAGCCGTCACTTTGAAAGGTAGGTACTCACGAATTTTACAATTTAATCAGGGGAAATATCGTGATATCGTTTATATTTCATATACAAATATTATGTATGGTCTCCTGTGGCGTCCCTCATGATAATTTTAGAAAAAGATATTAAGGTAAAGTATATTATTCTTGAAACATTTAATTTATCTGGATATAAGTTATTTCTCGGAAATCGAGATAATTTAACTTAAAACTTTATTCGACATTTAGAGTACTGTTAAGTACATTTTCCTTAGTTAAACCAATAAAATCAATTTGTTTTCAATCAATACATAATACATTTTTGGAAATTGAAGTTATCCAAAGTATTAATTAATATGAAGTGTTTATTTTTGGTTATTTTCTGTTTATTTACACTGTACAATTCACTGGTTTACCCAGTTAGCAATGGTTTCAGTTATAATCGTGGTATCACTGTTATATCTCTGGTGAAACTTAAAACTCTTCCTGGATCTGAAGGTCCTGAATCACCTTCGGAAAACGATGTTGGTACAGAAGAAAGAACACCTTTAGAAGGGGAAGATCCAGAATCTAATGAAGGTTCGGAATCTAATGAAGGTTCAGAATCTAGTGAAAGTTCAGAACCTAACTTGACTACTCAAACAAGTCTTACTACTGCAGATCCTTCGTCTTCTCTTAAATCTCCACCTGAACTTGAAAGTCTTTCGTCGAAGCCTCCACTACCAGGAACCGGATCAAAAGGATCATTAGGAACAAGTCCATCAGGAACAAGGCCATTAGGAACAACAAGACCATCAGTAACAACGAAACCATCAGTAACAACAAGGCCAGCAGGAACAACAAAACCATTAGGAACAACAAGGCCATCAGGAACAACAAGGCCAGCAGGAACAACAAAACCATTAGGAACAACAAGGCCATCAGGAACAACAAAACCATTAGGAACAACAAGGCCATCAGGAACAACAAGGCCAGCAGGAACAACAAAACCATCAGTAGCAACAAGGCCATCAGGAACAACAAAACCATTAGGAACAGAATCAACGAAACCATCAGGACCTGGGTCAACAAAAACAACAGGATCTGGATCAACAAGATCATCGGGAACAGGTCCAACAAGATCAACAGGATCTGGATTAACAAGATCAACAGGACTTAGTTCATCAAGACTATCAGGAGTTGGATTAACAAGACCAACAGGAGCAGGTCCATCAAGACCAGCTGGACCTGGATTAACAAGATCATCAGGACTTGGACCAGCAGGATCAACAGGATCTGGATCAACAAGATCATCGGGAACAGGTCCAACAAGATCAACAGGAGCAGGTCCAACAAAATCAACAGGAACAGGTCCAACAAGATCAACAGGACTTGGATTATCAAGAACAACAGGAACAGGACCAACAGGATCTGGATCGACAAGACCAGCAGGACTTGGATTAACAAGAACAACAGGAACAGGCCCAACAAAGCCATCACATTCTCCAGGGAGTGCCCTTGGAGATCCTGCGACTAGACCTAAATCCAAAACTTTTAAAGTTCCTTCACTTGCTTTAGGGCCAAAACAAACTGGAACTCACTCGAGATCTAGAAGTAGATCCAGAAGTAGAGGAAGATCCAGAAGTCGTTCCCCTTCAAAATCTAAAGAACCAGAATGTGGAAATGAAACAGGAAGTGGAAGTAGCTCAGCTCCAGGCAGTTCAAGAAAGGGTTATGGAGGTGGAAGCGATAAAGACCCAAGCAAACCAAAAGGAGCTTCTGGGCCATCGAAATTTGGTAAAACTTTAGAATCATCAGATTCTGATGGTTCTGAGGACTCTGATGATTCTGATGATTCTGATAGTGATTGTGAATTTGAATCTTCAGTTAAAGAAGCGCAGGCGATATCCGTCTCAAAACTTTGTAAAGAACTCATTAAATCTGTTACTGGTTCCGGACATTCTCTTAATTTTGAGGCTCGTAAAGAATCTGCAATAACTCGTATTAACAATCTTTTCAGCAAATTCCGCTATGTTCTTCAAGCTCTAGAACAAAAATTAAAAGAAGTGGAAAAGAAGATGGCAAAACTTGGATGTAATGATCCAAATATTGAAAATGATCCAAATTGCAAAGACATATGTACAGAATTGGCTGAAAAAGCTGCGAATCTAAGGTCCCTTATACTTTTATTAAAGAAGAAAATTAGGAAGTTAACGAAATGTCTTTCAAAAATTAATGATCTTCATGAAGAGGGAGCGCCGCTTAAACCTAAGAAACGTGGGCCTAAAAGGTCAAAATCTGACTTGGGAGAAAGAGCTCGTAGAGGTGATCAATCCAGTTCAGAAGACTCTGCTGGTGAGGGAACTTCAAGCAAAGGAACTCATCGGAGACTTAAGAGAGGAGCAAGACCATTAACCCTAGGTTCTCTTGATGAATCAACACTTGGAGCGGTTGGAGGTGCACCTTTAGAACAGGGATTAAAATCTCAAGGTTCCAGTTCTACATCAAGTCTTGACTCTAATTCAAGTGGTAGTAGCCAAAGCAGTGGAAGCAGCTCTTCATCATCTAGTTCAGTGTTTTTGTTTAATGGTAAGCCGATTACACAAGAACTCATTGAAAAAGAAGTAGGTATAACCAAAGAAGAGTGTAATGCCTTGATATTTTTCCTTTTAATGAACAAGAGTCGTTTTGATGAATCTGATCTGTTTTCTGTGGAAGCTACTCGATATGTGGGAGTACACTCTGGTATGAGAGGTTTACTCAATTCTTCTTTAAGTAGAATTCAAAAATACAAGGGCTTAACATCTGGATTACCTCCAATTGATCAATGTGATGAAAAAGATAGAAAGAACCATGGTTTTTATTCTAGTGCGATCAATGCTCTTGAACTTAAAGTTAAAATGTACACTCAAAAGCTTTCAGTTATAGAAGAATGTATTCTTCAAATTTTAGATATTCTTAGAGCAATGGGTCGTGAGGACTTACTCCGTTATTTCAACCCTTCTCTTGAACTTATGTCTCAAGCTCAATCTGACTCTGAAGGTGAATCTACAGGCCCAGATGATGGAAATGAAGATGAGAATGAAGATGGAAATGAAGATGGAAATGAAGATGAGGATGAAAATGGCGAAAAATTTGATCTTGAAGACATAACTGAAGAAGAAAGCTAACAAGCAGATAAAACTGAATAAAATGCAGACGAATTCGAGTAAGATAGAATTGTTTGAATTATCGTTTGAAATTGTAATTCTTTGTTAAAAGGACTTTGGACAATTTTAAGTACAAAATATTAAGGTTCTTTTAATTTTGAGTTAAAACTGAGTAGGAATGACTTATTTGCCCTATACCAGGACCAATTTCATCCAATATAAACAAAGAGTTTGGAATTTGATTAAGGGAGGGCAAACTAGGTTGTTCTTATACTATTGAAATGTGTTGGATTTAAATAACATTTACAATAGATCTTTGGGAGGTTATGGTTTGGATTTGGTGTAATATGTTTGCATGCACATTATTAATGAAAAAAAAAGTTCAATTAATATGTGGAAGTTATTTACTGCATTGTTAGCAAAATTTCCGAAATTTGAAATGAGATTTTCTCTTTATTAGCTAGAAGTGACTAGGCTGAGAAAATAATGTTTTTATATGCAGCCTAATGCATTCGGTTCTAATACTAAAATGACCAGCATGGGTATTTATGTTTAAGAAATTGACTAGTGGATTTAAATATGCGGTTTGTGAAAAGGAGAAGGTTAAGGTTCCTCATTTACTTTTGAATGACTAAAGTGTAAATACAGAGATGTTTAAATTGTACGATTTAAACTTCAAATCTAAATTAAAATGATTGATGATTGAATCTTTCTTTTAACAACAATATTGATTGACTGAAATGATAATTTTTACATCAATTATGAAAACAATCGTTAATTTCGGCTTTTGATTTTAATGTTATGGCATTATTAACTTGGACCCCAATGGCGCCAATAATTTGTATAATAACATTCTGCAGTTTAATGTGAATTTAATAGTTAGTGTTTGATGGGTTATTATTTTAAAATGGTGGGTATTTTAGAAAGCTTACCAACAATGATGTGTAAAGAACGCGATTAATTTTTGTACAAGATTGGTCTGGAGACCAGTTAATTAATAAATTATGGTTGTTTTGCAAATTGAACAAATAAAACGATGGCGTTGTTAAGACAGAAGTGATATCTCTAAATCGCTGTTTAATAGGGATTATGTCAATGATCTTTGGTGTAATAACCTTTTTAAAGTAAAAAGTTATTTACATTTTATGGGTAACTTATTTCTTTAAATTTCAAACTTACTATTTTGATGCAAGTTAATTGTTTTTCCATAAATAAGCCAATAGTATCATATGAACTGGATGATAGCGTCAATGATTTAATCTTGAAGACAGTATCCTTATATTGATAAGGGCATCTTATAGATTGAGTACTTGGCTTGATTTTGCATACATTAGAAGAATAATTGAACAATTTTACATATTTTGAACTTTTTTTTGAATCTTTTTGAATCATTTGTCTAAAATTTAATTCACTAAAATTATGAATTTCCATCTCTTTAATTATGGTATTTGGAATGCAAATAATTAAACTAAGTATATCTTCGTAGATTTGTTTAAATAATTCAAATTGAATTAGCTGGTTAGGGTCTATTTTATTAGGTAAATATTTAATTAGAAGACTAAGTTTGATTATTTAGAATGATTAGGGTTTTAATTAATTAATAATAAGAAGATTTATTAAATTAAACAGTACCTTAAATGCTTTGAAAAGTATAACCCACTTATTAGTATGATTCCAAATTCGTCCTTGTAGTTATTCATTCGTTGATCAGATCTCAAAAATTGGCATATATGATTAAAAAGTTCACCAGTTGAAACAACTCCAAAAGAGTCTTTTCTTGATAGTAAAATTTGGTCGAATGGAATTTCTATTTCTTCTTCAATTTTGCATTTTGGAACTACTAATTGTTCACCATTTGACTCATCTTTTTGGAGCTTACTAGTCAAATCAAATTTATACTCATTTATTTTCATTATGAATGCATTTATTTTATTAACTTTTTTGGTTTTTATTCTTTCATCAAAGAATTTCATCAATTTTTCCTCCAATAAACTACTACCTACCACTACAAATTCACCCATTTCAATGCTTTATATATGAATTCTAACTTGTTAATTAAAGAAAATGATTAATGTTTTAATTAATATTTGTTTCTAATTTATTGTTAACAAAAACATCATGCGTAGCATTGCATGCATTTTTATTTCTTGTTTTTTGCATAATCATTTAGGCGGGAAATGTTTGATAGAGAATAAATGTTTAAGTGGATAAAAATGTTAGAAAATTACAAGAGGTGCATATACAAAATTTAATGAATGTGTTATTTAATGATATTTGTATAAGGGGATATGAGGGTTCACTATTTATGTGTTTTTTTACTTAATTATGAGCTTATATAAGAAAACTTTGTTAAAGTTAGAAATATGTGTGTGCATACAAATTCTTCGATTGTATGTGGGGTAGTATATATAATAACTCAATAAATACATGGTTTGATTTCCCAATATTTACTTTCTGTTAATAAGCTGATTTTTAGTTTCTGTTAATGTTGGATAATTGTCTGTGAAGCATTGTACATAGCATTTAATCAAATCATGATCTTTATTTAAATTATTTAAAAGATCTTTGGGTTTCTATTGATATTTGAAATGGTTTTTAATAAAAGAAAAAGTTTTGGCAGAAGTAAAAATTAATTAAATTCATTTTTTTACGTTATATATTTTATCTTACCTTAAACAAATTTTCAAATTTATTAAAACATTGTTGTTGGCAATTAATCACTTTTTCATTAATAATATTTAATTCACTATTAACCTTATTTTGGAAAGTTTCAATAGGGTCCTGGCATTTCTGTATTATAATTAAAAAAACATACCAAATATAGTTAGTGTAAAAAGTTTGGAAGTTTTAAATAAAAGAATTTTTATTATTAATTCTGTTAACATACCCTTATGCAATCTTGGATGTCTTCTAATGATTTTTTTTTGTTTGAATTTTTAATATACTTTGAAATACAATTAGAACAACACTCAAAGGCTTTTTTTTGATCATTTAGAGTAGAAAAAGTGATCTAAAAAAATTATTCGAAATTATTTGAATAATTGTTATTCATTAAAATTAAATTTTATATGAAGTTTGATTAAATTATTTGAAAACTATTTTTTTTTTTTTTTTTGGTAAAACATACATCATTAACTTGATCTTCAAATTTTTTTTTGAAATCTCCAATATATTCTTCAATTTTATTAACTAAATCAATTGTGAAATTTGTCATTCTAAAAATTTCCTCTGCTTTTATTTTATGACTTTTTTGACTATTATTGTCAAAATTACTTCTTTAGTTACTTGGCTGGGGGAAAAATTCAAAGTAGAGATTATTGAGATGGGGAGAAAAGAGGGGGGCAATTTTTTATACAAGTATTATTTTGCAAATTCAGTATAGAAACTTTAAGATTCTATTCAATTATTATTTTATTAATATTATTATTAAACACAAACTGGTATTTGAATTACAATCTAATTAATCAGAGTAAATAAAAAACTCTTACTTTTAAGTGAATTATTAATATTCGTTCTTTTTCCAACATTTTTCAAAAAAAATAATAGAAATATTTGTGAAAATTAATCTTTTCTCTCAATTTAATTAAATTGTAAAAATAAATTAATTTTCCACATGCAATTGCATGTATTTTTTTATATTGTAACAAAAGTTAAGTACGTATTCCTATACCGGTACAATAAATAATAATATTAAATTCTATGTGGATAGAAAAAATAATTAAGAATGAATATTTCATCGTTTAGAATAAAAAGAAGGAAAAAAAGCGAAGAAGATGACGATGAAAAAAAGGAAGATCCAAGTTATCAACAATTATTAGAAATTGTTGCTCCAATTAATAAATTTAAGAGTAAGCCAGCATTAGGAGTGACTACATTTTCAAGGCAAATGTGGTGCGAAAAAAGTTTAGAGATTTGTCTTGAGAAGAATATTAAAATCACAAGTAAAGCCATTGAAGAGGGCATTAAACACCATGAAGAGTTGGAATTAGAAGATCACCAAGTTTTAAGTGTAATTGTAGAGAATGAATACGAAAAAATTTCTATTGAAATGCTGAGTATTTTAAATTTATTAGATGGGTTAATAGAAAGAGGATATGTTCGTGAGCTTCCAATAATGGGGTTTTACAAAGGAATAATGCTAAGAGGAATAATTGATTCGTTACAATTAAAACCAAAACTAAATGAAATTGGTGAAACTATTAACGCTAAGTATACACCAAAAAACATTAATAAGTTTATTATTTTGATTACAGATACAAAAACTAGAAGAAATACAACTCTTCCAAGCAATGCTCAACAAAAAACTACAGTTTTACAACTGGGATTATATAGAAAAATTTTAGCTGAAATGATTAATTCTGGAAAAACCTGGAAGTCTTGCCATTCAAATTTAACAGATTCTACTGCAATAAAAAAACACTTAAGCTCTTTTTCCAAAATGGATTTGTTAAGTTGTTGCTCTGGTTGTAGATTCTTGAATAATATATTCGAATTCCATAACTTAGACCCATCCATTTCTTTTTCAGAATTTCAAGAATTGGAAAGTGAAAGAAGAAAGCAGTGTTCAAAAGAACAAAAGGAAATTAAAGATGTTGAAAGTGAGGCTGTGGTTCATTATGAAAATGAAAACAAAACTCAGTCTGTTGAAGATTCTGATACTGAATCTGAGGTTGATACTGACGGGAAAAGTGTACTTAGTGAATTTGAAAATGCTCTTGAAATTGGTTTCAACTTACTACTTAGTTTTTCAAAGCTTCCAGATATTCAGCCAGAAATGAAAGTTGAGTATGACTGTCAAGGGAAGACCTTTCTTACGAAATGGTACAGGTCCCCAAAACAAACTATTGATCTTGAGTTAGACTACTTATTAGGATGGTGGCTTGGATCTAGAGAAACTGAATTCGTACGGATCTCAGAGGCATGGAAATGCAAGTTTTGTAATGTAATTGAATACTGCCAAGTATGTCCTCTCTCTTTAGAAGAAAGAGAAAAATGCATAGAACAAATCCATCAAAGTGAATTAGAGTCATTACTACTTAAGGATTTGGAAGAATCATCATCTAAAGAACTTATTTCAGAATTAAAATGTTCTTAACTACTTTAATATCTATAATATAATACAAGTCCCAATATATGCAATACAAAAATTTGAGTTAAACATAAAAATAACCAAAAATTGATATTTATAATTAATACAAGTTATTACAGTTCTTAATATTAACTTATATTTGTTAAAAATCAACTTAAATATATTACTGCATTTTTTTTTGCCCGTTCATATATTATTTATTGGTGAATATGTGTGAAGCCTAAATAGTGCCATTATAATATTCAATATTAAATATTTACTAACACACACCTTAAAAGTCAAAAATATTTATTGGTTCATGAAATTATTAATTAATTTAATTAATTAAAGAAATTTTAAAAATTTTACAATTTTAATATATAATGCCATCAAGTTCAGCTTTATCCACTAAATGCTGTAAAATTATTGATGAATATGAGACTCAATTATCCAAAGAATTTGGAAATACATGCATTAAAGTAGCGGGAAGTGCACCTGAATTAAATAAATGCAATAATTTAAGGAAAGGAAGCCGTCTGGAGACTAATTTGGTAAATAGTGTCGTAGCATCTGAAAGTCCATTTAGAAGAGATTCAAGTTTAATATGGCTATCTTATGATCCATCCATACAAAAACTTAATGAGATCAATAAAATAGTTAATGAAGATGGTATAGTTGTTCCTGATATGTGTGATAAATATGTATTGGTAGATACTTATACAAGCATTTTAGCCTCAAATAGACAACAAGCTTGCTACATTTCACTTTTATCTCCCCTTCCACAAGATACCGTTGTTGGGATAAAATTTGGGGATCATTTGTGTCAAGGAAAAATTAATGATACAATGATTGAATACATATCTCCATCTCTTCCAGTTGGACGTCAATATGCAAAACTATATTTAAATAGTGTGAAAATGGGTGTCAAGTTTGGAAATGGAAGTACAATGTCAGAAGCAAGAAGTTATTTACCCTTTGATGTAATAGTTCAAGAACCAAAATCAAGGAAATTAAATTATAAGAAAAACAAAACTCCAATACCAGTTGGGGTTATGGGGCCAGCTCCATTACCAGAAGTAGACATAGAAGATGAAGTTGAAGAATTATTAATTATACACAAACCTAGAGGAAATGCTTCCATCATTTCAAGAAAGTATGCATTAGATAAATATTTTAAAGGAACACATTCAAAAGTTGTAAGTGCTCCAAGACGCGAAACTGGCGACTATAATAACTTGGATCCGTCAATCAAAGCTGCAGTTAACAGGGATTTTTTAAGAAGACTCTCGAATATTACTTTAGAACCAGATTGTAGAAGGACTATTAATTTACTGAATGAATTTATTTCAAAGCTAGATCCAGGTGCAACAGGTAATTTAATCCCTTTTAATATTAAATTAGAGTATTGGAACAGAGTTATAGCTGATGGTTGCCAAGAAATTATTGATAACTATCACAGTTATATTACCCAAGAAACATCAAATGAGAAATCCGTTTATATATTTACCAGAACTTCTCCGGATGCATTTGAGCCATACAATATATTTATGTTTTCTTGTATTATGGACGAGGCAAACAATAATTATGTACCATTATTACGAAGGTTTACGTGTAATACTGAAAATTGTGGAGATGTAAGACTTTGGCTGTGTGTTGGAGACTGTTATCTTATAAAGAATGAAGTTGCGAATAATTATCGAAAAATTGATCTTCCTTGTCCAATTCCTCCAATCATGAAATCAAAAAAATCTTTGCATATTTGGAATAGGGCAAGAAACCAATCCAACCAAACAAACTCAAAATATACATCAAGGAAACTCGGTACTGGTAACTCTGAATCAACACGGAGAGTTTATGGAGGATCATTAGGAGCTGCTGGTGTTGGCGCAAGTGGTATTGGAATAGGAATTAGTGCTAACGAAGATATCAATACTGAAAATAATGATTCTTCTGAGAAAGACAGATGTATTCAAATTTCCAATGATGTTTTTCTATTTTTCGAAATGTGGCCTTCCAAACTTCTCCCAAATGCTGGTAATACCACAGAATCATATTCATTCACTATATGCATTAAAAATCACCAATATCACTCGGTAACCGGTATTTCCAAACCAGTGTTAAGTTTTATACTTCAGAAATGGCTTACAAAAGTTCCAATTAGTGACTGAACTACTTATCTTTTATACATAGTGCTTTAATTATTCATATTGACTCACTATTCTCTTAATTATTAATCCTACTAACTAGATAAAACAATAGAAAAGAAAAACAAATTGTTTCAACGAATGCTAATACAACTTCAAAAGACTATACAATCGTGTCAATAATTTATTTAAAATAAACTATAATTAATGCGTCCTCCTCTATTAACATAATGCATGCAAATATTACGTGGCCAATTTTTTTTAGAAAACAATCTCATGTGGACATTGTGCATGGCATAATGCAAGCAATACCGTTATTTGCATGCGAATTTCTAAAGGAAATTGCCTCGTATAAAAAATTAGTAATAATGCGAGATAGAAAAAATTGCATGTATGATTAAAATATTATTTTTTTTCGAATCATTTATATAAATCTTTTTGAGCTCCAAAGTAAAAGATGGAGAGTGATAATAATGAAAACCGTAAAGATGATCATCCAAAAACCTTTTAACTGTTTATAACATCTTGCATATAAATGCAAGGTGGGTCAAACTCAATTATCTCAATTAAGGATCTATAAGTTTAGGAAAAAGAAGATGATAACGTGTATAATGAACTTAAATGAGTGAACCCAAGTTACCAATTCAGTACAAATAAATCCCAAAAGAAATTTTTTTTAAAAAAAATAAAAGTTCCACACATTATAAACTTAAATTGAATAATCACTAAATCATTTCCGTAATTTATCAACTATAATTCCAAACTCTGTACTTTCGAATTGCTACAAAAGAAAGTCAAGTATGTGAGAACTGGCTTAAATGTAGGATGCACATAACTGTCCTGTTGGCTTCGTAGTACCCATAATGATACCAATAATGACACCATAAATAGCTAAGGCTTCACCGAAAACCAAGATCAAAATCATACCAGTAAGAAGTCTTGGCTGTTGGGCAGCTGCTCTAACACCGGCATCACCAACAATACCAATGGCGAGACCAGCAGCCAAACTACTGAGACCAATAACTAAACCAGCGCTCATTTGAGCATAAGCTGTGTAGGCAGAATACATATTTGGTTCTCCCATCTGGAAGAAAATAACTAAAGAACCAATTAAACCGTAAATACCAAGAATACCTGCCATAACAGCTGGGATAATTGATCTCATGATCAAATCCGGTCTCATTACAGCCATTGATGAAATACCAACACCTGATTTAGCAATTCCATATGCTGCTCCCAAGTTTGCAAAAATCAAACATCCTGCAATTCCCATAAATCCAAAGAATAAACTGTTTGGGTCACAAGTAATCATCTCTCTTCTACTAATATTCAACTAATAGCTTTTCAGCAATTATCGTTTAATTATATAGCAAAATTACTAGTATTTACGATTCTTAAATAGAAAAAAAATACTATGTTTCAAATCGGGTTGCCCTATACTAGTTAGAATTTGTCTCTTGGGGGTACAATATTGGATAAATCTTACCGCCAAAATGTGGCGGTATTATTCAAATAATTTTTCTAAATTGCCTAGAGTTGTTTTAACTATTAATTATTAAATGCATTTTAAAAGTGTTGAAGAGTTAATTAATAGAAGTTAAATTATTCTATTCTCAAATCGACTTTATTGTAATTATGCCATTTTTTTTTTTTGATCTGTCCTCTGCCCAAATTTATAGGCTATTTTTATATTTTTCGTTCGTATGTTTTTCTGTATAGTAAAAATTAACTCATAATTATTCTTAAGATTTTAAACTCCGCACAATTCATTCATTTTCTAGTTATATTTATTTCAATAGATTAATAATCATTCATATATTCATGCTATTTTAAGTAGTATAACAAAATTCTTAAATTGGCGCCATATGGCGCCAGTTTAATTATTATTAATGTTGAAAACATCGCATTTTCGAGTAGGAAGGTTTAAGAGAAATAAATAAAGATGTTCTTAAGGTTTTACAAAAACGAAAAAGGAGAGAGAGTATATACATTATCGGTAAGTTTCTATCATTTCTTTTTTTTTGTTATAAACGGTTAATTAAATTGATCATTTATAGGCAGTAAACAAGGAAGGGGAAATCACATTTTCAGCTCATCCAGCAAGATTTTCACCTGACGACATTTATTCATCTCAAAGAATTGCATGTAAAAAGAGATTTGGGTTATTGCCAACTCAACGTCAATAATATGAAAGAGATTTCCGTTTATTTTCAGAAAAAAGTCTAGGTGTAAACAAGAACATTTCTATAAAATAACTCGAGTTATTTACTAATTATTTACTACGATACTAATCAGTTTAGACATTATTAAAGGTTAATTAGCTATTTGAAATCATAACAGGATAGAAAGGAGATGTAATTAACACATAAAAAAGAAAAACGTAGTAAAACTTAATAATAGATTGGATAATTGTTTAATATAGATAAAAATAATTAATCTAATTATTATTATCAATCCATCCTGTCTACTCTTTCTATAAATCCTTTTATATTTAAATTAAGTCACCATATAGTGATGTTATAGTAAACAGCCAAATGTGTAATATATAATTAATCTTGTAGTCTTCTGTAAAGTATGTAATACCTTTTAAAATAATAAAAATAACAATAATAATAATGAGCTGAAATAAAGTGTAATAATTACATAAATTATATTAATCATTACTTAATAGGTACACAAAGACTGTTTCCTGATGGACTGGAAATGAGTACCAATGAAACAATAATACCGTAAATTGCAAGAGCTTCACCGAAAATAAGTACAAGCATAGAAGCAACAAAGAGCTTAGATTGTTGAGCAGTACCACGAATTCCTGCATCTCCTGCAACACCTATAGTAAAACCACTGGCAGCACAACTAAAACCAGAAATTATACCAGCAGCAAGATGGCAATATCCTTGATATAATGAATAATCTGCCCTTAATTGAGAACAGATAATTACTCCTACAATTAAACCATAAACACCCAATATACCAGCCATAACTGCTGGAATAATTGATCTCATAACTAAATCTGGTCTCATTACACCACAAGATGCAATTGCCAATCCTGCTTTAGCTGTACCATAAGCTGCTCCCAAATTTGATAAGGCAGTAGCCAAAGTAGAACCAAGCATTCCAAATAAAGTAGCTGTTGGTGTACAAAATGGAGGTGTCATTTTTTATATTTTCTATTGATCTTCGTTTTTCTTTTATTTTTTTGTTTCCTTTAAGGCAACTTTTAGATATTCTCTTAATTTGCTTAACACTTTGCAAACTCGAGAATTTTCTTCAATTAACTTTTACTTATTATTTATATAATCTACCCTTTCAAATTTGTATACTTTCTCTTGTTTTATTCTTATTATCCTTCCTTTCCCCTATTTTAATTTTTTTATTAATTCTCATAATTCTCCAAGCCTACCCATTTTACCGCCATGAGACAATCACTTTTCCCGCCCACTGCTCAATTTTTTGTTATAAATATTTAATAAACTTTTTGTTTTTAAAAATTAAAAAATAAGTTGCCATTCTTAGCTTTAATTAATTATGATCATTTTCAGGGAATCGATTAATATAATATATTATTATTTATATATTCGAAGTAACACTCATTTTATCATTTTGCCCTAAGGTATTCTTATTGTTTCTCACCGGCCTGATTTAAATTTCCATAAAAATTATAATACATGTAAACTTGTATGTGCATGCAATACATAAATTACAAGTAATTACCGCAATTGAAAGATGGCCTGCCTACTTTTTACTCCAGCTCTCTCTTCTTAATTCCCCTCATTTTTTTTTCTATCCTGTTTGTAGTGAGCTTTATTTGAGATTCACACTTACTTATGCTAAATAATTACCCTATCTTTATTATTCATCTTTTCCTACCAACATTTTTCTATCATTTGCTCTTCTTCCTTATATATTATTTTCTAAATATCTTTTATACTTAAAAAAAATCATAATTAGTAATTACTCTGAATTGAATTTCTCGAGTAATGTTTGCCAATTATAATTTATGTGAATGCATGCAAAAATATTTTTCAGTTAAACAATGACGTAATGTGAAAAAAAAAAATTATTACATGCAAATAACACGTAATATGTTCATAATAAAGAAAAAAAATATTTAAATAATAATAAAAGAAATTAATGTTGTTCTATATACATTATACTTTCAAATATTAATTATTACTTGGTCATTTCTGCTGCTAGCATAGAATGATTTTCAGTCCATGCTTCTTCTGTCTGAACTCTCTTCAACCTAAAGAAGTTATTAGTAATAAAAATATCAACAATTCACTTAATTACGACTCAAATATTATTTTATTTAAATATATTAGAAAAAGAAGAAAAAAGGATGAATATTCTAAAAATATGATTCCCATCCAATTTTACTTCACCTTATAAAAGCCATAATTTTATTGAATAATATTCAACTTACATTCTTTTATGATCTTTACTCTTATTATGAGACATTAGAGATGATGAATTAATAAAATATCTTGCACATGTGATACAGTAAAATTGTCCTATAATTCATTATTATTAAACTCTGTAATTACATTTAATTACCTTAACATACCATGTCCTGGCAAATCCACATCAACTGGTAACTTTACACCTTTTATATAATCATTTTGAACTATATATCAGAAAATAATTTCGAGGGAAGAAAGAAAAAAGAATATACATTCCAACATAATTAATCCTAAGTTTTAATAAAATCACTTTTCTTTTGTTGTAACTTACCTGTTTCAAAATCTTTAGTTCTTCTTTTAGTTTTAACGTACTTTCCTACTGCTCTATTTTTAGCTTTTCCCGACTTTTTAGATTTTCTCTGACCAAGCCCCATTTAACTCTTTCTGATACCCAAAATTCAATACACTCTTTCTGACTTCAACTTAAAAATTTTTTCAAAACAATTTTTTGCTAATCAATCCTCTACTTCTTTAATCTTTTTTTAATCCACTAAGTGGTGAAATAATCACTAAAAAAGAAAAAACAAATTTTTACCTCATCCTACACAAGTACCGTTGTCAAGTCTGACATAAGGCGCCACATTTGGCGCGCCCATTTCTTTAATTTTATTTTCTTAAATAATAAATTTGTGTGGAATGAAGAAAAATATATTATAAGTTGGTTAATTTCCCAAGAAAAGATCCAAAAAGATTTGACAATTATTTAGTATCCTGATTTTACTGTTTTTCATCTTGTAAAATTTTTTCAGAAAGGCTGTTCCTTCAAAAGCTTTATTGGTAATCAAATTAAGTCTTTTATAAGAGCTTAGTAAAAAAATACTTTGAGGCTTAAAATTAAAAAAAAATCTCACCAAATTATTACTTCTGTAATTTTAATGATTTTGAGATGCCAAAATAATAAGTAAAAAAGAATAATCAAACCAAGATAACCCAAATGCAATTAGTAAGTGGTTGACTTAATACAAATTTGTAACCAAAACAAAAAAAAATGAGTGTTTTTCATATCATTCTTTCACTCATAATAATATTATTGTCTTTATTATATATATTTATTCATATTTTCAAAACATTTCTTCAAAAAAAAGGCTTTGAAGTTTCTTTTTCTATTTCTGGATTTTTCTCACTTGGGAATTTAAAAATTAAGATTCTTGAAAAGTGTCTTGAAAAATATAATCACATTGGAGGATTTGAATTAATTTTACCTAAAATTTCTGTTAGAATTCAATCTTGGAAATTTAAGATCATTTTGAATGAAAGTTACTGTGTTTGTTTTGTTTTGAATAAAGATCAATATAACAAGAAAGAATTATATAAGAAACATGACCATCATCCTTTCTCTCATTATACTAAATCCCAAGGTCAAATATCTAGAAATAACAAAATTGACAGTGATAGTAATATTGGAATCATTCGAAATTTGATGTTAATTGTTATGGTACAAATTTTCTCTAGAATTATTTCATTTGAGCTTGAGAAGATCCAATTTAAAGTTTACATAATTGATTGTAAATGTATTGTAAACCATAGAAATCTTAAAATTAACCAAGATGGAAATTGTGAGAAATGTAATATTAAAATGAAATATGGTATATATTCCATACTTGATATCCAAAGTCTAAGTATATTTCCAAAAGCTTATCTTGGTGGAATAATGGTTAATATCCAATTAGATAATCCTGTATTATATTTAAATCCAATTGAAAATACAATTTCTGAAAAAAGATGTCATACTTTTTATTTGGATTCCAATAACAAATATAATCAATCATCCAAAAATGGGTCAAGTATTTTTAATTATCTTCTTGAACAGTATTATCTTAAATATAATAAATCTATTTTAAAGCAAAACCACGAAAATAAAACCAATTATCCTCCTTTACTTTATGTTAATAATAGGCTGAATATTACAATGAAGTTAATGCATTCTATGTCTGGATCTGATATTAGAGTATGTATTCTTCGGAATGTAAATATTGAGATGAATCAACTTTGGCTTACATTAATACCAGAAATCGTTTGTGAACTAATTTATGTTTTCCATATAATTAAATCCAATTGGAAAAAATCTACTAAAACCACTTACAACAAAATTAGGTCTCAAATGTTAGATCCTAATATCATTAATCAGTCTGATCCAATTATTAAATTATCCCCAAAATATCAATTACTAAGTAATAATAATATACTCCCAACTTCTCCTGTTACTTTAGCTCCTCCTTCTTCTCCAAATATCTCATATTCTTCTCCATTTAGTAAATTTGAAGATCAAGTTTCCAGAACTAAACAACAGAAACTTATTATGAATGAGAATTTGGATAGACAACTTCAAATCAATTTTAAAATTTCTCAACCATCTTTGATATTTTGTGACAATACTCAATCTAGTTCAGGATTTGAGATCTTATTTCATGATTTTGAAGCTCACTTTATAATCCAATACTTTGTTGAATACCTCCAAAGTAGTCTTAAACTTTATAACCAAGATTATGATTTTGAACTTTCAAACTCAGAATCATCAGATATTAACTTAATTAGTAATATCTCCAATCAATCTGATTTAGATAATGATTTGAAGAAAAAGATTAGAAGAAGTTTGAAACTAGTTTTTGGAAGTAAACTCATATTTGGAAATTCCATTTTATATTCAAATCCCAAAGAAAACCATCTTCTTTCAAAACAAATTATGCCAAATACCATAAAAGATGGAGATTTTACTTTTGACAGAATGTTTATCATTGAACATTACAAATCAATTATTGAGATATCAGATAACAATTTTGTAAAGCTTTACTTGAAAAACTCCATTCAAAGAATGTTTGGAATATGGAGAGAAAATGGATTTTACCAGAATTTGACTTTATTTCTCCAGTTAATTAAATTCCAAAAATATCTTTCCAAGATTAAAATTCAAGCAAATAGTAGTAATAATAATCATCATCATTATGTCTTTGAAAAACCATTTATAGATAAATCAACTGAGGAGATTCCAAAGATACCAATTAGAATAGAACTGGAAGATGATGATATTCTTAAAAGTGATTTTCTGATTAAAAATAATAATTACTTAAAAGAGATTATGACTATTAAGGATTTTGCTGTTAACTTACTTTTTTATTTAGAAATCAAAGAAATGACTATTCAGACCAATGATATTAGTTGTTTTAATCATGAATTACATATTCTTAAAAAGAATGATTGTTGTAATTGCCATTGTGAAGATTGCTTTACTGAATCTTTTGGTCCAAAAGAAAGGTATGAATGGAGAACTGATTTTGACTCTGAATATGACTCCAAATTCACTATTGATGAAAAAGAAAACCAAGATAATCCAGATATTATAGATGATCGGTTTTTTGTATTGAATATAAGTAATTTGAAGATTTGTAATACATCCTTAAATAGAAGCTTCTCAATGCTTTTTTCAGATGTAGACCTTTATAGTATGCAAGAATTTGTTGATTTGGAAGATATATCTACTAAGTATTTAAATCTTGCTACAGATTTAAAACAGAATAATGATATATTAGATCTCCAGAAAACATGTATTTATCGATATGGATGTTTTGATCAGAGAATTCAAGCTGTTAAATATAAAATATTTCCAAAAATTAAAGAGAAAAACCACTTGGTAAAATTAAATGAGTCAATCATCATTTCCCCTTGGGACCATAAAAGAATTTCACTTAGATTTAAAGGTATCCATGGAAATCTTCATACTTGTTATGTTCCATTATATCTTTACATTCTTGGATGTTTCAGTATTGATTGCCTTGCTCTTAAAAAGACTAACTTGAATAAAGTTTATTATGGAATAAATAATCAATTTGAAGAGAATTTTGACTTTTATTGTAATCAAAGATCTAATTATTTTGAAAAGTTTAAGCTGATAAAAAAAGATTTAATCCAAATGATCAAGGAATTTAATCCAGAAGAGTTAAATAACAGAAATGTAGAACTCTGGACCATTCCTGATATAATTCAGAGTAAAGTTGGATCTTTAAAATATACCTGGTATTTTGATTTTGATGATATCTCTGTAAATTTTTTGGATGGTTTTAAGATATTAATGAACAAATTGAGCCTTTATAGATGTAATGAGTATGGGAATTATGATATTCAAATGAACCATGTTAAAATATTTGATATTTTTGGAATTAATATTTTGAGTTCAAGCAAAATCAGAATGAGATCTGATATCCCTTTTAAAACTACTAAAATTAAGTCTCCAATTTGTCTCAAAAAACAACTCAGAAGAATTATTGATTTATCTGTGAATGGAGATTTACTTTTGCTTTCAATTCTTGGAAATCAAGAAAACTCAGAGAATAACTTGAAAGACATTAAAAATGGGATGATTTTCTTTGATTCCAAAAGGTTTATTCTTGAAATTGACCAGCTTGATATATTACTTTTGGTGAATTGCCAGTATAGAGAATCCCTGTTTAAATACCTTTACCAGTATATATATATAACATTTTACCAATTATTCCATCCTCCTATAATTATTAGGACAGGAAAACTACTTTCATTTTCACGAAAACATCCAATTATATTTTCCTGTAATAATATATTTGATTTTTTGATTACCAAAATGACTCTAAGTTTAAGCAGTTTGGCTAATTTTATGTTTTCACAAGATTATGAAAGATTTCCAGTTTTTGACTCTTTAAAAACAAGAATTAAAAAATGTTCCAAAGATGACTTAAATATCCAGTATAAACTTAAACCCAATCATCTTCCAACCCAGAGACCCAAAGTTGGACTCAACAATATATTAAATTTCCCAATTTCTGAGGTAAAATTTGACAACCTAAGGCTGAACATTAGAACAAAACATACATCAAATTCAAAATCTCCATGTAATGACAAGGAGTGTTACAATATTCCAAATTACTTGACCAATAGTATTTCTTCAGAAGAAAGATTTTTAATCAATTCGAATTATAACCCAATTAATATTTTTGTATCTTTAGTGGGACTTTCTCTTAATATGTTTAACCAGCTTAGTTTAACTGGGAGTAAAGCCACAATATACTCTAGAAAAGAAGTCTCCCTTACTAATGAAAGCATTATTTTTGATTTTAGAAGAAATTATTCTCATTTGGATAGTAATGTAAATGAAAATATGAAAATTCTTAAAAATATCCCAGAGATGAGTTCAGATATCAAGATTTCCATTTACTCTAAATCCAAGACTTCATTATACTTGAGCAATTTCAGTTCCTTTAAAACCATAAAACTCTTAAACCCAATTTTGGAACTAATCAAAAACAGTTCAAACTTTAAATTAAAGTTGCAAAAAAATAAATGTGAGACTTACTCAAATGAATTCAGTAATATCATTATTTCCAGAAATACCTTAACCTTTTCTCTCCTTATCTCAGACCTAACAAGCTTATATTTAGTTCCATATATTAACTTCCAAATTCAAAAAGAAATGAGTGATAACTCCTCAGTAAACATACACTTGCCAAAGATTGAATTGAATTTGAAAAAAAATAGTTATTGTGACATCCAAGAAATGGGGAACTTTTTAAACCAATTGGAAGCTGTTTCACTGTTTTTAAATGATGGAATTCTTATTGGGTTGGTTTCCAAAGAAATTTTTGCTCCTTTAGCTAAGAGAAAATGCCAAGGATTAAGTTTGGGTATGAATCCAACCCAACAAAGATATTCTTTAAAAAGTACTCTGATTTCCATCTCAAAGTTTAATATTAATCTCATAAGGAATTCAAGCAAGGAATTTGATATCAAACTTGTTTTGAATGGTTTGGATAGAGAATCCATAATAGAAAAGTATATTGGAAATGACTCAAATAGATCTGATACTTCAAATACAATACCATTAACTTTAAATCTGGATTCAGAAAAATTAGTTCAGTTTTCCACTATATTAGAATCTTTTCTTGATGAAAACAACTTTGAAGGTATCTCTTTATATTACTGTGAAGACTGTAATCAACTTAAACCAATAAAGTCAATTCCTTTATTGAAATCCCAACAAGTTTTAATTTCTGAACAAAATAGCACATCCATTGAAGGGATTATACAATCTGGATTCAATTTTTTACTAAGAATTTCTCTAAATGATATTAATTTGAGATATGAAATCTTCAGCCTTTTAATTAAAGATGTTTGGTTGGATTTAAGTTATTTCAACTCAGAAATGAAAAAGTTTCTTTTTGGAATAAATCAGTCCCAATTTATTGCTGAATATTTTCCTTATATACTTAGTCAGTTATCTAAACCATCCCAATCTTTTAAAATTTTACGTGGTTCTAATATTCAGATATCTTCAAATTTCAGCTCGAAAACTAAAGTATTGGAGATAGCTAGGATTGGAAGTATTTTGTTTGATATAAGTAATAATGATTCAGTTTTGCTTGTTTTGAAAGGTCCTCAACTTAATTTGAATACATTAACATTTGTTTATTTGGAAGTTTTAATTAAGATTTTCAATGTATTAAAGTTAAACTCTGAAGGAGGAAAATTAAAAAAGGAGAATTCCTCACTAAACCAAGAAAATAATGCACCAGTTATTTCTATAATTCCAGGAAAGAAGTTTAATATCCAGATTTATGAAATCATGATAAATACACACAGTCTTGGAACCAATAAAGAGTATAAATCCCAAAAAGACGATCGCAAGATTCGTCTCAGAGCAAACTATTCAGGAGCCAAGAAAACTTCAAGAATACCAGATCTAGATACTCAGAGTGAATTTCTTTTCCAAGTTATAGAGCAAAATCCAATATATAGTACTTTCACTTTGGTTGATGATTTTGAAGACTCAAATACGAACTTTTGTATTTTTCAAAGTAATAATAGCCAATCTTGTCTTGAATGCAGGTACCACTTAAATAGGCCACTAATATATTCTTCAAAAATTTGTACTGAGCAAAAGAGTGAAAGCTACTTTGGAGGAATTAGTACTAGTAGTTGTAGCAGCAAAATTAAAAGTAGTAATAAAAGTAGCAAAAATCAGCTCGATGATGTATTTAGGAAGTATTGCAATGAATACTTTTCTTTTTTGGATGAGCATTTAATCTCGGATAAGTACCAAAAATCAAGCTTTGAGATGATCCAAGAATATAGAAAAATTTGTATGTACACTGAAAGTAACATTGGTATTCCTTTTGACTATGGCCAAATAATAGATAATATGATTCTTGGAAAGCTTGGATATGGAAAAAAGGCAGGCCATATTTATTTTTCAAGAAGCTTTACACAAATTATATGCAGGATTCCACAAATTGATTGTTCTGTTGGGATTTATGACAGCAACAGAAAATTCGAGTTTGTATTAAAAATGTTTCCAGTTTCCATTGATATTTTTCTTTCAAATAGGTTGATTTGGGATTCGTTTGGAGACAGTATTAACCAATCATCTGCTAATCTTGATGAATCATCAAAGCAAAAGAAGGAAGACTTGAGAATTTTTTCGGAGATCTCCAACTCTTATAGTTTGAAACCTTTAGAACCCTGTTTTTGTGATGATTATAATGAAAAAATCCATCCTCATATTCGAAGTTGTTCTAATCAATTGAATTCAGAGGTTCAAGAAATACCAAAAATCATTGAAAACTTTGAGGTGTTAAATAAAAACTCTTCTTCTTCCTCACCCATTTCATCCTTAGAAGAGACCCAATCAGAGAGGAAAAGGAGCTTTTATGAGTGTAGTCAAGAGATTCTAAAGACAACACCAATTTTTGTTAGTGTAAGAATTCATACTGGAAAGCCAAGTACCCAATTAAAAATATATTCAAAGCTTCTCTCAGTTTCAATAGATTCAAGTAGGGTCCAATCAATTAATGAAATCTTGTACTCTTTTGAACTCAAATACACAAACAAAACTCATCAACCATATCAGGATTCCCAAAATATGTCTAATCCTCCTTCCATTTTTTCCAGTTCAAACAATACTTTTGTAAACAATCATACCATTAATGTCTCGTCAGCTACTGCAAATTCGGTTACAAATGAAAATCTTCCACCTCCAATTTACTATTCCCATAGTTTAAATGCAACTACTGGTATCACAAACTCAGGAGAACAGGCTCAGAATTTAAGCTTGCAGAGTGCACCACAAGTATATAATTTAAGTGTTTACTCTTCCACAAAAATTCCTTCAGTATTGTCCTTCCAAAACTACTTGTATGAGCAAAGGCAGGAACAAGGCCAAAGAATGAATATACTGAATGTATTAAACTTGAATAAAAGAATGAAGAACAATCTTACATCTAGTTCCCTGGATTTAAATCCAAACAGAATGTTCTCAAACATGGACTTGAACGATAAGAATGTAATTAATATGCTCAAATTTGAAATTGACAAGTTCTTAGCAAACAATCCTTTGTTTTACACAGTGGTTGACAATGTCCAGTGCCAAGGTGGAGGAGATAATAACCAGGTAAACCATTATAAACTTCAAATAGAGTGTATTATCGACCAGCTGAACATTGATATGTTCATTAACAATAGAAGATTTTCAAATTTCCAGTCAAAAGATATTAACTTCGTTATGTTTTCAAACAATAAACCATCAAATTCAACAATCATTGAGTTTGATACGTCCTTTATCTATTTGTCTGCAAGTAAAGATTATATTTTTTCGAATAACAGCTCAAACGTTAATTCTTCTACTGGTGGGACTACCAACTACAATAATAACAGTAGTGGTAACAGCCAAATAAGTTATAATAACTCGAATTCCAATCAAAATTTAAATAATGTCTTCAGTACAAGTGTAAAAGTAATTGGTAGTGGAAATGTAAGCTCTAGTAGTCTTGGAAGTGGTCTTAATTGTAATAGTTCAAGTTTCAATAATGTTGGCTCCTTATCTGCAACTGAGAACGGCTATAATGTAGTTTCCCAAGAAGAAGTTTCTATAATTCATCCAATGTACATTGATGGGCATACTAACCAAGGACACGGACATGTTTTATCAATCCGTATCAATATGAGGCAGGTAAGACTACTTGAGATCTACAACATTCGAATCTTGGAAAGTGTTGTAATCAGGGTCCACCCAATTCGTGTAAATATAACTCAGTACCTGACATCTTGTTACTATGACATATTCTTCCCACCTCCAAATAATAACCAACCAAGCCTAATCTCAATTCAAACAGGAGGAAGTTACAGTCAGAGCTCGCTTCCAATCTTAAATGCTGAGACAGAAGCGGTTTCATCCAATATTCAAGAAGAGAATACCTTTTATAGTGGAAACACCCAAATGATCAATATTAATGCAAGTAGTGATATAATACCAACTGCAGATCATGAAAACCCCTCACCAACTTTGACTAGCAAACAATCAAACAACTCGTCAGTAGATTCACAAAACTGCTCCCCCAAGAATATACTCTATTTCAACTATCTTCGTATCTCGTCAATTCTAGTGGAAGTCACTTATCGTGGTTCAGTCTCATTAAATAATGTACTTTTAGAGCTTAGTTCATTTACCCAAAGGAGGAAACACAGAACAGTCAAAGAAATGGTTGACAAATACATTTCTTTCCTTAGACGCCAAGCCGCAAGACCTGTAATTTCTTATACTTTTAAACAGCTTAGACATTCTCTACTTCCAAAGCATTTCAAATCCCATAAACGCAGCAGTAACTTTAATTCCCAGTATAATGACATTGCCAAAGGTAATATACACGGTAATCGTCAAATTAATGGCCATGAACGTTATTCAAAACTTAGCTCTTCCTATCAAAACATTCTTGTTGATACTTCACACAACGGAAGTATCAGAAATTATAATAATATTAACTCTATTCTTCCAAATAATGATGAAGATTTTTCAAACACTTCCTCTCGCAAGATTCAAAGTAACAATTACTCCAAAAATGACTCAGAATATAACAAATTCAAACTCATATTTGGAAATCAACTTCTGATTTAATTTAATGAATGTTTTTTCTTTCCCAAATCTTTTCCTGATAAATATTGCTTGAGCCCATGCACATGCAAAAAACACTTGCAATATACCGGTGGCAGTTGGCGCCACACGTTGGAAAATTGTTATATAATTTGACAAATCACTGAATTATTTATTTTTTCTTATTATTTATTCTTTAGTTTATTATTTTTTAACTTTAAAATAATAATAATAATAAGGCATTAGGGTTTGAGATTCTGACTATTGATTTCTTTTTCATAAATTTACAGAAAAAAATTTTATTTCTGGCTCGGAGTTTAAGTTATCCACATTCAATCAAATACAATATTATGACATTATTTCCAGAAAAACTAGACAGAATAAAATTAAAAGAGAATGAGAGATAAGGATTTTCAAGTAGAAGCAATAGAATGTGTAGCGTTCTGTAATCTTACTGTAAGTTTATTGTGGTAATTAGAAATGTGTGGATTTGTTCTAAGAAAAATAGTGAAATTACCATTAAGTATAGAAAATTGATAATTCATGTGATATTCAACAAAAATAATTTATTGTTATTTTTTTTAAAATCTCAAATTTTGCAGAATGAGAACACCCCAGTTGGATTATTATTAAATGAAGCCGATAATAAAGTCTTAATAGTATGTAATGACAAGTTTTATTACTTTGATTTAGGTAATATTATTCACCCAAATAGTTCATTTTTTGAAGAAGGGGTTAGTAAGATTCTATACTACAAATCTATGCATCTAGGGTAAGATTTCTCAAAGTTAAATGATTCATAGGTTTTTTCATATTTATCATAAATCTAATTATTTCAGAGGAAATATAAGAAATATTTGTAGAAATAAGCAAATAAAAGATGAGATAGGATCAGATAATACGTTACTATTTGCTTTAAATTGTAGAAATTATCCTATAAAGATATGCAACTTTGACGGAGAACTAAAGACAAGTGTATATATGAAGAACCAATACGAAGAAATTGACGAAATCTATTCTCTAGAATTCCTTTATTCAACAAATTTGTCCATAATATTAGGAGGAGGAAAGAATTGCATACATATATATGATTATAATTGCCAGGAAAGCCTAGAATGTATTGTAAGTTAAACAAAAAATAAAATATGAATTAACTAATATTATCAGAAATTAAACTCGAGAGAATGTATTATGGAAAATTCTAAACGCCAAAAAGGCATTATATCTAGTTTATCTCTCAAAACAACCGGCATAGGGTCCTTCTCTGTATTTGTATCAGGATCTTTTTCTAATACCATCTTTCTACATGACTTAAATGATTTAAATAGTCAGATCCAATTAAATGATATTAATTTAAACTTTAATGCAGTAACTGAGCTTTATTGGTTGGATGGTTACTATAATTCAAAGTTTCTAGATTATCATTTAATATCTGGTCATAGAAATAGTAACTATCTGTATATTTGGGACGTTAGAAGGCCTAATAAGGTACTTTTTCAATTAGATAGAGAAAATTCTGGTTCAAATCAAAGATTCAACATAAACTTTCAATATTATAAAGACGAGCTGAAATTATATTATGGTGATTTAAAGGGAAACCTTAATATACAAAAGCTAAAATTTAATTATGAAGATAATAAATTTCTTCAGGATTTGAGTGAATGTCAAAAAATCAAATTAGAAGGCCAATCAATTCCTTTTGTTGAGAGGTTTTACAACCAAAAGTTGTTACTTACATTATCTGGTGAAAGATTTACAAGTTTTGGAGAAAACCAAGGATGCAGCTTCAAAGTTTGGAAAACTAGTTAATAACAAAGAGTAATGCTTTATTTCCAATGTTAATTCTAGTCTCAGAATTTAAACTTAGTCTCGGATTTGATATTATCAATATTTTAAATTGAGTTTTTGGATCCCATTAAAATTGGAATATGTTGGATATCATTTATTAATATTTTTATATAAAAATAAATTTGTTTTCTAAGGTAAAAAAAAGAGTCAAATTGTTTTTCTTCTGCTGGAATTGCAAAAAAAAAAACAATTATTTCCTTTTTTTAATACCACTGTTCTTGTTCTCGTTATTTGCTAAAGCCTTTTCCTGATCCAGTAACTCTCTAGCAATCTTGTCAGCAAGATTACTCTCACTAAGTTCTCTTTCCTTAGCTTTCTTCTCCTCTAACTCTTTCTCCTTAGCAAGTCTCTCTTTTTGTAAACGCATTTCTTCTTGTTGCTTTCTAATAGCATTTAATTTCCTGGCATCCAAAAATATATAATCTCCCCAAGAATCCTGAATTAAGCTTGCCTCATCTCTTATATACTCTATAGTTTCTTTAAGCTCCTCCATAGAACTTTCAACATATAACCATTGTTTTTCTGAAAGCAGCAATTTCTTATACAACTGCATATTCCCCATATATTCTGATGAAATCCTGGAATAACTATCTTGTACTGCCATTGCTGCTCTTAATAAAGCCTTCTTCATCTCAGAAACAAGCTCTGGATTTGATGCCCTAAGTCTAAGACGGAATTCTTCAATACTTACATTCTGTGGGCCAACTTCATCTCTTAACTTGAAATAGTGTTTTAAATCTTTTTTTGGAAATGTGAGCTTACCCGATGAAATAAAGGCATCACAAAGAGCTTCATCCTGGGAGTCTATTATTTCCACGTCTTTGAATGAATAGTAAACTATTATTCCAAGAAGAAAGCATGAAATAAGAAAAAACAAGATTTGTAGCCACATATATATACATATATTATAAATAACTTTTTTCTGATATTTTTAATCCATAAATATACTTCTGTCCCACTTGAGATTTAAACAGTAATTTATGTTTTTTTTTTTGATTTTAATTCCACTTTATTTTGAAACTTTGGAAAACTAATGAATCTAATTTTCTATATTATTCCTATAAAGTGGTTGTTTTCCTAGATACCCAATAAACTCAGTATTATATTATACAAGAATCTCGCTCTCTCAAGGTTAGTTGGCTTGTTCTAATAATAATTTTATGATTTTTTTTCTTTAATATTTTCTCATTAAAAAAAAATCTCAATTTTTCGCATTACCCCCCAACCGCCATTTAGTCATGGCTCATTTTTTTTCAATTTATAAATTGAGTACTTAGATCAAAATTTACCCTCAGCTTGAAAATTAACATATAGTTTGTTTTTTATACTTATGAAGCCAAAAATAAAAATAATCTCAGATTCTCCATTTTTTTCTTCTTCCTTCTCTTATTGTTATTATTTTTTTGCTCGAAGATGAGGCTAAAACTACTGTCTCATAATTTACCAAAAATTTAGTTCTCATTATTTTACTCATTATTGCACTTGAGTTCAATTTACAAGTAAATGTGAATACATAATTTGCAAATTTCATTCAATTCTTATTCAAAGCCTAATCTGCCATAGAAAATTTGAACTTCTTATTTTTTAGTCTCCTTTTGTATCTCTTTTTACAAAAAAAAAATTCTTTAAAGTAAGTCAAAATTTGTTTTTTATTTTCACTTATTTTTTGTACATGTAATAGAAAAATGACTTTTTCCAAGTTTGCATGCATTTGCTACATTACATAAATTTTGTCATGCACGTTTTTATATACCGGTGTCAGTTTTTTTATGTGGACATTTTTGGCGCAAATACATGCATTAATGAATACTTACATTAATTTAAAAAAAGAATTTTGGTTTGACTTTAATATTTTAATAACAAGAAAGATAATTGATAAACAAATTGCTTGAATAAAAATAATGTGAAAAAAACAAAGTTTCAGTACAATTTTGCAGATTATTTATGAGAAAGAAATCAAATAATTTACATTGAGTCAATCAGGTCAATAAAATGTAACAGTAACGGTATTAATGTCTATCCTAATATTATTGGTTATGATTTTAGCCTAAAAATAATCATCAAAAAATATCTGTAATCAGCAGAATGCATTTGAGTCTGTAATTGGAGAAAAAGGGGAAGAAAACCAAAAAGAATAAAAATTTAACTTTTGTATTTGGATTACATACCGATATATATTCATATTCATAAATGCATGCAAACGATTTTTATCTCTCAATACCGGCCTCTCCTCAAACATTATTCCTTTTTTCTTCTTCCTTCCTTTGCCAAATATTGGAAAATTATTTTGCAAGTACAACAATGTCAAACAAGCTAAAAATTGGCGAAAAGAGGGTCTCTCTGAGTCTGCTTTTGACCAGGAACTGAGGAGAATAGAGCAGCTTTTGTTGAACCAGAATTACTTATATTTGGATTCTGCATCTGAGCTCCTCCAGTATTACCACCTGTCCCAGGTGGTAGTTGGTTAGGTGCTGGTTGTTGGTTGTTTCTAAAATTATTCTGAGATTGAGAATGTTGCATTTGTTGTTGTCTCATATTTCCCGTTCCAGGCTGACCACCACCTCCTCCGGAAAGATTCATCTTTTGGCTAAAGTTATTTTGCATTTGCTGTAAATCACTATCGTATTGTTCATCAAAATCATTATTAGTTAGAGCAGCAATATTTGGATCCCTCTGGAGTATTGTAGAGGCTTTCTTTAAAGTATTTAGTTGGTTAATCAAGGCTTTTCGCTCCTCTACTATATGGTTTGGCTCATTTAATAAATCAGAAAGTCTTTCAGTTTTGTTGAATTCATTGTATAATTGGAATTGAAGCTTATCCATGATCTGTCTGACCAAGAAGTGACCAATAATCTTTGGAACAGAATCACGAATATTTCTCACAACTATAGAGAAGTAAGAATCCAGTCTTTTTCTTATTTCTTTTAAGAATACTTGTGAGTATCTGGTCTTTCGTTTATTTCCATCTTTATTCTGTGAAAAAGGATCTTGTGACCATAAATTTGCAGACAAAGAATTGGTCATACTCCCAACCGTCTGTTGAACCTGACTAAATATCTGTGCTGTTTTAGTTTGTTCTCTTTGTATTGGTTGCCCATCTGGTCCTACTTGCATCATCCCTGAGTCTTGAACGCCATTGGTGCCCATTTGGCCAGGTCTCCCACCAGCTCCATTTGGATCATTAGGATTACCCTGTGAGTTATTGTTAATTACACTTCCATGTTCAGTCAAGTATTTAGAATCATTTGTAAAAAGATACCCTGTTTCAGCTTCCACCAATTGCTCTAGAATGGTTTTTGTGTTCTCTTTTTCTTGAAGTAGAATCTCTTGGCTTCTATCTAGAATCTGATCTGAAAGTTTAGGGAACCTACTAAAAACTTTGTGTGCGACCTTCTGACTAACATTCTCTAATGCCGAAGTGACTCTGTCCAAGCATTCCATAACAGGAGCTTGAATTTTTCTTAAGTGAGGAAGAATCAGATACTCAAACATATCAGGAGAAGGAAAACCAGGCATGGAGTCTCCTTCATGCATTCTTATTGCAGCATCAATATCATAGTCCGTAAGCTCTGATGTTACATCATTATCAGTGTACTCATCTAAAAGTTCATTAAATATAACTCTTATCTGAGCCCCACTGGACATTCCTCCGTCATTTCCATGATCAAAATAAGTTTGTAATCTTTTATCATATTTCCCTCTAATAGTATTCTTAATCATTTCACAATAGTCGGTAATCATTGCCCACATTAACTGAGTTCTATCATTGCTTTCCAAAGGAACTGATTGCCCAAACTCATCCAACTTTGATGTTAAAGTTCTAATTCTTGCATTGATTTCTCTTCTAATATCTGGAAGAAATGTTCTAATATGTTTAAATAAGACTTTTGTTAACTTAGAAACTAGGTTCTTTGTACCAACCAATTCTGGTGAAAGATTCCTATAAACTGGATGTGATGAAAAGAAAGCAGCCTCATCTTCTAAAGCATCTTTAATCGATTTACCAGCTTTTAAATCTGCTGAGCTTCTGTTTTTCACACCAGTATAACCTAATCTCAGTGGAACTTCATCTCCATGAAGCATTTTAGAAGCATCAGTTCCTCTATCCATTAAGTCTATCTTAGTCACAACACCAATAGTTCTTAAACCTTTAGGATCCACTCTTCTAGATAATTGTAGAGCATCAGATGTAGACATATCAGCATTAGCTGGAATTACTGCTAAAATTATAGTTCTTGGATCTCTTGCATATCTGATTGCCATATCTCTAGTTAATTGTTCAATATTGTCGCATTGGTCACTACCTTTTAATGGTACCCTTGTAATACCTGGTAAATCTATTAAAGTTAAATCAGGGCATTGTGTACCATATATAGTTAATATTATTGGATCATCTACAATACCCTTATTTTTTCCAGCTACCTCGTCAGTAAGACGATCAATTTCTTCTCTGACTTTCTCAAAATCTGTAAATTTCTTGTTTCTATCTCTTTCAAACACTACATAAGCTTCATCCACTCCATTCTTGCTTGGAATATGTACTAGACGCATTTCAACAGGACGTCTGGTTACTATTCCTTCTCCTCTAGGTAGAAAGTCGAAACCAACAACAGATTCCAATACGCTCGACTTTCCTGAACTTTGTGTTCCAACAACACAAATTCTGGGAAGATTAATGTATTGTTGTAATCCCACATCCCTGAGCTCATCCTAAAATTTAAGAAAACAAAAAATAATAATAATAATAACAAAGTTTTATCAAATATTTACACGCATGCATGCAATTTTGTATGTGGGGTATAATCCACAATACAAAATTACTTATTAAAAAACTCAAACTTACCACCAGGCTAATTAGTTTTCTTAAATTTTGGTACATTTCCAAATTATTTCAACATCAATTTCCTTAATTTCCTGATAATTGACTTTCAGAATTTATGACTAGTTTATACTAACTTAAATCCTATTCCTATAACTTCTCATTAATAGTCAAATAATGCTTCTACTAGCTTAATTACTTTCCGAAAGTCTTGGGCTTGTATATTATTTATTACCAAATAATTATTTATCAATATATATATTTATTTTATTATTTTATATACATTTATATATTTAGTATATATATATATATATGTATATATAATATATAATATATATATATTGAAAATAATTATGTATATACAAAATATATAAATATATATATATTATATATTATATAATATATATATTATATATAACTATCTAAATGTTATATCTATTACTCAAATATAAAGACAAATACTTGGGCACAGTATACGTATTTTTTTAATATATGAGCATTATACAATAATAATACTTTGGCCTAGAAATGGCTAAACTGTTGTGTAAATTTGGTATTAGATTGCTTTTCTAATTTCTAATGTTTGAAAGTAAAAGGAATTCATCATTTTCAAATGAATAAGATGTTAACTTTAACTTTACTTTTTTTTTGGCAAATTAATGTTTTTGCTAATTAACTACACACTACTCCCCTCCCCTCACCCCTCTTTCCTCCTTTATCCCTCTCTCTATTTCTAATTATAATAAATCTTTATAAAAATCTGCCCCGTTCGTTTTTTTCTTTTAAAACAAACTTTCTATAACTAAATCTACCAAATATTATTATTTCTTTATTTTTAACTGCATGCAATTACTTTTCTCAAATGTACTTAACCATTGATAATAAACTATTGCATGTATTTGAAGAAGAGAAAGCGCCACAAACCGCCCGCTCTGTGGCGGTAATATTCATAAGGTAATGAGGAAAAAAAGAATAGAAAATGAGTTAAAATGATATATTAAAAACATAAAGTAACTATTACATGATTTTAGCTTAAGATGCATTTAATTCTTATATAAAAAATTCTCTGTAATAAGAACTAAAAATTTTTAGTAGAAATTAATAATAAAGTTTTGTTAATATATATTTTCAGAATGATGGAATAATATTTTGTGTTATATGTAGTATATTAACTTATATTAGGCCAAGTTAGATTTGGGTTTTTTTTTCTGGATTTTTTGTGTTGATCCGATTCTCTAAATTACTTAAGTAGTTAAGAGTATTGGAATATTTGTTGTATATATATACATATACATACTTTGTGAGAATTTGAGAATTATTTTAATCACTAACTGCCTCATCCATTTCTTGAGCTTGAAGATTAATCTCATCGATTCTTCTTTTTATATCCTCATTCAAGATTACATCTTCCTTAGTTTTCTGTTGTCTTTGGCCAATATCACGCTTCAAAAACTCTTCTTCAGTTTCATAATTGCCATCTTCGTCAGTAATTTCGTCGCTTTCAACACTAGCTTCTTGATTTTCTCCAAAATTATATCCCTCAGCACTTAATGATTCTGGAGCTCCTCCAGGTTTCTGTGGTGATAAAACTGGTTTTAAGTCGGATGATCCTGTTTTTCCTCTTTCACCTAGTCCTTTTTTCCTCTCATAAACAGCTTCTTTATCTTCCTTATTCAGTTCAACGCTACTTGAGTCCGTCTCCATACCTTCAATATCGTCTCCTTCTTGTCCAAACTTTGCCAATAGCTCGTTTTCAGAGTCAAGTGGGCTTACAGGAGTTGCTGGAGCTGGTGCTGGTGTTGGTACTGGTGATGGTACTGGTGATGGCACTGGTGATGGCACTGGTGATGGTGCTGGTGATGGCACTGGTGATGGTGCTGGTGATGGCACTGGTGATGGGGCTGGTGATGGCACTGGTGATGGGGCTGGTGATGGGGCTGGTGATGGCACTGGTGATAGTGCTGGAGTTGCCGGAGCTGGTACAGACGTTGGCACTGGCGATGGCACTGGTGTGTGTGCTGGTGATGGTACTGGTGATGGTACTTGTGTAGGTAATGGTGTTGGTACTGGTGATGGCACTGGTGATGGTACTGGAGTTGCCGGAGCTGGTACAGACGTTGGCACCGACGATGGCACTGGTGATGGCACTGATGAAGATGGCGGTTTTGGTCCAGCAGGCCACTCTGGGACTTTTGGAACCATTGAAATTGCTGGGGCTACTGGCTTTTGAGCTACTGGTGGGGGTTGTCGTGGTGGTGGTGTTGGTGGTGATCCTGGTGACACTCCCACTACTTTTGGAGTTAGTGATTCTAAGTATGCTGGTAGTGGTGGTCGTGGTGGTGGTGTCACTTCCTCTACTTCTGTTAGAACTAGTGATTCGAAGTTTGCTGGTAGTGGTGGTCGTGGCGGTGGTGGTGGTGTCACTTCCTCTACTTCTGTTGGAGCTAGTGATTCGAAGTTTGCTGGTAGTGGTGGTCGTGGTGGTGGCGGTGGTGTCACTTCCTCTACTTCTGCTGGAGCTAGTGATTCTAAGTTTCCTGGTAATGAAGGTGACGGTGGTGAGAACGGTGGAAGTTCTGGTGATAATTGTGATGCAGATGGTGGTGGTAACCACTCTGGAGTGGCCGGTTTAGACTCCACTGGTAATGGTTGTAGTGGTGGCAATGAGAACCCTGAAGATCCAGGAACTTCCGGAACTGATACTACTGGTACTGGAGATCCTGAAATCTTTTCTTCTGGTTTATTTATTTCGCCCTCACCAACAATTGAATTCTTATGAGAAGACTTCCCTTCACCAGAAGTCGAATTACTTCCAAAAATCTTTCTTAACCTTCCTCCTCTCTTTCTTTTTGTACTCGATTTTGGCTCTTTGTCTCCCACATCCTTTCCTAACTTCCCCCCTTTCTTATTTTTCCTAGAACCCGAACTTTTGTCTACTGGTCCCTCTTCAGATGAAATAGATGATGGTAATTCTTTTTTTCTTGAGAGTAAGCTCCTAGATCGTAACTTATCAAGTATCCTCTTACTAGTTAACTTTTTATTTCCTTTCCCCTTGCGTTTTTCTTCGTTCATTGCAGACTCCTGTTCCTTATCCAAATTAACACTACTTAAATCAGTTTCCATATCCTTAATATCATCTCCTTCTTGCCCAAACTTTTTCAACAATTCATCCTCTGATGTCCCTCCTTTTTTACTGGATTTGGATTTTTTTGTTCTTTTTTCATTTTTATTACTATCTTCCTTTAAAGCAGTTTCCTTTTCCTTAATCAAATCAACACTACTTAAATCAGTGTCCATATCCTTAATATCATCTCCTCCTTCCCCAAACTTTTTCAATAACTCATCCTCTGATGTCTCTCCCTTTTTACTTGATTTAGATTTCTTTATTCCTTTCTTCTTTTTCACGCTCTCATCTTTAACAGTAGCTTCTTTTTGTTTATTTAGATCAACACTACCTACAACTGTACTCAACTCGTTAATATCTTCTTCTTCAAACTTTTTCAATAATTCATCCTCTGATTTCTCTCCCTTTTTACTTGATTTAGACTTCTTTATTCCTTTCTTCTTTTTCTCACTCTTCTCTTTTATTGCGCCTTCCTTTTCCTTAATCAAATCAACACTGCTTAAATCAGTGTCCATATCCTTAATATCTTCCCCTACTTGTCCAAACTTTTTCAATAATTCATCCTCTGATGTCTCTCCCTTTTTACTTGATTTAGATTTCTTTATTCCTTTCTTCTTTTTCACGCTCTCATCTTTAACAGTAGCTTCTTTTTGTTTATTTGGATCAACACTACCTACAACTGTACTCAACTCATTAATATCTTCTTCTTCAGAATCTCTTGAAACTTTATAATCAACACCAGCTCTATAAGAACTTTTAAAATCCGCTTTTTCTTTATTGATTCTCCTCATCCTATTTTCCTCCATCTTTTTTCTTCTAGTTGCCCCCAGAAGCTTTTTTCCAAGCCTGATTCTTGGCCATGAAAAAGATAAATTCCTCCTTAAACTATCTAATGAATCTTCCATTTTTTTAGTTAAGTATTTCTTTGAATTTATAGCATCAGTAAGAAGTAAAGATATCTCTTCCCTTAATTTATTAATCTTTTCTTGGTCAATATCTTCCTTCTCAAAGTTAGAAATGACCTCAAGTTCTTTCAATTTTTCGCCTATTTTGGCTTTCAGACTTATTATAGCAGCTTCTGTATTACGTTCATTTTTATCATGTACAACTGTTCCTTTTCCTGCTTCCTTATTTAACCAGTTTAAAGAATTCGAAATCTTGCTAATAATTAACGCCTGGGACTCAACAAACTCATCTCCTTCAACAGTTGAAGTACTAATATAGCCAGAATAATCTGAATCAGTATCTTCTCTACTTAAATCGCTAGTCTGAATATCGCTTGTATCTGTCATAAAAGAATCCAATTTCAATTCTGGAATCTCTTCTTTCATCTTACTTAACATATCATCAAATCTTTTCTTTTGATCTTCAAATCCCTTCTTAAGTTCAGTTACATGAGAATCAGCTATATTTAGTAACTTTTCTTTTGATAAGACTGTCCTCATTATTTTTTTTATCCTAGCCTTGTAAGAGATCATTCTTGTACTTTCACTATCTTTTTGACCATCATTACCTTTTTCTTTGTTTATATTTTTATCTATTGATTGCAATGAGAGCTCGAACATGCCTTTCGTAAATTCCATTAAACTTAAAGTACTTGCTATTGAATTAGTCATTTGAATATAATTAGATGATATCTCTAATATTTTGGTTTGTTTCTTTGCAATTATTTGAATCTTCTTCATTATCTCATGTTTTAGCTGTGAATTATTTCCTCTTTCTAATGTAATGTTGTCTCCTTCGTTTAAAAATGACAAAATTTCTGACATAGACATTAATCCAACATCCAAACTTTGAGAATTTATACCAATAATTTCAATTAGTAACGTGATTTTGAGCAATAATCCTTCTAACATGTTAATACAGTTTGTTCCTATTAGAATCAAATCTAAATAAACATTTTTCTCTTCAAAATTCAATCTTTTAATATTCATTTTCTCTTTAAAATATTCTGAAACTTTTCCAAGAGCTTGTTTTTGTTCAACTTCTAGAGCCAAAGTAGGGATTTTACTCTTAATTAATGTTTGATGAGATAAGAATATCAACTCTTCCAAAGATAAGATTAACATTGAATATACGAGATAAACTTTGTAGTGAATAAAAGAATCAGACATCAATACCAAGTTCCTTCTTTTCAAAGATTCAGCATTAATTCCCATCAAAAATCTCTTTGATTTGACCTCATTAATATTCAAATCCTCTTTCTTTAAGTTTGCCAATACATTTTGGCACTTCTTCTCCAAATCGTAATACTTTTGGAAATTTTCATTTAAAGTCTTGAATAAACTTTGATAAGTTTGAGAATCCATACTAGATCCATTCTTATGCTTGGATATTTCTTTTTTCAAAAGAGAGTAAAAGTTTTTCTTTGCTTGAGATTGTTCCTTCTCACATTTCTTGTACTTATTAATTATTTTCTTTCTAGATTTATTCATTTGACCCAATTTCTTTGAGTAATTCTGTCTAACAACTCTACTTTGAATCTGAAGCCCCTTTATTGCTAAAATAGATGCAGATAACTTTTTAAGACATTCTTGATACTGGTTTGTCTTTCTTACTATTTTTAACATTGAATCTTTGATATCTTGCATAACATTTGAGTTAAGAATATCAGTAAATACGCCAGTATTAAAGTCAAGCAATGAATTTAACTCAACTTTGTAACTATTACACTCTGATTTCAAATTCTTTATCTTTTGATTCTCTTCTATCAAGGAATATCTTATATAAATACTGTCTTTATCTTCGTTAATATATTTATATCTTTCTTCTTGACTATCACCAATAGTTTGAAAACTTCTTGCTCCTATGGAAGAGCTCCTTTCCAGCTCAAATTCTTCAGGGAGAAAGAATTGAGCTGTACTTGGGAAACTTGGATAAACTATATCCTCAGTAGATCCTGACTCCGAAAGCATGCCCCTTTGAGAATCTTCTGAACTGGGTGGTTTAAAGACAGAACCAGAATCCGATTTGGATCTGGATTTGGATTTGGATTTGGTTTTGGATTTAGGTACAGAAATAGGCTCAGACGGTATTAATGTAGCACCAGCTCCAGAGGGTGGGGTTTGAGTTTTAATTTTCCTGGAAAAGATTCCTTTCTTAGATTTAACCTTCTTTGCAATTTCTTTACTCTTTTTCTTTAGTTCCTTTTGACTTTTAAAGGCTTTCTTTAACTTGAACTTCTCAAACAGATTAAGCTTACTGGCTATGCGAACTGCTTTTCTCCTAGGAATTTTCTTTAGAATGGGAATATTAGTCATTTTAGATATTCTCAAGCTTTCTAGAACTTTCTTTTCTTCCAAATCTCTTGTAATGTTTATCATCTCTATCATCCTATCTCGAATGTTTTTGGACTTTGCTTTAGTCCAACTCTTTAGTTTTTCTCGTTTTAATATGGAAGAAATGAAAATTGGAATTGGATCTGAAGGTGAAGAAATATCCAATTCTTGTAATCTTTGGAGTATAATTTCCTTCGCAGCTAATAACTTAACAGCCTCTTTATGAAAATCTTGTCTCGCAGCATCAAGAGTATTAATATCCTCCTCAGTGAGACTGAATAACTCTGGCATAGGGCCCGAATTAAATTTCCTGTTAATTAAATTTTGGACAGGAAACAAATAAGTGTGTCTGCTCAACATATCCAACTCAACATCCGTTTGAGCTTGAATAAGACCTTGATCCAACATCTTTGGGTTCTGGGAAAGTGGATAAGTTAGAAAATCTTGCTCTCCTGGAGCTTTATTGGAAACCACGTGGGTTTGATCCAGTGAGTCAGAATTAATCTCTAATTGAATTTTGGCTTTCTGGATCTCATGATCAAATGGGCTAATAACAACCAAGGGATCTAAAGAACATGCCACCTTTGACGTTGAGATAACATCCCTGACAATCCCAGTATGCATTGAGAATATGTCTACCACGAATGAGCTCCTTGAGTTAAGTTCAGTCGCAAAATGAATAGTTACTCTTCCCAGAAGAGTTTCTGTTCCTTCTTCTCCACTAACTGTCATTCCTGCTACAACAAACATCTCCACAGAATAACTCATTAAAGAGGAAGTATATGAGTTATAATCATCTAGTTCACCATATTTTCTAAACAAATACAGAAACTCTTTGGAAAGAAGATATCTAATATCTCCGTAGGAATACATAGATACCATTCTAATTATATCCAAACTTAGAAAATCCATATTCCATGGCCTAGGACCAAAAATTTGAATATCCTTGCCTAAGTAATTGGCAGCCTTTAACTTTATCCTTTTCTCATCATTCTTCATATTATTCCATCCTGCAGATGCTAAACCCTCCCACTTTGAAACTGGAATTGGACTTTCAAAATAAACCTCTGTATTCCCCTTTTCTTTATCGTACCTGTAGCTACTTCCTGGTGAACTTCCGTTCCTCACACTTCTTTCGTAATTCGACATCTTTGCTTTAGGAGCCATCATGCTTCTTAACAAAAGTTTTGAGTCATTTATCCTTTCCATTAAGTTTTCCTTCTCTCTAGCCATCATTTCTAAAGATCTCTCCTCAGCAACCCCCTTATTAGACTTTGGTAAAACTATATTTGGTAAAAGACTTAAATCTTGGCCATTACTTCTCATTGAATCTAAAAGAACATTTCTGAAATCATCTAAGGTTTTAGCTGCCTTGATTTTGGATATTAACCTCTTTCTGGATCTTATTGACGCACTCTCACTGTTAACCTGTATCAAGTTCAACTTGTTACTCCTAAACTCTTTTATTAGCGATTGACTTACTTGGCCAAACCTATCAGTCACTAAAATGTCTTTTGGATAGCTTTTTAAACCTGATACAGAAGTAATATAAGAAGGGTTTGTATTACATTTTATAATTACCATAATCTCTTTTATATGGTCCTTACTCCCATAAAACCCCGAGTTTGATGAGTCAAAATTCAATATTTTCGATTTTCCAAACTGCAAGAAGTGATCACTAAACCAAACAATTGATCCATCGCAGGGAGAAACAATATTCTCCATATGTGTTTTACCGTCTTTTGTTATTGAAGCAATTGCAAAAGGCATATTCTCTTTCAATGAGTTTATATCCTGAGTAAGACTTATCCCAACATTCAAATTGAACTCTAATTTTAAATTAGAGTCACTATAGACTGGCTTAATCTCAGCTATTAAACTACCTTTTAGAAAGTTGCCAATTTTTTCCAAAATGGCTGATGATGAATTCTTATACTTTTTTGAATACCTGAATAATGCTGTAACATGAAGCAATCCACCAAACATATTCGACAAATAAGTATTTGAATCCACAGATATGTCATTAGAATTAATTTGATTTATCTTAGGATCTTGTAAATTATAATCTCTCATCTTCCAAAATAAATATCGGATATCATCCTGGTGAATATTATGTTCTTTAAATAACTTTACACAAGTCAGTATATTATTAATCTTCATTTCACTGTTTCCTGGGCCCATTATTCCACTATCTCCATTCTTATAAAGACAAGGATACCCCAAAAACAGACCCACCTGCAACTCAAACCCTCTGTCCTCTAAAATTCGTAGCTCTATATTCGAACTACCTTTTGAGTTTCCATTTACAGGCCTAACCAATCCTACAAGTAAATCATTCCCCACAACCAACTCACCACCATTTAATATGGGTCCATTGTATCCAGTTTCTATTTCATATTTTGTATTTCCTGAGTGAACTACCTCAATCATTCCATTATTATCTAATACAGTTATCAACGATCCGCCGCTTCCAGAGCCTGTACTCGGAGACTTTAACCCAATTCCCGTACAAAAACTCCAAAATGAAAGCAAAATTGCCGTAATTGAAGTGAGTAAGAATCTACCCATCCTCCAGTCTTCTTACCCACCAATTAATTCCCTTCAGGGGTTCTAACTTTTTGATAGTTTATATTTGTCAAGAAATCTTATCTATATTCTTTGATCTTCAGCTCTCGCTCTCTAACTATACTTGTTCATATAACTTAATTTTCTATAGCCTCTTACCTTCAATATTTAATATTACACTATTCTTATCACAAATACTTATATCTTCCTCTTATTTCCTTATAAAGAATAAATATCTAATTTCTTGATATAATTACATCAACCAAAAAAAAAAAGAAACTATTTTGTCAGCCTGCCACCTTTTTGCATGTGTATGCCGTTAAATCAGTAAATCCATGGAAACTCTGCTTGCCCACTAAATTGCATGCATGCAAGCGGCAGATCTATTAATAAACTCCTCTACATGCAAGTAGATTGTTTGGGCGGGAATTTCCCACTAAAAAGAAAAAAAACACTAAAAAAATGAATTATTTATTTGTGATGTCGATTTTAAAGGCGGTTTTTTTGTTTAATTCAACTCTAACTCATGAATCTAACTGCTTCTAAATTAAACCAATAACTTTTTTGAAATTGGTTGATTGAAAAGCAACCCATTAACCCCCACTTTCCACTCACTAGCTTTTAATTTGTTAAAAGAGTAGAATAATTTAAACAAACTTTAAAGAAAAACTTTTTGCAAAATGATTGACTAATTTCATGTTAAGCCATTTCCATGCTAAGTAGAGTAATTATTGCATAAAAAGTAATCCTAAAGTAGTATATAAGGTATTCTTAAATAAAGTCCTAAACCTTTTTGTAGACGTGTAATAATGTTTGTATAATGGCCTAAATGGCAACTCTCATTTTGCTAACGAAGCCTCGGATTTCCTATTAATTTTCTATTTCTATACTTATGTTTTATAATATTAAAGAGAAGAGATTTTAGGTTTTTGATATAATAGGAAAATATTTACAGATACAAATTGCCCAAAACTATACGTTTTTCTGATTTTTTTCAATCAGTAGTACATTAGAATAAAAAGATATTATTTGGTAAGCATACCTATGTTAATTGGCACTATTCTAATACAAAAAGTGTAGAATCTTCCCAAATTAAAGAAAACCCATTTTTTATAATCATATATTTAGTCACTTAAATTACTTTGTAGTTCTTTTGTGGATTCAGTCAATATAGAATTGTACTGTAATCTGAGCAAACCCAAATCTGTTGGATTGTCTATTGTGAAGCAATACCTTCAACCGTCAAGCCAACTAAGTCTTTAAATCAAAAGGTCTGATAAAAAATATTATTAACTTTGGGAAACCTTTCAATTTTTTAATTACACTTCTCCGGCTTATACATTGTTGTAATACAACCTGAAACCCCTCCCTTTATTAAAGGTATCAGTATGCTAAATTATCTACTTGAAAACTTTCTTCTCAGTAATACAATTTTTAACAACTATTAATAGAGAATAAATTCCAAAATTTTTAATGTTTTCTTGCCCTGTCTTTTGTTTAACAAATTCCTATTACAAACTAAAACATTCTTATTTTTTGCCAAAAGTGTAAATAACGAATATAAAGGCCAAAATTTTCATTCAATAATTGTATTAAATATCGGTTAATCAATGTATCACACCTCAAACTTAAATATCCGAATTAGTTAGATTTCAAATTACTAATAGGCCTTTTTCCTTTACTTATTACATGTATTTTTTTACATATTTGGTGGCGCCAATCATTTCCTAATATAAATAGTTTAGGTAAAAAAAACAAACCATCAGAAGTTTCCCGCCACTTGTTTTAAAAAGCTTAAAAATTAAATTAGATTTAAAGGAAAAAAGTCAATTCGAAAGAAATTGGAAATGTCATCTTTAAAGCACTCGATTCACAGAAGAGTGCATTTGGAGAGAGCAACTCCGGTGAACAGACTTCGGTTTGGGATTTTGGAGCGTAAGAAGGACTATAAGATAAGAGCAAAAAGATATCATGAAAAGGAGAATCTCTTAAAATCTTTATCAGAAAAAGCAAGAACAAGGAATCCGGATGAGTTTGATTTTGGGATGGTCAAATCCAGGTTGGAAAATGGAAGATATAAAAAGATTGGATCAGAACTTCCAAACGGAGGTCTTACTAGTCCTGAGGAGAGAAAGCTTGCTGAGAGTCAGAATCTGACATATGTTAATTTTAGAAAATCCATCGATGACAAGGTAAGTTTTTTTTTAATTTAATACCTATTTGTTTCTTTTATTTATATTCTCCTAGAAAATTGAAAGGATGGAAAAAGAACTGACATTATTTGGCCAAAATATGCAAAGAAGCCATTTATTCTTTGATGATGAGCACGAACAACCAGAAGCCAATCTACAGAAAAACAAAAGTGACACTAAAAAAGTTAAAGGTTTGGCTTCCATTTCAAATTCAGAAAATCTCTCGAATGAAATTGTCAAAAATATTACTAAATCCTATAAGATCCTTAATGATACAATTGCCAGATCTAAGAACCTCGACAAAGTTTCCAAGCACCTTGAGCTCCAGAAAAATTTAAAGTCCAAAGGAAAAAAGAAAAAGGTTATAAACAAAGATGGAAACACAGAGTTTGTTTGGTACCCAAAAAGAAAAAAGTAATTTTCTCTTAGTTATTTTTAATTATTTACTTAACTATTTGGTTTATTTTCTTCTCACAAATTTCCCGCCATTTCTTTCTGTTCGAGGGGCAATTTTTAGATTATATATATTACTGTCCACTAAATTGGTCCTTACAGTCCTAATTTGAAAATTCCTAGTAATTCCTTAAACTTCATATCTCTTCTCTATAAATTCCGTTCCTCTTCGACGCATTTAAAGTATTCTATTTGGATAAAGGTAATTTGAAACAATACAATGGCTTGTCATGGCCAAAGATTAAGGGTCTTATCAATCTCATTTATTCTCATCCTAATTATTTTCATTTCCTTCAATGAGTTTTTTTCTGATGCATCATCTCCAAAGCAAAAGAAAGAGCTTAAAAGTGTCAGATTTGTTCAAAAAGGTCGGCCTCCTTATATAGCATCATCAAGCCCCGTGCCATACTTTAGTCATCTCCAAACAACTGTGGAGCAGGATTCTAGCTCATCTTCAGAAGAAGCTTCAGAAAAGGGTGCGTCTCATTCAAAATCTACTCAGCCAAAATATAGATTTGTTCACGCCCCTGTAGGATATGAAAAGTCTACGGAATCATTGTTGGCAGAAATACAATCATTGAAGGAGATGAATGAGAAGTTAAGTGAGGAAGTCAAATCTCAGGCCCAAAAGATTAAGTCTTTGATGTCCGAAAATAAGGATCTCAAAGGACAAATTGAAAGTGAAACAAAGAAGGCCAATTCCTCCAAGTCTAAGTTAAGGAACTTAGATGATGATATAAAGAAGAAAGAAAAGCAAAATAGTTCTTTGCTTGCCATAATAACACAAAAGGATAGGATTATAAGTGAACAAAAAGGAGAAATTTTCTCTTTGGAACAGAAACTCAAAGAAAAAGATCTCAATTTGGAAAATAAAGAAAAGGCTCTTTTTGAAATGGAAAAACAAACAAGTCAGAACATTCAACAGCACAAAGCAAAAGAAGAAGAACTTATAAAAATCAACGAACGCCAAGAATCAGATGCACTCAAACTCAAGGAAAAAATTGACTCTCTTTCCGCAACTGTGGATGATTTCTTTGTAAAACAAACTGCACTAGAAAATGACAAGAAACAACTTGAAGACAAATTACAGGAAATGACGGACGAGAGAGATAAAGCCAAGAGTGCCCTGAACGACTGTCTGGAATCCCTCAATACCAAAGAAAGTAAAACTGAGCAAGAGAATGTTCCAAAAGATGTTCAACCATCAAGTACAAAGAAAACTTTGTATGATGCTGTTATAAAGCAAATGGGTGCTATTCAAAAAAGAGAAAAATGGGTCAAAGCTCCTCCACTTAGACGTCCGGAGGGAACTCAAAAAAGAAGTGAGTCTACTCCTGAAATATATAAAGTCTTCAAATCATTGAAAGAAAAGGAAGAAAAAGATTTCGAAGCCTTTGTTGTCGAAAACGGTCTACAAAATGAAACAAAAGAGACACAAAAAGAACAATATAAAAAGTTCAAAGAGAGAAATGTTTCCCCATCTCCCAAGGGAATCCAACAATTTAGTCGCTTTAGAAAGGAGAGTTTTTCGGATTAATTTGCCAGTTCCACTCCTTAAAATACTTATCACGGAGGCGCCTTTGCATGAAATGCGCGCCAAGTTGCGGCATGACATGCAAAACAGTTACTCATGTATAGAATAATAATAAATAATATGCAATAGAATAATGCACGTATATAATATATATGTATATATTATTTTATATGTGCATAGGTATAAATTTTGTGCAGTTTGCTGTATATTAAAAGATAGGGGATGTTAGATTTTTTGAGTATTTTTTTGACAATCACACATTTTTAAAATATTCTAATAGAGGTGGTAACAACTATAAAATTAATAGAATAAGAGAGTTGGATGTTGTTTGGCTTCGAAATTGCCAGATAATCTAAATAATGTTTTGAAATCTGGGATCACGGAACTTCGACAGCATATAGTAGAAATATATATTAAAGAGATAAAAATAATTGTACTTTGATCAAGTTTCTACTTTTTCTCATTTTTTTTAAAAGGATTTATGTGTTACCGGCTAAATAAACAAGAATTAAAGACCCCCGAAACTCATAGAACAGAAGAAATCTAGTAAAGATGGTAGTGAAATTAGAGCTTAAGCTCCCAGGCACTGACGTTGGAATGAGTATAGCTTTTGGCCATTTAGACGAAAATTCAAATGGGCCGAGCAGGGAAGTGCCATCTTCTCCTCCAAAACCAAGTTCTGGAGCCAAGGTTAAAATTGTGAAAAATGATCTGGAAGAAAGCGAATGTGAATGTGAAGATTGCTCAGGAAGCTCAAAAGTTAAGGAAAAAGTTGTCATTCAGAACGAAGATGCCCAACAGTCTGTTGACATGGTAACCAAAATCTTCTCATCTCTTATGCAGTGTACAGCATCCAATATTAATGGAAACCAGTTCAACCAGAATACGAAACCTAACAAAAAAACCAAAGGATTAAAACAAATTAATGCTTCCGGAACTGAAAGATATAACTATGAAAGCGAAGATGATTCCCTTGCAAAAGGTATCCTCGGAAAAGGTTGCACATCCGATTTTTCCGTTTCCCAATCCCTCTACCCAGATGATATCCTGGTATCTTATGAGCCTAAAAAGAAAAAACCGTCCAAATCAAAAAAAGCCCCTGCCGAAACTAAGTCTCCTCCCTTGAGCGATAACACCCACCCAGTCACTAGAGACCTCAAAGATGTGAGAATTATTCCTATTAACAAATCAACAAATGCCAAAATTCTACCCAACAGAAAGTTCAAAGAAAGTAAATACGATGTTTCCTGTATATCAGTCCCTACTTTATGTAACAAAGCGAGACTCATAAGCTGTTGTAACACAAGACTTGTTCCCCAAGTTCACAGATGTAATCTAAGTAGGCCAGAAGACGAAAATCTGATGATTTCGGTCCCATCCGCCATTTACCCAGATAATATCATTCTTACATTAAAGAACCCAAAACCAAAGAAAAACAAGAAAAAGTAAGTAGTCCCATGCACAATTAATAAAATGATTGCATGCACACAAAAGGCGCGCTGCCACTTCTTTTGTTTAAGTACTTTAAATAAATGGTTCAGTTACACTATTCATTTAGACTGAGAATTCAAATAGGTACACCAAAAAAAACTCATCCTTATATTAATAGGACGTAATACTTAAGGGATATAGTCTCGTTTCAAGGGCTATTTCAAACCCAATAAGTTTCCCCATTCCCCTCTCCTTGCATTATTAATTCCTACTTTTGAGCCTTACAAGTAGTAAATGTTATATAGATAACTAAATAAAGAGGTTCCAATAGAGTTCTCTAGATAAACTAAAATTAAGAGCTAATCACTATTGAAATAGAATTGTACAAAATTACCTGATAGAATGCCTATGCTCAATAATCTAACGGGAATTCCATATTTTTATCAAAAGTCCCTAGTCAAATAAATAATACTCCCTTCCAAATCCCAGTCTATTTTGGCGGGAAATATCTGAGCAAATACTTAAGTTTAATAAATAAAAATCCATTTCACATTAATCTCGGTTGTTTTGAAAAGCTCCTTTTGCTTCGTCGAGCTGTTTTCTTTAAATTTAGACGTCATACGGTGTTTCTTGAGGAGGTCCAAATCCCCAAACAGGCCTCTAGACGACTGTACCTGTGTTTCTTTAAACCACTAACCGCTCAAATAATACATGAAGCATAACATTTTTAATTCATTTTAGTAATAACTTCATACTTTGAAAGCAAGCAAACTATAAAATAAACTATTTGTAATTGTCCTAATCGCCTTTAATTGTTTCTTCTCATCCTTCTACGTTGTTTATTAGAAGATTTAGATTTAGATTTAGATTTAGATGATTTGCCATCTGAAGAGAGAATGATTGGCTTTTTACTACATTCGCCATTATCATCCAAAGATGTATATGTACTCACGACTGATTCCAAGGCTGAGCTACCAAAATGCTCCATCTCAAACTTAATTGTATCATCAAGACGTCTTTTGATCATAAAGTAGATCCTCTTTAAAGAATTCCTTAAATCTTTGTTTTCTTCATTCTTTATTAACGTCTTCAAAATCTTGGTTAATTTTATTCTCTTTGAGAAAATACTTGACTCAATGTAACTATCAGAGTAAAGTAATTTACTTAGTTCTGGGTGATTCAATTCTTCCAAAAGACTCAGAATTTCCAAATCAAATCCGTAGCTTACAGAATCATATTCAAAGCCTGAAATCAACCTATTGAAGAATTCCAATCTTAAGTCATAATAGTCCATCTTCTTAAATCCATAAATACCAATAGGTCTATCATCCTCACCATATTTGAACTTCGGTATGTAGGTGAAGCCAAATTTGGACCTGATACCTTCTTCTTCCATTTCTATCAGTCTTAAAGAGGTCTTTGCCCTAACTCCACGGAAATGTGGGAAGAAAAATAGTTTATCAAGTACCTCTCTAATATACATCAATTTTGTCTTCTCCTCATGGATCTTGAGAAGAATCCTCATCTTTAGTTCATTTGTCTCATTCTCATCAATTATCTCATCCTCTGGTAGCACTACTCTGTTAATTACAATCGATAAAGATTTGCGATGTCTAGAAAGCTCTCTAATGAAAAAGGACTCCAATTTCAATAACTCTAACATTCTTTCTTTTCTGTCTTTTGTTGAAAGATACAAATCTCTAACATGATCCTCAATGATTGTCAGAGCCTCATCAAAAACTAACTTCACCTTTCCTTTAAAGTCTGTAGAGTATCTAGTATCCTTTAATTCTCCGTCTGATTTCCCTGTCATTTTCCCGCCATTTTCATCATCATCAAAATCCATGTCACTACTCTCTTTTGGTTCTTCTATATAGTACTTCGTACTAACTGTATTGTTATCAATAAGCTTCCTATAGTCATTCACACTTTTATCTCCATTAAAGATCTCCATTACCTCACCCTCTAATTCTTTAGAAACTTTTGGATCATCTACAAACCTTTTAATTCCCATAGAGTCAAAGTTGAGTGACAAGAGCATATCTGCATTCTCCACAAGATTATTATTTACCAGTTCCAATTTATTCAGATCATCCATAATCTTAGTTCCCAATGCTTGTTTTTCATCAAGAGATGGTAAAAACTTACTAACAAGTTCATCTTCTACTGAAACTATATAGTTATTGATTCTACCTGAATTTTCTAATAAGTTACCACAATTATCCACGAATTCCTGATAGTTTTTCTGGCATTCATCCCTAATATCTCGTAAGTGATCTTTATGTAAATTATACTCCTCCTCAGTAATATCCTTCAATTCATCTTTCTGGTTTAAGAAAGCCTCCAATTTTTTGTCACTAAATACCTTTGAAAACTTTGAGACATCAACTCCATTAACTGCATTTCCCATCAAACTATCAGAAACACGGTTCATGCTCTCCAACACCGCACCAGATCTAAAAATTGACTTTGATTTGTTCAGCTCATCTAAAAGCTTTTCTTGTGATCTAATGTATTTATTTCTTGATTCCTCATAGTTTTTCAATAATTCAGAATTGCGCGCCAAATATTCCGAAATTTCTGCCGCCACTTCTTCACTTTGAGTGGTTTTTGAAGACTTGATATTTTCTTTAAGTAAATCAATAGAACTTCCAAACTTGGTAAAATCTGAGACTTTATTATCAATTTCAGAGACAAATCTGTAAGGAGATGGAACCTGAGAGTCAGATAATTTCCATCCGGAGGAAACATAAGTATTGACATTTTGTTTTAATGAGGTATTATTATCTATTAAACCAAGGTACCCATTTAGGTAAAGGCTATCACCATCAGAATAGTCAACATTAAACTTTAATCCGGTGGCTATGTGGTGGATTTTTGCAGTACCATCTGAATTTTCTACAACTTCAAATCCAGTTGCAGAGACTGGGAGTATCATTTCTTTGTAATTGTCCTTTTCTAAGTTAATAGTCTTAGGGATAAAGAAAAGGCCATGTTTAACCTTGTTAAAAATGAACTCTCTATATACTTCAGAGTTTGTTCCTAGATCTCCTCCCTGTTCTCCTAGGCGTTGTTTAAAGTATTTATTCTCTGCTTTTTTATCAGCATCAGTAGATAAGTTCTTGTATATTATATCATTGAATAACCTGAGCTGGTTAACATTCATATCATTAATGTCTATGAGAGTGTAGTCATCAATACTATCAATAACTCTCTTTTGAGCCGAAGTGGAATACTTTGAACTTTCAAAAAGCAACTGAGAAGGAGATTTAACACTGTTGTATTTACTAACCCTGGTATTAAGCTTTTGAAGACCAACAGAAATATCTAAATCTTCATTAAACTCCTCTTCACTTCTCAATACATCTTCAATAGTATCAGTTTTGCTATTAATGGCTTTTCCATTTTCTCCAATACTGCTTTGAGTATCCATTTCATTTAAAAGTTCACCATTTAGGACTAATTTGCCATTCTTATCGTAGACATTTTCTCCTCTAACAATGTTACCATATGCTTCACTCATGTCAACAATAGAGGACTTAGATGTGGTATTTGTCCATGCTCTACCTTCAATTGGATCATAAGGAGATGGTAAAGTTTCTGGAGATAAGGAGCTTTCTTTTCTATCAATTTCGTCGATAATTAAGTCATCAGTAAATAGTGCATCATATACAAAGTTCTTAGCACTAGAGAATCTATCATTTGAGTTCTGAGATTTGTATTTTTCGTACTCATCTTTAAGAGCATCTCTGAGGAAATAAGAGATTTCAATACTTTTTGAAATTGGGTCACTATTTGGTTCTGCAGAAATAAAGCCAAGTCTAGCAGCTTCCCTTTCCCTAAGTCTAATAGAATGTAGAAGGAATTCCTTTTCTGTCATAACTGGTCCGAGTGGATTCTTTTGGAGATATTTACGGCGATATGCCTGATATACTTTCTTAAGCTTATCATCACTCTTACCAAGAATTTCCCAAGCCTTGATATAGGCATTGTCTATCTCTTCCTTAGTAGCTTTTTTTGAAATACGTGGCATGTATTTGAGAGCCTCTTCAGGATCAAAATCAAATTCGTCCATATCATCAAATAGTAAATATTTAGGTAACTTTCCTTCACTCTTCTTAGTAGTTTGAATACCAAAGAGAGATTCAACCTCTGAATTAGTAAGATTGAGCTCCTTCTTTACATATTCTTTGAATTGAGGTCTCATCTTCTTTACCTCCTCCAAAGTTGGCACTTGGCCAGTCATATTATAGATATATTCTCTGAAAGGCTCTCTCATCATTCTTAGACGAGCTTCAGGAGAGAGCGGAATTAAAGAATCATTGTTTAATGTACGCTCAGGCTCAAATTTATAAGGATAACTTTCAACTTTGGAACCAAAAGCTCTATCTTTTGCATTTCCCTTTTCATAATCTCTTAGTCCCGGAACAGTTCTACCATAGTAACCACCTCCAATAGAGCCTACTTTAACTATCTTTTCATCTTTTGCTGGACCTTCTTTTCCCCAATGATTAGTTGCTCTATGCTTCAGTGGTATAGTATCCAATGTATGATACTGTTCGTAACTCATTGCCAGCTCAAAGAGCATTGGCAAGATTACTGCCAACTTACGTTTTGATAACATTTCTGTTCTCTATAAAGTTGGATGTAATTCTCAAAAATTAATTTTATTTATCTTAATTAAATTATAAAACGAAATTAAGCAAATCTAACAAATACATGAACTTGAAAGCGTGATAATTAAAAAATTTACTTGCAACGATCAGAACATGAACCAAATCTATTTAGATATTCTTAGATACTGTGAATTGTATCTTTTCCACTAATAATAAAGCTAAAATAATGTAAATATCCATTTATGAAGTATACTATGACGTATTTATTGCCGCCAATAAGTATCAGTGACTTGTTAGTACTGTTTAGTCATGACATGTAATATAAAGTATTAAACCCCAGACTATTGGCTCCAAGCAGGAAACTAACAACCACGATGGTAGGAACCAATTGAATCTTTTATATCTCAACTTTTCCTTGTATTCACTCTATTTCTATGTTGTTCTGTTTTCTTTTACTGACCTCAAAAATATTGTGTTTAAATCATCGGTATCCACAGAACCGCCAAATTTTGGCGGTATTTTTATTTTTTTCTATATGATGCGAGGATTAATGAAAGTTTAGGCGGGTTTTCCAGTAGTTTAATAAAAAAGAGCTCGTAAAAATGAGAACGAATCAAATTTACATGCACATGTATACACTATAAATGGAATGATGATAAATATGTATCAAAGAAAAAAATTTCAAAGCTAATGATAATTAAGGTAGAGTTAATCTGTTTTAAATGTGGAAAGTTAGATAGGATAAGTGTGAAAGAACAGCAAGAAACAAGCAAGAATTAAAATCGTAACAGCTCTTCTCTGTAATTAGCTTTTAATACACAGAATATATATTATAATATTTAAATATATATATATATATTTATAGTTAACCTATTATCTTAACCCGTGCTCTTATAAAAGAAAACCTGACAGGGACGGGATTCGAACCCGCGCAGTTACCTATAGGTGCCTAAAACCTACCCCTTAGACCAACTCGGGCACCCTGCCTAATAACTGCCGAGGCGATTAAAGTGTAAGATAAGATTATAGTACTAAATGGTAAAATTGTATCAGTTTCAAATTCTGAAAAGATTCATAATGAATTTCGTTAATTAAAAGTTTTTTTTTCGAATTTCTTTTGATGAGTTTAAATGAAAGTGTTCTATAATATACTTTCAATTAAATTGAATGTTTTTTTTTCTGAATAATGGTAGTTTGAAGTCCCACAGGTCTGGACAATGCTGTTGAAATGAGAACTAAGTGCGAAATTATTCTTTCTCCAAGATCTGAGAAATTGAGATACAGATATTTGGAGTTAAGAATCTCCAGTATTTTGTTTTATAGTTAAACAAGAATAAATAAAGTGAATTACTCAAGGAAAAGCCATATAGCTCATTAACTGCCACTACAGCTAGGCAGTTTAAATCTTGAGGCTTAATTTCTTGAATCAAAGACTTGTCAAAAAACTTTTCCAAGATTGAAGGGATTTTTTTACAGATAGTTTCTGCTCTAACTTCAATGAACTTTGGATCAGTAGATTCTGCAACTATATTTTGAATATTTTCAATAACTGAAGGTCTTTCTAATTGTTCCGGTATCATTCCCTCTTTGATTAAGTTTTGAGTGAAATGTTGTTTTAACCAAAAATTAGTTGTATTCAATTTTTTATTCTTTTCATATTCTTTCTCAGTTCTTACTGTAGAATACAGTTTTAATAAATATTTTTTCAAGTTTGCAGTGATATCCTTACCCGTTAAACCAACTGATTTCAAAGCAGTGAAACTACCTCCTCCCATCATTGCCGCTATATTTTTAATCCCCTTTTCCATATCCACATTGTCAAACTCAACAGTTCCTTGGTGAAAGTGTATGGAAGATCTTACAATTGCATTAATCTCATTGAAAGAATTATCAATCACTCCTTCTTCTACGAACTTGTATCTTAAAGCTGCATAACTTTGTATGAAGTAAATAACCATATTTGTTAGATTTTCATACTCTTCCTCGACTTCTAAGTCTTGATTTTGATCTCCATTTTCGGATTCTTTTTCTTTTGAGGATTTATTTTCAAAACCAAAGAACTTCTTTGTTTTATTAAACAATGACGATAACTTATCTTCAAATTTTTTTGTAAATTTCTTTTTAACAGGTTTTTCTTTGTCTGAGACACCTATTGTTTTTTCTTCGAGACTTTCCTCTTTTGTTTCCTCTTCACTAACTTCAAAATCTTCTTTTGGAGAATTTTGTGCTGAAACAGTTAGGTCATTTGACTTCTCTTCTGTTGGTTCATAATCAACCTTACTTCTTTCTTGGTAATTTGGTACTGAACTATATTCAGAATTATTATCTTCTGGAATTGATGTTGTCTCATACCCAGAATCCGGTCTTATAAGTTTTTCCACACTTTTCTCATTATTGTTTTCAGGAATTTCACTTTTTGTTTTCTCAATGTTTTCACCTCTACTTTCTTCTTTGGCTAGATGGTTTTCACTAGTTATGCTTTTTTCGAATTGGATGGAATCTTCATTGTTGGAAAATTCATCAGCAATTGGAATATTATCTAACAAATTGACATTTACTTTACTCTCTGGAACAATATCTATGTTTGATTCTTCCTTTGATGGCTGTACAGAAACAGATTTTTCTGAGTTTTTACTCAAATCACTTAAACTTTCTAAAACTTCATTCTTATTTGGTTCAACATGATCAATCACTTCTGGATGGTTCAAGCTCTCTTCTAATTCATCTTTTTGAGAGTGAAGAGAATCCTCTCCAAGTTGTTTTGATTCATATGAATTCTCAACCATTTTTTCAGAAGGAGAAGCACTAATTCCAAATTTCTCAGAAAATTCGCTTTCTTCTGAATTATTTTTTATCGAAGGATCAAACTTGAGCCAGTTTAATGGAGAATCACTGCTTTTTTCAGTATTTTCCAAAGTAGATTCAGAAGAAATTTCTTCTGGTAGAGAATTTTCTTTGGGTGCTTTATTAACAAGAGTCTCAGGTTCCTTCTTTTTAAGTGAATCCAAAAGTTCTTTTGCCTTGCTTAAAACTCCAGATTGCTTCTCTATCTCATCTTTATGAATAGATTCATCCTTCTTTCCTTTTTTTGTTTTACTTTTTTTAATTTTGTTTTTTCTTTTCTTTTTCTTTTTCTTATTTTTCTTACTCATTGGTGATTTCTCACTTGTTTCAAACCTTGAAGAAAAATCCATACTTCTTGAGGATTCAATATCACTTCCAACGTCACTTATCTCAGAACTTACTTTCCCAGTCTTACTTAACTCATAATCACTTTTTTCTATATTGAATATTCCCATCTCTTTTGCCCTTTCTTTATTTCGAATAAGTTCATCCTCTAAAATAGGTTCGATCTCACTACTATCTTTTTCACCAGTTCTTTGTCTTGATAGGTGAATTAACTTATTTGCTATATCATTGAGGTTTCTATCCCAATAATGTCTCATAATCTCTCTTATTTCCACATCCAAGAGATCTTTCTTTGATAAATAGCCTTCTGTAATTATTTGTCCTTCGAATACCCCATTTTCTATTTGGTTGAACATTGTCCAAATTTCATGAACTATTTCCATCTTTTCCTCAATAGTTGTGGAGTTTGGAAATCGGCTCTCAAAACCATTTTCCATGAATAAAGTCCAGATAACTTTCGGTAAGCTTGATGAAACACCTACTTCAGTCTGAAAAAACTCAAATATTGAAGCTTTTTTACAAGACTCTTCTGTTATTGTAAAGTTGATCCCAAGCCTTCCCAAATAATCATTTACAAATATACTAAACCATTTGATTCTCAGCATAGTAAAGATTTCAAGTTGTTTATTTGGTTCTACCTCAATTACTTGGGCTTCATCTCTTTTAACATTTTTTTGTGAAATTTCGTCTTGATTATCCTCAATTATCACGGCACTATTATCAAACTGATTATTTGAGGCAGAGAATGATCTTGAAACACTTGATTCTTCACTTTTCTCAGGAACTACTAGTGATGAAGAAGTTATTGATGAGGCAGAGGGGTCGCTTGAAGGTAATTCAGGATATTCAGAATACACGTTAACACTATCCTCACTCATTGTAGACTTATCTCCGCTCAAGGCTTGAAGCTTTTCCGATTCTCTATAATATTTTATTGTCTCCAAAGCTTTCTCAATACCAATCCCACTCAAATACTGGTAATATCTAAAGTCCAATTCAGAATCCATGTTTTGTAAATAGTACCTCTCCAAACCATTAAAGAAATTATTCAAAGACTCTAAAACCAGCTTTTTTCTTTCTTCTTCTGATAGCCTTGTAGTTGTTTGCGACGTAAGCACACCACTACCTAAAAAAACCTTCCATATTGAATATGGGAGGTCTTCAATTACCAAATCTTTGTCCCTTGATGGCCAGTTTAACTTGAAAAACTCAAAGTTTTCTGGATTATACATTTCCTCTTCCTTAATAGCCAAAGGAAGACCTTTTCTTGCCAAAAAATCTCTACTAAACTCTGTAAACATAAGAATTCTCATTCTAATTCCGTCCTTCTCATCATTTTTAGGTATTTCGAATCCATCTAATAATAATGAATCCTCAAAATCTGATATTTCTTCATTTTTATTATTTGTTTGCATGTCTGCATGTGGACGGTTATTGTCATGCAGGGGAAATACATGCTCCGGTATAATGATTGGTTCATCTACAACATGCATGGTATTATTGTCAGTTTTTTGTTCAAAGTGGGCGCCGTCATTCTTCATTAAAAGGTCATTGAGAGTAGAAAAAATTTGTTCATCTTTCTCTGCAACATCTTTTGCTTCATTAATAAGTTGAGAGAACTCTTCATGGTCTTTAGGAACGAGAGTAAAGTGGTCCCAAACATCATTTTCCAAATCAAATAAGTTTCTAGGGTTATCACAAAACTCTGATTCTGTTGGAATAATAAGTGGAATCAACCTATGACCTTTGTGTACCATTAAAACTCCCCTTCCAGGAATTTCCAAAGCCTCAAAAGGAGGGTCAAAGCATAAAACTAAATTGGAATTTTCGCCATAATTTCCACTTATATTTTCTGAATAGCATATTTGGAACGCCAAATTCAGTATAATTAAGCTTAACACGTAAATAAAACCTGGTTTTTTAAACATTATTTTTCATCTCTTTCAAACTGTTGTTATTTTAGAAAATGTTTTAAAAGTTATGACATATATGGGAAATTTTACTTGATCCAAAAAACTTATGCTTGATAAATTCCCACTCTTTCCTTTTATTTCCTAAATTTTTGAGATATCAAAATAAGGTCAATAATAACTATACCGCCATTTCTAAATGTGTGTTAGACATGCACACATTATAATTCAAAGAAATGGAACTTTATAATTAAGTAAGAAACCATGTACATTCTAATAATTGTTTTCTTTTAATTTTAATGCCTATATTTAGCCTATTGAGTATTTCGATTTTTGCTGCGAAGTTCTTGAATGATTGAAAAGTCTTAAAAACCTTGTAAATGATAATTGTAGACAGATAACACACAAGAACTATAATTTAAGAATCTTAAACTAAAAAAATCATCTAGAGGATAGATAGATTCTATTCTCCAAGATTTTATATTATTTTTAGAGAAGGACAAATTAGATTTTGATGTATTTGCAACTTGAGATTTTTATATTAATGCCGTCTAATTCTATTAGGCTTGGAGAATGAATATTGATAACAAAACAAAAATAACTGGTTTGTAAAGATCTGTTGAGATCTTAAAGGCAAGAGATGGTTCATCTTTTTCAGTATCAGTTCCTACATCTTTCATGATAGTCTTATTGTGTGGGACAATGTCATCTACTTCTGTAGTTTTCTCTTCATCAGACTTCTTAACAGAATCTTTTTTCTCGTTTTCGCTAGATTTTAAGGTGGACTCAGCTTCTTTAGAGCTCTTTGTTTCCAAAGGCTCGGAAGTTGTAGTTGTACTGCTTGAAGTTGGTTTTGTAAGTAACTCAATGAACTTTCCACAAATTGGAGAATCTGGTTGAACATCACATGGACAACCAGGATTCTTGTTGTTTTTGTAGCAGCTACAAATAAGAGCGTCCTCATCAGTAATTTGCTGATCTGCTGAACATGGGCAACCTTCTGATTCAGGATCTGCGACGCATTTGTCCTGAATTGAACTCTCCTCAATAGATATAGGAGTTAGTCTTCTGCAAGATCTTAATGTCACACAATGTTCTGAAAGCTCAGAATCTCCGCTACATAAACCCTCTTCTCCTAATGGGTTTAAGAAAGAAGTGCAATTTGCATATGGAGTTACATAAGTTAATGGTGAGACAATGCACATTCTGTCATGTTCTTCATCCAAACTACTTAATCCACTCAAACACTTACATTCATCAGAATCTGGTTTTGAGCAGAAACAAGGAGGACTAGAAAATCCACTCTGTTGTGAGTCATAACATGAACAATCTGATGGCAGGAAGTCATAAAAAGTTGGACGAGTTTCTAACAGAGGATCACAGGGGCACCCTGGGATTTGGGGAATTAAAGCACATAATAAGATGAAATTTGGCACTTTTGTAACTTCATTTGTATTTTCTGAATCTGCAACTCCATTATCATCCTTATTTTGATGACCCTCTTCAGATTCGAGTATTACATCTTGAGCTGTTGCTCTAAAGATAAGTTCAAAGAGAAATATAATGGCAAGTAATCTCATAACTTGTTGCAAATGCTGAGTTTTTAGAGCTGATCTATATTAAAGACGAAGAATTAATATTAAACAACGAAAAACTTTATAAAAGTGTTTTCTTTACTTTCAAATTTCAGGATAAGTAATGCATTATTTGCATTTCCTTGTATCTCAACTCGGGCGCTTGTAAATTACTCGAATTAGAGTGAATAAAAAAAATATTGTGGGAAAATATTTTTTGCTTTTTAAGTTGAAAAAAACAATCCTTTTTAGCTCATTCTACACAATTATGTCTAAAAAATTGTAAATACTTTACTTTTAATTTGATTTTTATTCAAACTCATAATTCGTCCTACCATTTATTCATGCAAATTCTTAATATTATGTGCGCTAAAATATATGCTAAAAATGAATCAAGAAACAAAAGTATTCGAATTTAAAATAAATTTTAATTTGTACCCAAAAATAATGCCAAATTCCATACTTTTTTAATCTTAAGCCCAATAATATTTTCTGATTTTTTATAAACAGACTCATTTCTCTACGTAGCCTCATTTTATTTAACAACACCTGTCCACATAGAATTGCATGCATTGCATGCGAAACTTGCAAACAATGAGCTTACGTGTCGGGAAAATTGAATTTTTCTTTTGACTGTTAAATTTATGAATTAGTTGAAGTCTTCAAATTATTAATTTTCTAAAACATTTTTTTTTAGGTTAAATTAAATTATTATCTTAATGATAATTTTTTGAAAAAAGTGGGAAGGAAGGGAGCTAAATGATGAAAATTAGAACAATATAGATAATAATGGTAATACAAATTTAAATTAATTAAAAACTTGAATAGGGAAATCCCAATGACAAGAAAGGAGTTGGAAATAATATAACAAATAATTCAAAAAGTGAATATTGGAAGAAATAAAATCATATTACGCTTTTTTGAGTTGAGAAGAAACAAGTTAATAAAGTTAATATAAATTTTCGGTATTTTCAGAATTTGGTGGTCAATTTGACAAATAAATTATTAGCAAATTGGAGCAAAATAATAAATTGACAAGAGGCGGGAAATCACACTTTTATTGATAAAAAAATTCAAATTAGAAATTAAGCTCGATACTCGAGGTGCGTAATAATATGCAGTATTATGATTTAAATGAGAAAAGGCTTTAGTTAAAGTGCAAATAAATGCATAATAGGCTCTTAAATATTTTTGGAACAGTCAGTAAAATTCAAACGGTTATTTTTAAATGAACACATTCAAAATTATTAAATTGTTGTTAATTTTTACAACGAAGCTAGCCGTGGAAATCACAGAAAAAAAGTCAATATTTAGTGGGCATCAGGTTTATATACATAGTTTGGTAGCGTTAAAGAATTCCGATGACCAAGTACTTGATTCCTCTATATTTGGAGGAGTTGAAGACAAATTAACAGAAAATGATGTAAATAACGAGAAAAATATTGGAGCAAACCCAAATATATCTCAAAATCAGGTTTTGATAAATCTGGATTATTTGAATGTAACATCTTCTTTAGAAAATACTTTATCTGAATCCTATACTTTTGATGGATGTTCTCTTTTTGAAGATGAAAATAAGAAAGATTCAAAAGATGGAGCGGCGGCTGGTAAGGTTAGAGAAAGAGGGCAATCTATTCAAGAACAGTTATCTTCAGATTTACTTGCTTTGGGAATGCAGGCTGTACTGAAAAGAAAATATAACGAGATTCGCCTTTCATACAAATTTTCTTTTGAAGAAATGACAAAGTGTCTTTTCGAAGACAACTATTCTAAAAAAAAAGACATTGATATGGATAGTGGCCATGACTACAGAGAATCATTTATTGATTGTTGCAATTCCTACATTCCAGATGTATTAGGAAAAGGAACATTCAAGTTTCTAAATAAAAAAGATCAAAAAGTATACATTTTAAATTTTTGCACAGATCTGAAATTGATGCTTGAGGATATCGGAATCGCATTTCGAATTCCATTTAAATGGCTTCCTTCAGCATCTGAAAAGTTGAGTTTTTTGTCAAAACTCAAGATTTCAGGGTCTAAGAATTTAGTAAATAATAAGAAATATTGCCACTTACCAAGAAAGACTTTGGATATTGTATTCGACGTAGATCTGACTTTATTAACAATGGTTCCAGTATTTGAAGTAACTCCTGGTGAAAAGTCAATCATGCTTGAAATGCTTGAAGTCCCTCAAGAGCTCAAGACTGAACGGCGTGACTTCAACTTTGCCACAAGACGTGCAAGTGATGATACAATCAGATATAATATTCCCCACGAAGTTCACTTAAATCCTCAGACTATTGGACTTTTGTTTTCTTTATATTATAGAAGGTTCTTAGATCCTTGTGTTGGGTCTTTAAGTATATTATCAGCTGGATTTAATACAGTTTTAAAATTTGCAACATCCATAGATATTGAACCTATTCTAAGCCCATCCAGATTTCACTTGAGTGATACGATATTGGAATTATTTCCATATGAAAATGAAAATTCTTGGGCTACAGAAAGACCATCATTATTAGCTTTTAAAGAAAATAGAATATCAAGCGTTCCTATACCTCCTTTACATGTTTCAACAAACGAATTCAATGCAAACCATGAAAAGCCTCAAAAACTTATTAGATCATTTCCTGAAGGGTTTCCAGAACTTTTATACAATGGTCTACCGTTTTTAGTTAAAGATATGCAAAGATATAGGCTTCATACAACATTGCAAAAAGGAAGCAGTTCTTTTGATTATATGTTATTGTCCGATGAATTGAATCACATGTTCCTTAATACCTTAAGATTTTACCAGACAATGAAGAGGTATCCAATACTAACGCACCCTTTTAACAATCCAAAGCTCTTTTCGAATAATAGACCACTATCTCTTTTGGTAGATGATGAACTTTTGCATTTCACATATGCATGTTCAATGGAAGCATGGAGTGATAACATATTAATAGCATGGACTGAAAAACTTGGTCCCAGAGAGATTAAGACACCATTTTCAAAGTATTATTTACCAATACCATTACAACACAATAATCCCAAACCTATAAAAATGGGTGATTTTTCAAGAAATCTGAATATGATGATGAATTTGGATTATTTTGAAGGCTTAACATATCAAATCAGCCAATTAAAGTCTTTAAACACTACAGAAAAGTCTAAGTTAGGTAAGGAAAGGCGTTCCAAGGCTATTGATGAGCTAAAAGACATGGAGCAATTCTTGTCTTCTGTTAGTGAAAATGAATTGGACTGGTCAGGAAATTTGGATATTCATCGAGATAATCTTTTTAATATTAACATCAACAATTCTACTAATTCAATTACTCCTGGTAAACTAATACAATTGGTGTATCCAGATAGTGAAAATTCAAAGAATATGTTTTCTTGCCCATATGATATCACCAATGTAAAAATCTTTTACATAGTGCTAATTGTTCCATGTGAGATACTTTTCATGATGCACAGTAAATTGAAGCGTATACAAAACGACAAAAAAGATTCATTTTATAAATTGGTTAAAATAATTGATATGTTTGTTGTTACTAATGAAAGAAAAGAAGAGGTTTGTGATCGATTTATAAGTTCTTTGTCAGGAATTATTGCATTCAAAAATGAGGAGAGCCTTTTCAATAAGAAGGTAATTTATTCATCTATTCCATCTCTTGCCGTGCTAAAGTCTGTGATTGGTCTCCCAATCTACAGAACCATTACAATTTGGTTGCAAAATTCTAGTTTATTTGAAGATTCTCAGTTAATCAATCATGAAATGGAAAAAGAAGTTGAATTTATGGAAAACATATTAAAAGATACCGCCTATGTACCTTTAACAACTCCTAAACAACTTCAAAATGGCATCATTTATGATCGATCTATCCATGATATTGAAAGTTTGATTATTTTGGAACCTATTAAAAGTAAGTTTAATCGTGAAGCCTTTAAGCTTAACAATCTACAAGAAAGTAATGAAATAATGGGCCTCTTGAAGCTATTAACTACTATTAGAAACAGTTTAGAACTTGGATATCGTGATGTAAGAAAGAGAGTGAATATGGAAAATCCTACTGCAGTCACTTCTCAATCAGTAATTGCAATATTAATATATTCTATGTGTTATGGAATAGCTGTCGAGCAGTTTTCAAAGTTTCATTTGAGTGTGTGTAATTTACCTAGACCTGTATTTTCAAGGCCAATATTGAGGAGAAATCAACAAGATTGGATGAGATTTGCTATTACTAATGTTCTTACAAACTTAAATATCAAACTTTCATTTCCAATTGCAAGATCATTTGAGAGAAAACTTGAGGCATCTATATTTGTAACTAATTCAAAGTCTACATTATTTAATTCTCTCTTCCAGCCATATTTCTCAGGTATTCCATATAAACCAATTAGGAAAAAAGTTGAATATAGCGAGAATTTACTTGAAAATGAAAAAAATATTTACAATAATATCAAGTTTAATAAAGATTCTCGAGAGATATCTAAAAAGAATTTAATTATGTTACATGATGATCTATTGGACTATTTAATTAATTCTCTGTCATCTTTAGATTATATGCCGTTCTTTGTTCGTCAGTGTGTTTCTGTTACTACAGCATTTGTAAGGTTCCAGAGTCAAAAGAATGAACAAGATAATGATGAAGTACCAAAACCTTCTAATAATGAGTTAGCAGCTGTTGTATGCCAAACAATTCAAGATTATTTACAGCAAAAAGTACCCCAATTCTTTAAAATATAGATTTTTATTTGGAAGTTTTGGAAATACAACCATTATAACCATTTGCAAAATAATAACAAATTTATATTAATCTCTTAAAATTAATGAGATCAATATTTATTAATATTTAAAATTAATATAATTAAAAGGGAAATTGAATGCCATTAACAAAGATAAGAAACATTTATAATACAAAACTCTAATGCTATGAATGATGTTAAGATTATATCAACTTTAAAGTTGAATTAAAGTTGGATAATATTATATTCATCTATCCAATTATAATCTATCAATAAGTCAGTCAAAACTTGCATTAAATTTCTCAAATCATTCTTTTGAAATTGTTTGGTGAATATTAACATTAAAATGATTACTATTATTGTTGGATAAATTATCATTATAATCATAATTTGTATTTACAATATTTAAGTCTTGGTTATAATTATTCATTATTATTGGATTAGCATGGAAAGTTATTCTAGTTTTTGGGAGATCTAATGGTTCATATCCTTCAATTTTTTCCACATTTGCAGTTAAATCATAATCTTCAAGCAGCTTCTCAGAAATATTGGTTGTCATTAAATTTTGAAAGTCTTTATGATCTCTTTTACATGCAAAAGCATTCCATCCTTCGTCAATTACATGCTGGATTGCATTACTAAAATAATAAATATGTAAATGATCAATTTAATTTATTAAGTTAATTATTGTTATTAATTATAATTACGAGATATAATAATATTGATAGTCATTCCCATAAATAATAGTATAATTCTTGGCCATAGTTAGCTTAGATACATATACTTTTTCTTACCATTTTAAATACTATTATTTTTGGGATTCCCATCAATATTACTAGATTTCTTTTACTAGTCACTTAAACTTACTCTAATCTAGATATTCTTTTAATAAATACATATCTACATGCAGTATCCACACTAAATAACCTGCTTGTCTCATGTATATATACATTATATTTACTGATTCTGAGAGGGTCAGAACTATCCATATTATCGGGCTCAAATAGACAACTCGGAATATGGTTAGTCTCTCTATATGGGATTTTAATGTGAAAATCTTTTGCGGACGAGTTATCTTCTTTACCAGTTTTTTTTAAAATGGTATTATCCTCTTTTTCAAAATCTTTTTTCTCTTTTTTGAACTCTTTTTTCTGATTTTTGTCTACCTCTTTTAACTTACCCCTAGCAGTTTCCTCTTTTTGTTTCTTACTAACCTCTTTCTTTTGCTCCTTTCCTATACTTTTCTTATCCTTTGCAGTTTCCTCTTTTTGTTTCTTACCAACCTCTTTCTTTTGGTCCTTTCCCATATTTTTCTTGTCCTTAGCAGCTTCCTCTTTTTGTTTCTTACTAACTTCTTTCTTTTGATCCTTTCCTGTGTTTTTCTTGTCCTTAGCAGTTTCCTCTTTCTGTTTCTTACTAACTTCTTTCTTTTGCTCCTTTCCCATATTTTTCTTGTTCTTATCAGTTTCTTCTTTCTCTTTCTTACTCATTTCTTTCTGTTGCTCCTTTCCTATGTTTTTCTTACCATTAGTAGTTTCCTCTTTTTGTTTATTACTAACTTCTTTCTTTTGTTCTTTTACTTCCTCCTTCTGTTTCTTTTCTAGATTACAATTCTTTCTATTTCTCTCATTATTTTGAGCCTTTGATTTTTCACTAATTTTCACATCGGGACCACATTCTTTGAAGATAAACTTTAAATTAAGTTCTTCATTGCTTTTAGAGTTTAAATCATCACGAGTTTCTTTCTTCTCTTTCCCAGAATCTAAAACTAGTCCCAAACAAAGACTTTTCTCATCTTCATCAATTTCTTCTTTTAATAAAGCTGAAACATCTGAAATACTAAAACAATCCCGCTTTAACTCAGGCATTTTAACATGCTATTAAATTCTATCATTTAAATATTAATAGTGATTATTAGAACTCTCACAAAATCTAAATATCAGAGAAATAATTACTTTTTCTTTAATCCACCACTTCTTTTTAAATTAAAACTCTTTTTTTGTTGATTTTTGTATTTTATTTGTAAATCCCAAATTAACCATAATATTATTTGCATGACACTTTAGGCGCCAAAAACATGCGTTGTCATTTGCATAAAAAATTACCGGCATATAATTTTGTTACTTCTTTGTATACCGGCATTTACATGTGAATAATTAGTGGCAAGGAAACGATAAGCGGAATTTTTAATATCAAAATAATTAAAAAATTACTTTGAATTAAAGTTAATTAATTAATTATTATGTATAGAAAATCTTTGGAGATTTGGTTCATTTTTATCTGTTTCTATAAAGTATGAGTGAGCAAAAACAATACAAAAACTTGGAAACTTTAGTTTCCAGATATATTAAGTTGAATATGAGTGAAGAAGAAGAAACTGTTTCTGATAACTTTGATTTATGTATGGGAACAAAGTCTATTCGAAATAAACGAAGAAAAATTGAGAATGCTGATTCTTCAAATAAGAGTTCTGAAAACTTAAGTCATATAAGATTAACAGGTGCTATAGCACAATACCTTTTAAGTAGAGTGCCTTTGCCTACATCTAGAGTTGATTTACAAAAAAAATTCATCAAACCAGAAGGTTCGAAGAAAGTTGATTTGGATTCAATTCTTAATTTAATTAATGATAAATTTAAGTCTTGTTTGGGGTTGGGTATTTTTGGACTGGATAAATCAATCACTAATCAAACATCATCTAATCCAAAATATTACGTAGTACAGTTAAATAGGTCAAAGGCTCACTTGGATCTAGTATATCAGTTTGGAAACATTAACTTTAAATCTATTGGAGAGCTTACAGTAGATCAAGACGAAACTAACCTTGTTTCAAACCGACTCTGTAATTCATTTCTAACATTTCTAAGCTTTCTATTTGGCTTCTTTGAAATAACCTCCTCAGATGAAGATCTCATCCAAAACGATGATGATTCCTCCAAAGTTATCCAAAACAATGAAGAAATTGAAATTCCGATTGGTAAGTTTAAATTAATTTTGTTCTAAGCTCTTTTAATAGTTCAAATAAACTAAACCCATGACACCAGACTACTTACTAGAGCTAATTAATGAGTTTACTGGAGTCATTTTTAATTCAGGTAAGTTTTATCTAACTAAAAAAAAATGTTGATTTTATTAAGGTTTAATCAATTCCTTTACAGAAAAAATTCTGTTTGAATTAAACACACTCTTCGGCTCAAAATCAACTAACTCAAAACAAACCAATGAAGAGGAAGATTCTCTAATCACAGTTAATTCCAAACTGTCTAAGATATCAATTATATTTTACATTCTTTACAAGGCGGGATACCTTATTCCCACATTTTCAACCCAAACAACCAATGGTAATCATATCGTCTCTGGGTTCAAAAATGGGCCTATACTTAAATGGGACTCTGAACATATTAAAAAAATCGTCCATTTGAACTCTTAAAGCTACGTTTTCTAGCCAACTTATACCAATGGACACAACCTTTTATAACCATCACTACACCCAATTTACATGCTTTAACTTATGGCGCCAACCGGAAATTATATTATAATAACTCAAATCTGCAAATTAATATTTGGACGAAATATAAATATCCATGATACTAAATTATGAGATCTTCTAATACCATCTCCATCCAAGACTTAAATTGATTCTAAATTTTTCAAAATTCAAAAGCTAAAAAAAACAGATCCCTAAGCACTATTCAGTGATTATTCTTAAATTAAAGGAGATTACCTGCCTAAGAAAAAAAATCATTTTAAACATTTTCTTCAGGATCATATAAGTTACAAAATACTTTGCTTACAAAAAAATTCTAAAAAAATTATAATATATAATTAAATCCAACTTCACTCTAAAAATACAAGAAAAATTATTAAAGTTTAGGCGGTAAAAAGTAGTGAAACGATGACTATGTGGTATAGATATATAGAAATTGTAAAAAGTTGGAGATCTTTTACAAAAGATAAAACAACTTTAGAACATATAAAAAAACACCCCTCCTGGAATTAAGTCTGATTAATTAATTAATCAGGTTTTAATCAACCAAATTGAGTCAATTTTTAAAACAAGATCTAGTATTAAGATTACAAGGAACCAGAGTATAAAAATATTGAAAATATACTCAATATAAATAAAATAAAGCAGTTTAGAGTAATAAATGAAGAATTTTGAACCAATTGAAGGTGGAATATATTCTTTTAAAGACTATTCCAAACTGAATAAACAATATGTTGATGTTGAATCTGTAGATTTTAAGAGCTTTGGTAAATATCCCAAATACCACTCATTCTTTAAAAGAGGGTTCTTTAACACGATACTCTTTAAGTGGTTATCTCCTATTATTGATATGGCTGAGAAAGATTTTCTAATTAATGACTCAGATATTAATTTGGCGGATGATGATGATGATATTCAGACTGAATATCTATACTTTATAAGAAATTGGAATGAGGAATTTTCCAAACCTCAAGCTATAAATTCAATCCAGTTATCAACTTTTAAAGTTATCTTCAGAACTTTCTACCTTCGAATTATAACCATCCTCTTATTTAAACTGGTCTTTGATATTATTCAAATGTGCAGGCCTTGGCAAATACATGGTATCCTTCACTGGATTGGAGATCCAGCTGGAACTAAAGCTTCTGGTATCATGAGATTTATGTCTGTTGTAATTTGTGAAGTTGTCTGTGGATCTATCTTACAACAATACTTCAGAAGATCTTTCAGTCTTTCCGTTATGCTAAAAGGTGTTATGAATTATTCGCTCTCCAACAAACTTATTAAACTACCCAAAAATGTAGCCATTGAAAACAGTGCCAAATGTATTTCATTATTTTCCTCAGAATCCACATATTTATTGGGAACTGGAAATTCTCTCTTAGCAGTACCTTCAATGATTTTTCAGAATCTATTATTATTATTTTCCCTATATCAATTTATTGGAGTCAGTGCTTTTATTGGATACATAATTATTGTATTATCTTTATTTGTTAATGGATTACTGATCAAACTAACTCAATCTGTAAGACTTAAATATATCTCATCATTGGACAAAAGAATCTCACTTTCAACAGAATTAGTTAACTCATTCAAACAAATTAAATGTTATGCTTGGGAGAAATACTACATCAAAAATATTAATGAGATCAGAAACGAAGAAATAAAACACCTAGCAATATGGAGATTCCTTAATCAGTTTGGATTCGTCTTAGCTACATTATGTGTCTCTCTTTCTCCAGTCATTTCATTTGGTTCTTTCCTATACTTAACTCGAACCTTCCCAGCAGACGTCATTTTCACTTCACTACTCATATTTGAGTCTCTTCAGCTTACTCTTGTTCTTTTACCAACAGGAATCTCTTCTTTACAAAAAATAATTAACTGCTATACTAGACTCAGTGAATTTCTTCTACTTAAAGATATTGATTCAAGACAGTTAGATTTGCCTATAGAACAACAAGATTATGCTGTAAAAGTTAATGATGTATATTTCAGCTATCCATCTAAAGAATATATACTCTCATCTATCAGTTTTAACGTTAAGAAGAGTCAAAAAGTTGGAATAATTGGTTATGTTGGTTCTGGAAAAACTACTATGTTAGAACTTATCTTGCAGGAACTTACACCAAAATTGGGTTCTGTTCAATCTGTTGGTTCAGTTTTCTATTGTCCCCAATCATCTTGGATTACAAGTGCTAGCATCAGAAGTAATATCATTCTTGATCTACCCTTTGACCAAGCTTGGTATGATACTGTAATTACAGCCTGCTCATTAGTCTATGATTTGAAGGCTATGCCAAATGGAGATTTAACAGAAATTGGTGAAAATGGAATCAATCTCTCTGGAGGCCAAAAACAAAGAGTCTCTCTTGCCAGAGCCATATACCAGAACACTGATATACTCATTTTGGATGACGTGTTTTCTGCCTTAGATAACGTCGTTGCTACAAGTATATTCCAAAAATGTATTATTAACCTGCTGAAACACAAAACTGTCATCCTAGCCACTAACAAATTGGATATACTATCTCATCTTGACCAAGTAATCTTCATTAATAATAAAACTTTGTCTTACTCTGGACCTCCTGATAATTCATTCTTTTCCCATCCTGATTTTCAGGATCTTTTAAACAATATGTATAAGGTACAAAATCAAATCAATCAAATTATTGATGATGTTGTCACTATTGAAGAGATTCATGATATTGGAGCTGTAACAGATGATCAACTTTCTGTAAATTCTTCTGATATTCAAAATCCAAGACAAGACTCATCTTATCCAACTATCCGTATCTCAGAAACCATTACAAGTATCCCAAAGAATGAAATTGAACCAGAAACATCAACTCAAAATAACTCCTCACCTTCACTCATTCTTCCATTGTCAAATCAAAACACCAAAACATCTCAAGTTTCTAGAAGAGGAAGTAGAGTTTCTCTTTCAGCCCTCAAAGATAAATATAGAAGAGAAAGCCAAACTTTAAGAAACTCTATAGAACTTACTGAAGAAGATAATAATTATTCTATCAAAAAAACTGCAAAAATGCTTGACCAAGCAAGTGTTAAAGTAAAAAGTGTTGAATTCTCCAAATATATTGAATACATCAAAAAGTTCAACCCCACAATTCTTGCTCTATCCATCATTGTTATCTACTCCTGTACCTTATCTAATATACTCTCATCTGTATGGATTTCAAATTGGTCTCGTGACTTTGATAAGTATGGAATTCTTCAAGGACTTCTCATATTAACTGCTATCAACATTCTACAACCAATACTTAATCTCTTATTCAGAATTGCAAACATATACCTAACCACCAATGCTTCCAAAAAAATCTATAATGAGCTTTTTACAAAACTTTCATATTCAAAACTCTCCTTTTATGAATCCATTCCAATTGGAACTATTCTAACCAGAATTACCAGTGATATTGTTGTTATTGACGAAATGATCCCCCAGAATCTCATAGATTTTACTTACTGTTTAACCAGAGTTACTATTTACATTGGATATTTCATATATTTAGATTATAGATTCATACTTATTTTCTTGCCTGCATCCTACTTCTTCAACAGATTCAGAATTAGAGCCATGTCAGCCAACAGACAACTTAAACGTATATTCCACTCCAGAACATCCCCTATTCTTACATCTATTTCTTATACTATAGATGGTTTGGCTATTCTAAGATGTTCCAAATATGGATTTAAAAACTTTATACAAAATATCCAAAATCTTATTGACTATGAATCTGCTCCTTGGAGATGTTACTGCTTAATACAAAGATGGCTTGGAATCCATATTGATATGCTTGGAGCTTTTATTATTTCTTCTCTTGGTATTTTCTGTGTTTCAGCTAAAGGATTCATTTCTATTGGAGCTATTGCAATTGCTTTTCAGTGTTCCCTTTCACTTACTCAGCTTGTCTTATGGATGATTAGAAATATATCAGAAACTGAAAATAACTTCCTCTCTTATGATAGAACTTCTGAGTTAATTAATATTATTCCCCAAGAAACTAATATTGAAAAAGGAACAGTATATCAAGATGAAGATGATTATGATAACTCTTATACAGCCCAAGAAACTAATGGAAATGTAGAAAATACAGATTCTCTGCTTATTAATATTGATAGTCCCAATAGACCAATCCCTTCTAACTGGCCAAGTAATGGAAGTATTGTTTTTAATAATGTTGTACTCAGATATAATCCAGATGAACCAGCAATTTTAAATAACCTTAGTTTTTCTGTTCAAGGAGGAAAGAAAGTTGGTATATGTGGAAGAACTGGTTCTGGTAAATCTACACTTTTATCTGCAATTCTTAGGCTATATAATATTCAACAAGGAAATATTATTATTGATGATATTGATATTTCCCAAATTAGTCTTAAAAAACTTAGATCACAAATTACCATCATCCCCCAAGAACCTAATATTCTTACTGGGACTCTCAGATATAACTTAGATCCATTTAATGAATATTCATTAGAAGAAATTAATCAAGCTTTAATTAATTCCAATTCAGAATCTTTTGTTAACTCACTTCCAGATGGAATTAATACCCAAATGACAAATGCTTCTAATAATATTTCTTTAGGACAAAAACAACTTATCTGCCTTGCAAGAGCTCTCCTTAGAAAAAGTAAAATCATCCTTCTTGATGAAGCCACATCTTCAATGGATATAGCTACCGATAATGTAATCCAAAATATTATCAAGAAACACTTCTCAAATTGTACAATACTTTCAATTGCTCACAGAATCCACACTATTATTGATTATGATCTTATCATTGTTTTGGATAAAGGAAGAATTGTTGAGTACGATTCTCCTCAAAATCTTTTATCCAATACTTCATCCATGTTTTACTCCATTGCTAATGAAACCAATACCTTATAGTTAAAAAAATGAGGATTCCGAAAATAATAATATTGTAGAGAATGAAATTATATTTTCAGGAAGAAAATGGGATTCAGAGTTGAAGTATAAGCACTAAATCATTCACTTGAAAGACCTGAAAGAAAAGACTTTTTAGTCTCAAAAATTTACTGATTTGAATGATTTATTCTGTTTAAAGTTAGTTTTTATTCTTTTTTTTTCATTAAATTAGAATTTTTAATTTTTCAATTTATTTATACTTTTAAATTACTGAATCTTATAATCATTCAGAATTTGTCATCTTAGAATCATAAAAATCACGAAAGTAGTGAATTTTTATCCCATAATCCATACTTAAAAGACAAATCTTTTCCAAACAATTTAACCTCTTGTTACAGTACAAAAGTTGATTAGTATAATAGATATCAGCTTCTTTAAATTTTTCTTTAAGTAACTCATTATTAGATTTATATATCCCCAATTCATGATCTGTGATCTCTAATTTTTCTCGCAAACTTCTCCTCTCTAAATTAATAATTTCAATTTCAGATTGATTTTCTGTATTTAAATGACTAATTTCTGCATATTCTTGTTTTAAATTAGATATAACTTGCTCTTGATCAGAAATCTGTTGTTTTAATAGATCCATCTCGTTGTTTAATTCAATTGTCCGAGCAGATACAATCATTTCAACAAACTGTAACCAATCAAGAGGAATATTATTTTTAATAGCCAAATCTTTTAAGAAGGATCCTATTTTTTGGTAAATATTCAATCCCAAACCTGAATTATCTCCTATTTCCATTAACTTACTTGAGACGTACTCTGAGATATCTTCATTTTCATTATTTTCATTATTTTCACTATTACCTTGTTGAATTTTCTTTGTCTGAGATTCACTGTATTCTTTTACATATTGTCTTAATCCCTTTAATTGATCAGAAATCTCATTAATTTTTTCCTTAACTTGAAGATCATCTATTTCGTTTTTTAATATTTCAAAAAGACTATTCCATAACTCATCTGAAACCTGATATATAAATCTAAATGTATTAGAAACTTCCAATGCTGTACTTAGTGTTTCCACAATCTTTTTTATTCCTTTTAACTTTTCCATACTTTCTATACTTACTGTGGACTTTCCAGGCTTATTGACTAAAGCGTGTTTTTCAACTTTAATTGATGTTAACTGAGCTCTTAATTTTCCTATTTTGATTTGATGATCACTTTTTTCACTTTTTAGAGCTTGGATATATTTTTCTTGTTGGAAATTAATAGTTTCCTCATAGTTCCTTTTTTCATCTTCCATCACTGTTAATACAGTTTCTAACTTATTTTCCAAGTCTATTTTATGAGTTTTTAAGAGTTTGTACTCTTCTCTTAATATGTGTAAACATGTTACTAACTTCCAAAACATGGTTTCAATTTTTATTAATGATGATGGGAAAGTCTGAGCCTCATCTCTTGCACTTTCTCGATTTAAATTTTGATTATTAAATGTTATTTTTGAGATCATTTCTACCTCCTTTTCAAAATCACCCTCCAAATCAAATTCTTGAGATTCCAACTTCTTAACTTGTTCAAAGAACTCAGTCTGAGAGAAGTCATTTTCCAAAGCAATTTCTATTAGTTTGTTAGAAGTTGTAATAAATGGAAGAAGATTAAATTGTTTGACAGAAACTCCTGTTTTTGAGAGATGAGTCTTATAATCTTGTCCAAAGTTATTTTGAGATTTGAATTCTAATGTCTCATCATCATTGAAAGGATATTTGACAAGTTTTTTCCAACGATTCATAATAACAAGAAATTCACTCATTATTTTTAGATCATTAATTCCATCTTCTTTAAGATAATTAGATATATCCCAAAGATCTGAGACATGAATAATTTCTTGAGAATTAATTTCTGTCTCACCAAGAGGTTTGTCAATACTTGCCATTAGATCCAGATTACTTTCGTAGTTTTCAGAAGAAACAATTAATTGTTTGTTTTTTAGAGTGTAAAGTTTTTTTTTGAGAAACTCGATTCCTCTTTGTAGTAAAAGCTTTTCATGATTAAGATGTTGAACTTTTTCTTTGAGATGTTTTTTTTCATCGTTACAAACAATTTTACCATATACACTCCCAAAAAGATCATTACTATTACAATGACACTGGTTTTCATCATTATAGGATTGAAGAAGGTGATTATCAGTTTTATGATTTTTATTATTTAAAATGATATCTTTGAGTTGATCAATTCTGTTACTTTTTAACAAGGACTCACTTACAAGATCACAAACAATTTTCAAGCAATCGTTTACAAGGTGGTTATTTTGTACCAAAACCTCAAATTCAAAGTTAGAACTTTTGTTTGATGGCTGATTTAATCCAACCTTGTTTAGTCCTTTGGGATACTCTTGATACTTATCCAAAATATGTTTAAGATACCCCAATATCTCATCTATTCTCATTCTTTCCATTTTGTAATTCAAATCAGATCTTTCTGAGATTACATTTTCACAAGAATCAGTAATTCTTTTCCACCAATTTTCTGCTAGTGTATATATTTTAACAAACTGATCATTAATTTCTCTGACTCTTTCAAATTGGGGTGTAGATGATGATACATCAACAACATACCTATATATAATGTACCTCAATTTCTTATTTTCTTTCTGGTAGGAGGAGATTTCATCATTTAAAGTTTTTTCAATTTCATCTCTTTTTTTGTTTTCTTCATTAACAATTTCTTGTAGATGTTTGAGTTGTTCAAGTGTTTCACTTTTAATCTTCGTAGAAAGTTCCTCGAGAGAAGTATCACCAGCTTGATAATCTTTATATATTGTATCAGACATTTGTAAATTTAAAGTCTGATTGTTTTGCATAGTTCTTAGCATAACTTGTGAGGCTTTTTTCTCTTGAATAATCTTTTGTTTTCCTTCATTTTCTATCTCACGTATTTTTTCTTCATAACTAAGTTTAAGCTGTTCTATTTTCTTTTCACAATCTTCTTCTATAATCTTAATTTTATTTTCAAAGTTTGCTCTTTCAATTGCTTGTTCTTCCTTAGTTCTTACCATTTGTCTCACACAATATTCCAAGGAATGCCTTACTTTGGTAGTAAAATTCTCAATTCCATCAGGGAGATCAATTTTGTTAATTTCGGACAACTTTTCATTTAGACCCTCAAAAAAACTGTCAAGACTTCGAACAAGCTTTACGGTTCTTTCGTCCATTTCAATAATTTCATTAAATCTTTGAATTCGATCATAATACACTCCTTCATCTCCTTTAAAACATCTCACACCCTCGGTCTGAGGCTCTGGGGGCTTATTTAGAGCCTTGGAATCATTTTCAAAAAGTCTAATTTGGGTCTTAGGAGATAGTTGAAGACTTCCACCAACAATCAAAGTCTTTACTGAGGAATCACCCATTAAGAATTCTGCAACATATTTTGATGGTGGGGGAATAAACTCAAAAGAAGATTCATTTTTGAAAGCACAATGATAGAGAAAGAAGAAAATGATAACAGAATTATATGCAGAGCAGAGCTTATCATTTTTGATTCCTTCTTCATCTATTAACTTAGAATAATCAATATTCAAAGTTCTAAAAATGGTTTCAATCTTTCTCCATGAATCAGATAAGGCATCGATCTCGGTTTTTGTATTTTTTAAGCTAGGCCAAACAATGAAACAAAGCTTTAAAATGACAGTTCCGTCTGAAAAACTTTTCCAGTTTAGTTCTTCACCCAATAAACTGCTTCCCCATGCTAGCAATTCCTTTTTTCCAATTTGTATCAATTTTCTAGCTTCTGACATGGTTTATTTGAATTCTTTTAAATTGAAAAATTCCTTAAATCATTAGTAGGTTTTTTAATTATATTTTTTGAACATATATTATCTAATAATACTTTTGCAATAGTTAAAAAAAAATTGTACACGTTAATAAGAATTTACATGCTCCCGCCTAAACGCCATGTGGCTATTGCATGCAATACCGGTACTGAAAACAATGATTTGCAAACATTTGAATTCAGGAAAGGCATTGTTGGTTGCATGCATGTGTATGTGAGAATTTTGTGTTATTTTTTGGAGAAAAAAATTTGTACTTGGAATTTAACTGTATGTTGAAAAATTATGCAAAATAAAAGGTCCGGAACAAAATGAAAAATTAAATAAAAAAAAAAAATATAAAATGAAACTAAGAAATAAATAAGTTAGAATTCTTATTCTAAGAATTTAAGGTTAATAAGATGTTTAATTCGTACGAATTGGGAAATGGTCGAGTTAGAAAAAAAAGAATAGAAGGTTTATTAGGAGGTGAAAAAACTTTGATAATTGTGGATTGGGATGATACTCTATTACCTACTACATGGCTTTCATGGAATAAAAAATTAGATTTAAAAAACACCAATTTTGGGAGAATAGTGGCAAATTTTTTAAAGAAAGCTACAGAACTTGGACAAGTTGTTATAATAACAAATGCAGATCCGAGTTGGGTTTATGAGACTTCAGAGTTATATCTTCCAGAAATATTATATTATTTGAGGATAATCCCAATTTGTTCTGCTAGACAATTTGCACAGTTTGGTGTAAATGACATGAAGAATTGGAAATACAGAGCTTTTAATTGCGTAATACAACATTTTAGTAATAACTTTAAAGGTATAAAAAATATAATTAGTATTGGTGATAGCCAATGGGATAGGGATGCGGTATTTAATGTATTTGAGAACAATAAAAACATTCAAATTACGCCTAAAGCAGTCAAGTTTTTGGGTTCTCCAAGCTTTGAAGCCTTAGGGGAAGAAATATTAATATTAACATCAAAACTGGAGGAAATTGTGATGATTGATGGAGCCAATATATACGAAATGGAAAGGTGGTGAAGGAAAAAATGTCAAAACATAATTAAATCAATAATTAGTCCTTTATATTGACATTAATTGCAAGATTTAATAAGAAGAATGGATTCGTGGAAAAAAAGAATAAACTATAATTACATATTAAATTTGTTATTGGAATTTAAACTTGGAATTTTTACAGATGAACTGTAAAACTCAAAATATTTTTCAAAATCTCCTGATTGGTTTACTGGATGGTCTTTTTGTGTTTTAATTGGAATCTTGGTTAGTTCTATTTTATACAGTCTTGGCCACCTCTTACCAGTAACAAAAAGATTGGGACCATTTGATTTGGAGATTTTCTTTTCTTGATGACTTGGATGATACGCAATTCCATTAAGTACATCATTTAGAAGATCAGAATGTTTGAATAGTGTGCTATTTTTTGGGTTGTATATTGATTTAAGGTTTACAATAGAAATACATTTCCCAGTTTCAGGATTAAATTCAACAATCATCTGCGATTGGAATATATTTCCCCAAATAGTTTTCGTTTCTGGAACATATTCCATCTCATTTACGTAATACATTGGTTTTCCAAGACATTTCAGTTTTACTACGTTTTTAATTTTTACTTTATCTGAAGAGTCAAAATCTGGAATATTAAGTTCAAAAAGTTCATCAGATCCAGATGTAGCCCATATTTTTGACTCATTATCTGATGTAAGCCCCCATCCTATTATTGGTATCGAATATTGTTTTCGTATTGAAAGATCAATTGAATATTCAAACATTATTTTACTTGTCCAAGTTAGCTGGTAAATATGGTCTTTTAAAATCGCAATTCCCTCACCCCAGTTTCCTTTCTTCAAAGTATTGTGTTGAATATCTTTCATACTTGGGAATTCAATCAGCTTTATAAAACTCCCTTGAAATAAACCTGCACTTTCTATGAGAGTTGTGGAATTTAGAAACAACAAACCTTGAGTAAATGGATTTTTGTTGTACTTGTACGAGAGATCATCTTCGGAAGAATTATTCTTCAAATTTCCTGGTTGGTGATAATGGGGAAATTCCTGTAATACTTTCACGCTATATATATTTGGCAATTGGTCTAAAAGTTCTGAATCAAAGGGTCGGGAGAAGCTCCAATTAAATAAAATACATGAGATAAGGAGTAATCCCGAAAAAATCATAATATTTACAAAATTAATGTGTCTTATTTTTTCGACCTTCACCTCGAAATTTCCTTAAAGTTTAAATTGAATATTAATAAAATGGATAATACCAATTTGAATTATTAATGATTACCGGGCAATCACAAAAAAAAAATGCAAAATGTATCATAAATAATTTATGTAAAGAATCTTTAAAAAAAATGTAATAATATCAAACAAATATGGCTTAAAAAAAAAGTTAAATTGATTAAAAGTAAATAATAATCAAGAAAAAAATTGAGGATTCTAATGATTTATAATAATTATAGTTAATATGTCCAGTTAATTTCTCTATGTTAAGTGTAATAAAAGATTAAAGGTGAGTTAATATATTAAGCAAACAAGAATAAGAGTTTCAGCTAATTTAACTTACTTTGCAAGAATTTGTATTGCAAAAGATATTGAAATACAATGCTGGAGATATGTTTGATTCGTTGGATCAATCTGATTAACATTCAGAAAATGTGAAAATATGAGAGAATTTTCATTTTCGCTTTTAATAATCGAGTTGGTTAATGCATTAATGTCTAGAATATTAAGACATAATGTACATACATCCTATAGTGGAAAAGGAATATTCAAAACAAATTTGAGTGTAATCAGCAACTAAAATAATTAACTTAAAAATTTAAAACTTACCAATGGATCCTTCAAATTAATTTTCCTTGTTTCTGGAAAATATTCAAAGTTTTCCCAGTAAAATAAAGAACTAGATTTGGCACCACATATATCACAATTCTGGAATTAAACAAATCAAAGTTAAAAGAAACATTCAAAATCAAATTATTAAAAAAACTTACTTTTTCTGAAGAACCAGTTCTTGAAGTACATTTTCCGTTCTTTGAAGTATCTATCTTACCAATCTTCGGTACTGGTGCAAGCTTACAAGCATAACCTAATAACCTTTCCTTTAATATGGCAATTTGTGATTCAACACTTCCATTTGATTTCTCCAAAATATTTGACATCGATTTGGTATTCTACTAAAATCTTAATTTCAAAATCACAAATAAAAAGACTTTGAATTCAAGTTTTCACAGAAAATTTCATTAATTATTATTTTTTTTTTCTGCCCTACTTTTACCAAATCAACTTTAAATCTACATTTGCCAGAACATTTTTTGGCGGGAAAAATGCTTACCCTAAATCAGTCAAAATGGGAAAAATGCCATGCAAATAGCATTATGTAAAAAAGGTAATTTTTTTTAAAAAAGTAAAAGTTTAATGAATAACAATACAGCATTCTGGAATTTTCGCCCGGTTTAATTCTTTAAGTTATTACTACTATAATCATATTTAAAGGTATTATTAAAGACAGAATTTGGGGCATATTAATTAATGGGTGTAATCAAAGAAGAAAAATAAGAATAGATATATTTAAGTGCGCATTTTTTTTTGAAAACAAATCCTCTAGAAATTGGGTGTAAGAAGTAACTGAGTAATTTAGGCCATTCATACATGAAATAATAAAAGGAAAATGGCGGGAATGTTAAGGAACCAAATGAAATTAAGTTTATAATAAAAAAAAATTGAAAAAAATTGTGGCATGCAAATTGATCCAAAGAATACAAGGAATTTAGTCAAATTAATTAAAAATCTGTGGGTTAAACTGGATTTCTGTTACTTGAAGTAAATTCTAATGGAAATTACGAATTATCAAATAAAAACTGAAACCAGTTCACATAAAGAAGTTCCTTCTTACCCAAACGAGTCTCAGAATACCAGTAACCCCAGAAAAAAAAGCAAAAAAAACACAGGAAAAGACCTTAAGGTTGACAATTTTGAACCCCCTGTTTTCTCAGTAAGATACAAAGATCCTTCTATAGAGTTATCAGAAGACAGACTAACAGCTATAGGGTATAAGGGTTGGTCAACGGTTTTATTAACTCATGGAGCAAGTTCTGGAACTTGGTATTTTGAAATCAAAGTTTTGGAACCAAGAGTAATTTCCAAATTTTTAGGCCATTCCAAGTTTTTAAATTTGAAGCAAGATCCCAGTATAAGGTAAGTTGATTGTTAGAATTAATTATATTATAGGCTACCTTTTTTCATTTAGGTAGCCTTTCTAGTATCTAGTTTTTTGAATAAAGCATTTTTTTTCCTCATTTTAACTAAACAATCAGAGTTGGCTGGAGCTGCAGATATAATAGACTTGATGTTCCAGTTGGGACCTCAAGTTTTGGATATTCTTTTAGTACAAAAACTTGCTCTATATTTTACAATAGTAGAAGCCAGCACATCTCTGAGATGGAAAATATTACTCAAGTCACCACTGGAGATGTGATTGGGTGTTTGATCAAGCTTAGTGGTATTCCTTATGATTTGGAAGATCCCAGAAATTCTCCTCATTTACATCCATATTTGGAACTTGGACTTTTGTGTAACCCAGAAAAGCTCCCCAAAGTTATAAGAGATCCTGGTAAGTATTTAAGCACTTTGATTACTATTGAAGTTCTATTGAAATTTTTTTCTTTTCTCTTTCTTTAAGATATTTTCAAAGATTCTAAAGAGATAGAAACTTCAAAGTGATCAAAAATTAAAGCTATCATTTTAACCTCATTTCAGATTCTCTTATCGAGTTTTTTGTCAATGGAAAGAAGGTAAGTGCCAGCTTTTCAAACATTGCTTCTGGTTTCTACCACCCAACCGTTTCATTATATATGGGGGCTTCTGTACAAATTAACACTGGGCCCAACTTTACCTTCTTTCCTCACATGGAGTTTGAACCTGCTGCAAGGTTACTAAGACCTCAAATACTTTAGGTGACTAGTGGAATCTAACTCTTATTTCTATACTCATTTTTTCGTTGAATTCCTTTCTCTGTTCCTTAATTTCAATTTCTTTCTTTCTCTTTCTTTCTCACTCTTTCTTTATCTATCTTCTATTTTCTAATTTTTTCTTTGATTAAGCCATATTTAGATTTTCCAGTTAATGTCAAAATAAATATTTCAGAAAAAACCCGCCAAAAGTGGTTACTAGGATTTGAGTTTTGCATGTTTTTAAAATAAAAGGATTATGTGGGGAGATGAATTAAATTCAGAGGGAAATTGGGAGCAGAAAAAAAAAAAAAGAAATATAAATATATATATATTAATTTATTAATTTATTTAAATAAATCAATAAGTTAAGAAAGTTAACATTTTGTTCAGAAGTAGGTAATAAAGTTGTTGGGATTATTGGAGAAAGAAGTTTTAAGAATAGAAAGATAAACTAAAATCTGAGGAAATAGGATTTTGAACTAAAAACTTGATTATAATATGAAAAGATTGTGAATAGAGTAAATTAAAAGAAAGGTTTGATGGAATTAAAGTAATAATGAGTCAACGAGCAAAGACTTCATTGATCAACTTTTTACTGGAGGTAGTACCTTCAGCATTGGATTGTTCCAGACAACAGTTAACGTCATTATTGACTGGGAAAGGTGATGAACAATTAAAACGGTTTTTAAGAGAAACTGATGTTCACTGTCTAATTGTAGGAAAAGAAAAAGTTATCGAGTCTGATGTGGGAAGAGAGTCAGATTCTGAAGGATTAAAGTTGGAAGAACCTATTTCAGGTGAAAATAGGCTGGAATATTCTGAAGGGTTAACACAACATCAAGTATTTATAGAAACTTATATGACTTCCAGATGTTTAAAAGCTTCGTTAATGGTGTTTGTTAAAAACCCTGGATTCCAAGTTTCAGATGATGGAATTATTACGACAAGTGTTGATAGAGGAGCAGAAACATCTGAATCTGGCGGAGGTGATTCTTCCGAAGATCATACAAAAAACACTGGAGTAATAACTCATTCAAAATCTTTGTCTTCAAGTCTACAGTGTATCCAGTTAGGGTTTGTGGGATCACAATTAACTCCATATGAAGTTTTAAACCAATACTTACAGTTTGCCTTTACTCCTCTATTGGATGCATTAGGTAATGCAAAAAACACCTCTGGAGCAATTGGAGTAGAAGCAGGAGAGACTGGAGATACTACAGAGGCAGGGTCTCACTTAGGTCTTGAAAATATTCAAAGAAAAGTGAATGAATTATGTTTGGCCTTACAACAAGGCCAAGATGATAGTATGATTCCCATGGTAAGATTAAGCTTAGATCCAAAGGTTTTAGAATATGCCAAGGAATATAAGAATACTGGGAAAATTAATAATATGGATGAAATAATTGAAGATTCTGCCTTTTTGTCCTCTCTTCAAGTTTCAATTACCCAATGGATTCGGGAAATCCAATCATTAGCAAGATTTCAGAGAGATATTGGTTTAAGTGTTACATCAGAGGTAAAATTCTGGTCATCTTATGAAAGATCTCTTCAACAGATTTTGAAACAGGTTCAAAGTCCAGAAGTAGAGTGGACATTATCTGTATTACGTCAGTCCAAGAAATTCTTAGCAGCTATATCTTTAGAAGTGGATACTGGACTTAAACAATCAATAGAAAGAGTACAAAACATTAATACTTTGATACATGATATCCCAATAAATGACTTGCTTGTGTCGACTTCTATAGATGAAATCACTTCTGCTGTTGGATTATTCTTCCAACAGCTAAGAAAAATTAAGGGAGCAGCTTCTTATCCTATTTCAAGGACCTTCCAGCTTGTGGAAGTTTATTCCAGTGATATGACTAAACAGTTGTACAAAGTTCTCCAAAATAATCCCACAACATCTTTAATGTTACTGGAATTTCCTGTTTTTGAACATCTAGTTAATGGTTGTAATGAGCTTGGACAAGTATGGGAGGATGAGTGGAGGGAATTAAAAGAGGTAATTAGAGACCTAATTAAAAAGAGGGGACTTTCAGAAAGAGCTCATCCAAAGATGGATTTTGCTCATGTTCCTTTAATCCAACGTTTGAATGACATTGTAATATTTAGAAAACAACACCAAAAGTTGAAAGATACTCTATTAGAGCTTCTATCAATTCAGAGTTCTGGATCTGGAGATCAAACAGATCAGAATCCTTTATCAGCTTTAGGAATTGAACAAAACACTGGACTGGATGCTCTACAGTCTCTTGCTAAAAAAGATCTCCAACAGGCTTATGCCTGTGTGGCTAATATTAACATTCTTGATCTCTCAGCTGTAGGTTTAGAGACTTGGGAAGCTGGAAAACAAGCTTACAACAATAAGGTGGACGCTTCTGAAACTTTATTAATTAAGCAACTTAGAGAGCAACTAAGTGGATGTGGTAATACCTTGGAAATGTTTAGAATACTTGGGAGGTATAATCCCTTATTCTTCAGACCAAGAATTAGAAGTGCAGTTGAAGAATATCAAAGCATTTTATTGGATAAAGTACAATCAGACTTTCAACTATTACAACTTAGATACCAGAATCCATACCAAAAGAGTGCAGCATCTCAATTTTCATGTCTCAGGGATATTCCAAATATAGGAGGTATGCTGATTTGGTCTCACTTGCTTCAGGAAAGAATACAGAGTATATATTTAAAGCTTGAAGATATTTTTGGACCAAATTGGGAATTTGAGAGTCAGGGACATAAAGTTAAAACTGATGGAGATCACATTACTTCAAAGATACATCCAAACCAGATCGTGGACTTTTGGTTACAACAGAGAAAGGATGATAAGTTAACTTATGATTTGAACAAACCAGTTTTGGGATTGATGAAAAGTGTTAGTACTTCAAATACTGCCTTCGTGTTAGTTTCCACAATAGATTCTGCGATCTTATCTTTATTTAAAGATCTAAGAATTATTCAGTCATACGCTTATAGGGTACCATATAGTGTCAAAGTTTTGGCTGATGAGCTTAAACTTTTGTATCCTTACATTTCCCACTTAAACTCACTTTGCATTAATTGGATGAGAATTGCAACTCAGTTAGAAGTGGAACCAGGAAAGAGAATTTCTCCTCTTTTAACTCCATTCCGTCAGGAAGTATATAATGTTATCCAAGAAGGAGTTTCTCTAAGTTGGTCATCTGATAGGTTGGAGGGATTCATTAGAAGATTTTATGATTCTGTGGATACTTTAGAACAGAAGTTTGAGGCTGTTATGACATTAGATGAACAGCTTTCCGTATTAGTTTCTCAAATTAGGAATATCCAAGTAACAAGGGGGCTTGGTGATCTTGTCTCTCATTTAAACAAGATTGGATCAAAATGTGAAGAGTTTCAATCTCTTTTATTGGCATATAGAATTGATTATTTATTTTACTGGGATCAGGTTATTCAATCATTTCTACTTCCAAAGCTAAAGGAATTTGTAGAGCTTTGGATAAACCAATTCATTTCTGTAGGAGGAACTGATAATGAAGTATTCCCTCAAGATCAAGTTCTGTCTCCAAATAATAAGAATAACAACCAAAATACAGTTTTGGGTTCTTTGCAAAGTACAGTTATTACTCTGCAGCTTAAAGATCAAAAGATTGTATTGAATCCTTCTCTTGAGGATGTTAAGTCCTTATGGTTAAGACGTTTCCATCAAGAGATCACAAAGATCACAAATCTTCAAAGAGTTACAAACATTTCAAGCATTCCTCAAACATCTCCTTTCTATGGGGAGATTAGAAAAGCCAAGGAAGAATTAATTCTTCAAATTTCAGGAGGAGGTGAGAAGATAAATGAAAGTGGAATAAATTACGTTAGCAGTGATGATGTTGGATCTGTCAAACATATTCCAGTAGACGGTACCTACAGACATTTGTTTTTGTTTCTTCCAAAATCTCTTTTGGAATGGAGTTATAAAAGTATAGATGATGTATTTACCTCTGTCAAAGTTTCCATTGACTATTGGAAAAGATTTGAGGCTCTTTGGTTTGTTGAGCTTAGCAGTGTTACAGGAAAACTGAATAGCTTACTACAGTGGCAACAGCTAGTAAGGGAGATGAGGAGTTTAAGGACTAGTTTTAGCTCTAATGAAGATTTACGTTGGTTCTGCAGTAAGGTGGCTCTGGACACATCAGCTATACAAGCAAAGATTATGAGTAAATATGATGGTTTGGCAAGGGAGATTCTCCACCTGTATGCATCCAAATTGAATGAGCAGCTTTCTTCTTACTGGACTTCAGTGAGTACTATTAAGCAAACTTTGGACAAATTGGAACCATTTTTGGCTCAGTGGTTGATTTGGATAGATAAGAATTCTTCAAGCATTTCTTCTTTGGTTTTAAAATCCGATAATATTCCAACTAAGGGTTCAGTAATGGCCAACTTACCTCCTGGAGGAGAAGCTCTACATTCTTCTTTGATAGAGTTAGTGTCAAAAATGGTGTCTGCCCAAGATCAAGATCAAAAGATTGGATTAGAGTTACCTTTGTTTGCAGATGGACAAAAGTTTCTCGAAGTTCAGAGATTTACCTTCTCAACTGACTGGATTTGGGTGGAACAGTTTGAGGGAGAGTATGATAAATCCCACCAAAGGTTGGAACACTGTTTTGCCAATGTCATATTTCCAAGTAGAAGAAAAATTGAAAATTATCTCAAACTTTGTTTACAACTCATATTTATGTCATATCAAGAGCTTTTATCAGAATGGACTCGTTTAAGAGGAATTACCTTTGTGAAGAACCCTTTCTTAATGTTAGAGCAGATTGGAGTAATTGAGAATAAGGTAAATGTTTTGCGTCAAGACATTGAATCTTTTAATATGATCTTCAAAGCTTTCAAGTTTGACTCTTCTTGGATTGATAATGAGCTAAACAAGGTAACTTATGAGACTTTTGACACAATTTTACGTGATCTTAAAGACTTTAAAGAGATTTGGAATCAGTTAAATGTTTTCTTTGTAATGATAAGCGAGTACAAGACAATGTTATGGACAGAAGTTAATGTTAAGACTTTAAAGACAAACTTGGAAAGTCTGATTTCTAATCTAAAATCAATACCAGTCAAATATAGACAATATGATGCATTTGAACAATTACAACATGATGTAGAGGGATATCATAAAAATATGAGTTATATTACTCGGCTTAAAGCCGAGTACATGAAGGAAAGGCATTGGAAATTATTACTGAGTAAGGTAGTATGGTATGAGAAGACAAATAATACAGGATTTAAGCATGAGAATGCGTCTGATCAAAAGGTATCGAAAACTAATGTTAATGGAGATGATTCTTCAAAAATACAAGATCAGGAGAAACCTGTAATGAATGAAAATGAGAGAAGCCAAAATATCCAAAGTTTGACAAGTATAACAATGAAAAGCTTAAGATCTTCAAAGTCTATGAAATTCTCTTCTATGAGTAGCTCAAGTATATTTTCAATGTCTATCTTTTCAAATTTAACTTTAGGGGATGTTTGGTCAATTAATTTTGAGGCATCCTCAGTAATAATAACAGAAATCTTGGCCAAAGCTCAAGGAGAACATGGTTTGGAGTCATATATTCAAGGAATGAAAGAGCTTTGGAATGGATTTGAAGTAGAGTTTACTGGACTTCCAAATAATCCTAATACTAAAGTTATTAAGAACTGGGATATCATGTTGGGAGCTATAGATGATAATTTAAGTGCTCTACAAAACATGTCACTTTCTCCATTTTATGAGATCTTCCAAGAAGAAAGTCAGCTTTGGACTGAGAAATTAACTAAACTGAGATTTATTTTGGATCTCTGGATGGAAACACAGAGAAGATGGATATATCTTCAAGGAATCTTCTTAGCTAGTACTGATATTGCAAGTTTACTTCCTCAAGAGTATAAGAGATTCCAGACTGTTGATACTGAAGTTCAGGGACTATTAAAAAAGTCTCAGTCAAGACCTAAAGTAATAGATCTCATAAGTTTTGAGGGTTTAACTAAGTCATTGGAAAGAATTAGTGATTATTTAAATAAGATTCAAAAAGCTCTTGGAGAATATTTAGAAAAGCAGAGAAGTATGTTCCCAAGATTCTACTTTATCGGAGATGAAGACTTATTAGAGATGATTGGTAATGGAAAGGATATAACAGTTGCTCAAAGACACTTTAATAAGATTTTTGCAGGAATCACATTCTTAAAGTTTGAAGATTTAATGGATGAGAATAATAACCAGAATATTCAGAGAAAGAAAGAAAATGGAGGTAAGAATAGTGAGGATGGTGAAACTGAATGTATGATTACTGGTATGGGTTCTAAAGAAGGAGAGATTATTACTTTTAAGAAACCAATTTCAATTCTGAAAAATACTTCCCTTGTAGAATGGCTTGGAAAGGTAGTTGGGAGTATGCAGAACACGTTAAATCATTTAATAGGAAAAGCTGTAGAGAGCATCAATTTGGACTTTGGAGTTCCTTTTATTGATGATGATAATATTCTTGAAGAAAAGTTGAGATCTACTTTTGAAAAGTATCCAACACAGGTACTATTGGTAGCTTGGATGACCTGGTGGACTAAGATGACTGAGGAATCCTTTGCATCAGGAGGATCTACAAAACAACTTCAGGAGTTTATACAAAGAATTCTATCTAGACTTAGTGATATTGTTGGGACTTTGGAGGAAAATAGCTGTGAAAAGATGAAATATAATCAATTGATTGTGGAGTTTGTTCATGAAAGGGATGTATTAAGTTATTTAGTTGAACAAAATGTAAAATCTAGTCAAAGCTTCCATTGGCTTCAATACATGAGGATGTACTGGATGAATAAGGAAAGCCAGAAAAATCTTAAAGATCTTGAAGTTATCGGACAAAATGAAAGTGATATAATTGTTAGAACAGCAAACTCTGCTTTTGTTTATGGTTATGAATATCTTGGAATACCAGAAAAGCTTGTTCAGACTCCTTTAACTGATAGAACTTATTTAACTTTAACTCAAGCTTTGCATATGAGACTTGGAGGAAATCCTTTTGGGCCAGCCGGTACCGGTAAAACTGAGACAGTTAAAGCTTTAGGAAATCAACTAGGAAGATTTGTTTTGGTTTTTAATTGTGATGAACAGTTTGACTTTACAGCAATGGGTAGGATTTTTGTAGGTCTTTGCCAAGTTGGAGCATGGGGATGTTTTGATGAGTTTAATAGACTACAAGCTAGAATTTTATCAGCAGTTTCAGAACAGATCTTGACAATTCAAACAGCTTTGATCAAAAAGAGTGATACTGTAGAACTTTTAAACAAAACCATTCCAATGAGTCAGGATGTTGGAATATTTGTAACAATGAATCCAGGGTATGCTGGAAGATCTGAATTACCTGATAACTTAAAACATCTACTTAGAGAAATCGCTATGGTCATTCCAGATAGACAAAGAATTGCTGAGGTAACTCTTTTTGCTCAAGGGTTCCAGTTTGGAGAGATGATCTCAAGACAAATTGTCACATTATTTGAGCTTTGTCAGTCCCAGATGACTAGCCAACCCCATTATGACTTTGGTTTACGTTCAATGAAGTCAGTTTTACGTTCAGCTGGAAAACTCAAAAAATCTGCAGTTTCTGAGAATAAAGAAGCATTGGAAGATCCTCAAAAACTATTAATTTTGGAACAACAACTCATTATTAGGTCAATTTCTTCGACTTTACTACCAAAGTTAGTTTCAGCTGATGTTCCTCTTCTTAATACACTATTTCAAGGGGTTTTCCCACAGGTTCCATTTGAGGCTTTGAATGATTCTTTAATGGTAGAACAAGTTAAGTTAATCTGTAAGAGAAATTCTTTAGAAGCTACATCCCAATGGTTAGATAAGGTTCTACAGCTATTTGAGATTCAGAAACTAAATCACGGTATTATGTTGGTTGGATCAACCGGTACCGGAAAGACTACAGTAAGGAAAACTATGTTGGAAGCTATGGATACTATTCTGGGATCTAAAACAATTAGTTATGTAATAGATCCAAAAACTATTGATAAAGAGAGTCTATTTGGCAAGTTAAATCCTGTCACTTTAGAATGGACTGATGGAGTTTTCACTGCTATTTTAAGGAAGATCATTAACTCTTCAGATACTTCTTCAGGTGATCAAACTGGAGGAATTGGAAGTAATAAAAAGTATTGGATCATCTTTGATGGTGATGTAGACCCTGAATGGGCTGAAAACCTTAATTCTGTTTTGGATGATAATAAGCTTTTAACTCTACCAAATGGAGAAAGGTTAGAGCTTCCTCCTTGGGTAAGAGTCATTTTTGAGGTTCATTCATTAGCCACTGCTACTTTGGCTACAGTTTCAAGATGTGGTATGATCTGGTTTAACGACGAAATCATTACTGATGAAATGTACTTTACTTCTTTCTTATTCAATAAGATCAAGATGGGAAATAACATTGGTAGTCCTAGTTCTAACACTAGTTCTGGAACTGCAACTGGAAACTCCAAAATTGTAACCAATACAACACTTTCAACTTCTACAAAAGCTGGAGAAGGAACCTCTGACCAGATTGGTGAAATTACTGGTGGAAATAATATAGGAAATACACAAGACTTAGAATTTGTATCACCCTCTGGAGTATTAGTGGAAAAAGGAGCTGCAGAACAAAACTTGGAAACTATATTAAGAAATAAGGCCTACTTAATCTGGCAATCTATACTATTTAAAGATTCATTTGGATCTAAATGCCTCTCATATGCATCTAAAAGACCTCATACAATGGTTTTCACGAGAATTCGAGTCTTGGAAGCAGCATTTTCTTTGTTAAACAGTTGCATCAAATTACTATTGGATTCAAACCCTTCAGGAAATTTAAAAGGATCTGTAGATTCTTTAACAGAATTATTCTCACGTTGGTTACTTTGGTCTTTAGTATGGGGGTTTTCTTCCAGTATGAACCTTTCTGACAGAATCTCTTACACTAAAGAGGTTATTTCCCTTGTATCCTTTACAGAACTCCCACCAATGGAGGATGAAAGTACTTCAATATTAGATTTCAAAGTTGTTATTCCTACTGGAGAATGGAGAAAATGGAGCTCAGAATGTAAAGAAACCCAAGATCTTCCTCTTAACAAAGTTCTGGATTCTAATGTAATCATTGAAACCGTCGATACCCTACGTCATTTTCAAGTATTACACGCTTGGCTACACGCTCATCTTCCCGCAATATTATGTGGACCTCCTGGAAGTGGAAAAACTATGACATTATCATCAGTATTACGTAGTATGACTGATGTTGATATTGTATCATTAAACTTTTCTTCAGCTACAACCCCTGAATTATTATTAAAAACATTGGAACATTATTGTGAGTTTATCAAAGGTCCTAGAGGATGGATATGCCGTCCAACGGTACCCAATAAATGGTTAGTAGTATTTTGTGATGAATGCAATTTACCAGAACCTGATAGATATGGTACACAAAGAGTAATTATGTTTATAAGACAATTAATTGAAATTAAGGGATTCTGGAGAAGAGAAGCAACACAATGGAGTTTTGTAACATTAGAACGTGTTCAATTTATTGGAGCTTGTAATCCTCCAACAGATACTGGAAGACATCCTTTATCTGACAGATTCCTACGTCATTCACCTATTTTATTTGTTGATTTCCCAGGAAAAAATTCTTTGAATCAAATATATTCAGTTTTTAATAGAGCAATATTGAAACCATTCCCAAATCTCTTTACTTATGCTGATACATTAACAAAAGCTATGGTAGATATATATGATGCTTCAGCAAAAACACTAACTGTGGATCTTCAACCTCATTACATATACTCTCCAAGAGAATTAACAAGATGGAAAATTTCTATATACTCTGGTCTTCATACTTCTATATCTGATTCTTCATTAAAGCTTACAAATACCTTAATATCTGGATCATCATCACAATCATCTACAAATCAAACAGAAGCTTTAAGAAAAGTATTAGAGAAATTTGGAGCTGATTCACATCTTCATCTTGATGAAGAAAATGAATTCACACTAACTCAACTAATTAGACTTGTACTTTATGAAGGAGAAAGAATTTTCCAAGATAGACTTGTTGAACAAAGTGAGAAAAATTGGTCACAAGAAATGATGAATGAAATGATACTCAAACATTTCCCTAATCTTTCAATAGAAAAAGATCTTCATAGACCTCTTTTATTTACTAATATTGTAACTTCTCTATGCAGAGAAATTCCAAGATCTATTGTTTCAGAATATTTGCAAGATAGATTAACATCTTATTATGAAGAACAAGGAACTTCCAGACTTGTATTCTTTGATGAGTTTCTTGATAATATTAATAGGGTTGACAGAGTATTAAGACAACCTTTTGGTCATCTTCTATTAATAGGACCTCCTGGGTGTGGTAAAACACTTTTAGCTGATATGGTATCTTGGTTAAATGGTTTGAATGTTTTTACTATTAAACCTGGAAGGAAATATGATATATTTGCATTTGAAGCAGATCTTAGATCTGTAATGAAAAGAGCTGCTATTAAGGGAGAAAAGTTAACATTTATCTTTGAAGAATCACATGCATTAGGTCCAGCTTTTATTGAAAGAATGAATGCTTTATTAGCTTCAGGAGAAGTACCAGGATTGTTTGAAGGAGACGAATATAATCAACTTTTGAATGAATGCAGGACAGCTTTTAGTAATAGCTCTTCTGTTTCTATTTCAGATGATGGAAATGAGTTATTTGCTAGATTTACAAAGCTTGTTCAGGAAAATCTACATATAGTTTTTACCTTAAATCCTGCAAATCCAAACTTCAAAGAGACTCAATCTTTATCTCCAGCTCTATTTAATCGTTGTGTAGTTAATTGGATGGGTCAGTTAAATAATCAAGCTTTGAGTCAGATTGCAAGATCATTCTTACATTTAGATTCTCACCAAAAAGATAATGACATAGTAGAAGAAGGGGAATCAACAAATACTACTACACAAGCAATAATAACTAATACTCATACTAATATTACTACATCTGGAATTTCACCAATCCCTACAATTCCTGGAGATAATTCAATTATATCTGCTATAGAAAGAATACCAACTAGTTGTATGCCTTCAGTAGAAGAACCAGAAGAAAGGATTGGATTAACAATAGATTGTATCATATCTCTCTTCCATGCACAAGTAGGAGAGATTGGAGGTCCAAAAATACTTTCTTCTTCATCCTCTGAAGATCACTCAATGATGAAAACTCCAAGAGATTTCTTTGATTTCTTAAAACATATCATCAAAATATATAGAGAGAAAAATGAAACATTATTAGAACAACAACAACATTTATCTTCTGGATTAGAAACCTTAAGGAGTACTGAACAACAAGTTGCTACTCTTCAACAAGAATTAGAAGAAAAGGAAAAGATATTAATAGCAAAGAATGTTGAAGCTGAACAGAAAATGCAACAAATGATTAAAGAACAAGGTGAAGCAGAAGAAAAGAAAAAAACAACTGAGAGTTTAGCTAAGTCTTTAGATGAACAACAAAAGGTTATAGCTGAAAGATCCAGTGAAGTTGAAATTCAATTGAAAGATGTCGAACCAATTCTAAGAGAAGCAGAGAATGCAGTTTCTAACATCCCAAAAAAGAATCTAGATGAACTTAGATCTATGGCAAATCCTCCAGGTCTGGTTAAGAAAACTATAGATGCTGTTGCTATATTACTTACTAATAACTCAACAAAACCTCAAGCTTGGGAAGAAAGCAGAAAACTATTAAAAAGTTCTGACTTTATTACCAGGGTCCTTAATTTTGATTCTAATACTATTACTTTAAAAACTATGCAAAGACTCCAAAAAGAATACTTAGAATCACCAGAATGGGACACTGATAAGATTAATAGAGCAAGTCATGCAGCTGGTCCTCTATCATCTTGGGTATCGAGTATATTACAATATTCTATAATTAGTGAAAAGGTACAACCTCTTAAAGCAGAAATTAGTCAATTGGAGAAATCAAAGTTAGAAAATGAGAAAGGATTAGAAGCAGCTCAAAAATTAGTAGTAGAACTTCAAGAACGTATTGATATTTACAAGAAAGAATATGCTGAATTGATTTCTCAAGTTCAATTAATTAAAAGAGAGAAAGATCTTGTAACTAATAAAGTTGAAAGAAGTATTCGACTTTTAGGTAATTTAACTACAGAACAAGATAGATGGAGAGAAGCTAAAGAAGGTTTTAAAACAGAGCTTTCCAATATTTTGGGTGACTGTCTTTTATCAGCAGCTTTTATTTGTTTTGCAGGAGGTTTAGATCAGATTTTAAGATCACAATATATTCAATTATGGCAGGGAATACTTGATCAATTTCAGCTTTCTCATACTAATCCTAACTCATTTAAAATTGTAGATTACTTATCTAAACCAAGTGAAAGGTTATTATGGCAAAGCTATGGTCTCTCAACTGATGATCTAAGTGTTGAAAATGCTATTATTATTAAGAGACATATCAGGTACCCATTTATTATAGATCCTTCAGGATATGCAACCAGTTTTTTATTAGAGATGAATAAACAAAACTTTAATAGTAGTAATAATAATAATAATAGTGGAGGAGGAAGTCATCATGGACAAGGAAAAGGAACAAGTGGAAAACTTCAAACAAGTACTTTTTCTGACTCAAATTTTCCAAAGCTTTTGGAATCATCATTAAGATTTGGATCATCGCTACTAATTCAAGATGTTGGATCATCTTTAGATCCATTGATATATAGTGTTTTAAATCAAGAAATTCATCTACATGGTGGAAGATCACTAATTACAGTAGGAGACAGTGAAGTAGACTTTTCTCCACATTTTAGGCTTTACCTAACAACTCAAGATCCAACAATACAATATGGTCCAGATCTAACAAGTAGGGTAACTATGGTCAATTTTACTGTAACCCCAACTTCATTATTAGAACAAAGTAGAAATATTATATTAAAAGAACTCCGTCCAGATATTGATAAGAAAAGAACTGATCTATTAAGATTACATGGAGAATATCGTGTACAGTTGAGAGAATGTGAGGATAATCTATTATTAGCTTTATCTAATGTAAAAGGTAATATTTTAGAGGATGAGACAATTATCAATACTTTAGAAGTTCTTAAAAAGAAAGCTCAAGATATTCAAACAGAGACAGCAAAGATGGAGAATACTATGCAACATATTGACCAAGTACTTACTCATTTATTACCTTTATCACTAACAGCTACAAGGATCTACTTTACTTTACAACATCTTTCATCTATTAGTCCAATTTATCAATATGATCTTGAATTTTTTAATAGAATACTATATGCAGTTTTGGGAAGAAATAAATCTAAGATTGCTTCAAATAAGATTGAATCAGAAGATGAGAAGAATAATGATGATATAGAGTTTGATCATAAATTACAAAAGATGATAATATTGGATTTACTTCATGAAGCTTATTTAAGAGTAGCTCAAGGTTTATTACATAATGACAGAATAGTATTTGGTCTTCATTTGATGAGAATCTTTATTGAATCTTATTGTGATCTTTCTCTTGATGATACTATGGGAACAGAAATTGATCTTTTAACTAAGTCAGCATCTGCAATTAATGTTTCAGATTCGGATGGAGCAGGAGGAGTAGATGGAAGTTCAAGATCTTCTATTATGGATTCTATACCAAAATCTTTTGGATTAGATAGAGATCAAAGTACACAACTTTCTATTATAATATCATCTTTGAGTTCATTTTCAAAACTTTCAGAATCTTTTAGTTCAAATTTAAAAGAATGGGAACAACTTATGATATCTACAGAACCAGAGATTGTATTGGAAACTTTGAGTACTAACATTTGGGATGAGCAGGATTTAAATAGTATATATGATAAAGTATTTAATCAAGAATCATCTGGAAATAATGATATAAATAATCAAATGAATCAAGAAGAACTTAATGAGAAGAAAGAGATCTTAAGAAGATTTAAGAAAGGTGTTTTGGAATGTTTACTACTCAAGATCATTCGTCCGGATAGGCTTCTTAATCAATTTAATAAACTTATATCAGAAACATTGGGATCAGATTTTTCACATATAAGTGAATTTTCTAAAGATTTACTTAAAGATATTGTTTTAATACAAACAACAGAATCAACACCAATCTTATTTGTAACTTCTCCAGGATTTGATGCTTCTTTGGTGGTTTCTCAATTGGCTAATGATCATAATTCTAATTTACTTTCAATTGCAATAGGATCAGCAGAAAGCTTAGAAAAGGCAGAATCTTCAATTAAGATTGCAATGAGAAAAGGTAATTGGGTAATGCTTAAAAATGTTCATTTATCTTCAGGGAATTTGGATTACTTGGAACAATTATTACAGAATCGTCAGAATAGGCCAAATAAAGGATTTAGACTATTCCTAGCTACAGAGCTTCCTAAGAAGATTTTGAATCCTAGTCATAGGGATTCAGTAGTAGGAGCATCATTTAATCCAGGTTCTTCAGGATCATCTCCTCTTGGAATATCTTTGAATTTAATCAGAATTTCTATGAAAATACTTTTGGAATCTCCAGTAGGACTTAAAGCTGCTCTTGAAAGAGCTAGTGAAATAACAATAAAGACAGTGGATGATTCAGCAAATCCAACAATACCAAGTTCTCAAATAACAATCAAACTAAAACTTTACTTTTTATTGGCATTTTTACATTCAGTAATATTAGAAAGAAAAAGATATACTCCTTTAGGTTGGACAAAGTTCTATGATTTCAGTGAAGCAGATCTTCAATGTTGTATTAATATAGTAAATCAATGGACAATAACTAATACATCAGGAGATCCTGATCAGATTCCTTGGGAAGCAGTACGTAAGCTAGTATCACAAGTAGGATATGGAGGAAGACTGGATAATATTGTAGATAAACAGATTCTTCACATTTTAATAGATGAGATACTTTCTTCAAGATCTTTTGAGGATGGATCTCAACTTATAAGTTGTACAAGTAATTGGAATAATTTATTTAGAAGTGATCAAATAAAGCCAAATATTTTAATAGCTCCAGATACTTGCAAAAAAGTTGAGAATTACTTGGATTGGGTAGAAAAGCTTGGAAATACAAATTGGCCAACATGGCTTGGTCTTTCTCCTTTAGCTGAGAATGTGATTTTAGCACAAAAAGGACAAAAAATGAGTTTAAATTGGAGCCTATTAATTATTAGATCTAGAAATGAGACACCAGATTTGATTCCAAAAGCTAAAGGAGGAGTTTTTGGTTCAGATATAAGGTCAAATGAGACAGGAGGACAGTATTTAGAAGGATCAGAGAAGGGATCAGGAGGAAATAATAAGTTACAAAAAGAGGATATGTCAAGACCAGAAACTAGGGGAATTCCAAGTTGGATGTTTAAAATTGGATCTAAATTAACAAAGATGGAGAATAATTTAAGAATATTTTCAGGACATATTTTATATAATTCTCCAAAAATAATAGAATTTTCTGAGAATAATAGTTTAGATGCAATTTCTAGATATTATGTATCAGAGATTTCAAAATATTATAAGGGATTTAAGGATATCTGGGAGAATATTCATGAGCTACTAAATGTTCTTGGAGGAGAAGGTAAACTAACAAATAATCTTAGAAGTATTGGATTAAGTATTCAATCAGATGTAGTACCAGATTTATGGTTAAAGTTATTACCAATATTATTATATAATTTGGATATTTGGCAATTAGATCTTATTAGAAAACTATCACAGAATTGTTTATTAATTTCAAGTATATGTAAGAAATATAATATAGAAGAATCAAAAAGAGAATTAGAATCAAATAATATGGAGACATTTTTATCGAACATACTAGTATGTTCTCCAGGATTAAAGAAGATTGGATTGAAAACAATTTGGTTGGGAGGAGTTTGTGATCCAGGAGCTTTTTTCACAGCGAGTAAACAATTAGCAGCGAAGAATTTAGGATGTAGTTATAATGATATAGTTCCAAGAATTATTTCAATAGGAGACGAAGTAGAAGGCCAGAATGGAGAAGTTCAGAATGAGGATGAAGCAAAGTTTGTAATTGGAGGATTAACAGCAGTTGCTTTGGAATGGAAGGGAGAATCAGGATTATTTGAATTAAGCACAGAGAAAGCAGTTTCTGAGGTACCTCCTTTATTAATAGAATGGGTTAAGGGTGATCGTGATATGATTTCAAATCATAATATTTCAGATAATAACTACGAGCTTAACATAATTCCGCAGAATTTATCGGATAATTCGATTGCAATTCCCATTTTTAAAGATTCAAATAGATCTCAAATTCTAATGTGGATTAATGTTCCTGCTAAGGCAAATGAAAACATTAAACAATGGAGACTTGCCTCAACTTGTTTAATTCTTTGGAAAGGATAAAATTGATTAAATTTTAGGATTATATTTTAAATTTTTCAAAAACTGTATCGTTACCATTTGGGTAACGCATGTATGAGACGGCGCGCATGTGGGGCGTGCATGTATTGCGTTGTGTGGTACCGGTGGTATTAAAGAGAAAAAAATGAGAATTTGATTTTTTTTGTAAAGTTAGTATGAATTTAGAGCTAGGAATAAGAGGATTACTATTTTATAATAACATCACAAATTTACGGGGTTACTGATAGAAATAGTTCCAAAAGCTGTTAGATTCTTCTCCTTCAAACTCAAAGTAGACCGACTTAATGTCTTTTAAACTCAATTTTGAATTATTCCTAATTAGTAGAATCAAAAGTTGGGTGATATCCAACTCAAAATGATTAATTTGTTTACAATGGCCATCATAATCAAGATTTTGTGAATCCTGTAAATTTTGATTTTTCTCTCCAATTAACAATGACCTTACATCTGAATGATTATTATGGTTGTTTTTTCCAATTTCAAAATGTTCGGATAAAATTTGTTTGGCTTGATTAAAGTATGCAGTTTTTGATCCGATCCAAAGATAAACTACGGTAGCTCTCAAATCTTTGTCTAAAGAATTTGACAATAGATTGGCATGTTTTTCTTTAGCTTTCTCATCTTTATCTCTTTTTCCTTCAGAGGTTATTTCACCTATGACGATAAGGGGACAAACAGAGCCAGGAAGAAGGTCTTCAGAGTCGAAGAAGCGTAGAGACTCCGATCCAAAGTAGTCAGGAAACCTAAATAGTAGAACTTTTATTCCTCCTCCATCCAAAGTACTGTAACTATCTTCATTCATATAAAAGCTTCCCTGAGAGATGGAACTTCTCTTAGAGTAACTGCTGCTATTATAGCAGAAAGCTTCGTCTTGATTAAATAATATTGAGTGCTGGCTCTTTGTTGGAATAGGATCTTTGGTAGAAGATTGAGGTATTAAGTCCATCTCGGGTTCCTGGTTCCGTTCCTGTTTTTGTTTTTGTTTTTGTTTTTGTTTTTGTTTTTGTTTCTGTTCTCGGTGTTGAATTTCAAAAGAATTCTCTCCTCCTTTGAAAGTAAAATCAAGCTTCGGTATAACTACTTTATTAAAGGTTAAAGGATTAAGCTCTTTTCTGCCCCCCTCATCTAGTAGGTGCTCTCTTGTATAGTTAATTCGTTGGGAATCTAACGAAAAATGATGTTGGTTATTTCTTCCTACCACTTCTCCAGATTCATCAATGGTGTCTTCGAGGTTAGTTGGAGAGTTTCTCGAAGAGACTGGAGACCCATCTGAAGATGCAAATGAAGAAAAATATGATAATGATTCGTCCAAAGATACTAAAGACGATGACTCTGAGCTAGACCCTATTTCTGAATTCAATGTCTGGTTTAAAGGTTGTGTGTTATTCTCATCTTTCCTGTCATTTTCGTCGTCGAAATCATGGTCATCATCAAAACCAAGTGGAATTGCAGCTTTTGAAATATTTTTTATTGATGGAGAAGAAAATGACCTTTGCATGACATCACAAGAGCTACTTGAGTGCATGCTAGTTGGCGCCAAATTCTGCATGAATTCCCCGCTCTCTGAGAATTCATGGAAGTACTCGAGAATTACAGTGGATGAGAGAATATTTGTAATGTATTCAGAGGTTGAGTTCTTATCATCTCCAAGCGCTCCAATTATCAAGTCTGCCCTAATTTCTAAGTTTTCGAGCTCCAAAGATGAGAAATGGCCCATTTCAATCATGAGGATTTGCCTGCAAAACCTCAAAACACCTAAAATGGATTCCCTAACTCCTTCTTTTGCCTGGCTTCCAATCCAGATCCAAAGCTTCTCACGACGAATGTAATCTGCCTCTTCCAAAAGACTCTGTCTTAACAGATAAATTTTGCTCGAATTTAAAGTAAAGCCATTATTTCCACCACCTTTCCAGTTAATCAATGACACAGGAATTCCATATTCGGACATATAGTAAAGTTTCAAAGAAGTAACCCAGTGTTTCTTCCCTAAATGGCTTATAGAAGGAAACTCAGCTCTTCCTCCTCCTTCTTCAACAGTTGATAAATTTAGTTTGCCTGAGTTCAAAGCTTTCTGAAATAATAATAACTGATAAGTAAAACCAATGTTCGGACTCGAAGTACTTCTTCGTTCCCTCACATACTCTGAAGCATCATTAAAACTTTGATTATATTTCCACATTAAATAGCCTATTACTATACTGGAAGATCTAGAAACTCCTTCCTGGCAATGCACATATACCCTGTTTACATTGCTTTCATTTAGCTTTGTGTTTATCCATTCAATACTATCATACAACACTCCTTCAATACTTTCCTGGGGTGTATCCAACACAAAGTAGGTTTTGTATTCTAGTTTATCTTGAAAGACGTTTGTACAAGTGTCTCCTGATACATTAATTATATGTGTTATGCCACTTTCTTCCAATTTCTCCCAGTTACAAGCTACGTAATATCCCCCAAGATACAGTTTACCTTCTATTATCTCACTACATATTGTTCTATACCTTCTAATTACATCCAAACGCTCATTAGTTAACATATTAACTTATTTCCTATTAATATCGAATACAATACTATTTTCCAGCTCTGGTTTGAGTCTTTATACTTTAAAATACCTCTTATTCTTTCTTTTGTTTCTCAGGCTCTATATCTTAAATTTTTCGGACAAAATCTTCTGGTTGCATTACAAATCGAAAAAAATGTGAGCCTATTTCGAATATTCGTGTTCTTTCAGGCCTTCTTTTCTCCGAAATAGTCCCTTCCTCTCCTCCCCTCCTTTCCATTGGGCTTTGTAGCCTAAAAAAAAAAGTTTCCCAGGCCCAGAAGACGTTTTTTAAAAAATCTTCCTATTATCTCTTTTTCTCTTCTCACTCTTTATAGTTTTGTCAAATTCTTCTCTACTACTTTAACCTATTATTTTCCACTATTACCCAAAAATTTTTAAATCCTATATTATGTTTTGGCGGGAAGCCATGCTTACAAAATTACGAGACTGCTTTCACAATGTGAGGAATATATTTTTCATGTTTTTTTAATTATTAAAGCTTTGGCGGTAAAACTACTTATGGCCAGATAATAAAAGTAATTTCCTGGGAAAAAAAAAGGAAAAGTCTCAAATGTAACATCAAAGAGTGCGTTATGAAGGTAAAAGGACATTTTTTATGGTTTGTTTGAGTTTTTAGAAACTAGTTCTGAGGTTTAAGAAATTTGTGAATAATGAAAATGAAGGAAAGTCACCAGGTGTTACAAGGCAAAATTAGCCCAGATAAAGGTCAAAATTCCAAAATACCATCCAGCAGTTCTAATGATGGTGATTTAACTTTGAAAAGAAAGGCAAGAGAAAAGCTTGGTTTTGACCAAGTCCAAAGTTTGAAAGATTTGCTAGCAAAAAGAGAGTATAATGAAGCCCTTGAACTGTTGCTTGAATATTACTACAATGGATTCATAGTGGAAAGTTGGATGGAAAACCTGATTCCTGAAAAAACAAATTATAAATATTTAAACAAAGAGATCCTAGATTCTGTAGACTTTCATCTATATGATATTTCGGGGATCGTCATACTTAGCTATATAATTCACTGTTATATATGCAAGAATGATATTTTTGGGGCAATACAATTGATCAAGAGTTTTGAGAGAGCATGTTTTGGTCTAAAAGTTTCTGAAAATGATAAAAACCACCATTCAGAAATTGAAGATAACATTACTTTACATTTTATTTCATGGTGTAACTGTTTCTCAATTAAAAATGTGATTCAGGAAAACAAAGGCAACATAAAGCAGGAGTTAAGTATACGTAAACACTTTCTAAAGTTAATTGACATCTACTACTTTTTTAGAATCCAAGTCATTTTCTGGAAGTTAGCAATGTACAAGACTTACCATATTCCAAATGCCTCGGTATTCTTGCCTGAAAATAAGCAAAGCAAAGATTTGAGTGAGAACATCAAGATTGAAGACTACTTTGTATTCTTTGACCAGGCAATTGATGAACTACACATTATAATTGATGAAATTGATTATATTTTAAACCTATTCAAAGATTTTGACGAGCAAGTCACTAAGAACTGGCTCCTCAAGTATAAGGTGGTTCTTCTCATCCTCGTTGAAGCTTTAACCCTCAGAGATTACTATAATGAAGCAGTAAAACTTTTGAACGAGTCAATGCAAAAACACTTTCCGGATGATATTTCGTTGTATTCTTTAATTGCGCGAATTTCACTCCAATATGGAAACTTTCCTTTGGTCAGCTCTACCCTAAACACTATCGAGGAGTGTCTCCAGCATCCAAAGCATAATACAAATGTCAATATTGCTCACTATAGATTTACTCTTGGGCTACTAAACATGGTACAAGATGATCCAGTCACTGCTTCACTTAACTTTAATACTTCAGCTGCCTTGTACAAAGAGCTTGCCATCAACTTAAACAAAGAATACCTACTTCCTTGCAGTACCTCCTTCAACAATCTTTCAGTCGCCTCCTTCTATTCAAGCAAACTCCCTAACTCTGTGTCCATTCTTGAAAACCAAATCTACAACCAAAATAACTTCTTCTTCAACTCACAACAGCTTTTTGCCACTAACTTCAAGAATCTCAAAACTTTGTATCAGTTCTCATCAGATAAAGATAAGCTAATCAATGAGCTTAAAAAAATGTCTAAAAGCTCTCTTAGATACTCGATCATGATTAATTAGTACTTATAACTTAACTACTCATATATTTAAATAGATTATGAGATAAAAAGTCAGATAGATGTAAATATAAATACTTTTGTTTACACCTATTTCTAGCCCTCTCTCTTTAAAACGAATTCTGGATGTAAATACCTACATGAAAGCGCCTTCTGTGATCTACCGCACCTTTCCTCGACAAAAAGATTAAAGCATTTGCTTAACTCTATACCAAGTCCAACTCCCTTCTCTTTAAATCGTCTTTTTTCACCTTTTGCCCAAAGGGGTTCATTAACTTATCCATTTTGAACCATTCTTTCTTGTAATATCTGAACAAGTCCATCTTTATTTTCCTCCAACTTTCCACCTTTGGATACAAGTAACTAATAAATGTGTCTTCAGAATTTAACAACATTTCTTGATCTTCCCAAATCCTTTATTTTTATTATTTCCCTTTTTTTCTTTCTTTTCTCAATCCACACATTTACCCCAATTTGCATCTCAGTCTTAAGCTGAATTATTGCATGCGAATTTACTCTCAGAAAGCCCGCCTTTCAACCATTTATGTAAAGCCCCCATGTCTCTCCATTAAAAAAAAAATAGCTTAGAATGTGAAAATTGAAATAAATAAAAATTTTGCAGAAAAATTTGAGATTTTAGAGAATTAAATCTGTTCACACTTGATTTATCTCCGTGTGGTGTTTTCTAGTTTTATATTTATCACTCCTTTTATTTTCTTTCAATATTTATTTATAGTGATTTTTCTGACTATATTAATTTGGTCTGTATGTGTTTGGGCGGGTTTAAAATTTTATCTAGAATGAGTAATAAACTGCAATTTTAACAAATAATATTGAAATAGCTATTTGTGGTAACAAGGTATACGGTTAATAATAAATTAGTGGGAAAATAAATTAAATATTTATTTATAATTTGGTGAAGATTTATTGAAGAAAACTGTACCAAAAATTTAAGCTTATAAAACCAAGTTTAGAAGGAAAGATGAGCACCGAAGCACTAAATAAAATCATCAAAAAATCAGAAAAAGAAAAAATTAAAAAGGAACTTTATAATGAGTACGAGCTATTCAAAGTTTCAAACATTTACAATGAAATGGATTTAATAAAGTCAATTTCAAATGTAGTTTCCTCTATCATTTCACTATCAGGTTTGAAAGAACAAGTTCAAACATACCACAGGAAAAATATTTTAATGTTAATAGCAACCATCTTTGGAGTGTTCGGGGCAGTGGTATTTAAATTTCCAAAAGACCAGTGGTTGATTCTATTATGTGTTGGAGGTTTCTTTCTTTCTATGTTCGGAACATTGTTGGTTGATATAAAATCTCCATTTTCAGGTTTTACAAACTCTTATCTCGTTCCAAAAAATCTTCAGGAAAAAGGCAAATTTTCTTTAAAAAATATTTGGAACTATAATAAGGATGCATGTTACTTTACGCCAAAACTGAATCGTACTTCTAATAATATCGAGTTTTTAATTCAGAATCAAGAATGCCAAGTATCAAAAACTATTTATATTGGAAAACTATTCACATGTGATGGTTATATAAATACCGACCAAATTTTTGAAATTGTCACCAAGCTTATCGTGGATTTATACAATAATTCCAACGAAAAGAAAAGGAAGTAGTCTAAATTTTGATTTTTCGTTTTCGTATTAGATTATTCTATATTACGTGTATAATAGTATTAAGGCAAAAAGCCAGGAATTTGGTCAATTTTTATATGTCTATTTAGCCAGATATCGCTAATTGGAAGGTCATCTTCTTTTATTCACTCCTCCAAATTTTTTTTCTTGTTCTATCCCATTTTCACACAGAATTCTTCCCCACCACTTATTTAGCTTATTTAACTTTAGTCATGCAAGATAATTCCACTGACTGTATAAATTAAACTGCGGGTGAATGGCGCCAAATCCACTTTGACATTAGTTAGAAAGTCAAATTAAGAAATCGTTTCTTTTTCAAAAAGAAAAAAAAAAAAGAAGTCCCATTGGAATGAGAAGAGTGTGTATTTGAGATATTTTCAGAGGGTACTTTAATAAAATGTCAAAGTTATCTGAGTATTCAAAAGAGATTTCAAAAATAAGACGTAAGTTTAGCCAGGCTCAGGCTGAGCGTCATCTATTAGCAATGCAGTGTGGGGAAAAAACGCATGCATGCAACACTGTTTGCAAAATTGCTGCCATACATGCGTTCTGATATTAATAAAAAAGATTTGACTTGGGAAATATGAAATTTTAGAGTCTCTAAATTATTCCCTTTTGGACAATGACTTGGAAGTTAGATTAAATAAGAGTTATAAAATTGGTCCCAAGTCTAAAAATAAGACTTTGGACACCAAAAATGTGTGTGAATCATTTGCAATATTATCTAAGCTGGAGGATCCAGCAGGTAAGTTTAAATGAGTCCATTAGACGCGAATTTCTCAATATTGAACACCTGACTAATCATATTTATAGAGTTGGATTTGGTAATGGAGGGTCCAAAGGAAAAATACAAAAAACATATTCTGGGACTAATGAAAGATGATTCCAAAAAAAATAAGATTTCAAAGAATACAAGGCAGGATAGGAACTATGTGTCGAAAAGTATTGGGATGGATTCGTCTCTGAAACTTGGGATGAAAACTTATTGCTACTCAAATGGAGCAGAATGGAGTCCAATGAATCCAAGTTTAATATGGAGAAAAACTAAAGAAAGTGACAATGCAACCACCATTCCTTCATCATTCTCTAATCAGAGAGCCTTAATGAACAATCCGGGAATAATTAGGAAACTTGAAAACGAACTTGGTCCAGTTAAAGGTTCAATTATGCTTGCAGCAACAGGAGAAAAGTTTCAAGACATTAATACTGGTAACTCAATAACTGCAAAAGAGGTTTGGAAAGATGAACCTCTATCTCCAATTGCGAAAATTTCACAGCAGGATAGAGACAAACAGTATATGGGGCATTACAATCAGGAAATACCTATATATGATCATTTTGGCGTTCAACAAGCAGAGCTAGTGAATTTGACAGATTTTGGAAACATCAAATTACCAGTGAGAAGTGTCTTGTCAATGACCCAAGAAGCATCAAAGGAGGTACAGAAGGAACTTCTGGAGAAGGAGGGAAGACTGGAAATGAAGCTTTTAAATGCAGTTGATCCCCACAGCCAGAAGTTGCAGCATAAGGATATGCCAGAAAACAAAATGGTTTGTGAAAGAAAACCTTTGATGGGAAATCAATATAATAAAGGTTTAATTGATATTAAGGAAAAGATCTTGTTTGAAGGAGAAATTGACAAAAACAGGGAAGAAAGTCAAAAAAACGATCTAATGAAGTTAAGAGTCTTCAATACCAACTTTGAAAAACATCTAGGCTTTAAGCTAACTGGAAAAGTATCTTTGGATAATATAGGAGACAAGGTCATTTCTCTAGGAACAGAAAACACCTCCAAGTTAATCGGAAAAGAGTTCAGAGAACTGAGATGCCAACTCGGATGGGAAAACGCTACCGAAAATACTTCCAATACCAACGAAAAAGAGTTTAACATATATGGAGATGTTTTGGATCAAAAAAATATTTCAAATGAAGCCATAGTTGATCGCCTCATTGAAAATACAACTCTTTACCCATGTTTTGATGAAGTTCTCTTTGAAAATACTTTTAGAATACATCCAGACAAAAGTAGGAATCATATCTCACTAATAACAGACCATCTGGACGCTACTTCTGTCTTGAGTTCCAGTGATCTTCTTCTAAATGTTCATAAGAGACAATACACTCCTCCCTTGGCTGAAAACTTCCCCAAAGGTCTTCCATCTATTATTCAAGATCCTCGCATAATTTGGCAAAAGGAGTTCCTAAATATTCCATATGAAATTACTGCTGATTTAATTCGAAAAATTCAAAGAGGTTTTTGGGACGAAATTATCAATGATATAGCTAAGAGCAGTTATGGGTCAATCTCTATATCTTCCATTGAATCAATAAACAATATAAAGAAGTTTATTTTAAATGAACTCAATTATAATTCCATATATAATGTTGATGAACCCTTTGATGTCTCACCACCAAGTCTATCTCCTGTTGAAAGGGAACAACAAACAAGAATAGGACCCAACTTCAAATCTCAGTTAATAAATAATAACAAGCTGATTTTAACCCCGAAATTGAAACTCGGATTTGGAAATACTAGTCTGATTTCTAATTCTCTTTCTAAGATTGGAGCCAAAATATTTGGAGGATATACAACCCAGGCACCATCCAATTCTGATGAAAATTCTAAGCTCGAACCAATTAGAAACGATGTATCTGCCATTAAATTTATTCCCGATTGTGAATTATATGAGACAGCACTATGGGGAAGATATGAATTCCCAAATGATGACTCCAATAAGGGTATTATACGAAAAGTCAAAACTGTAGAAGCTAATGAAGAAGATCCCTTGTATAAGAGTAATGTAATTTCAATGTCAAATGAATGGAAGGCAGATGTTGAAAGACAAACAAGGGAACGAAAAGAGGGAGTTGAAATGTTGGCTAATTCTCGAAATGAATCTTCTCTCAAAGATCTAACTTCTAACCTGAATAAAATTGTGGAATCTGGAATAGAAAATATGGATAAAAAGGAATTTTCTAGGTTAAGTGAAATCTTTAAAGATAAAAATCAAAATCTTATTGAGGTGTTGAATAAGAATCAACCATCTGGAAAAGTGATTGGAAAAGAAGGCAGTTTGCTTCAAAAAGATTACAATCAGTTTAATAAGTCAGGAATTAGGAATGTTGGATTGTCTAGTCTTGGTGTTAACCAACAAAACACTTACAACCATATGAATTCTCCTAATGCTAATAAAACAGGAGCTCAACAAAGCATCTTTAGAAAGATTAGAAATTCTCAAAAGACTGGAAAGAACAAAAATGGTATTGATATTATTGAAGATTATGATGATGATGAAAGTTCTATTAGAGATGATGACTCAGAGGAATTAGAAGATCTCTCAAGTGAAAATGAGGAAGATTTTAGACAAATCTGTGAGACAATTCATATAGCTCCATGGGAACCAACTAATTTAATGATGACAAAAAATCTGTTCAAATCAATGAATAATATCTTCTCCACTTTGTCAGTAATCATTACAAAAGATTCAAAAGTTAAAAACAGAATTGAACTTTTTGAACTTGGTGAACATGGAGTAATTGTATGGTTAAATAGAGATCCTATCAAAATTAAAGATAAGATTTTATCTTGTTGTAATAATGTCAAAGGAAAATTAAGGGTTAAAGGAGGAATATACATTACTCCTGATACTGAGATATCTCCAATTGAACCATGTACTGAGGTTCCTGGTAATTATACTTTTACTGTAACTGGAATCAATTTTTCTTATTTGGTTTTAAATAAGAGTTATTCTAAACAACTGGATCATGTAAAGAATTTTGTTTCAACTTATGAGAAATTCATGTTGTTTCATACTAATTATAGTAATATTAGTAATTATAATGGAAATCATTTATATAACCAGAATTCCAATGTGGGAATGGAATACAAAGGAAAAGGTTTAAAGAATGATTTTCCAATATCAGAACAAACTCAATTTGGAGTTAATGCAGATACAGATATTGATATAATTACTAGATATGATAAGAAGACAATTAATAATATTGACATAACTAATTTAATTCCAGCTTTAAATAATAATGAAATTTCAGGTAATAATACAATTTTGGTGGTATCTGATAATCCTTTTGTAAAAGGAATACTTCCACTATCTTTATCAGATCTTCCAAAGACAACAATCAAGTTCAGTTTGAGAAGGAATCGTTTATTATTATGGAGATCAATAAAATGTCAGATCTGGAAAACTCAATACATTGAATATTGTCTTAAGAGTTCTATAATACCAGCAAAGAAGGTGGTAAATTTCATTTCAAATGCTTTTACAAAATCGATTGCTTCAAATTCTTTTGATATGGCAGGTTTAATGTTTCAAGAGAATTTGTTTTCCCATTGTATTGGTGTTGCTTTATCTAGAAGAGATCCAAAAGAGATGATTTTTAGAGGATGTTATATGGGGGATGAAGGATTTCATGCAATTTTTCCTTTACTAACTCAGTTAAAGTCTCTAGGAAAGTTAGATTTGGGGATGAACAATTTAACAGCTCATTCATTACCTCTAATTTTAGAGGTAGTGAAAAGATGTAATTGTAAGAAACTTCTTTTGGATTTTAATAATTTGGGTCCAAATAAGACAAAGCGTGAATTTTCAGCATTTTTCAAACATATTTTGTTTTCAACAAGCATAGAATATCTAAATCTTTCAAGAAACAAGATTAATGGAAGATGCATTGACTCTTTGGATACAATTTTGGATAATTCAAACTTTAAAAATAAGACATTGGAGACTCTTAATTGGTGTTCAAATGGCAATACTCAACCTGAAATTGAAACATTATTGCTTGCTCTTCAGCCTTGTTGCACAAATCTCTCAAAAGTTTTCTTGGGAGGAAATCCTATTGAAAGGATTGATGCTTTTAGAAGAAGGTTCAGTCGAATTCGTATCGTTATGGAGGATGTAAGTTCCCATTATCTGATCAAGAACCGGGGTAGTCCAGAGGAAAAGAACTATTTGGCAGATTCTAGGTTGAGAAGATCTCAAGGATTTAGTAGAATCGGTTCATCGAATTCTAATTTGAATTTTGAAAATTCCAGATTGTTTTCCCGATATTAAGCTGGATAAGAGTATTTTTGGGGAATTTTATAGTATAAAGAGATATTAGTAAATAAGGAGAATAAAGTAGGAAGAAAATTGTGATATCATAAAGGAAAGAGAGAAACAGTTTTTTTTTTGTACATTTAGCTATAGTTACTAGATTCGACAAATAATGTATAATTTATAGTAATATTAAGTGTTAATAATATTTTTTTATAAGTAAAAAGTACAAAAGTCGAAGAGGAAGCAAAATCAGACGATTAAGATGGAGAAAACCCCACTATTCTCTACATAATCTTTACTTTCTCTTATTTGTTCCACTTTCTTGGTTTTTTCTTTATTTTTTTTTGTATTCCTCCTTTTTTTCTTTATTTTTTAATTTTCATTCCTCTCTAACCCATAGGGATCTATTTTTCGGACCCTAAAGGCCGGGCATGCAAAAGTAACATGCAGAATTTCCCGCCAATTACTATTAAAGAAGGCGGGTTTTGCCAATGAGTAATATAATGTAGGTGCAATAATTAATTGATTACGTGGAAGAATAATTTGGGAAATTGGTTTTAAATTGAATAGAGACAATAGTGTGACAGTTTGAGTAAACCGGCAAAATAAAGATCCTTTTCTTTTTTCTTTATTGGGTATATTATCCAAGGAAAGAGTAGAAGAAAGAAGTAGAGAGAAGAAGAAAGGAAAGGAAAATAGGAATTTCAATATTAAGTAATATATAATATCAAGAGTTTGAGTTATAAAATCATAACATTAGTTAATTACAAAAAGAAATAAATATTGTTCTATAATAATAATAATAATAGAGTAGAAAGGTTAGCAAAGTGGGAAAATAATAAGTAAAGAGTTTAAGCTAAGAAAATTGAATATCCACGTGGTTTTAATAAAATAGAGGGGAAGATGAATTATTTTCTTTTGGTGCATACAGCTTACCTGATATTTACTTTGATAGGTTTTGGTTTTGGAGAAGAGCTTCGTCTCTCAAAGTTTAATGAGTTTGGAACTAGTACTACTACTACTAATAATAATAATAATAATAGTAGTACCAGTATACATTCTTCAAACAATTTAGCCAATACTACTACTTCTACTGGTACTAGTACATTCATGATCACGAATACCATGATTACTAGTAGAATTAATGAAAGTAATATTGGACAACAATTGACGACTCCAGGGCCAAAATTCGTTCAGAATCCATCAAATCAAGGTTCAATAGACAATGAAGAGTCTTCAGTAAAACAATTAGGATTGGAAGATCTCTCAGAATTTATTAAGATTGACTCAGTTGTATTATTTTATGTACCATGGTGTGTATATTGTCGTGGAATTATGCCCGAATTTGAAAAGGTTGCAGTTATGCTTAAAGGAAAAAAGATAAGCTTTGGAAAAATTGATTGTAATGAGCATCGTAAAGCAGTATTATTAGAACAAATAATAAGATTCCCAACAGTGAAAATATACTCAGAAGGCCAAAGTCGATATTATTCTGGACTTCCAAATTCTGTTTCTATGATCAACTTTATAAATGGGGAATTTAACCGAGATATTTTAATTTCTGATTTGAAGGTTTTTAGTGTCTTTTTAAATGTAGACAATGATTCTATTAAGGTAATAGCAATAATTGACCATGAAGAACGTGAGGGGGAAAGTGGTATAACATCTTTAGTTTCTTCTTCTTATACAAAACTCAGCCGTAAGTATCATAATATTTTCTTTGCACATACTTTAAGTAATAACACTGAAGTTCTGAAATATATTGAAGATTATTCATCAAAAGATAAAAATTCGAAGAGTATAACTCCTAATAAAATAAAGGAAAATACTCTAGCAATTTTCACGCCTTGGAATGATGATACAAATGAACATTATGATTATGATAAAAATAATCTGAAAAATAAGCATGGATTAATTCTGATTGATAAAGTTGACTTTAAAGACTTTGATTATTTAGAAAAACAAATTTTAAAATACCAATATCCTTTGGTGATTGAGTTTAATCCTCTAATTGCCCAAAAGTTATTTTTAGGTGAAAAAACACTTTCCTTTCTCTTTATTAAAGATGATGTGCCAAACTTTAAAGTAATAATGGAAAGATATAAAAAAATTGCGAGCCAATTTAGAGGAGAGATTTTATTTATAAATTCAGGAACTACTCTTGCTCATGAAAGAAGAATTGCCCAAGTATTAATACAAGAAGACTGCTTACTTCCTTGCATTTCCATAATAAGGTTTCCAAAGAATGATGAAGGGAAAGTGATTACACCCAGCTTACCGAATATGCCTCCAATTAAACGTCCTCAAGCTCCACTAGTTTATAGGTCTGAATTTTCTGGTCCAGAGTTACTCAAAGACTCAAATCTTGAACATTTTATTCAAGACTTTGCATCTGGAAGACTGAATCCTTATTTTAAAAGCGAAGAGCCGCCATCTGAAGAAGATAATGATGGACCTGTTCGTATAGTAGTTTCAAAAACGTTCAAAAAAGAAGTTATTGAATCAAATTTGGATGTATTAATAGTTTTTTATGCTCCATGGTGTGGACATTGTAGGAAATTAGAACCTGATTATAATATACTTGCTCAAAGACTTCGTGGTATTAATGATAAACTGAGGATTGCAAAGATTGATGGATCTCAAAATGAAGTTGAAAATATTCAAATTTTAGGATATCCCTCTATTTTATTGTTTAAGTTAGGAAAGAAGACTGAACCAATTTTGTATAGTGGCGACAGATCCGTTGCAAATATGATAGAATGGATCTCTAAAAATACTAGTTTCAAGTTTGACTATCTTCAGTATTTAAATCCTGAGTTAGCTTTTGAAGATGATGATCTTGATATGGCATTTTCTCACGAATTATAATTCCAAAATCTCGAAATTCTGAAATTACTTGTTAAATTGTACTTTCAATTAGTGAAATTTAGTTTATATAATAATTTTTTTTTTTCTCAACTTTAATTATTCACTATTTGAAAATTAAAGTAATTCTTGAATAATAAATTCCTTGGTTTGGGGTTTCAAGATATTTATCTATTCTGAGTATTCATGTTTTGCTCGTTGTAAATGTTATTATTATTACCATTATTATTTAGAATTTGACCTCTGTGAATGATAGAATTTCTTATTGATTGCTTATTAATTTTCTCATTTCCGACCTGAGATTTGTTTAAGGAAACTGCTGCAATTGGATTTTTCCAAGTACAATATGTATAGAATGTGTTCAAACTTGGAAAACAACCTGTTGATATCCTTGAAGCTGAGTTGATAGAATAATTGAATTTATGATTTATGCTGATTTGATTTGAACAACATTTACAATTTGGTAGATATGTATTTGCTTCCTCTGACTCGTGCTGAACTGGGATATTTTCATCTAGTATTTTGATTAAATGTAATCTTGTTGTACATTTCCAAGAGTTATCTATATTTGTAGGTTGGTAATTTGAAAAAAAGTGATGGGACAAAGATTCTTGAGCAGAAATCCTTCTCGAAGGACTTTTTTCTAATAACCTTCTTAATAAATCAATTACATCTTCTATCCAATTTAGATCTCCAAAAGCATAATTTGCTGAGGCATGTTCTTTGATTTTTTTTTCAACAATAGAAAAATCAAATCTAAGTATCTTTTCATTTGCATTACAATGGATTTGATGATTGCATTCAATCAATCTCTGCCCTGTAATCAATTCATACAGAATGGTTCCAATAGACCACATGTCAACTTTCTCATCATAATCGTTGTTTAAATATACTTCAGGAGCTGTAGCAAAACATGTACAACAATGTCCTTTAAGTCTTCCTCCAATAGATATTCCAGAGTTACCCAAATCACATATTTTCATTTGAGAATTGCATGTATCTATATCACGTACAACATCAGTTAACATCAAATTGGCCGTCTTCAAATCCCTATGAACCACTCCTTTAGAATGCATTTGACTTATTCCAACCAATAAAGTATACATTAGGTTTCTCACAGAATTGATTGGAAGGCCATTTTTATATTTAAATCTCAATAGCTGACGTATTGTTCCTCCATGAAATAATTCCATAATTAAATATTCTCTGTTATCAGTTCTATTTTGGAACCAGCCTAATTTCCTTACAACATAATCACTTTTACATTTCTCCAAATAATCCGCTTCCCTAGAGAGAGAACCTGACATTTCCGATTTAACAGCAACAAATTCAAATGTTTCTCTATTCAGACCTAAAAATACTTCTCCATTACCTCCTTTCCCAAGTGAAGCTTCAGTAAAAACTAAGTAGCTTTTCCCTATGTCACCTTGAGCTTTTTTTTCGTGTTTATCTCTATACTGACTTGTTGATGTGGAAATCCCATCTGTAATCATTTTCTGTGAATTTTCTTTGGAATTAACCTTGTAAGCTTGGATTTCAGTGTTGAACATAATTTTTGACCCTACCAAATCAGAAACATCCTGGGTTTTTAACACAAACGCAATATTACACTCATTCGGTTGGGATGTCATCACCCTTAATTTTGTACCAGAAGAAACCACAATGATGTCTGGGAATATTGGAATTGGCAAATAAGATCCTGTAACACAATCCTTGTAAAAGTATTTGCATCCTTCTGTTTGGTTGTTATCTCCTTTCCTTGTTAATCTAAATTCACGATCCTCGTTCTTGATCCATAGATCAAAACTTGTGGTTATGCAAGCTGGTGGGTCAGGATATGAAATATCAACGTCTGTGATTCCATCTTCTGGACCTATTCTATATCTCACATTTGCTCTAAGAGTATGGATTTGTACAATTGGAGAGACCTGAAGTAGAAAATAAATGTTTTCTGAATTATTCAAAATTGAAACCATTAGCTTTCTTCTCCACTGGTTTTAATTACTAACACATCCCTTCTAATTCTCAAAACTCGACTTTTTAGTCTTTTTAGTTCCAAGTATTAAATTATTCTTTAATTATAAAGTTAATTAGTAAAATTGTTGATTAATTATTGAATCAAGTAAAATTCATATATATATTTCAATAAATATTTTTTTTTGTTTTTTTGGTAATTTGATTCTTCATGCAAATTATGAACCCAACATGAAAACTCTTTAATTAACGATTAAAATAAAAGATTGAAAATATTTTGCTTTTTCACTTGTGAGAAAATTGAGCAGTCCTTTGTGCTGTTCTTTTCTCTAATACTCTCAAAATCTCATTATTTTCTTTTTTAATTTTTAAAAATCTTTTTTATATTATACATATATTGCTTATAAACATATTTAAATTAAATCAAAATTTATTTCTGAAAATTTGCAACAAGACTGCACACAACACGTGTCATTTTGCATGTACAGAATTGCAATACCGGCGTGGCAGCATTTCCACATGAAAATAAACCGGTACTAAAATACTTGCATAAATTTATCCACATGAAATAATAAAACTATTAAAAAATGACAATAATAAATAAAATTTAAATTAATTTCTTTATTAGAATAATTAATAACAAAAAAAAAATCAATTGGTTTCAAATTGAAAATTAAATGTATAAAAATTATTTATTTATTTTATTTTTTTTAAAATGATTGTGGATTTCTATATTTATTAAATCATTTCAAAAATAAGTGCATGCAAAATAACTACATGCACATGCATTCAAAACAAAAAAGTTTTTTTTGCAATAAATATCTCAGTATCAAAAATTAGGATTTTCAGTTTGAAATTAGAACTGAAAGATTTTTTTTTCAAAATTTTAAGATATTATTAAGTCGACTAAATTTTAATTTAGGGGGAACAAATTTGACGTTTTCTTTCCAAATTTAATATTTTATTGAGGGGGAATGGTAGAAATGTACGTGTGGGGAGCCTGGTGGGGCAGTGCAAAAGCTGTAGATTTAATTAGGCGGAAACAAAAAAAAAAAAAAATAAAAGATCATTAAGAGAAAAAAGACCAAGTTCGAATAGGAAGCAAAAATTAATTAGCCAAACATCAAAAATTTAGGTTCTACTCAACTTTGTCAAGTTTTATGTGAAATAGTGAAATGCTGGCTAAATGGAACTGAGCAAAAGGTCGAACTGTTATGAGGCAGAATACACTGCCAACGAGTTAGCAATAGCGGCTCAAAGAAGAGATAAAAACACATTACATAATATTATTCAACAATTAATAGAAACTGGAAATACTGGAATATTGAATGAATCAAATGCACTTCACTGGTCAGTTTATTATAGGTGGGATGATGTTTCTATTCACTTGTTAAGTTTGGGTTGTGACCCATTTATGGGAGATATTAATGGAGATACTACCGTACATTACTGTATTAAATCTGGAAACTTCTCCATGCTAAAGTATTTATATGAAAAACATGGAAACAAAATTTTCTATGTTAAAAATAGGAATCAGTTTGGACTGATGCTTACCGCTGCATCAGAAGTGGCTGAAGGAAAAGTTCAGGATTTACTTAGAGTGATGGAATGGCTATATCTTCAAGGTTATTCTCTTGAAGAGCAGGATATTTTAGGCCAGACTCCTTTATTCTGGGCAACTAAAAGAGGAAATTATGGCATTATTCAATGGTTAATAAGCCATGGAGCAAATATTGGACATAGAGATCATAAGGGAAATACATTACTACATGCTGCTTGCTCAGGAGATATTGATGATGAAACTCTTAGCTTTTTATGCGACTTGGGTCTCATTCACCTATTAACTCATTCAAATTACGAAAACCCAGCTGTTGGTAATACTGCTTTTCAGATCTGTTGGACAAGAAAGAATTATTGGTTAGCATTAATGCTTAATTTTTGGTATTATCATAACAAGTTATTCGGAAGGATTTCTTTGCTTAGAAACCCATACGCCGTTTACTACTGGTTTATTTCTATTTTGAATTTGATGGTGGTTTTTATCATGGTCAGTACTCTTAAATTATACAGAGAATTTTTGGGTGGAATTGATCTGAGCTATTTCTACATTTGGTTCATTTTCTTTGGGGCAGCCCAGCTATTTTGGATATTATCAAACATTGGAAATGCTAATTATGTAAAACATCCAATTTATCAGAAAATAATCTCCAAACTTCCTCGCGATAAACTGCTTTTATTAGAGTCACATGGACTTTACTTGCCTTTGTTAACCCCACAGGCAAATAAATTGGGCAAGAACTCCAGTATTTATCAGTTAATGCTTAAAGAAAATGAACAGGTTCAGCTTAATAATCAACTTATTGACATGAACAGACTCGTATTTAATGGCGATCATCTTAATATTAACAAATATAGGGAGCAATATAATAACCAAATTAGTAGACAGATTGAACTTTCTAATGAAATTGTTGGTTTAATGCCTTTTGTTGCTAAGGAAAGACAATCCAATAATTCAAAAATTTATATTGATATTGTTGAAGGAAGGTCCATTAATTCTACTGCTCCAATTCTACCAAAAATATGTGTTACATGCAGAACAGAAAGGCCATTTAGAGGACATCATTGTTCAGATTGTGGGTATTGCATATTGAGGTTTGATCACCATTGCGTATGGATTGATTCTTGCGTTGGATATGGGAACCAAAGGGCATTCTTCTTCTTTCTAAAGTTCCTCACAATCTCTTTCTTTTTATATTACTACTTATTCCAACAGTATTGCTCTCTCAGATTTCAGTTCTCGGCATCTCTCAAAAAAATCTCGTCTACTGATTTAAATAATAACTGGTTCACAATTCAGACTGGAGACCTCTTCCTTGGAGTTGGTGACACTGAGGGAATCCATTTCCATGAGAAGGTCTATTATTTCATGACATCTGATCCCTGGTTTGCTCTTATAATGTTCAACAGTATCATGAATATCCCGTGGATGATTTTTGTATTGTACCTATTTGCCAGGCATATTAAATCAATCATGTCTAACGTAACATTTTATGAATATTATAAGAAACCTGAAGCAATCAAGAAGAGATTTGCTGGACGTAATACTGAAGGATTCTGCTACGATATGCAAGGGAGGACATTTCCCGTTTGTATTCGAAGCATTTTTGCCTATTTTACTAAGAATAACTCCTGGGATAATTTGGACTTCTTTACAAATATTAGACAACCTGAGAAAATTTTAGGCAATCCTTCAATATCTATTCCTATTGAAAGTAATGTTCCATATCAGAATTTATCTCAGATTCCTCCAAATAATGATATTGCAGTAATTAATGAGAACGGAAATCTTGCACCAAACATATTTCCTTCTCACATTTCTACAAACCATTCATACCATCATTCCCAATTTAATTTCCCTTCCAACTCATCTTCAGCTTATTATCAAGTTAACCCATATGCTGGGAGTCATCTATATAATTAAAGAAAAATCTAAAGTTACTAAAAATTCAGTTCCCTCTTCAATTTAAAGCAGGTAAAACTTTTATATTGCTTTCATCATCTAAATTTCAATCCTCAATCACTTAAATAATTCATTAACCAAATTTTTGCCTCCATATTTTTGTGCATGTTTTCTTTATTAAACTCCTGGCAAACTTTTGAAGTTCCAAAATTTTGGCGGGGAACCTAAGTCAATTTTTACAAGGGAAATAAATTAAGGCAGGGGAGAAAATATAAATATTATAAGAAGATTACTGGAAAATCAAGAATCACTGTTTAAAATTAAGATATGGAAGTGGAGAAGTAGAGGTTACAGGCTAAGATGACTAAAAGGAGACAAGTTAGCCCAAACAATGAGGCTTTATTAGTAGAAAGTGACAAGGATTTGGAAACTAAGTACTCAATTAGCAATTTTGACAGTATTCTACTGGCATGGGATTTTTTTCAAGACATAAAGGAGGAGACGTTTGGTACAGAGAGACCTGAGATTGTAAATTCTTTTGATATTTCTGGAGAAGTTTGCCAAGTTAGGGATAACCCAACCAGGTTTGTTACTTCTAAGGAATATTTAGATTACTTTTTTCCACTTTTTCTATTGGAATGTCAACAATCTATCCAAAGAGCCAAGCAAATAGAGATGAGTGACTTTGATACTTTTTTACTCAAAGATATCAGGACTAATAATTCAAATAAGATGGAAGAGTCAAATTTTTTGACTTTGGTCTTTGAAAGAAGAAGGAGTGAAGAGTTAATATATTTTTCTTCACAGGACTTGGTTCTGATAGTATTTGATCCTGAGTTTAAACCAGGAGAATTTGAGGATAATTTGAAGCACGTAATAGGTGTGGTTCAAGGTTCAAATTCGAATGGAAAGATAACTATCACAGTCCTAAATCCCAATTACTATGTGGATGATAAAACTATGAAGAGGAAGTTGGCATCTTTTACTAGTTCAGAGAGGTTGGCTTCTAGAATGAGGTATTTTAGTGATTCTTTGGGAAATAAGGAATCTGGGTCAGATAAAAGTACTACTTTGACACCAAGTTCTTCTCAAGTTTGGAATTTATCAAGAATTACTTCATTCTCAACTAATTATAGAGAACTTAGTGGTTTATTTTCACTTCCTGAGCTTTTACTGAAGGATGACCTCCTTTGCAGAGGCCGAAAATGTGAGCATAACATGAAGATTCCCATGTTATTACACGAAAAGTTAGATGAAAAATATAATCCCTCTCAAATGAGCGCATTAAGTGAATGCCTTAAATATAGTGGAATAAGTCTTATTCAAGGGCCTCCTGGAACAGGAAAAACTACTACAATTATTGGAATTATTAGTGCTCTTTTATCATCAACATTTGAAGTAAAGAATACCTCAGGAGACACAGATGATGGGGAAAATGTTGAAACTAAGAAAAGGAAGTCAGAGGAAGAAAATGTCTCAGAAATGTACAAACAAATTTTCAAAGCCAAACCTTGGTGTTACGATCCTGATTATGTGCCTTGGTATGATTCAGAAATGAAGAGCCTCAGGGTCTACAGACAAGACAAAGTTGAAATCAAGAAGGTGACTTTAGATACTAGTAGTAGGAAAATGGGACCTCGAAAATTGCTTGTTTGTGCTCCCTCTAATGCTGCCATTGATGCAATTGTCAGAAAATTGGTCAGAAACCCCACAACTGGAGAAGGTGGTATTTTGGACAATACCGGTAATTATTATTCTCCTACATTGGTTAGGGCGGGCCCTAACTTTCACCCAGATTTGCATGACTTAAGTTTAGAGTATAAGCTACAACAAAGACTACAAAGAAATGGTTTTGATCCAAAGAACTGCAAACAGGAGATACGACAACAAACTCAATGGAAGATTTTGCAGGAATCTCAGATTGTCTGTGCAACTCTTTCAGTATGTGGGAGTAAGGAACTGATTTCAATACTCAATCAAAATAGTAGAATGCAGGCGGCTGGGGGTGGGGACAAGGATGCATTATCATTTGATACTGTTATAATAGACGAAGCTTCTCAGGGTGTAGAACTATCTACTTTAATCCCACTGAAGCTTGGATGTAAAAGGTTGATATTGGTTGGAGATCCAAAACAGCTTCCAGCAACAGTCCTTTCACGACGTGCAATAGAACGAAAATATGACATTTCTCTTTTCCAGAGGCTTCAAATGAGTGGGCACCAGGTAATAATGTTGAGTGTTCAGTACAGAATGCATCCACAAATTTCTGCCTTTCCTTCAAAACATTTTTACGATGGAGAGTTGCATGATTACAAGGATATACTAAAGACAAGAGCTCCAGTTGTACCTTGGGATGAGATCCCAATATTTAAACCTTTCACTTTCTTTTCAGTGAACTCGGAGGAAGAACAGGGGAAATCCATTTCAAATCCGGTAGAGGCAGACTTTGTTTGCCAGATATTGGAACTACTGGGGTTAATTCTTTATGAGAATCAGAAGAAACAGACAGAGGATACAGAGTTGAGTGAACCTAAAAGGCAATGGTATGAAAGGATTGCAGTAATTTCTCCATATAATGAACAAGTTAAGATTATTAGGAAAAAGATTAAGGAGAAATTTGGGCTGAACCCTGAAACTATTTGCCCTATAGATGTTTCAACTGTAGATGGGTTTCAAGGTCAAGAAAAAGATTTCATAGTATTTTCAGTTGTAAGATCTCAGTATATAGAAGAAGATTCATTAGATAATGCTTATAATAGGAGGACAAACGCAGGTTTTATTGCAGATAGAAGACGTATAAATGTAGCTTTAACAAGAGCGAAACATAATTTATGGATTGTGGGGAACAGTAGATACCTTCTTGGAAACCCAGAATGGCGAAGTCTTTGGGACTATGCTTGCAAAAATAATTCCCAGTTTTCTGTAGATTTTAAGAGAGTTGGACCCATGGAAAACTATTTAAAGCTTTGGTTGTATGGATTTCTACAACGCAAAGAGTCATGCAGAAATGCTCTTCGCCAAGTTGCTCCAGAATTTATTCACAATCTTACTCTTGACTGCTCAATATTTGAAAAAAATAAAGATGCTTTAAGCTCAGTGTCAGAAACCAAGGCAAAGGTGGATTCCTCGTTCTTTGTTGATCTTAAAGAAGACAAATTGGGCTATGAATCAAAGAATAAAAGGGGTTCCAAAGTTTTTCAGACTGACTCAAAACCAATAGAGGTAGAAGAAAATGGGGTGATTCACAAGTTTAGAAATTTTGATCTTGATCTTTTCTGTGATATCAACGAATACGAGTCCAGTAAAAATAACGATTTAGATTCTGAGAATGCTGAGTAAGTTAGTCTGATGGTAGGCTCTGCGCTCTATAATTTAGACCATTCTCCTTTGCTTTAAATTTTGAAACTATCATGATTCTAATTTAGCCTTTATATTAAATTTTATTATAGTACCTAGAACTCTACTGTAATATTTATAATTCTCTATTATTATTCTTAATCTCGAATACCGTTATTTACATGCACTTATTGCATGTGGATAGTATTATTTATCAAATTGACCACATAGATTTTTTTTTCTATTTAGTGCCAATAAATGCATATAAGCACCGGTATAGGAAGGTTAGGGATAATATAGGATAATATTTAAAAAAGACAGTTTTAGTCTTTTTATGAAAAATTATTCTTCATCTGGTAGTCCGAAGTTATTGTTTATTTCCTTTTCGGAGACTCCTGGCATTTTTTTCTTAATCCATTGCCTAAGACTGCAAATGTTATCCTCCCATACAGATAATTGTTGGTTAGCAGTTTCTAAATTTTCATTTAAAATTTTTGGATTGTCTTTGATGGTTGTGTTAATGTTATCCAGTCTACTGGCAAGTTCTTTCTGTTTTAGAAGGATTTGATCCAATTCTTTAGTTTTTTTTTCTCTTAGTTGGTGTTCAGGGGAGTCGGTTTCTTTGGATTCTTTGATCATTTTTTCAAGAGACTTAATTTGGTCTTTTGAATCTTGAATAGAGTTTCTGTTGTGAAATATAATTATTAATAATATAAGAAATGCAATTATAATAAAAAGTAAGAAATAACCAATTGTAGACGATCAAACTTACTTAAGATACTCCAATCTATTTTCTTTGGTGAATTTTGCAGCACTGGGAAGGGCCCAGAAAATATTAAGAGATCCTATTTTGTCGCTAACAACCAAAGAGTCATCTACAAGGCTTTGTAGTACATCTTTTACTGTTTGCTCAATAATTCCACATTTTTTCCCGAGTTTCTCGATTTCTTTTAAATTAAAACATTCTTTCTATGGTAAGATAATGATAAGGGAGTTAAGTGAGTATAATCTAGTAATATTTCTTCAGTTTTAAAATTCTTGCTAAATGATCTTTTTTTAATAATTAGCAAAATAGTACTTACTTTTTCATAAAGAGAGTTCAATAATCTGGATGTTGTAAGAAAACAAAAAGTTGAGGTGACTTTCACGAATTCTTAAATAAAAATATACTTAAACATACCTTGAACGTTTCTCTTCCATAGAAACTCCTCTTTTCGACATTTTTTGAATATATTAATTTCAATAACTTTCTTGTTCTAGAGTTATTTTAACTTAAAATCCTTTCAAGTTTAATTTACGATCTGAATTTTATTCTATGAATATATTATATTTTTTTTTTCAACAGAGATTCGAAAAAAAGATGACGCAATTTATTTGCATGCATGCAATAAATACCGGTATGGCATTATAATGAATGGAATATTTAAAAGCAGAAATAGAGGAAGAAATAAGAGGGATTAAAATAGCGAATAAAATTAATATATAGTTTCAAGGCAGATTCTAAAGTTCTAATTGTTAGTTATTTCCATTAGCTTGCCTTTTTTCAAACTCTTGTAACTCATGATGTAGTTGTTTAATAAATTCATCATCCACATCCTCATCATCCCATCCTAAAATAAAAATAGTGATTAGTTACCGAAATTTAATTTTAGATTGGCAATTAGTATAAAGTAATCTTACCTGTTGCATCCCAGTTTTCATCCCATTCTCCAACATCAGGGTCAATCTGAGTTTCAATATTATCTATAACAGAGTTAGTCTAAATATATATGAACTAAATAGAGATATGTAGGGGTGATATAAAACTATCTTCATATTTTATTTTGCCCTCCATATCTTTGTATCGATTATTTCAAGATTTAACTTACCTAAGTCATCGAACTCCTCAAGTTCATCATCTATTTCATCAATAAACGAGTTGATATTATCATTTCTTGTTTCCTCATTAGATGCCATCTTGAAAACTTGCAATATTCCAGTCTTCCGATCCAATATATATATATATATATATATATATATATATTCTTGCAAAATTATCTTCAATAGCTTACTAGCTGGTAATGTTTATAACAATAATATCTTCTATTAATATTTATGTTAATATTATAATAATAATAATATTATTATTATTTTTGTGGCAAAAATGTATTTTGGAGGGGTAAGGCAGCTTAAAATTTTTATCCTCAATAGAAATAAAATTCAAGCATAATTATAATATGTATAGGTGTGGCGTAATGTTAAAGACTAATTCTAGCAGTTAAAAAACACAGACAGGAGGAGGAAAGTCAAATTTCGGAACAATTCACAGATAAGCATTCTTACACATCACTAAATTTAGGTAGAGGAAGTAAAACAAATCGCAATTCCGCATGTTTTCTTTGGCTTTTTAAATGATTATAATTTTACAATGTATTTACCCCCACAAGCCAAAGCAGACCCAAACACCCGCCAAATGGCAAGGCGGGCCTATTACAGTGAGACAAAATATATTTTTTGACAATTGAAAAGTAAAGAAAAGGAAGTAAAAAGGCTAATAAAATTAAAATTTAATACAAATAAATAGCTGTGTTAGACTACGTGTCTCTTAAGTAATAAATAAATTAATAATTAATTTTAGTCTAAAATTAAATATTAACTAGCATTTTTCCCAAATAATTAGTTTTACGGAAAAACTGCAAAAAAAACAAGAATTCCAAGTCGGATTTTTAAATATATATACATATATATACATATATATATATAAATATCGTTTATAACAATTGGAATATAACACTCAAAGTGAAACTTTGAAAATTAAGAAGCTTAGATTATTATAGTTAGTGGTTTGAAAGGATGACATTATACGAAACAGCAGCTCCAAGAGTAATTAAGACAGCCAAGGATGTTCCAGCAGGAATATTGATTGAGAAATTTGCTCAACAATTAAAGAAGGGTGGGAAGATGGTTATGCCAGAATGGATTGACCATGTTAAGACAGCTTCATCGAAGGAGTTACCACCACAAAACCCAGATTGGCTCTACATTCGTACTGCCTCAATCTTAAGACACTTATATGTCAGACCAAATGCTGGTGTTGGTGCTCTTTCCAAGTTTTATGGTAGGAAGCAGCGCAATGGAACAGCTAGAAACCACTCAGCTGTTGCTTCCCGTGGAATTATTCGCTACTGCTTGATTCAACTTCAATCTCTTGGTTTAGTAGAGTTCAATCCAAATACAGGTACCCGTAGACTTTCTCCACAGGGTCAACGCGAGCTTGACTCCATTGCTAGACAATGCAAAGCATAAGTAAGCGTGTCTTTTCCTCCTTATATTTTTGAGAGGAATTGTCTTCAATTTACTTTAAATCTTATTAAGATAAACTTTTTGAGGTGAAATACCGTTTTTTTATCTTTTTAGTTTTATCGTATTCTATTAATCATTAATTTTTATTAAATCAGATTCTTACGATATCTTATTATCTACTACAATGTTGTGCCGAGTGGAGGAGACGCATTCTAGAGGATGTGGGCAGAAGTGAGGTGAGGGTGAGTATATATGAGCTTAAAATAGTTTTTGTAACTCGTGGGTTTGAGGCTAAACCTGAATCAACCATACCTAAAGCTGTATGGCTTTCTATATAACTACCTATATTGGTTATTTGACCATCTTACTACTCAGTAATTCAGCTACACTACTTTCAATCCGAACTAATTTCATAAAGTCAATTATAATAAAGTTCTAGACCCATTCCATCTTTAATTTCGTAGTCTTCCAGAGTGATGTGATCTTTGTATACATTATACCATTTTTGAATTCTTATTTTGTCCCATCTTGTGCCTATTAGAACACCGAAAAGAAATAAATATAAGATGAATAGTTATTAGGTATTAGATTGATACTAATTTTTGGAAGACTTCACATAGCCAATGCCATATGAAAACAAGAAATAGTATAATCTTGCATTAACTAGCCAAACTTACCTGTATATTCAGCAACGAGTTTTTTCAAATCTCCAATTGTATCATCTGGGTTACACTTGACCCGAATCTTTCTACCCAGTCGATCATTCAAAACCACTTCAATCATTGAAGAAAACCAAGCCAAAGAGAAAGAAAAGTATTTCTTATTAGTAAAATTAATATTTTTCTTCCAAATTGCCAATTTCCACGTTTTCCTATCTTTAATTATTTAGTAATTTTTATGTTAACATAGTGACGTGTCTCCTGCAAATGCTCCATACCGGGATTCATGCAAAAATCTTTGCACATGCGAAAAAAAAATTGTACATGTGGACAAAAACAAAAATATAATGATTGGGAGTCACCAATACTAATCTAATACAAACTAATAATTAAAAAAAATTTTCTCAAAATTACAATTCTAGTTTGGCAGAAGGAGCAGTTCCTGAGTGATGAGTGCAGGCAACTAACTCGACACGCTTTGAAGTTCTACCAGAGTATGAACCAACCTGCTCAATCTTGGTGAGCGTGAGCTTACTCTCTTCATCAACTAATCTTCCGAAGACTACGTGCTTTCCATCGAGATGAGGGGTGGGGATAAAGGTAATGAAGAATTGGGATCCATTAGTATTTGGACCTCTATTGGCCATCGAGATTACATGAGCTTCGTGATTGAACAAAAAGTTCTCATCTTCGAAAAAAGTACCATATATACTCTTTCCACCTGTTCCGTTTCCATTCGTAAAGTCCCCACCTTGGGCCATAAAACCTGGAATAACTCTATGAAAAATACTTCCAATGTAGCTCATTTCCTTTCCTTCACTGTCCTTCATTCCACCAACACAAAGAGAGTAGAAGTTATTGGCAGTTTTTGGAGCTTCCTCACCAAAGAGACCTATTCTCATTTTATTCTTTTCGTCGCCAATAGAAATTGTGAGTTCGACAACTACTGAAGGAGTTACTGTGCTTGGACTAATTGTTTTCTTTCCAAAAACCGAGGCAAAAAGTCCAAGTAATAATGAAATAAAGGTTAAGAAAAATCTCATCTTAAAAATACTATTAATAAAATCGGGTAAAAGTTATATTTATATTTATTTAAATTGCAAGTTTGATCAGAATCAAAGAAATTGGACTTGAATTTGGAACTTTTTAATTGAATTTAAAATAGATAAATTCCAGTGATAACAAGTGAATTCAAATTTAACTATGGTTCAGACTTTAGCTAAATTTTCGAGTAATTAATTTAATGAGAAAGTTTAAGAAGAAGGGCACCCCACAAAATTGAACAGTAAAAACAGAATCATTTGTTTAAATTATTTCATACAGAATATATATTAAGTTGGCGCAAGTCTAAACCTTAAGTTGAATTTTCAGAACATTCTATAGATATTTAATTTTTTATGTTATATACAATATACAATATACCATACAGAAAGCTAATAAAGTCATTACCTGCCATTGAGAGGGGAACTAATAATTACCAAAATAAATAAAGTCTCCCCACCTAAAGATCTAAAATAAATAAGAAAAAAAGTATCAAGAACAAGTTTATTATTAATTTATACACCTACTTCCCCTCTTATTCTATACATTCTCTCTCCCCCACTAAAATATATTAACGAGCTTAAACTTAATATATTTTAGTATCCTATACGTGTCGCATTTTGGCGCGCTGTCTCGTAATGCTGGAAAAATGGAGACAATATAAGAGGTAATGGAGGAAAGTAAAGAAATACAGAGTAAGGTCTTTTTTTCCTTTTGTGTATTGAAGCGCAACGACAAGTTTTTTTTAACATTAAAAAATATACAAAGCGAGGGTTTTTTAAAAAATAAAAACCTATTAGATATTACAAGTTCAAGGCAATTTGTAATATTTTATCTATTCAAGACTGATTAATTAAGATGACAAACGCTGAACAGAATTCTGCTTCAGAGGAGGCCGTCCAGGTGGCTTCAACTGGTGAAATTGAAAGTAATTATGATGAAATTGTGGAATGTTTTGAAGCTTTAAATTTAGAGGGTGATTTATTGAGAGGTATTTTTGCTTATGGTTTTGAGAAGCCATCAGCAATTCAACAGAGAGGAATTAAACCAATTTTGGATGGTTATGACACAATAGGACAGGCTCAATCAGGTACTGGTAAGACAGCAACTTTCGTCATTGCAGCCCTACAGAAGATTGACTATTCTTTGAATGCCTGCCAAGTGCTTTTACTTGCTCCAACTCGTGAGTTAGCTCAACAGATTCAAAAAGTAGCTTTGGCATTAGGAGATTATTGTGAACTTAGATGCCATGCTTGCGTTGGTGGTACTTCTGTTAGAGATGACATGAATAAATTAAAGAGTGGTGTTCATATGGTTGTTGGTACTCCAGGCAGAGTTTTTGATATGCTTGATAAGGGTTACTTAAGAGTTGATAATCTCAAGTTATTCATATTAGATGAGGCGGATGAGATGTTAAGCAGGGGTTTCAAGGTTCAGATTCACGATATCTTTAAAAAGCTTCCTCAGGATGTACAGGTAGCTTTATTCTCAGCCACCATGCCAAACGAAATTTTACATCTCACAACCCAGTTTATGAGAGACCCAAAACGTATTCTAGTAAAACAGGAGGAACTAACTTTGGAAGGTATTCGTCAGTTCTACGTTGGTGTTGAAAAAGACGAATGGAAAATGGATACTTTAATTGACTTATATGAGACTCTTACAATTGTACAGGCAATTATTTACTGCAACACAAGAAGACGAGTTGACCAACTTACAAAACAAATGAGAGAGAGGGACTTTACATGTTCATCTATGCACGGAGATATGGACCAGAAGGACCGTGAGGTAATTATGAGACAATTCAGATCAGGCTCTTCTCGTGTTTTAATTACTACAGATTTACTGGCAAGAGGTATTGATGTTCAGCAAGTTTCTCTTGTAATTAACTATGATTTACCTGTCTCACCAGAAACTTATATTCACAGAATTGGTAGATCCGGCCGTTTCGGTAAAAAAGGTGTTTCAATCAACTTTGTTACTGATGACGACATTGTCTGTTTGAGAGATATTGAGAGACATTATAATACTCAGATCGAGGAGATGCCAATGGGCATTACTGATATTCTACAATAATCCATTATTTACTTAAGTAGTAGTCAACTTTACTTGCTTGATTTCTTAATTTCATCTTTGATTTTCCTCTCTGCCTCCTTACTTTAGTCTGCCTGCATAACTTTGCGGTCCTGTACACGTAATTTACTCATGCATGTGGATGCATGCAATTAGTAAATGACGGATGGTTGAATGGAAGAACAAAGAAGTAGAATTCGTAGTAATTAACAAGAGCAAACTAATTAATGCAAATCTCTATATTTATTTATCTAGAAAAGTATTATCCACATAATGAGTATAATAGTTACATACATAGATACAAATCATACAATATTTGAGTGTCGGTAGCCAAATTTGTAAGTAGTAAGTAAATTAGAATTAATATAAGTGGATAAATGGTAGAAAGTACAATTTAACTATATAAATATAATGTCGGAATCCGCTCTTGGTTGCGCTTCTCTTCTCAAGAGGATTCTGGAGTTTGTCTAACAGTTGATTTCTCAGCCTTGATTTTCTTTTAGTAGGATTACTTTTTAAGTAACCTTTTTCTTTTTAATTAGGTCTTTAACAATCCGGTAAGTATTTTCTGCAGATGGTCTGAATTCAGGGTCTTGATAAGTCATTGATCTAAGTAGTGGAATCCAGACATCATGATTTTTCATGATACATACCGGGACGACTCCCTTACTTCTAAAGCTATCTAAAACATGAATTCTCTCCATAGCTGTGGTGAATCTTGGGCAAAGGAGTTCCAAAAGGATAAGAGCAGCTGAGTATATATCTGCCTTCTCATTACATAGGGCTCCTCCTTCTGGGGCAGTATATCCAGGAGTACCAATCACTTGTCCACGTACACTCATTTGTGAATCTAATCTGGATAGAGGATTATTCATCTTAGCCTCCATTCTATTTTGCTGTCTTCTTTCTTCCATAAATCTGTTCAAATCGTTGTTAACAGACACTTGGTTATTCTCGAGTTTGTGGGGAGAAGGAGAGGAGGAAGCTGATTTGGAGACAAATTGGGAGTCTCCAACTACATTACTATTATCATTGTTATTCTTAGCATCCCCATCAAACATTAATCTAGCTAGCCCAAAGTCACCAATTTTGATCTGAAGGGAGTCTGGGTTCACAAAAATGTTCTCTGGTTTCAAGTCTCGATGAACTATACCCTTCTCATGTATGTCTCTAATCCCCTTAATAATCTGTTTAAACATGTTCAGTTCCACATCAGTTCCACCAAACTCGGTACTTCTACTAGTATCTCCCAACCAAGAACGTAAAGTTACTCCAACGCAAAGCTCCATCTGTATCATCATTATGACCTCATATATTGGATCATTCTCCTTTCGATTTGCTGGAGAAAGGTATACAAGAGATCTATGATGGTGGTTATGATGATTATTACTGGAGCTCTTATTATTATCTGTAATTGAGGAGATTGAGTTGGTTTGTTGAAAGTTTCCAGAAGATGATAATACCAACAGCTCATGATTACTCTGGTTATTGACAGAGATAGTCCTAGTTCGGTACAATAATCCATTATCATTTTGTTGGTTATGTGTATCATCAATACATATATTTGATATTTCCCCAATGTTCTGTTCTTGAGAAGGTTCATGAAGTTCTGGTTTATCAAGAATTTGGCATTTACCGTAATCTAAGTCGTCATCCTCTCCCTGGTATTCATTCTCAAAAGCTATAAAGTTCAGATTCTGAGAATCATTCTCAAATCCATCCTGAACAGAAGAATTTGAAGCTAAACTTAAAGCTCCAAATGTCTCACTATTTACAGCACTTGCTCTATCAACAGTTTGTAAACCATCTCGGTACTTATCTCCAAGTAATTGAGAGTTACTTTTTAATGTATATTCTTCCAAATATCTACCATCATCTTCTTCGTCTAAATCAAAAGGAGCCCTACTAAAGCAGGAGTCTGAGTTACTAAGCTGGGAGTATTTGTCATTCTGGGATTCTAACTCACCATATTGACTTCCTTTTCGGTTTTTTTGTTGAAACTTTAATGAGAAACGTCCTATACTGTCATTAGAAGAGGTTTCCATTAGTAGATCATCATTACTTTGCGACATCTCATCAAAAATAAGACGGACCCTAGCTTTTTCTGTACTTTGATCCACGGTCTTAGAATCTCTAAGCTCCTTTTTTGAGCTCTTATTCCGTCCTCTACGGCTACTGGGATATGACTTACCATTCTTCTGCTTCTTTGTTGTTTTCTTAGTCTCAAAAACCTTAGGTTGAACAGAGGAATGAGATGCAGATTTAGAGCAGCCAAGACTGTCAATCCCATCTACATAGTTTTGCAAAGCTTCTGGTTCCTCACACCACCAAGTATAATATCTCACTACATGCTTACTCAGAGTAGTACGGTTTGCAGTAATTTCTCTGAAATATCTGATTCTAGTAATGTCGTCGTTTGCTCCAATCCCTAACCTGAGAAATTTGATGGCATAGTATGTTCCTCTTTCCAGCTTATGCTCTACCTGGTAAACCTGACCGAACCCGCCACTTCCGATAAGCTTGACAATCTCAAAGTTCTTAGAAAATCGACCATTATCGATACATCTGGCGAGCTCACAGCGAGGAGGAATGTTGTAGAGTGAAGAAGACTTGGGAGCACTCGCAGTAGACTTTGGAGTGAATGTATTCTGTCCATCTTGGAGATTTGTTGGAGTGTTTGAATTAGTTACATTTAAATGCACTTGCCCGCGTTGTGGGGAGGCAACAAGATGGGCGGTTGTACTGGAGCTGGACAAGTCAATTGTAGGCTTGGAGTCATCTTCAAAGCTTGTTCTCGCTCCTAAGCTGTCAAAATGATGATTGTAATTTAGATTATTTGACGTAACATTATTGTTGTAGTTAAGTGCCTTAAAGAATGCGTTTTTTGAGATTCCAATAAAACTTGTACGCATGTCAACCATGGAATAGCTTTTAGAGAGGCGCATGCATTTGTCACCAGAGTTTCGGGAGGGAGAAAAATCAGTTTCTGTTTCTTCGGGATTAAAAGTGGTAACGTATGAGGATCCAAGAAATGAGTTTCGTAGGTTTCCGTTTTGTTGTTGGTTGTTGGAATCTGAACTTGAACTTGAAGTGGGTTTTCTTTTTGAAAAAAGAACGAAGAGTAGGATCAAGTTGACTATGAATAGGATAATTCCGGTTATCAAGGTAAGATGGTTTCTGTAGTATAAGACTGATAAGAAAGATAATATGGGGCCAGGCTCTGGTTCTGAATCAGACTCTGTCCTAGTCAATTCTGGGTTTGCCCCAGAAGTCCCAGCTCTGGTTTGTTGACGCCATTCCTCCAAAGTTTTATCACTCTCAGAAGTCTCAGCCTGGTTACCAGGGAGAAGAAGCATAGGCTTGGAAACTATTCTGCTGGTATTTATAACAATAGGAGTTAGGCCTTTGAGCTTTTTGCTAATAAGATGACTAATCTCAGAGCTTCGTGACCCAGATTTAGTATAAGCAAACTCATCAAGAAGAATATTGTTGTTGGTTCCAATTAGAGGCCCAACAGCGGAGTTGGAGGAGTCATGAAGATGGTTAACGTGGACCTGCTCAATATAGTAGAAGTTAGAAGGAAAATAAGGAAGAGATAGACCTTCTTTAAGAACAAAAACTTTGGAAATGATTGTGTTGAATCCCAATGGCATATTATTTATGTATAAAGAGTTTCGTGAAGAACCAAAGAAAATGGGAATTTCTTGAACTTTAGAACCAGATTCCAATAGATGAAGATTTTGGAGACTTTTAGAATATTGATTGTTATTAATTCCATTAACATCTGAGTATCTGATATCCCATTCTAACTTGTTAGTATGGACATTCAATGCAAGAATTTTCCATGTTGTGACTCCAATAGCAATACTAACTTGGACATTTGGGTTCAGAGATGCATCTTGTTCATAAGCTTCGCAATGTTGGGACGAGGCAGAGTTTGAAAGTATTCTTCCAGTAAATAGATCAACAGTTAAGACGTCAGATGTTCTGGACCCGGTCAAATATAAGCCGGGAAATAGTGATGAGTGGAACGGACACCTTTCAACAAGATCCCCGATACTAAAACCTTCTATTGGTATTACTCCCGGTAAGACAGATTTCCCAGAAAAAATATTCTCGTAGGTGTTATCTTGAGTACTGTAGAAACTATGAGCATTTTCAGAAGAAGTACCAAAGAATATTTTTCCTTGAAAAGAACAGTATAATCGGGCATGTCCAACATCAGATTCTTCGTTCCGCTTATCATGAAAGACCCTACTAGGGTAAAATGTTCCTTCCTCAAGGATTCTACTCTTCCACAAGATCTTTCCATTCTCTCCAACTGACCATAAAGTTCCATCAACTGTCATTACAAAATAGATCTCTGGTAGAGTGATCCTATTAGATTCTCCACTTCTGACAAACAGGTCCAGATCGCCAGCCTTGACAAAAACGGAGAGAATTAACTGAAGTAGTAGTACCAGCAATCCCCATCTGGGTAACATTCTCCTTGTCCCTGCATCTCTATATGAGACTTGCTTTTGTCTCTTTCTACCTTTCATAAAAAAAAACGGTCCCGAGAAGAATTTGTCCACTCAGTTCAGAGACTACATTAACTCTCTCATTCAACTGAACTTTATTTGAGCCTCTTTACCCATATACTAATAATTTTAAAGGCCCTTCGTACCTTTAGTTATTTAGTTTCTCGTTATATTCCTACCTATTTTCAAAAGTTTCAAACGTAATTACCTCAAAAAAAGTCCAGGTACTTATCTTCAATAATTTATTGATTATTTGAACTTATTTTCGAAATTTGTACTTTTGATTCTTTATTTTCTTTTTCCAAAGTAACTTAGTTATTTAATTAAATTTTTTCCTCCATAGTTTGCCCGCCTAAATGATCAGTTTTTAAAAAAATTCAATATTACTCCACAACTCTAAAAACTGAATAATTGGAGTTTGTTCTGGTGTTGATGATTTAATTTTTGTCTTAGGCACGGGTTACAAGTTAAATATGTTTGTTTCAGCCTTTTTTTTTGCAGATTATTGGTTTTATTTTTAATTTTCTTGTAGTTTTTGCGCTAAAAAAAATCCCATGTAGTATAATTGTTTTTATTTCATGCAATAAAGTAAAGTATTTTAAGCTGGGGAGTTTTTGGTGTTAGCTGCTTACTTTGTTTGTAAGTATTTGCATGTTTTTCATTTTGCATGACTTGCATGCCGTTACTAGCATTTGCATGCAGACCGTTATTCAGACCTTTCTTACAAAATTTGATGGTAAATATATTTTTTAGACTTTCTTGTGGGGAAAAATACTGTTTCATGGTTGATAGTGTAATCACTAAGACTTTTTTATTCGTTAATATTATTCTACTTAAATTAACAGGCCAGTTTTTGCATTATTTAGGCGAAAAATGGGATTTATAGTGAAACTAGCTTCTAAAAAAAAATACTTAGTAAGAATTCCCGAGATATGTTCAAAATTTTTAGGTAAAAACTTCCATTTTTTTTCCCGTTGGATTTAACGACAAATAATTTTTTTTCCAGAACATGCTGAATATAAGTTACTCAGGAAAAACCACGACAAATTCAAACTATGTTAACTAAAGAATAGCCAGCGTAATGTTATAAAAAAATACGTAAAGTAAGTATTAATATGATATCACTCACTACATTTTTAATATATTTGAGATCTTTTTAAAGAATTTACACTTTGCTTTTTGTTAAGAATAACTTATAACTTTTTTCCTCACCTTCACGTGGGCTGTCTTAGCTCAGCACGGTAGAGCGCCAGCCTTTTAAGCTGGTGGTCATGGGTTCGATCCCCATAGACAGCGTTTTTGGTATTTAAGTAAAAAAAATTTCCCGCCTCGTCTCCATATAAATATCTCCATTATGTACAGACATAATGGGAGTAGAGGTGTAAACAGGATTTTCGGTCTAAATTGAACAGAAACGGAGAGGCGCTGGTTTTAGAACGAGTTTTTCTCTAGACATATTCCTTTTTTTTCATTACGGTTCTGACACCAGATGTTAAAAGAAAAAGGCAGTACAGAAAAATCCAGAATATTTTGAGTAGCTAGTATGAGTTTTAGACTAGAACCACAATAAAGTCTCCTCAAGAATCGTAACGATTTTATCAAAAAGGAAAAAGAGAATTTCTAATTATAAGAGGTAAATGCTGAAATTAGTATGATTATTTTGTATTTTCTAATTTATCCCCCCCTTCAATAAAGCAGTTTGCATTGTAATTACACACTGAAATTAATATAGAAATGTGTGGATGCAAATTATTGGCTAGATTTTCACTTATACATAAAATTAGTGTTTTTGTGATAAACAATTCACTGTTTACTATCATATACTTAAAATTTAAATGATTGAATATAAATTATTCAAATATTTTTAATTTTGTGAAAAACATTACGTATATAATTATTTTTACCCTCGCAAGTTTCTCCACCTGCATGGCTTGTCGGGTTTGATATTTAGGCGGTACAATCCTCTCTGAATAAACGGAAGAAAAATATTCCCCTTTTTGGACTTTTCACATTTTTCTGAAATTAAATAGAAAAAATAAAAAATTAAAGAAACAAGAATTAATTCGAAGATAATTGCAGATAGATTAGTTTAATATCAGTTTATTAAAAGTATATTTTTAAAGCCTCATATAGCGAATTGGGAATAATTCAAGTGTTTGCCAGGCAATATAAAGCTTTCAAACCTATATATACGAATATTTCTCAATTGAATAAATTAAAAAAAGCTTCAAATTAATAGGACATATAAATTTGATAAATACAGGAATTAAAAATATCTATAATGGATTCAAATACACCTCCAGTCTCATCTAGCCCTGCACATCCTCCTTTGTGCTTAAATAATTGTGGTTTTTATGGGAATCCAACAACAAATAACCTCTGTAGCAAATGTTATAAAGATAGTATTTCAAGAAATAGTGCCAATAATCAAAGCTCAGTTAGTAATTCTCAGAATAGTGATTCGGCAACTACCACAAAAGATGATGATTGCAGCTTTTCTGATTCTTTAAAGGAACTTAATCAGGAATCAAACAGTCCTACAGCCATTGATCAGAGCAATACCTGCATAGATACAAAAAAGGTGAGTGAATCGGAGGATTTAAACGCAACATCTGTATCTTCCTCAGCTTCTCCATCTTCGCCTTCTGAGAAGCCTTCAGTCCCTGGAAGATGTTATCACTGTAATAAAAAAGTCGGAATTTATGGATTTAGCTGCAGATGTGGTTTTAATTTCTGCAGTACTCATAGATATGCAGATGCTCATGATTGTACTTTTGATTATAAAACATTCGAAAGAGAGCAACTAAGAAAGACAAACAAAGCAGTTGTTGCTGACAAAATTCAAAGAATTTGATTCTGTTGTTTTCAAAAGCATATATTTCTAATCAAAATTATAATATAATGAAAACTCAGAATATCGTTTTCTCCGAATTAAGAATTTGGAGAATTCCTATAAAAAAAAGCAATGTCTTTTTATTTACATATTTTTTCTCTTATTTATTACTAGTTTTTTCAACTTAATTTCCATTTAAATTAATTGTTATCTAGTTTTCTATTTCAAAATATTCTCCTTTCTTATTCACCTTTCCTACATTTCTCTAATGTATATTTGATTGGACACTTTTTTCTCAATTTCAGGTTTGTAAACTTTTTATCTACCTTAGAAAATAAAAATTGTAATCTTTTTCACAAAAAATAACACTAAATATTTCAGAATAAGAAAAAAGAATTCGAGCGATCATTAGGTAAAAATATAAGTTTTTATTATTTCCACTCATTACATGTAATTAATAGTAAAACAATTCTAGGCGCCGCTTATGGCGCCATGTGTGCATGTATTTATCTTAGTAAGATGAGTTATGTCAAAACTGACCTAAAAGAGGAAAGAGGAAAAAAACATTATAAGTTGTAGTTCTAAATATAAAGTAAAGTAAATCAATTAAAAGAAGATAATTAAAAAGCTCCAAGTAAAGAAAAAAGATTGATTTTTTTTTTTCTTTAAAGTGTTGAATTATTAAGTGAAGATACAACAGAAAGGAGTTAATTTGCTAATTTGACAGAGAAATAGACAACTAGGCACAATTTTAGATCTAATTTTTTTCATAAACTACAAAGAGGTGGTTGAAAAAGCTGTTTTAAGTAGGAAAGGAGGTTATATAATAAAATCTTGATTATTTGAAAAGAATAAAATGCCATCTTTCTCAGGAGATCAGGGTGGGAATGGAGAGCAATGTATTGTAATCGATTGTGGATCAGCTTATATGAAGGCAGGAACTGATAGTGACAAGAATCCAACGTGCATTTTCCCTTCAATGGTGGGCCAATATAGATCAAGATATATCCCAGAGGATGAAGATAATAACCCAATTTTTGTAGGAGAAGAAGCTATAGCTCAGAGAAAAAAACTATCTTTAACATTTCCAATTGATCATGGGCATATTGATGACTGGACAAAATTTGAAGAGTTATTAAATTATCTATTTTACAGAGGTTTAAATATTGACCCTATTGACAGCTCAGTAATAATCACAAAGCCTCCTTTATGTAGTAATAGACATGAAGAGAAGATTACGGAACTAATGTTTGAGATGTTTCAGACTCAAAGTTTGAATATAGCTTTACAGGGATTAATGGCATTATATAGCGTGGGAAGAACAACAGGAGTGGCTTGCGACATTGGAGAAGGAGTAACACAGGTCGTACCTGTATATGATGGCTACTGTGATTCAAGCTCTCTTAGAAGGGCAGATATTGGCGGACAAGAAATTACAATGTATTTACAAAAGCTTTTGTCTGATAGGGGTTATATTGCAACAACTAGAGATGACTTAGAACATATAAGAATCATTAAAGAGACTTTATGTTACATTGCAAAGGATCCTGCAACAGAAAATGAACGTCCTGAGGAGGAGATTACTGAAGTATATACTTTACCTGATGGATTAACGCTTCATGACGAACATACAAACAAGATTGAAATTGACAAAGAAAGGTTTTACGCTCCCGAAGTTATTTTTGACCCAAAGCTTATAATGAGAGATGTACAGCCAATTCATGAGTTAGTTATGGAATCCATTATGTCATCTCCTATGGAAGTTAGGAAAACACTTATGGGTTCAATATTACTTAGTGGGGGAACATCTCTTACAAAAGGTATTGAAGAAAGATTAGAAGAAGAGTTGATGTATATTTGTCCTTCTCAAGCTAAAAGCAACATTAGAGTTACACCTGCTGATGACCGTAACTATGCCATTTGGAAGGGCGCTCAGCTATTTAGTGCTTTAAGGGACTACCAGGAAAATCTTTGGATATCAAGAGATGAGTACCTCGAAGAAGGAGTCAATATTTGTATCAAGAAACAACCTTTCTTTAGCTACATGCCCAAGTAATACAATGAGGAGTTTATATAAGGTGAATAATATAAAATCTTATATTCAAGAAATATTGCAACGGTTACTAGCTATTGAAATAAAAACCAATTCCATGGTAAATTACATAATAAAACTTGAGCAAGGTGGTTTTTCAACACCCATTTGTTTTCAACAAATATTCATTTCTCTGTTTTTGTATAAATAAATAAATATGGCCCTAAGACAAATTCCCGCTAAAATAGTTTTATTTAAATACTACATGCACGCGATGCATAAAACCATTAGTGAATATATAATCTGTATATATTCGTTGCGTATATTTATAACTAACGCCCATTCAGTGCTTGGAATTAAGCAATAGTGATAATAATGAATGAGTATTTAACTTGAGAAATCATTATTATTACAGTAGTTCAAAGCCACCAATCTTTCACCATAATCTAAGAACTAATTTTTTTTTCTTGTTTCTTTTGTTAATTTCCCTCTAGAATTGCATTAAAAAGATTACGTGTTTTCTGAAAAGAAGATGTGAAAGGCAAATAAAGTGTAGACATAAAAAGAACAAAGGAAGAGAAGAACAATAAACTTCAAAAAAAAAAACACTAAATAAGTAGTTGTGATTTTCTCTTTATTTTAATTCAAAATTTCGGATAATAATTTCACCCACAAAGTAAATATTTCAGGCGGTAAATTGCCCACACCTTACCGCCAAATATTTACTGGTTAAAATGTAAATAAATTATATTATTAGAATATACTAAATATGTGTAAAGGTGGAATAATTGCGCGCCAACCCCCCCCTAAGCTACATCCTGAATAGTGGGGCTAAGGTGGCAGAAGAAAATGGAAGCTTCAATAAGAAATCGTCTTAGAAAGCAAGATTTGGTTTTACCAGACGAAGAAGTTCCAAATAGTCAGGACAGTAACATAAATAGCATAGATTACTCCGAAGTAAGAGAGCTAGTTTTGGACGGAGTAAAACTCAGAGAGTTAACACAGAAAGATAGTGAATTTCTTGGACGATTTTCAGAGTTGCAATATTTGAGTTTAAACGCAACTGGCCTTCAAAAATTGGATAACTTTCCTTTACTTGAAAACTTGAAAGTTTTAGAAATTCAGGATAACCATATTTCTGGTGGACTGGATATTTTACAGAATTATAAGAACCTTCGTTGTTTATTACTAGGAGGAAATAAAATTAAAGACTTTTCGGAACTAATTGTGTTGAAGGAGCTTCCTAAGTTAGAGACTCTTTCACTACTGTTGAATCCAATAGCTGAGAAAAATTCAGAATCTTATAGATCAATAGTTTTTGAGACACTGCCAAATTTGCAGATTTTGGACGAGATGAATAAAGAAGGAAAGGAAGTTGAAGATTATGGTTATGAAGATGAGGTCGAAATAATAGATGATGATACTGAGGGTGGTGACGAGGAAACTAGCGTACATGCAGGAAGCCATGGATTACCTGACGATGATGAGGACGAATTTGACGAAGAAGATGACGAAGATGTTGGACAGGTAGATCTCAAACAATTTTATGAAAACGATCTCGAGGAAGATGATGACGAGGATGACTTTGAGCCAGGTGATGCAGATTTTGAGGGAGCTGACGATTTTGAGGAGGAGGAAGAAGAAGAAGAAGAAGAAGACGATGAGGAGGAAGATGATGAAATTGAAGCCAGTAGCTCTAAAAAACAAAAGATTGAGCGGGATGATGATGAAGATGATGATGCTGAATAATCAACACAATGGCCTGAATCGAAAAATAGTTAAGAAAATCAAATAATTACTAGTATAAGTGCCATTTTCAAGTGTCTGTAGTATATTAATAAAATTAATTTAATAGCAAATCTTTTTCTTTTTTTTTTACTAAATCTCCTAAAATCTACTTAAATAACTTAACAGAAGATGTAATTATTTCTGACTATTTGGCTCTGTTTTTAGATAATTACCAACACATAATGTACCTGACCAAATGCTTTCATTCAAAAAAGTTCCATTAGTTACCAAAAGAAAATTAAAGGTTTCAGTGAAATGGCCTCAAGTTTTGTTCTCTCTTTGTCAATCCACATCCAACAAAGAGTTCCTAAAACAAACTTGAGGATGAAGTTAATACTGGATCCCCAAATAATGTACTGGTGTAGCTTAGATTCCCAATTCATCTGAAAGTCTTCAACAAAACAGACGTCAGGACTTTGATTGTTTGGACATAACCACGCAGAAATTGCAAAGGAAAGCCAAATAGCCTCAATAACGGTTGCAAGTATTATTAGCATTAGAAATCTTCTTATACCTGTGATTTTCCTAATTAATCCGTTCACATCCAGAGGAGGTATTTCCACACAAAATACTCCATACCCTAATAAATAAAGGGTAAAGTTATAGTCGGTTCTTCCAATACAGAGAAAGAGTGAAATTACAAGTTGGGAATATATAACTAATTCTATCATGTACTCCAGCTTTGAGGAACTAGACTCTTTTGATGCTGGGGAGTCTGTACCCAAACCCATATAACTCATTGAAATACTCCTGTCATTATCCATTTCTTACTCTTTTTCCTTCATTAATTCTTTATGCATATAAATATGCCAAATTTATTTTATTTTACAATTTTCTTAATTTAATTTAGTTTTTACCGCTGTGTGGAAAATCCTGGAATTCTTGCCCCCATTTCAATCAAATAGCCTGAGTTAATCATTTTGATAGATAAATCAAAATATAAATGTTTTACTGCACATATATAAATTCAAATTGACCTGAACTTTGGACTTAGTTATTTCTCTCTTTCCTATACTCTTTCTCTTGTTCTTTCTTTAAAAAAACCTGTTTTTTTTTAATTATGAATTCCGAACTCCAATTGACTTCTAATAATTATCATTTTTACCTTTGCATGCAATTTAACTATCAT